CACCTGCCGTTTGGGCAAATTGGTCGCTGGAATGGCTTTATTGCTGTCTGAGCAGGTGGTCCCATGATCTCCTGCCCGCTTTAGTCGCGGATCGTGTTGTCTGACAAGGCATCGTCGGGCGAATCAACAGAAAGTTGGTTATACTGTTCCTGGAGCTGGTCGAGCTCGCGCTGGTCGTACGCGGGCTGCTCGAGCGCCGGAATCTCAATCATGGCCGTGCGCTGCAACTGCAAAGGATTTTATGGTCGTTTCTGCGGCAGTAGGCTTCAGATCACCCAGGTCGTTTCTCTTTCTGGAACGGCTGGGTTCTCGGGCAATGCTGGGGCTGTGTGAAAAGAAAGCGCAGTGTGTGGCTGAAAACTTTCCCGCAAAGAAATCCGTGTGTTTTTTCTGGCTCGCAATGCCGGGTTTGCTTGCAGGCGCTTTGGTGGTTTGGGCAAGTTTCACGGTGGTTCTGCGACTGTGATGTTAGTGTGCACAGGGCGCCAGAACGGTGGATCTGCAGGCGTGTCGAAGGAGGCGACTACAACGGGAAAAAATCGACATACGAGGGAAAATGAAAAACGTAAAGAGAGAAGAGGCGAAGTAAGGTAGTGGGGGCAATGGCTGGGGTAGAAAAGTCTGACAATGGGTACTGCGCTGTTTTAGTGAGGTAATAATGGAATAATTGGGAAAGTGGATTCTCGCGAATAGACCGTTGGAATGACGAATAAAGATAATGCGTGAGGAATAAACAAGAAGGGATTAACAAGTAGGGGATATGTGAACAGATATGAAGCATGGGCAATGTATGGATGGAAGAATTCAGAATGGAAGCAGAGGATTATAGAGAGGAATTACAGAATTATAAATATAGAAAGTAGATTGGACAGAAGAATCATAAGTTCAGAATTAAAAATAGAATGGGTGAAGATTAAGAGTGGGATGGATTGAAAGATGATTAAACTGCATGGGCATAAGCATGAATACAAATGCAAGAACATTCAACATGGATTCCGAGTAAGAATAAGCCTCTTAATGCACACTTTCTTAATTTCAAGAACAAATTGATTTAATTAGAAGGAGCGAGACAAGTTGGCACATCTTCGGATAAGAATGCAATAACTAAACCACAAAGCATGGCAGATATTCTTTTGCTAGCAGTGAGATCTGTGAAAATGCAGACAAAAGCCTGTAGTAACTCGGCTTGGTGGTTTACCTGTCGTATCGTTTGGCTTCTGTGAGTAGAGGGCTTATAAACTTGAAAGCTGCTTAAGATTCGAAAGTAATACAACCAGCATGGCTAGTCCTTTCTGCGAAGATCGTGTCATTGAACCTCTGCTCTTCTGTTCAGTTTCAACAGGTCAAATAGCTGGTGACTACAACTTTATTCCAAACAATTGCGTTACGTTCTAATTTATGGAAGCAACTGTCTAGTTGGCTTCAATGCATACGGAACCATGTTCTCATAGAAGTGGTACAATGGGGTGTCTTATCTTATAACCCAGCTATCAGTGAATACCATTATCTGGACTTCATCATGACTGAAAACTCAGATATCGGCACTGGTAATGACCTAAAAAGATAGCTCTAGTGTTCGTTTTGATGCTTCATGTTGTAACAGTGTTAGTATAAACTATCCATAGGTGGTAAATGCCAACTCAGGTCTATGGTTTCGCATATAAAGATCATGGCTATTTCCATAATAAGTCTTGTCAAGATCTGTAGTTCTTTTGAGGAGCGAAGAATTTTTATTTTTTTTCTTTTCTTTTTTCACCATCGAGCATGTTTTTATCCAAACAATTGTGTTTTATTATTTAGAATTCGTTGCAGTTAAAGCATCACCTTCGAACCTAATACAGTAATGTTTCGAGCACTAATCAGCTGCGACATTCGCATTTTTATACACTTTTGGCCTTAGACTGAATTAGCCAAAACATCAGATGCCACGGAAAAATACATAGATACTAAATAAACACAAAAGAAACCACACATCATATAATTCACCGTATTCTACTAGCATGCTACACTTTTTCTCCTCAGACCAACCTTTTTCCATCAGAATCGGACTGGTCTTCTTTCCAGTAGTGCCGCTCCCAATATGCACATTCAAGATTGATCTTATCGCCATTGTCTTTCCATATCATGTCTTCAGCTGACACTTTGATCAACCAGTTCATAGCTGCAGCTGCCGATAACGGGAACGGAGAGGCGTTTTCCGGAAGCTTGGCCGACCTTTTCGTCGAGAAAAAACTCTCTCTTCTCGAACTCATAAAAGCGTTGGGCCCGACTTTGACTTCGGATGATCTCTTCCACCAGATCCCACTCTGTGCACTGCTTGAGCGCCACCTTAAAGCTGATTACGGCAAAGACGAGTCTCACAAAGCAAGACGTGTGTGTGCTCGTGCAATTTTTGGCTTCAAAGCTAGAAGACGAGAAAAGTACAGTTCATGTTCTTGGCGGATTGGCGTCTTTGGTCCAGACGAAGGCATTCATTCCCCACCTCAACGGCAATTTGGAAACGGTTCTCAATGCACTTACATCGAAATACGAGCCCAGAAAACACTTGGCCAAGGTCAGATACGAGGCATTTGCGTTGTTGAGTGTTTTATTTGAAAACCACTCCGATAACATTGTCACCAGTCCCGAGTACGCCAACTTGTTCGTGGCGACTTTTGTTCATGTGGCCACCAGCGAGAAGGACCCGAGAAACTTGCTCATGTCGTTTCGTTTGAACTCGGCCATCAACAAAAAAGTAACGTTCGAAGATAGATCCGTCAATAAGACCCACGACCAGCTCTTGACCGATTTGTTTGATGTTTCCTTTTGCTACTTCCCGATTTCATTCACTCCGCCTGCTAACGACCCCTATAAAATCACTGCGGCCGAGTTGAAAGCGGAATTGCGAGCCACTATTGCTTCTCAAAGCCAATTTGCGCAAGATACATTTCCTTCGCTTTTCGAGAAATTGACGTCGACAAATCCAGCAGTCCGCAACGACGTGGTGCAGACGCTTTTCCTTTGTGTGACTGAATACTCCACATCTACAATCGAAGAGTACTGGATCACAATTTGGGACTCACTCAAGTTTGAAATTTTGCACAATGACATGCTGGTTTTCAAACCTGAAACTGACTACATTGTGCCTCCGAATGCGCAGGATCTCGATGACACCGATGACAACAAGACCTTGATATTCACGTTGATGACGTTGAGCGCCATTGTCCAGAAGTTCGTTGAGGCCGAGTCTGATCTGTTGCAGAGCGTTATTACTACAGTCCTCGAAGGGTTAAAGCCAAACTACTCTTCCTTGAACGACAAAACTTTGAAGCAAGCTGTCTTATTAATGACTTCAATGGCCAGCGTCTCCTCCGAAATGTTCGATGCAGTGGTTGAAACGTTGTTCTCCTTTGATGTTTGGGGCAAATACATTAGGAGCGACTTTAACGAAATGGAAAAACAGGACCAAGAGGATGAGGTGGATGTGGCATTGACTGTGGCTAAACAACGGGAGCTCATTGACAACTTAGGGTTTGTGTTTTCCGCTCATAAAGTGTTGAACAAACCCAATAAACTCATTGAGTACAAGGACCATCTCTTGATCTTCATGGGGCAACTACTTCAAACGTCGTCAAAGTTGGAAAAAACATTGAAATGCAAACTAACACAGCAACTTGTCAAGTTGATGTCGCTCAATGATTTTCTTACGCACGAAGACGTCACTTTGGTTTTAGGCTGGTTGAGTGAAAATTTGTCCGCCATAATCTCAGGCACCTCCAACTGGGAGTCTGATATTCTTTTGATTGAAATAACAAAAGGTCTAGTTCACATCATGTCAGACGAAAGCGAAGAATCTATAAACTCCCACGTTACTGCGGTGGTTGAGACCGTCCTCCCAACTTTGTTGGATAACACTTCAGAACCGGGCGTCTTGGACCTAATTAGCAAGCTTTGCGCAAACTACAAGTTTTTGGAAGTTTTGTCTATCCGCTTTTTGAACAAACTAGCCTACGACAACTATGATAGTGAGGTTTATGCCAACATAGTCTCGTGTTTGATCAAATCTTTTGTTCAAACACAGTCCGTCAAGCCATTCTTGACAAACACTTGGTATGATAATTTTGTTCCGAGGTTTTTGTCGGCCACCGTCAAAAAATCTCAAGATGATTATGTTGTGCTTGAGCTCAGTGGACGCCTTCTTGGTCTTATAATTCGCTACATTGAAAAGTCCAAGCACCAAAAAATTCTCGAGGAGATGGTTCCTCTCTTCATGGGCAAAAAGGAGTATGCGGGTGTTTCAGTGGACATTTTCCTGAACCCCACTCCTAAAGTCTGTCTTTTCAAGCATTTGCTTTCCAAAATAGACAGAACGTCCTCATTTCCGTGTGATGTCAAGGAAACGGTGGATAAATGTATTGCGCTTTCAGCCAAATCTTCCAGCGAGTTTGTGTCAAACGGCTACTTGCAAGTTTTGTCTTTAATGGTTAATAAGTTCATCAAACAGAATGACTCAAGCGTTGATGAATTACTCTCGAGACACTTTAAGGAAAGCGAGCAGAATGTTCAACAACTAGAAGTTTCCATTTGGATTCTCAAGGGATTGGTGAACAGAATCGATGCCATTTCGCAAAAGTATGTGGACACTTTGGTCGAGCAGTTGCTTCTGTCTCCAAACCACAAATACTGTACTACAATCATTAAATCATTTGATATTTTGATGGCAGACTTGGACATTTTCATGAACACAGAAAACAGCAAGGCCAAGATCATCTCTGGTGTCATGAACTTGAACGTGAAGCTATTGTACAAACAACAAATTTTCGAATATGTGTTGCCCCAGTTGATCAGCGCTTTTGGAAATGCATCAGACGAGAACAAAAGAGAGATTTGCTTGGGTATGTTGGCCACCATGTTGAACAATGTGTCTACGAAAATCTTGAAGCCACACTTGAAGGATATCTTCCCTCTTGTCCTAGATGGGTTGACATACGAGAACGCTTCGATCTTGAAAGCCTCGTTGCAGACATTTAAGGTGATTATTTATGAATCTCCAGACTTAATACTGGAAAACTTGGCCAGTCTTGTGACAAAATTAATAAGTTTGGGCACTTCCAAAATCATTGTCAACAAGAAGTTGGTGAACAACGAACAAATTAGACTCTTGAGCTTGGACTGTCTCGAAGGCTTGTTCATCAAATTAGACTTGGGACAAGTCGTGAAGTACCAGACCTCAACAAGAAACCAGCTTAGCATGGCACTGGACGATCCAAAGAGAAGTGTTCGGAAAAAGACTTGCGATGTGCGCCAAATGCTTTTCGAATTGGGCCGTTAGCATTCTGAAGATCATCTAAGAACTACAATAGGTAGAGCTGGGGTTCTAATGCGCAAAGTTATTCTTGTCACTCATTTATTTAGACACGTAATATACAAATCACTCTTCGTCCGACTCATCGTCGTAACCCACAGGGGCCAAGCCTGGAGTCAAACCTGGATACGCCAAAACACCCTTCTTGATCTTGTCGTTGAAGGACTGTAACTTGGCATCAAGCTTCCTATCACGTGATTTATCATACTTTTCGTTGGTCAAGGCAAGAATTTCGGATCTCAAGGCATCGATTTCATCCTTCACAAAAGGGTCATCCACCTCGCTCGCTCTGACCACCGCATTGGCGTTCTTTTTTATTAGTTTCTTCAAGTATTTTTGTTCCTCCGGCGTGAGGTCTTTTTCTTCTTTGTGAGCCTTGATGACGTTGAACTTCACCAATTTCTTGAACTTCTTCTCCTTCTCTAGTTTCTGGTTGATGAGCTTGTTTTTCTTGGCTTTTTCCACCTTGTGGGCCTTCTGAATCTCGTGCTTGGTGAGCTTCTTCTTGTTAACTTGAGCAGCAAATTTTTCCGTAGCAGAGCTTTTTCCTGAGGAGGAAGGTAGCAAGGAGGTGCCTGGAAGCATGCTCTCGAAGAGCTTGTTAACAGAGGCCTTCGATCTGGCCTTTGATGAAGCAGAGGAAAAAGCCATTGTGGACTATGAAAGTGAGAGATGAGCATTCAAAGAAGTGCATCGTGGTGTACGGGTGTGGCCATGGTCACTCTGTTCCAGTCTGGACTGATTTCACGAGCGACGGAAAGGGAACCGAAAAAGGAAGCACACACATGGGCAATACCGACACAAGAGACATAGTCACCATCGGCCTGCTAGAGAAAAAGCCCCAAAGAGGAAATATTCCAGACTAGAGTGACGAAGGCGGGGCATTATATGCCGTACACACCTTCCGCTTGTTTAGCAATTATGAATATCCCACAGGCCACGGATCTAGGAGATAGGCGGCATGGCGACTTCGAGAATAAGAATAGCCAGGTGCAGTAGACAAGAGAGATTTTCAGCGCACCCCGCGCTAAGAACAGAAAATGTCCTGTGACTTAATTTTTTTGCTTCATGTGGAATAATGTGGAGAAGGATTATCGCGATCGTGCACATTGAAGCCGCGGATCCAGAACATGTGAATATTCAAGCCCCGGATATATAAGTCGCCTTGCGGGACAAACAGAAAAATCCTCTTCAGTCTTGTTCATTTCAAGCCATCCATCAATCTAGCTGCATTATAATACAGCTTTTTTTCAAACTAAGTTTTACATCTTAATTTCACGCAAACCCCTGAACCGACACAAAAATGTCCGACGTTACCGCAGACGGATTCAATGCCTCCGCTCTTTTCAAGCAGTTGAGTGAAGGCTTGCAGGACGAGTCTATCAAGAAGAAGGCCATTGGTGGCGTCAAGGCTGTGATTGTGATCACTTTGAAAAACAAGGAGGGTAAGGACCAATCGTGGTTGTTGGATTTGAAAGACAGCGGCAAGGTTGAAAAGCTTGACAAGGTTCCAAAGAACGACGTGCAATTGTTGTTGAAGGATGCTGACTTTGTCAAGTTGGCCAACGGAAAGGCCAACGGCCAGAAGTTGTTTATGAATGGCAAGTTGAAGATTAAGGGCAACATGATGAAGGCCACTGCCATTGAGTCTGTGTTCAAGACCATTGACCCTAGACCTAAGTTGTAAGGGTTTCTATCGTACCACCAATATAAAACTTGCCTCCAAGAGAAGAGCGAATGTGACCGTAGAGTAGACAGATCAAGCAAGGTCAAGCAAGAACGCACTTGACCGGAGCCCGAGTGGCTGGTCCGAGGACGGCTACTTTTCGACTCCAAAGAAAGCTAGCTCGTCCTGTGTCGCCACCACTAGAGTTGTTCCATTGCTGTGCACCAGACGCACACGGAAGAGCTCCGAAAGCCCCACCAAGTACTCGTAGCTAAAGTTTGGAGCGTCGAAAGTCACGCGGAGAAGCGACTCTGGCCCATTGCTTAAAACCACAACCACCAGCTGTCCCTGTTGATGTGCCGCAATGTGTTCAATTGGTTCGCTCATATCCAACTCCAATGCGTGCTGAGAATCGGTCAGCGGGTTCCACATAACCAAGCGGCCGTCTGAAGTGCCGACCACGACCCATGCTCCGCATACGGCTATAGCCGAAATGGGCAGGTCAAGCGAAAGACGGTGTGGCGTTTGAAAGTGGCCGGCGATGTTGTACTGCTGCACAGTTCCCGAAGCATAGCCCACGTAGAGAGCAGCAGAGTCGCAGTCGAAAAGGAGCTCGCCCTTCACACGATCTTGAGGCGCCACTGGAGCGTCACAAGTGCCAATGGCCAAACACTGCGCCGGATCTTCAGGCGAAGCAATGCGGCGGAAAGTCGACACCACGGCGCCCGATCCACACTCCCACAAATCCACCGAGCCGTCAAGCGACGCTGTGGCGAAATTGCGGCCGCGCCCGATAAGTACTGCGCCCGTGATGGCCTTTTTCTGGTGGCGGAACGTGCGCGTAGCTTCGACGGTGTCGGCAGGCACCAGAATCTTAGTTTCGTCAGATGTGGCGCTGTCGGAAAATTCTTTCGTTGTGCTATCAGAAGTTGCAGCCTGAGAAGCCTCCGGCGTGCCCGGCATGGGCCATAACTTGGCCAGGAAATCGTCTCCTGTGCTGAGCACAACTTTGTCTGACGGGAAAACGTACACGCCCGAGACCGCAAGCAAATGCGCATGTCGGATCAGCCCGATCGGTGTTTTCGTGGCCGTGTCGTAGGTGGCGATGCTGCCGCTGGCTGAGCCCACTACAAGACGAGATCCATCGCTTGTAATTGCCACAGCAGTGACATCGTCGGAAGTGGTTTTCACGGTGGCTACTGGCGTCACCAACGTGTAGGCATCATTTCCAAACGCCACGCGGTACGTACCAGACGACTGGCGCTCAAACTGAACCGATCCAGAAAACTCCACACTGCCATTGTTAGACACCGTGATGTGATGTAGTTCTTGGGCCTCGTTCTGGCCGCGGCGACGTGCTATCCAGAACAGCTCCGACAGCACGATTCCTGCAGACACGTCGCTGATAACGGCCTCAAACGAATCTTGGATGGTGATGATGTGCATTGGAGGTTAGGTGGAGACTGGGCCACGTGATTGAAGGTTTTAAGACTCGTCACGTGGATCTGGCGAAGGTGTACCTGGGTATATGCAGTCATTTTCGGTTGCAAAAGGGAATATGGCAAAGGAATATGGCGAAATAGGAAAGGTGGAATATGGCAAAAGTGGAATATGGCAAAGTTTACAGCAGAGTCAAGACTGGCTAGGAGAATTGTTTCCTTCAGGGTTGAAAATCAGGTCCGAATCTGATAATTTGTGTTTGAGAAAGAAAAGTGGTTCGCGGGTAATTTGATAAATAGAAACTTCATCTACAATAAAGATGGGTGATGATACTAGTTGCGTCTATGAAAGAAAGTCACTTCCTCTTAGATTACTTTCACGAATAGTTTGAATTCTTTGGGCTCAACTTGGATTTCTGTGGATTCATTTCAATTTGGCCGTATTGTTTGAGCAAGATAGAAGGCTTTACGAATAGTTGGCTAGGCATGAAACGGGAGTCAGAAAAATCGCTTCAGTCTCTACGAGATCAATCTAACACGAATAGATCTTCTGAAATCAAGATTATCAAATCAATATTATCAAATCAATATTATCAAATCCATATTATCGAATCAATATTATCAAATCAATCTCTACCAAATCAATCTCTACCAAATCATTCTCCACAGATCCCACCAAATCTCTTACAGGATCAATTCCCGATTATTTATCTTTAAGGGAGTTAAATCGACAGACATTACTGCATCTAGGATATTCAGAGTCTAATCGAATGGTCATCAAGCCGTTCTGATCTTGTTGTGCATATACCACCTCAGATATATCAAACGGCCGTTTTCGCTCCAATTCACTCTTTCAACACTATCGTCTTTTGCATTTACATTTCCCAAACATTACGTTTGCAAACAACCCTTCCCAATGAGTTCTGTGCGCCATGACAAGGCGCTCGCCATGTTTTTTGACAAAGACTTCAGTCCGACAGAATACGTCGATGCCTTGATGCTGACGCTAGCAGATCCTACAGACAAGTATCTGGGCGCCAGTCTAGCCCGGATCTCCGGCCGGGTTCTGGATCTTTTATCGCATTTGGACTACAGCACGGGCGAGATCTCGAAAGAGCTAGCGAACAACATGGCGCAGCTCCAAAAACTGGCCCAGCCTGTGGCCGGCGCCGACGAGTCAACGAGACTCGAGTACTATTTCAACAGTTTGCGGAACTCCGTGCAAACGCTCGAGGCCGAGGTGAAAAGTGTGCTGAGCCAATTGAGTGCCAAAGGGCAGAAAGAAGCTAAAAACGGCAATACAGAAAACGACAACACCACACGCCACGACGGCGAAGATACAGACCCTGTGCAGACGCTCATACTGTTGAACACGGTGCATTCCAACATCGGGCGCGTTTTGCTGGTTCTTCAGAACCTTCGCCGGCTTTTTCCCGGAGTCGATGTGCTGGCGATTGGTGTGGACGAATTTCTGAGCGCGTTGAACGTTTTACATGACACGATCCGGGCGCAGGCGAGAGAGGGGGATGAAGACGAGCGGGCCGAGCTAGAAAAGACAGTGGCGGAGATGAAATCGTGGACCCCGATGTTTCTGCAGTTTTCGCAGTTCGGACCGTTATACTCACGCTTTATTCTGCGGACAGAGGCAGAATTGTAGTAGTCAGCATTGCATGAACGGTGGTGAAGATAATTCAAAGTATAACATTCCTGGGCTAGGGAAATGTTAGGAACTTTCAACAATGGAGTGATCTACATAATACACTAAAGATTGAAGACAAGGTCACCTGGTCAAGATACATTCGTGGTACTTATTCAGTCCCAGTGGTGCCGTTCAATATCGTCTTCAAACATCCCCATTAACATGACCATTGCGTTTGCTATAGCTACCAAGACTAAGTTGATACACATGACCACTACTCTTGCTATAGTCAACAATGCTAGGTTGATATTCGGATTACTTCAAATGGGAAGTTCCTAACTAGCACTAATTGTAGCAAGCAATAGGTGAAATGAGGAAAGCCGTTTTCCAATGCCTGGTCATACTCCCCCACCGCTAAACTGATCGTACAGGCAATAAATCCTCTTAAGATGAACCATTTTTTTAATGTAAGTATTTTACAGCGATTGGAACTGATAGTAGCCCTTCAGTATACTGTTCACGTATAGCACGCAAGATATAGCTATGGCCCACCACACTACAACAAAAAGAATAAAAAATCCATTTGTTTCTCCAACTGCCCAAATATTGGAATCTTTGCCATGGACAATATCTGAGCGTTATCCAGATACTTATCAAACACCAACCTACCAGTTTCTCTCCTCCCAATTGCATTTATCAATAAAGAACTACCTTGATATTTTACTACATCTATAATATACGCTCACCTTGAAAGTGAAATTCGAGTTTTCATTTACTTCTGTTAGAAGTTTCTTCAAGAGTTCTTTCAGATGTTTGAAGAAATGGGGCATAGTCTGATAAGATGGGTCATAGTCTGATAAGATGAGAGATGCAGATTCACTAATAGATATGTCTGATCCAGCTTAACATTTATGATTTCAGAAAAACCATAACTGTTCGAAAAGAACTGCTCCTGTCAATTCAATTTTCTTCATCTGGTTTCTAGGTTCCGCTTCGGCTGCTCCTACATTGTTTACGCTCGCGTTACGTCATAGTGAATTAAATTAGTTACTTTATCTCCTTCGCGGCGCTCTCGTTGGTTTCCGTCTCGGACTCGGGCTCCAGCGCCTTTTCTAGGTCTCGTTCGGCGCGTGCCGCCCGGTTCTTCTTGCTCAAGAAGTGGAAGCCCGCAAAGTAGATGAATGTGTTAAATGCCCGCGTAGGGAAAATCCGCACGGCCCAATGGTTAGGCACTATACGGATGAGCGCACCCACAGGAAGCGATAAGGTGCCACCAATAATGGCGGTGGCCCACATGGCAGGGGTTTGACGCGCCACGGTGAACGCAGCACCACCAACAAACATGATCAAAACTTGCATCGAGCCAATAAGTAAGGCAATAACCACAAAGTACCAGTTACGGAACAAGTGGGCGAAAAAGTTCAAGTTCTCCGCATTGATTCTGCCACGGATCGTGCGCACGTCGGCACATTCGTCCAACTTTCTAGTGACAAATAACTTCCAGAACTGCAACCACACAAATGTGTTGAAGGTCATAGCATCCAATTGCTTGTTCTCGTGGTTTGAGATGGCGCGTCCACCAAAGAAAATCTGGTGACCGGCAAAGTGCAACACAAAGGTGATGATCAATTGGTTCATCAGCTGTCCAAGAATCATTTTCCACATCGAGACAGAGATCAATGGCGCTGTGCGGCCGGCTGGCTTCCGGTTCAACAATGCGTCATCAGGCTTGTCTGTAGCTAATGCCAACGCAGCAAGTGTGTCCATAATCAAATTGACCCACAAGAGCTGCACTGCAGTCAACACAGAGTGTCCACTGGACGAAGCCACAGCAGAAACAAAAGTCAACACACATGCAGTGATGTTGACAGTCAACTGGAACTGAATAAACTTTTTGATGGATTCAGCAACTGTACGACCCCACTTGATGGCCTGAACAATGTCAGTAAAATCATCTGTCATCAAAATGATATCAGAGGCTTCACGTGCAACTTCTGTACCACTGATACCCATAGAAAAACCAACATCAGCCAACTTCAACGCCGGAGCATCGTTTGTACCATCTCCAGTCACAGCAACAACCTCTCCTGCGGCACGAAGAGTTTGCACCAAAATCCTCTTGTCTTCAGGCAGCGACCGTGCCAACACACGAAGCTCAGGCACAATGGCTCTACGCTCTTCGTCACTCAATGCCCGGAATGCTGGACCTTCCATACATGCGTGCACATGTGACAGGTCTTCTGGTGTGAGAATGTTACATCCACGCGAAATAGCCTTCGCAGTAACCAAGTTATCTCCTGTAACCATACGGACAGTCACACCAGCCATTTTACATTGCGCAACGGCCTCGGGAACACCTTCCTTCAAAGGGTCCTGGATACCGACAAGAAAGTCCATAGTGAGGGCAGCGCCACCCGCAGGGAAGCTCGCTGCAACATCCACGAGAAGTTCTGGTTTTGCCTGAGCTGGATTCTTTGGGTCTGCAAGAGATGAAGGTGGCCAGCTGGACTCACCAGCAAAGTCACGATGTGCCAACATGATGGCACGCAAAGCGTCGTTGGCATATTCGTCGATTTTGTTGAGAACAGCGTCACGCGATGAGCGGTCCAAACGTTCCACTTTACCATCTTGAATGTGGAACCCACAATTCTTAGACACAATTTCCGCAGCGCCCTTAACATAAAGACGAAAGCCACCTTCAATACGCATGACAATACCAGCCCATTTCCGCGAACTCTCGAATGGAATAACTTGGACAATTTCTTCATTGCCCCGTGCACGTTGGGTGGCCAAAGTTTCCTTATCGAATTGACCAAATTGATTTTGTGCCAAAAGCAACAATGCACTTTCAGTCTTGTTACCTAAGTAAGGTTCAGAAACAACACCTAACTGCTGTTGTTCCTTTTGTCTCTTCTCTTGGTCATTGTGAAGCAAATGGTAGATCAACAGGCGTTGCTGTGGCTTTTGGCGTGCGCGTGCCGCTTGAGCTGCGTCATAGTCTGGGTTTTCAAATGCCGTCGAGTTGAGGACGATATTGGAGGTGATGTACACACGCAAATCTTCTGGGAGTTCTTCGACAAATTGTGTCAGTTTTGGAGTGTCAACTGCATCGACCTGATCGTTGAAAAGAAGTTGAGGCGAAACGAACCCACGGACAATGCGCATGACATTTTCGGTCAAGGTACCTGTCTTGTCGGAACAGACGGCAGTAGCGCCACCCATAGTTTCACATGAGCGCAAGACACGGACCAAGTTACCATTCTGTGCCATCCTGGTTGTCGCAAACGCAAGTGCCAACGTCACTGCTAAAGGCAAACCTTCTGGAACAGCAACGACAACGATAGTAACGGCAACAATAAGAATGTCGACGAACTTTTTACCCTTCTCGGCACCTGTCTCATGCGACAACAGACCACCAGGACGCAAGTTGATACCAAAACGGATAAGCAAAACCACGAAAAGCACAAGCGCGGCCAAGAAACCGTATCTTGAGATTCCCTCAGCCAAGCTATCTAAACGTGCTTGCAAAGGAGTGACTTTCCGCTTCATGATTTAAAGATGCCATGGTACGGGCCATGGATCGAATTAGTTCCAACAGCAGTAACAACAGCTGTACCGACACCTGCCAATACACGTGCACCAGAAATGAGGAATGGGTCTTGAAGTTTGATGCTCAAGCCGGTGTCACCCAAGTCGCCTGCTTGTGTATCTTGAGGGATAGTGTCCAAGTATTGATGGAAAATACGCATAGCCTGCTCAGCAGGGCGCTTTTTGATGGTTTCGGACTCACCGGTTAATGCTGACTCGTCACATTCCACTTCACCCGTGATCAAAACCAGGTCCGCCGGGACGACATCACCAGTTTCTAAACAGATCACATCTCCCACAAGCAAATCGTAAATGGAAATCATACGCTTATCGCCCCCACGCAAGACGACAACTTCACGGTCCTCTTTCTTAGCATTAAGCCTGGCAAACTGTCTTTCCTTTTGGTAGTCATTGGCAGCACCCACAAGAACCACAATAAGCACAGCTACAATAATAGCCACACCTTCGACCCAGTCCACCTTGGGCATTGGCTTGTGTTCGTCATCATAAACAGTACCCTGACCGAATGTTTCGTAAAGACCCAAGGCTAAAGAGATAACAGCTGCCACAGTTAAAAGAATAAGGACCTTGTCCTTCATGGCTTCGAAACAAAGTTGAAAGAATGACTTTGCCGCTTTGATAGGGAGTCTATTGGCACCGAATGCTTCAACACGTTCGGTATTGTCTTCTTCGGCTGGTAAACCGCCTTCAGTATTAGTGGCGAGTTTGTCGGCAAGACCTTGCAACCCGCCCATCTTGTAAAGTGCGCCGAGGGACTTTGGATCATGGAGTTGCGAGAGTTGATCTGGGGTAGCACCAAACAGCGACGGCAGAAGAGGCGTGTCTGATGCCAACGAGGCGTCTTCAGCCGGAACAGCCAATGACATTATGGTAGATTGCTTTTGGGAAGTCAAACTTTCGGAAGGTGACTGGAATCTGATTTGCTATAGCTGTAACGCAACAGCTTTATATAGACTCTGAAAAGAGTTTGCCACAAGTCCTAGAATGACAAGTGTGAAGCAATCGAAAGTAAAAAAGTTGAAAACGGCTTCCTATGTTCCAATTTGCGGCTGCGGGCGTTATAAAGATGTGGGTTTAGAAATGATGGACCAGCAAGCGTGCAGTAAGATAAGACGCATCTCCGTCCGCACACAGCCTCGTTTCGCATACAGGTCACATATGGCACCAATCCGCGTTCAGCGCCGCACCATTAAAAGGCCATACTACTGCTAAGGCTTTCTCTTGGCCTCTGCTTGGAAGAGCGGGATTTTACCACAATTGCAATGATCACGACATAGTCCCCGTAGAGTCAAGCTGCTCGTGCACATTTCCGTGGAGACGCTTCCGAAGAAACGCCTTTAGTTTTAGTATAGGACAAAAGCAACGTTTTGAGATCGGAGCAGTTGTAGTAGGTAGCCTTAGAAGATGCTCAATCATGTCGCTAAATGTACAGAATCTGTCCGTTTGACTGCGATCTGTGGCAAGCGCCTTCAGGCGCCTTCCTCTATTGGCATTGGGCCCTTGGTGGCATTTGACGCGAGGTGCGGATGCCAAGACTTACTGCGCCTCGCTCTCATTGAGCGACAACCTTAACACGCGCCCACATGGCACGCGTCACCGATGATTTGGCCGTAGCTTGCTCTCTTGCAATTTGCCTCTCATTGCCTCCCACCGTCATTCTTTTTTTCTTTCTTCAGGCAGCCTCATGTGCCACTGACGTGCAATTAACTGCGGCGCCGTCATCGTTGACGTGATGCTCCATATACAAGACGTGCGTCGGGTTGCATGAACATTGTCGTTGTAAGCGGCACATCCCGCCGTATATACAGGAAGACCATTTAAATGAATTCTTCTGCTTATCACCTTTTCAGGCACACCGCATTGTGAGACATGTCTCTTTCTTGGCCCTGGGTTGAAAGCTATCTCCTATCCTGAGGAACTTTACTCCGCCTTGCTGGTGAAGCTAAGCCACCACGAGCGGAATTCAGAATTGCCAAGAAGGCTTTTGGTGGGGAACTCGAAATTAGTATTGTCGGTGCCACGGTTCTGTTCGTTTCTTCTTCTGCATGAATCGCATCACAAGTTCCCGAAGGGGTAATGTAATGCATCAGTGCCTCTAAACACCAGAGCCGCGGAAATGCCTTAGCGATTTACGCACGTGACCATACCAACTCACGTGACAAAATATCCAATTTCGAATGCTCAGTTTGAGTTTTTCGCAGCCTTATAAATGCTTCTCAATGCAAATGGCTGCAAAAAAATCTCCACTATTTAAGAAGAGACGTACGCACATTTTTCTTATCCGAATTTTCTTCTTTTCGTTGTAGAAGGCAGCATTTATTTTCGGAATTAATATGTTTGTTAGGCCACTTTCTTCAACCTTATCAACACAAAATTTTCAATGACGATACCGAGATATGTCTTACTACCCCTGTTCAAGAGTTAAAGATATACTAATATCTACATATCTATTGCACCTTTCAAGTTTTTTTGATTCTAAAATAATTTTGATGGTATTCATGTGAGGAATATGGACGTATCGATCGCGAACTGTCATTCTTAGCAACATTGTCTTAGAAAGAAGTTCTTATACCGTGGTCGTATTTTCGAGCCTTGGTTACTTTGACATTGGACAATTTCAACCAAAATATATGATTTTTGCATTAAGGCCATGATTACTCCTTTGGCTTCTCGTTGGCATCTCTTGAGGCTACTCAGACTTGAGTTGAAGTCCACATTTCATTATCACATGATCAAGCACGTGAGAGATCATGTGACAAACAACTGTTAAATCACGTTTGTGACCACGTGAAGCAACTTAGTCCATCAGCTGAGGGCTTGCACCATTGCACGTGATCAAACGCCACACTTTTCTTCACGGCGAATTCGCTTACAAACGGTGCGTCTGTGGCATCGCATGTATATACAGGTTTATGCCAATGCATCGTTTCGTTTAAATACCAGAGTTTTCAGGACGCCTCTATTGAACCCTTCAACAGAAAAAAAAATAACATGACTGTCGACCAAACAAACAACTACGGTTTCGGTACTAATGCCATTCACGCGGGATCTGCTGCAGACCCAGTCACTGGTGCTGTTATTGCTCCAATCTCGCTTTCCACCACCTTTGCTCAATCTGAGCCAGCGAAGCCCATTGGTATTTATGAATACTCGAGATCTGCAAACCCAAACAGAGACAACTTCGAACAAGCTGTGGCCACTTTGGAGAAGGCCAAGTATGCGCTTGCTTTGGCTTCTGGCTCTGCCACCACTGCTTTGGTGATTCAATCTTTGCCAATTGGCGCACACATCATCTCTGGTGGTGATGTCTACGGTGGTACCCACCGTTACTTCACACAAGTTGCCAACACCCACGGCGTGGAGGCTACCTTTGTTCATGACTTGGCTCAGGACTTGCAAAGTGCCTTGAGACCAGAAACTGCCCTTGTCTGGTTGGAAACTCCGCTGAACCCAACCTTGTCTGTGACAGACATCAGCAAGGTGGCTTCTATCTTGAAGGAGCACCGCGAGAAGACCGGTAAGCAAGTCATCTTGGTTGTCGATAACACATTCTTGTCGCCATACATTTCGAACCCATTGGTTCACGGCGCTGACGTTGTTGTGCACTCCATCACCAAGTACATCAATGGTCACTCCGATGTTGTCGGTGGTGTTTTAGCTACCAACAGCGACGAGTTGCACAACAAGTTCCGCTTCTTGCAAAACGCAATTGGATCCGTTCCATCGCCTTTCGACTCGTGGTTGGCTCACCGTGGTTTGAAGACCTTGCACTTGCGTGTCCGCCAAGCAGCCAACTCTGCGCAAAAGATTGCCGAATACTTGGCTAGCCACGACAAGGTTCAAGCTGTGAACTACCCTGGCCTCAAGTCGCACGCCAACCACTCTGTTGTTTTGCGTCAACATCGTGATGGCTTGGGAGGTGGTATGATCTCGTTCCGCATCAAGGGTGGTGCCGCTGCTGCATCTGCCTTCACTTCGGCCACCCGCTTGTTTACTTTGGCTGAGTCTTTGGGAGGCATTGAGTCTTTGATCGAGGTGCCAGCCATCATGACTCACGGTGGTATTCCAAAGGCCGAAAGAGAGGCCAGTGGTGTCTTTGACGACTTGGTTCGTGTGTCTGTTGGTATTGAAGAGACTGACGACTTGTTGGCCGACATTGAACAGGCATTGGAGCGTGTTTAAGGAACTAAGATAGAAATGGGGTATCAAAAGATACATTTGGCAAAGCCACTGTGACTCTGCGTCATAGATCACCGGCGAGTGTCATTTGAGCGAAGTGTACAGTATCATATATTGCAAATTGTTAATCAAGGCAGATTTGTTAATTTCCAAACCTGTTATACCCGAAGCTTTCGTCAAGTTATCTGCCGGCTAGTCACTTTTTGACACAATTTCTCGATCACGGATTTACGACCTTATTTTGGAGTTATGCATACGATTTATTTAGATTTAGCACGACCTCGAATAGAAGCATTACGACAAAGTCAAGAAACTATTAGGCTCATAGTTTATATATATTTGGAGGAATGGAAGTAAGACCAAAATATGAATGGAGCTATAAGTATGGCTTCAATGAGTATATGGAACAAAAAAACATGGAGAAGTGTAAGAAAATCATGGAGAAGTGTGATGAATAAGTATAGAGAGGAGAAAGATTCAATAAAACCATTAGAACTTGGTTCCAATGTCTGAATATGAATAATCTTTTAGAAGGCGTCAATAAATCATTCATCAAAGAAAACTTACAGATTAGAACCAAAAATGCTCATGTTTCGAAATAAGATCAATAATCACTTTGCCAATAACCTTTTGGGATTCGCTTGACTTTACGTACCAAGTATCTATTCTTCCATTTCCATAGATCTTCACAAAAATTCACATAAAGTGAGAAACTGGAAGTGCTAGGATGAGGTTCCTTTTTGGCGAATCAGATACGAAAGTTGGATTCAGCCAATGTTCTGAACGAATCATTCCGTAGTTGCCATTACTTCCTCTTATGTCTCGAATTCCCGTTGATCATTAATCTTTACTCATTTTCGGCTCCATGAATGACTTTAATTGAATTTACCAACACAATGCTACTGATAATCCACTGGCTGCGACAGACCCACTGTTTCAACAATTCAATCCAGTCAAACTGTTTCAACAATCCAATCCAGTCAAACTGTTTCAACAATTAAATCCAGCCCAACTGTTTCAACAGATCAGCCTCTTATAGAATCCAAATGTACCATTAAAAACCAATAGTACACCGCACTTTGCTTATGCGCGTACCTGTCCAATGCGGAATTTCGCAATACACAGCCGGGCCGAATAAACCCGCAAATGCCAGGCCACAAACCACACAAGGCAAAGAGACCAATCCGTCTCTGAACAAAAATGTCAAAACAAGCTGGGGCCAGATAGCCACGGCCGGGAGGATGATGACGTCAGAGGTACGGGTGTGCGGTCGTGCGCGCACCGGCCTGCCCAGCCAATCGCGCCGCGCCTTTTACCACTGAAAAACCACACTCTCAGTCTCTCTTTTCTCCCACGCTTCTTTGCATCTGGCGCCCCGTCTATTCTGCCACCCCATATCTGAATACACAATGTTCAAGAGCGCACCGAAACTCTCTCTTTTGCGCCCGAAGCTAGTGGCCTCCGCCGTCGGCGCCGCCGGCTTGGTGTCATCGTACGTGTTGTACCAGGATTCATTAACCGCCAGCGCCATGACTGCGGCGGAACACGGTTTGCATCCCCCTGCGTTCAACTGGCCGCACTCGGGCATGTTCGACACGTTTGACCACGCGTCCATCAGAAGAGGCTACCAGGTGTACAAGGAGGTTTGCGCCGCGTGCCACTCTTTGGACAGAATTGCCTGGAGAAACTTGGTGGCCGTGTCGCACACCGCGTCCGAGGCCAAGGCGTTTGCCGAGGAGTTGGAGTACGACGACGAGCCCGACGATGAGGGTAACCCAAGAAAGAGACCAGGAAAGTTGGCTGACTACATTCCTGGCCCATACGCCAACGAGCAGGCGGCCAGAGCCGCCAACCAGGGTGCGTTGCCTCCAGACTTGTCCTTGATCGTCAAGGCCAGACACGGCGGCGCCGACTACATCTTCTCCTTGTTGACCGGTTACCCAGACGAGCCTCCAGCAGGTGTGGTTTTGCCTCCAGGCTCCAACTACAACCCATACTTCCCAGGTGGCTCCATTGCCATGGGCCGTGTTTTGTTTGACGACTTGGTTGAGTACGAGGACGGCACCCCAGCCACCACATCGCAAATGGCCAAAGACGTGACCACGTTCTTGAACTGGGCCGCCGAGCCAGAGCACGACGAGAGAAAGAAGTGGGGTTTGAAGGCCATCATTCTTGTCTCCTCGTTGTACTTGTTGTCCGTGTGGGTCAAGAAGTTCAAGTGGCAACCTATCAAGAACAGAAAGATCACCTTCAACCCTCCTAAAAAGCACTAGCGCATATAGTAATAGCGGACATTCACGAGAGTTGTAGATGCATGCTGTCTACCGTTTCTCATTGACCGTGTGAATGCTATTAGCGACTTTCGGCTTTATTTTTTTCATTTACTGTTTCTGATCGCGAAAAGGTTAGTACGCATACATAGTCCATAGTACATTAGACATTTATTCATACTGGCCAGTAAATGTTTCAACATTATGAATTCCATTGAAATTAGTAGACTTGACCGCCCTACCCGAACTGCCTCCTCAAATAAGCCATGGGCAATACTATGTCTTGTGATTTCTCCTACTGGTGGCAGATTAATATTGAGCTTATCCGCATCGTTTTAAGGAGATTGGATCAGACCTCTTAAGTTTAAGGACATAGGATCAGTTCGAGATCGGATCAGTTCGAGATAGGATCAGTTCGCCTTAAGTTAAGGTTGGATCAGTCCTCTTAACTAATTTGAGCTTTCAACGCTAAGTCTATTGCTCATATTCTGTTTCCTTCGTTTGAAGCATGGTCTCATTGATCTGGATGGTCTCATTGATCTGGATGGTCTCATTGATCTAGAAGGTCTTCATACAGTCAGCCAATGGATGTGCTACTTTGGTGCCACTACAGAAACGGATTTAGATCAATCGTCTTTCACAGAAGGAAATGGAAAGAAACACATAAGTGGAGAAATCGAACATACAACCGGGAGAAATCTACCCATTCTGTTTGGTTCGTTGATCTGCCTTCTGAGAATGGTCTCTAGAAGAGTGAACAAAGGTACCTTAATAGCTTTCAAGCTTATCCTCCACTCTATCCATATTACGGAACATAAGGACTTATCGATGCTTTTGTAGACAGTTTCTTCACTGTGAATCGACTTTCGAAACTGGATTAGCGATAAAGTGACGATTTGCACCGCAATGAAGTTTACAAGTTCACCGCAATAAAGTTCAATAAGTTCACCGCAATAAAGTTTAATAAAGTTCACCGCAATAAAGTTTAATAAGTTCAGCGCAATAAAAGATTCGTCGCAATAAAAGTTCTCCGCAATTGACGTACGTTCTGCAATATTCAATTCCAAGCAAGATCATATGTCACCCCGCTTTGCCGTATGTATTGCTTATCGTATTTTATGATCTGATCATGCGTCGCAGTGCGTTTTTTATTGCTCGCATGCATGTCTCACATCTTGCAGTTCCGTGGATCAAGAAGAAGAAACCCATAGAACAAAATAAAAATGTGGGACTCCGACATAAGGCCACACGAAAAAGAAATATGGATGCGGGAATGAGGAGAAACTAGAAACTCAATTGACACAAGCAGGACACCAAACTAGACAAACAAGACACAGATGTGACAAACAAAACAACAAGTAAACAAACAGACAACAGACAGACAAGACAACAGACAGAACAGACAGAACAGACAGACAAACAAACAACAGACAGACAAACAAACAAACAAGCAACTAATGAAACAGACCAGACAAACAAAACAACAAACACAAGTAGTGACAAACCGTTCAGACCATAAAAGACATCCTCAGCAATCAAGCCTGAACCTGTCATGGCCTGAACTTTGCGTCGTCGTAATTTACGTTCGTACACGCAGTTTGTATGTCGTCTAGATCGATCAGATGGAGACAAGGACAATTGGACAATTGGACATTGTCCGAACAAAGTCCACTTGAATTGTTCATTCTACTTCTACTACTACTTCCATAACTACTTCTACTTCCATATCTAATTCCACTTCCATATCTACTCCATATCTACTTCCATATTCTCCATTCATTCTCATTCTCATCTTCTCCATCTACCGATCTAGCCTTTCTCCTTGCCATGCGGGGGCATGTACACCACCTGCCGTTTTCGGCAAGGAAATTTCCAGAATCCGGCTCGTGTGCCCCCTGACACAAGCACACACCCCAAAACAGAAAAGCCGCAACTGCATGTCTCACAAGAGCCCTACGCTTTGGCATCTTCCAACATCTCTTCCAACGGCTCAAACCCCTATTTCTGGCCCGTCTATGCTGGGACGACGGCCATGTCTGGCATATAGCTCGCTGAGTGTGCCAGTGTGCACAGAAATTCGGCGAATGGCCCGCGTTTTTCGGCGGGGCGCTGCGCGGACCCGCAATACGCCGCTCTCATTGGCTGGCAGCCGCGCATACCCGGCGAAAAAAACCGCACCATCAACTAGAAATATAAATACCCCTTCTTCTCCCCCACGGTGGCAGATTTCTTCAACCAGTCAACTTTCACCCAGTCAGCTTTGCATTCTTTCACCATGGCGCTAGAAACTCCTGCACCCGTCTCGGACATGTCGAGTCTCAAACCCAAAAACGATGTCCTTGTGCAAAATAACACCGACGATGATTCTACTGTTTCGCTGGCGAAAAACAGCCAGCACAGCCAGGACGGGGACGGAAAGCCGTCGCGTCTTGTCGTCACGCTCACCTTGGCCTCGTCCATTTCCGGCTTCATGTTCGGTTACGACACCGGCTACATTTCCAGTGCCTTGGTCCAGGTGGGCACAGATTTGCTGAACAAGATCCTCACGTCGGGAGACAAGTCTTTGATCACGTCGGCAACGTCGCTCGGCGCGCTTCTCGGCGCGATTGTCGGCGGCGTGGCTGCAAACTTGGTTGGCCGGAAGCGGGTTCTTTTGGCTTCCAACGTTGTGTTCATTTTGGGCACCATCATCCAGCTCGCGGCGAAAACCGTGTGGACCATGATTGTCGGCCGGTTTGTGCTTGGCTGGGGTGTTGGCGCCGCGTCGCTCATTGCGCCGCTCATGTTGAGTGAGTTGGCTCCGTCCAAGTACAGAGGCCGTCTCATTGTGACAAACTGTATTTTCATCACTGGTGGTCAGTTGGTGGCCTACTTTATCAACTGGGGCTTGACCAATGTCAGCCACGGCTGGCGTGTCTCTGTCGGCTTGTGCATGGTGCCCAGTGTGCTCCAGGCGCTGTTGTTTTTCTTTTTGCCCGACACACCACGGTACTATGTGATCAAAGGTGATCACAAGAGGGCCAAGAGCGTTCTTTTGCGCGTGGAGAACATTTCGGACGAGCAGGCCGAGGCCGAGGTCCACGATATGATATTGTCGAACTCGACAGTGCCCGGAACACCATTGCAACAGATCTGGAAGTCCATCAAGCTCTGCCACACACACGCAGCAAACTTCAGAGCGTTGATTTTGGCCTGTGGCTTGCAAGGCATCCAGCAGTTCACCGGTTTCAACTCGTTGATGTACTTTTCCGCCACGATTTTCGAAACCATCGGCTTCAAGAACGCCACGGCCGTTTCCATCATTGTCGCCGCCACCAACTTTGTTTTCACTCTCGTTGCATTGTGCATCATTGACAAGATCGGCCGCCGCCGCATTTTGTTGTGGGCCATTCCTGGCATGTGCATTTCCTTGGTCGTCTGTGCCATTGCGTTCCATTACTTGGGAGTCAAGTTCGGCAGCGGAAGCAAGGTCATTGTGAAAACCCAGGGCATTTCGGGCTGGGGAATCGTGGTGATCATCGGAATGGTGATGTTTGTCGCCTGCTACGCCGTTGGTATTGGTAACAGTGCCTGGACCGGAGTCGAGTTGTTTTCGGACGTCAACGTCCGTTCCGTCGGCGGCATGTATGCTGCAGCGACAAACTGGAGTGGCTCTTTGGTGATCTCCTCTACGTTTTTGACCATGTTGCAGAACATCACGCCCACAGGAACATTTGCCTTCTTTGCTTGCTTGTGTTTTGTGTCGTTTTTGTTCATCTACTTCCTTTTCCCCGAAGTGGCCGGCTTGGAGTTGGAGGAAACCTCCGCCATGCTCGAAAACGGCTTCAACGTCAAGAAAGCCTCCGAGTTATCTCGCGAACGCAAGAGAATCTCGCGTTACGTCAACGAAAACTCGGCATGATAGTATATTCCCTCTTGCATCGCTTAACTTGCTTTTAATTCTTCCTCATCTTTACCGTTGCTGCGATGTTGGACCGTCCCAAGTGTGCTTTCGTTTCATGCTAGTTCATTGCACGAACACTCGTTACCTTCTCTCATCCCTTCAATTAGACAACTAATGCAAATCATAATTAGATCGACTTACGTAGATACTTCTGCTTTTATGAACTATGGATGCATCCATGTAAAGCACTTTTGCTTAGTGGGTATATCAGTTCATAATCAAAGTGTTCTAACACTTCTAATCTAAGTGTACTCTTATGTCCATTAAGACCACAAGATAATCGATTAGGTTTTAGTCTTTTAGTCCTTGTCTGTTATCTATCGTTTGGTGCGTAATACTTTATCACGATTCCATTAAAGTTAATCAGCATCTAGTAAATACTTGAGGTATTGGCCCGATGATTTGCATTTGTTCCAATAGGTTTGGTCCATAAATACATGCATGTTTTTTTCTATGGTAGAGAAATTCCAACAAAGCGAAATGGAGCCAAATCACAATCACCTCCGCCTAGTCCAAAATGGTCTGAATTCGTAAAAACTTGCCATGTCCCGAAGCAGAGAAACAATATAACATTAGGAAACTGATTATTCAGTCTATGGTAAAATCATCAGCTTTTACCTCATTAGGGATGGCTTAAGACGAATAAAAGTGCTAGACCGCTTTTCCCTGATACCTATGCTTGTGGAGGCTTAAAATTGACACCAGGCCCCTAAAAAAAGCAGACCTTCGGGAAAGATATGTCAAATTACAGAAGTCAGAGAGATACGCATGCGTAACTTCCATCTACTTCAAATGACAGAACAGCATACGTATACGCCGTCTCTCATATTCACTTAGTGACAGCTTTTCATTGTGAACTCCACAATCTTTCAGCCCCATTAGTGTTATTAACTTTGCATACAAAAAAGCCAACCGTCTAACTCAAATAATCAAATTCCAATTGTCAACCATCTTGTACCTTGGCCTGGAGTAGTCGTGTGCGCACCACCACATCAACGACTAAGAACCATCTTTCTCAGCTTAGAAAGCCATGGCCGACGGAGCAAACAACGACAATGGGGACGACATTCGCAGCAAAAGCGACATTTCGTCCCCTCTCCACACCCACAGAGCCCCGCGAAAACTCCAGTCGCTTTCCCGCTTCGCTGACATGGACACTTTGGCCCGCTACGAAATCGTGTGCAAAATCGGCCAGGGAACGTTTGGCGTGGTGCAGAAGGCCCGTGACACGCGCACAGGCCGCACAGTGGCGCTCAAGCAGCTCATCAACCATCTGGCCAAGGAGGGCTTTCCGATCACGGCGCTTCGGGAAATCACCATCTTGAAGAAGTTGGCGCACAAAAACGTCTTGCCCATCGCGGGCATGGTGTACGAGGCATCGCGGGACGGCGAGCCCGTCACGCTGAGAGGATGTTTCTACACCGTGTCGCCGTACATGGTGCTAGATTTGGTTGGGCTTTTGGAAAACCCCAAGACGCACGTGACGGTGCCCATAGCCAAGAGCATAGTCAAGCAGCTCTTGGCCGGCGTGGCGTATGTGCACGGCCAGAAGTACTTGCATCGAGACATCAAGGCGGCGAACATTCTCATTGCGCCCGACGGCGTGGTGAAAATCGCCGATTTCGGCTTGGCCCGGCCCTATCATGGACAAACGCCAGTGAAAAACGGCCCCCCGGGCGGAGGCGAAAGAGCATACACCGCTTTGGTGGTGACGCGGTGGTACCGGCCGCCCGAGCTTCTTTTGGGCGAGCGCCGATATACGACCGCAGTGGATATGTGGGGGGTGGGATGTGTTTTCGCAGAGCTTTTCACGGGGAAGCCCATTTTGGTGGGCAAAAGCGACTCCCACCAGGCGCAGATCATATTCGACTTGGTGGGCCCGCCGCTGCGAGAGATATGGCCGGGCGCAGCGCAACTCCCAAACAAGCTGGATTTGAACATCGGCCTCACCTGCCGCAGAACGCTTGAGGCTCGGTTTGGCCCGCTTTTGGGCGACCTCGGCACAGATCTCTTGGCGCATATGCTCACCTTGGACCCGGCCAAACGATGGAACGCCGTCGATGCGCTTGAACACGAATATTTCGAGGCTGAGCCTCGGGCGTTATTGCCGCACGAGCTTCCGCGGTTCGAAGAGAGCCATGAGATTGACAAGGAGAGATTCAAGCGGCGGGAGCCGGAGTCTCGCATGGAGGAGGCCCCAGAATACAAGGGACAGAAAACAGACATGAAGGGACACAAGACCGAAACGAAGGGACAGATACCTGACACAGTAAAGGGACCAGGACAGCTGGTGCCAAAAGGGCCTGGACGCCCTGAAACAAAACGGCCACGGCTCAATTATTAGGCATCAGTACTAGATACATCCAGTTTAGAATGGGGGCATGTTTGCCTCGAAAGCTGATCAAGAAGAAGATCTAATGTAATGACAGCCGGTGACAAGATTTTCAAACATGGGCTGACGATTGATACGAACAGTGGCCTCCAGAATCTGGACAAAGCATCGAAGACACTTGTTGGGCTTAACATGAATGTCTTCATACTTCTATAGACAGCTTATCCAGAAGAACAGTTGATGTGCATTGTTAGGATCAATACACACAATGGCGTTATTTCACACATTCACGGCCCTGGCATGACATTGAGAAAAGTAGCTACGGCATTCTTTTCTTGAAGCTGGCCTACTCCAGCGATCGTCACTTTATCATATAGGATCATCAAATCAGTAATGCAAAGCTTAGAGGTGGCAAAGATCGTACATAACAGGAAAGTCACTACACTTTATGGAAGAAAATCCACAATTTGTAACAGCAGAGACTCAGCATGGATCCAAAAGGTTGTAATATTCTCAGCCAAGGGTTCTTAAGAGTTGAGAGGATTGAATTTATGTTGGTCTTGAAGGAAGTATGTGTAACTACTAGAGCTAAACTGAAAATATTAACTAAAGTGAATTGTGATCGGCCCTACATTCCATCATCAAGACAAATAAATGTCACAGACAAATGTGTTTGACAGTCCGAAATCTAATGCCGAAATGTATCAAGCAAAACATCTAAAAAGCCTAACGCCGATTTGGGAGCTATATAGTGCAATCTTGACATATTTTTTAGCACCAGAAAAATTGAGGATTAAAAAAAGCCTAGAATGATCCAAAGACATCTTTCACAAACTGTTCACAGTGAATTTCATGACCCAAAACTATTTATATCATGTACGACAATGTACTCCGTGCCAAGGCTATATTCATGATTCATAGTGGCAACGAGACGGCCGGAAATCAAAGTCGCGACCAGACATTTCTGCGATCCCCCGGTTTGCGCTATTCCGGCCCATGCACGGCTCCTGCCACATATGCACCCTCGGCGTACGGCCCGATTTCGATCTGTCATTATCAAAACTTTCCACACACGGCCACTTTTCTTTCTCCAGCCATGTCGTCCCTTGAAGATTTCTTTTCCGTGCAAGTGTTTTTCATCGTTTTGCGCGAGGCATTGGAACTGGCCATCATCATCTCTGTTCTCTTGGCCTTTGTCAACAAGAGCTTGCAGACAAATGAAACAGAACCACAATATCAAAGCACAGACAACAAGCAGCACACAGCACAAAAAGAGCTCCGAAATTTGAAGTGGCAAATCTGGATTGGCGGCCTCTGCGGCTTTCTTGCCTGTTTGGTTGTGGGGGCCTTCATTCTAGCTGTGTTTTATGCCCTCGGAAGTGATTTGTGGAGTACCACCGAACATTACTGGGAGGGAGTGTTTTCCATCCTTGCAAGCGTGATTATCTCGGCCATGGGCGTGAAAATGCTCCGAGTTAACCGCATGCAACAAAAGTGGAAGCAGAAGTTGGGCGATATTATTGACCAGTACAACTATTTGGATGTCGAAGCGTCCAAAACGTGGTCAGAAAGAAACGCCATGTTCATTCTCCCCTTCATTACGACATTGAGAGAAGGACTCGAAGCAATAGTGTTTGTGGGCGGCATTGGTGTCAACGAATCCACTTCGGTTTGGGCCATTCTAAATGCTACCCTTTTGGGCATCGCCATTGGGGCTATAGTGGGTATCATTATGTATCGGTCGGGGAAGACGCTTTCCATCCAGATGTTCATGATTGTGTCCTCTTGCTTTTTGTATTTGGTGGCTGCTGGTCTTTTCTCAAAAGGTGTGTGGAACTTTGAGCTCCAGCGTTTCATTGACCTTTGCGATGGCTTTGATGTGTCGGAAACTGGCCACGGACCAGGCTCTTACGACATTTCCAATAGTGTGTGGCATGTGAACTGTTGTAATGGCGAGTTGCCCGAAGATGGAGTCGGATGGATGCTTTTCACTGCTGTATTCGGATGGACAAACAGCGCCACCTACGGCAGTGTCATTGGCTATAACTGCTACTGGATTGCGGTTATTGCAATGTTTTCTGCTTTGCTCTACGAGGAAAAGCATGGCAAGTTGCCTGTGATTCCGGAATCTTGGCAAAGAAAAAGAATGGCCAAGCATCGGCAGATTCCGTTGCCTTCTTCTTCTCGGGAGAGCTCTGAGTCTGTTCATTCTACGACCCCACTTCAAACAAAAACCACGAGCTAAGATTCTTTCGAGTAGTCAAATGTGGATATTAGTGAATGTAATGGATTTCACTTCCGTTTGTAGCGGCACGAAATTGAATTCCCAACCACCACTGTAGCCTACGAGACGCCGTAATTCCTTGTATTGCAATACTCCAATCAACAGATACCTGCGACAGCATGGTTTGATGTACGACTCCGGTAATATCCTCTTATACTAAAAATACCATAGAAGACAGAGTCCAGCAGTCCAAATAGCCGCATTGTCCCCTTCATGGAGCACATCCATCTTCCATTCCTTCTTCCTGTAATCCGCTTCCTTCTTCCTGTAATCCAATTCTCCTTTCTTGTTTCTGCCCTCATTCATTCTTTCCAAACATCTCGTCCACCGACGCACCCAAGTACACCCGCAAAGTGTCTCGTGTCGCAGGTAAGATCCGGGCCTTCACCATGGGCTCCTCTCCCTCCTGAGAAAGCTTGTCGTAGGCCTGGAAACGATGGCATCCGCCAAAAGCAAAGTAGAAGCTTTTTCCCTGCTCTCGCACAAGAAAAACGTCCACTGGCGGAAGTTCTCCCGCCGTTATATTTTCAAGAGAGCATGTGGCAGACGCCGTTGGCGTTCCTTTCAACGTGGAGACCATAGCATCGATTTTCTGTTGGTCTAGAACCGGTGGGATCGGTCTTCTGATCTGGCTCAAGGGAACGTATTGCTCTTTCAAGTTGGAGGACTGGAGTGACATGTTTGTATGATCAGAAGTGAGTTAAAAAGAGAAGGATCTGTAGCCTTAAATATGGATTGTTCATCGTAGAGCTAGACCCATTGCTAATCAAGGTGCCTATATACAGGGGCTGATTTGTAATGTAAGGTCTGGCCCAAAAAAACAAAAACCACCAAAAAAAAAAACAAGTGGCTTTGACAGCATAAACAAGCATATTTTGAACTCTGTCACGATGAATTAGAGCCGTGGCCAAAAGATCGGGCCACTACATGCAGAATGGAAGGTTGTCTCTATTGTGGCGATTATCTAGATAATCAGCCGGTCATTCCGGACCCCTAAGCGAGATCCGAGGGTCCTGTCCTGTGTGGCGATTGCCGAGAATGGACTCCTGCATGCATCATGCATCTAAGTTCCTCCAGATGAAATAGATAACTTTTTTTCTCAGATCCCCAAGGTGTCGTACCTTGCTTCATCTTTGAATTGAAGAGATGTATCTACTATTGGCGTTTCTACCGTTGCCGGCTTTTGTCGTCTCCAAGAACCCCAATGTGCTGAGAATTTCCGCTGCGATCCTTTTCATCACAGTGTCTATTCTTCTTGCTCCCACCAAAACTTGGCAGGGTGCTCCGTTCAGTCGTTTTTCTGAGCTGGAAATTGCCTTTTACAGTTGCAGCGCCCATGTGTCCAATATCTCATTCTGCCAGAACAACGACATCCTGCCCCAATCCTGGTCCCACGAATACTGTGTTTGCACCAATGAAAACGCTTTTTCCACCATTGCTTATTGCTATGCTACAGGATACCCCCACGAGGAAACGTCGTTGATTTCAAGATGCAACAGTAAGTTTGGAACGAGCTGGGACCAGGCTTCGTTTGACCAGGCTCTCGCGTATTACAAACAAGAGGCGCAAATATCCAATTCTCAGACGTTGGATCATCCACTCCAGCACCCTTTGCGTCTTAGTGAAACGGAAATCATGGTCTATCGCCGCTCTTACGACCAGTTTCTTGGAAACTACAACCGTTCGGTCCAGTACGGCTTTTACCTTGTGTTGTTCTGGGCTCTGGTCTTCACTCTTGCTGCTGTGGGAAACTGGACGAAAATCCTCTATCCCAGGCTAGCACAGCTGTGGACGGGAAAGGCAGTTCTGATTTATCGAAGATATGTCTCGTTGCCGGCGACTGTAGGCCGCTGGAGAACTAACGAAAGACCCATCGGGGGCATTTTCGATCTACTTGTTCCCACCAGAGCTGAAACGCTCATTCTCCTTGCTTTTCTGGTGCTCACAGCACACTTTTCAATTGCAAAAATCTCCGCTGTCGATGGCGACCCTATATACCCGATGAAGAAACAGGCTTTGTTCCGGTATTACGGCGTTCGCCTGGGCATTTTGGCCAGCTACCTTGCTCCGCTCTCCATCCTTTTTGCTGGGCGCAATAACGTGCTCCAATGGTTCACAAGATGGGAATACTCGACGTTTGTGATGTTTCACAGGTGGATCTCTCGCATTCTCGTGCTTTTAATCTTGATTCACAGTTTTGCTTACGGGGCACTTCTATATCTCAAGAGAAGGCACGCTTTGGAAAATTACATATACTGGGGAATTGCAGGTACAGTTTCCGGAGTGGCAATTCTCGTTCAAGGCATGTTGGTGCTTCGAAGAAGATGGTACGAGGCGTTTTTGGCTCTCCACATTCTTCTAGCAGCTATTTTCATCGGCGGAGGATGCTTCCACGTGGCAAACTTGCGTTTTCTCAGCTACTACTATTGCACAGCTTGTCTTTGGATTTTGGACCGGGTCATACGGCTCCAGCGTATTTTCCTGTTTGGCTTTCCCGAAGCGAAAGTCCAGCTTTTTGAAGACTTGACACTCAAAGTCACTGTGCCCAAACCCAGTCTGTTCCGTTCTGAAGGGGGCGGTCATTGCTTTATTCATTTTCTTCGCTGGCCCAGCTTCTGGCAGTCCCATCCGTTCACGTATACAGAGATGGAGAACTCGATTGTCTTTTATGTGAAGGTGAAAGATGGTGTCACTACAAGCCTTCGCCGGTTTCTTGAAAAAAACCCAGATAAGTCGGCCCGAATGCGTATTGCAGTGGAAGGATCTTACGGAGAAGCTTCGCCTGCGTCGAAATATGATGCTAGGGTCTTTATCGCTGGAGGAAACGGAATTCCGGGGATTTATGCTGAACTGGTCGAAGCCGCACGGGAAAACAGAGTATCAGAGCCTGATTCCCCAAAGAAAGTTGTTTTGGTATGGGTTGTTCGTGAATATAGCTCACTTTTGTGGTTTTACAATGAGCTTCTGGCCCTTGAGCATTCGGGAATCGAAGTACGCATCTATGTGACTCGGCCTTCTCGCCAACTTCTCTCTCGGGCCGACGATAGACTGGCACTATTGCACAATACTTACACATACTACCACGCGACCGAAAACGATCCAATTGGCCACTTGAAACAGAATTTGCCTCATGTTTCTTTCTTCGAATGCAGACCGGACATTCACAAACTAGTGTCTGGCTTTGCTGAAGAAGTATCGGGCTCCATTGCTTTTGTTACTTGTGGTCATCCGATTATGGTGGATGATATACGACACGAAGTGGTGGAACAAATTGCGAAGAGAAAGAGTCGGATTGATTATTTCGAGCAGCTCCAAGTGTGGGCATGATGGAGATAATTTATGGTGAAGAAATGGGATTTGGGATAAGAATGAGAGAATATCAGAATATCAGAAGATCAGAGATGATCAGAATATCAGGAGATCAGAGATGATCACGAGATAGGATCTCAATTTGGGATAACAATGGAATCTAATGTATAGAATTGTAACGACATGAAATATTTCAAGTAGACGAACTCGTGTATTCTTCTTTCAGCTTACAAGAAGGTGAACCCAAGTTGGATAAGAAAAAATCTTCACCGCTCATGGTAACGGATATTGTATCGTACGAATTCACTCGCTAGAAAATTTACCAATTGCTTGTATTCGTAAATACGCAAGTAGAGACCTAAAACAATTTGTAACAGTGTATGGTGCCGTCTTCCAAGTTGGTACAGTAAATGGTATTAGCACAATTATTTCCTGATCAGACATCTTATTCAAAAGAGGGTCTTTGTTAGAGATTTAGTATTCTATGCATTGGCTGACCAATCTACGGATAGTATACCGAAAAGAACATAATCAAGATTAGAATCTATATTACTGAGCATAATTAAGCTGCTTCAATAATCACTCAACAAGCCTTTATGGCCAAGTTGGTAAGGCACCTCACTAGTAATGAGGAGATCGTCAGTTCGAATCTGGCTGAAGGCATTTCTTTTTGCATCGCGCCCATCGTAACTTATCAATCATCATATCGATAGATGCGGATATTTTTTGTTTTTGCCCAATTCCCATGAGCAACATCTCTCTACCCCCAAATCTTGCCACAGACTCGGCTCTGGTGCCAGTAGGAGAAGTCTCGGAAAAACAAGTCACCTCGGCCGATATTCTCAATGAAGCCAACCAGCTAAAACTGTCAACATACAAGAGACCAGAGCAGACCATCCAGGATCTCGAGGAGCTCCGATCGTACCAGCTTTCGAAAAGAAGAGAGTTCGAGCAGCAGCTCAACAAAAACCGCCTCAATTTCGGCCAGTGGATGCGCTATGCCAAGTGGGAAGTCGACCATAATCATGATTTCAAACGGGCCCGTTCCATCATGGAAAGGGCGCTCGAAGTGAATGTCCAGCATGTGCCTTTTTGGGTGCGCTACATCGAGTTGGAGCTTCTCCATCACAACGTGAACCATGCCCGAAACCTACTAGACCGTGCGGTCACGACTCTTCCCAAAGTTGACAAGCTATGGTTTATGTATGTCCAAACGGAAGAGGCGTTGGGCAATTTCAGAGGCACCCGTTCTGTTTTCGAGCGCTGGCTCACATGGAGGCCTCCCAAAGTGGCCTGGACTGCCTATGTGGAGTTTGAGCAGCGGTACGAAGAATGGGCTAATGCTCGAAACATATATCTCCGCTATGTGTCGCTTTTTCCAGGCGACGCTGACATGTGGCTTGACTGGCTTGTCTTTGAAACGACCCAGCCGCCCCTCGATGATGTCCAGATAGCTCGCATTCGGGGCATTTTCGAGTGTGCAATGGATACGCTTATAGCGCAAGAAGATTTCAAAGAAAAGACCACCGTTGCGTCTCTAGTGGCTCGTTGGTGTCTGTGGGAAGCATCCATGCGGGAATTTGCACGCGCCAGAGCCATTTATACGACGCTTTTGGAGAAGGACTATCTTTCCAAAACACAGAAAGCCGAGGTTTTCCAGAGTTTCTCCGAATTCGAAAAGAAATATGGCACGTCGGCCAGCACAAGCGAAACTTTGCTTCTAAAAAGAAAGCTCCAGTACGAACAAAATGTTGATGTAAATCCGAAGGATTACGAGTCGTGGTGGGAATTGGCGAAGCTTGAACAGGATCCAGTGAGAGCCAACTCGATTCTTGAAAACGCTGTGCAAACCTCTCCAGACGCAGTCTCAAAGCTGATTGTATGGAGACGCTATGTTTTTCTCTGGATTAAGTTGGCTCTTTCACTTGAATTCGATTGCAAAAACCTCGACAAAGCTCGAGAAACTTGGAAAAAAGCTCTCGACACGGTTCCTCACACCAAATTTTCTTTTGCCAAGCTCTGGATCCACTATGCGGAGTTTGAGCTTCGCCATCGTGGGTTGAGCGCAGCAAGAAAAGTCTTGGGCAGGGCCATTGGCCAGACGAGCCAGAAATCTCCCAAACGCAAAATCTTCCGCTACTATATTGCGCTCGAGCAAAAATTGGCCGAATGGGACCGTGTTCGCAAGCTCTACGAGAAGTGGCTTGAGCTGGCATTAATAGCGGACTATAATCAGAAAACCACTTTGGCGTTGCCTGTATTAGAAGAATATGTGGCTTTTGAGCAACGCATGGGCGAATCTGAGCGGTGTGTGGCTCTTTATGATATGGCGATGTCGATCACTACGTCGCCGGAACTGGAACTAAGCTTCTTGCCTTTCCAAGACCTCTTGTCTGTCTACATTGACTATCTCAAAGAAGAGTTCATGTATGACAAGGCGAGACAGGTTTACCGGGAAGTATTGGACACCAAGCCAAGTGTCGAGGTCTGGATTGCTTTTGCGATTTTCGAGTCTTCTATTCTCTCCCCGCTGCAAATGGACCAGCTTGAGCAGATAGAAGAAGATACACATTTTGCTATTGGCGAATATCAACTCAGTCAAACACGCAAGGTGTTTGGCGAGGCCTATAATAAGTACAAGGCAACAGGAGACGGAGAAAATGCGCTTCAGTTACTTGAAGCATGGAAATCGTATGAAGAGATGCACGGAACTACACAAAGCTTAGCAGACGTGGAGAAGAAAACCCCGACACAAATCAGAAAACGGAGGCAGGTGGACAACGTGGAGGAAATCTACACGGAGTATGTTTTCCCCGAGATCAAGCCCAACATCAGCCAGTTTTTGGCCAACGCAAAGAAATGGGCCGAGTCGGAATGAAGTTTCAGGTTACCAAGCTACTAAGCCTAAAGCATGCATTAAGGGATAACCATTACCTGGATCAGACAATGCTCAGTCTTAGAATTCTGCCACTGGTTCGAAAGACTGTATCATCAAAAGTGTGGCCATAGAGCTACGGAAGATGCCAGCCTGTAATATATTAGACGTACATAATCATCAAGAGCAGCAATAATCAAGAGCAGCAATAAGAGCTCAATAATCAAGAGTAGCTCAACAATCATAGAGTAACCAGTCCTCCACAATAATCAGCCATCAAGACCATCCAGCATCACCAAGCAACACCTTCTACCACTCATCTATTATACACCGCCCCGCAAGGTCAAAACCAAATGCAAAGAAGCGCCGGGCTGGATTCCCAGCTCGGAAACGGTAGCGTCGTCGTTCAACTGAGACCCGTTGAAAATCAACCGTTGCTGGGCGGGAGGGATTCCTTCTTTTTCCTCCATCATCTCCTTGATACGCACGACCTTGTCGCCCGCCTCGATGTCGACAGGAATGTCTCTGCCTGTTAACGTTTTCACCTTGACTTGCATTGGGGTTTAAGGCGACACCTTTGCCTCTGCTTGGTTAAGGTGTCGCGCACGTGACCAACTCCATCCACCATCGATCCATCCTGTTCTTCAGACTGTAAGAACAAGACCACAGAGCTTCTTTTCCTTTTTCATGCTCCCGACTCCGGACCTTCCTCCTCTAGCGGAGACGGTGTACGAGCCAGCGGAAGACTCGTTTCTTTTTCTCGACTGTTTCGAAGAGCTCCGGCCCTCTCGAGCTTTCCCGATTGTATGTGAGATTGGCGCCGGCTCGGGCGTTGTTTCGACTTTCCTCAAGGCCCATGTCTTTCCTGATGGGACTTTTTTTGCCACAGACGTCAATCCGGCCGCCTGTCAAGCCGTGGCCGCCACAGCTCGCCTCAACAAGGCTGACATAGACCCATGCCAGATGTCGTTGACTTCGGCGCTTCGAAAGCGGACAGTGGACGTGTTGGTGTTCAATCCGCCGTACGTGCCGGCTGAAGACGTGCCGCTGCGTCCTGCTGCGTCCGAGGACCCGGTTTGGCTTGACTTGGCCTTGCTAGGTGGAACTGACGGCATGGTGGTGACACAGCAGGTTTTGGACTCTCTAGACGACATATTGGCCCCGGGAGGCGCTGCTTACATTCTCTTCTGCGCACGTAATCGGCCCGACGACGTCGCTCGGCAGATGAAAGAAAAGGGCTGGCAGGTCGAGGTGGTGGCCCACCGGACGGCAGGATGGGAAGTTCTCAGCATCTTGGAATTCAAGAGGGAGGGACTATAGATTTGACTATAGGAGAGATTTGACTATAGGAGAGGTTTGGCTATAGGAGAGATTGGGAGAGATCAATGGGAGATATTGGTGGAGAGATTAGTGGAGATTAGTGAGACATTAATGGGAGAGATTGGTGGAGAGATTGGTGGAGAGATTAGTGGAGATTAGTGAGAGACATTTATGGGAGTGATTTATGGGAGTGATTAATGGGGGAGATAAATGTGAGATAAATGTGAGATTATGCCTTGCGTTCATGGATATTATACATCACTCAAATCTAGTCAAAGACAAATGGCATTCAGGTATGATCGGACAGAATACGTTAATTTGCGTGCATTCAGATTTGGCTCTTCGTTTTTCAGACAGGCCTCGTTTCTTCAGAATCGTTACACGAGAAGAGACGTCACGTACCTGCCATGCTCTATTAGAACGAAGCATTCATTTAGGTTGACGGTTCTTGATTTCAGTATCGACTACAACCATATTAGCGGACTGGTGTTTTCGCTTAATGTGTACCAGAGTGATTTACTGCAATGTTAAACACTACACGGAACTGGAAAAAAAAAAAGAAGAAAAAGACAGCTGACAGTTGTAATATTTCATAGCTTCATGGCCACGCAGTATATATCAAAGTAGTGAGAATACTAGTCCCACTGTAAACTGTAAGACAAACACCGAGAATACAAATGCCTAGACACATCTAGAATAGCCTCTAAAAAGTGAACCGACCTACAAAACAAATGAATATATAAATAATAAAAATTCTTCTCCATTCTTTTTCAGCATTTCCACTTCTCACCATCTTGCCGGCACTGCATTTGCTCTTCGCATCACTATCAGTCTTTACACCGAAAGATTCAGCCGTTTCGAAACAATTGCCACTATTCCTTCTTTTTGAACCTTGCCGCCTGTCCAAGACGCCGAGTCGTGATACCAAAAGATTTCAGTCAGCTATCAAGAACCGTACTGCGGACTCATTGTTAACTAGCTGTCTATAACTTCATCTCTACACTTTGGGACTAGCAGATTCATTGAATCACATTTCCCTTTGATCACACTGTCTGAACGATCACATTTGTCTGATCCTTGTTTGAGCCTGACCACATTTGTGAGCCTTTGATCACATTTTTCTGATCACATTTGTCTGATCACATTTTTCTGATCACATTTTCTGAGCACATTTTTGCCCAAGTCTGAACAATGGACCGCCCAACACGATGGGCCGGCGCCCGACTGCGCTTTCTACCAGTGGGCTCCTCCAAACTCGACACCATCATCACTGGCCACTTGACCCAGGAACAGATCGACGCATACCAGCAGATTTTCCGCATCGAAGAGATCTCCGGGATTCTTCGCCGTGTGCGTCCCGGAACCTCTGTCGAAGCAACGCTTCCTTCGGCCAAAGTGCCAAATTTCCGCCGTGATCCTTCGCCGCCGCCGCAATATGACCATATGGGCAACAGAACAAACACGCGGCACGCTCGTCTTATGGCGTCGCTTGAAAAAGAAAGACACACGCTTGTGGAAAACGCCGTTCGGTCTGTTCGGCTCTACGACCCGCCAGTGGACTACAAGCGGCCCGGAAGAACCTCGGAAAAACTCTACATCCCCACGGGCGAACATCCAGATATCAACTTTGTGGGGCTTCTTCTCGGGCCCAGAGGCAACACCTTGCGGCAATTGCAAGAGGAAAGTGGTGCAAAGTTGGCCATCCGGGGAAAGGGCTCGGTCAAGGACGGCAAACTGAGCGATGCCCTGGCACTGGAACCGTTGCATGTTGTGATTTCGGCGGACTCGTCAGCAAAAATCGCCACGGCGCTCCGCTTGACCCAGCAGGTGATTGATAAGGCCATCCAGTCTCCCGAGGGCCAAAACGACTTGAAGCGGGACCAGCTTCGCGAGTTGGCGGTGCTTAACGGAACGCTCCGTGAAACACGGCCTTTCGTTCCTCCAGAACAGCCGAAACGTGATATCACCAGCATTGTTTGCCGAGTTTGCGGCGGTGTGGGCCACTTTTCTCGTGATTGCAAGGTTGCCCGAGAAAACAGGGGCAGAGATTCGTACACGCCGCTGCCGGCGCCCGAGCTTCCGCCTTGGAAACGCCAAAAGAGAGAACCAGAATCGCCGGGTCTGCTTCTGTCGCCGCAAACGCCTGTGGCCATTCCGCCTGGCATGGTTCCCGGTGTGGGGACGGCTCCAACGAATCCTCCGCCGGGATTTCCTCTGCAACCGTCTGGAAAGTCTACTTCTCCGCCTGGAACGTCTATTCCTCCACCGCCTGGATTTTCTCTCCCGCCTCCACCTGGAACGTCTTTCCCTCCGCCGCCTGGAAACCTTCCTCCGCCGCCTGGAAATCTTCCTCCTCCACCGGGCTCTTTTCCTCCACCGGGCTCATTTCCTCCTCCGCCGGCTTCTTTCCCTCCTCCGCCTGGAACGTCCGTTCCTCCTCCGCCTACGGTTTCTGTTCCACCTCCACCTAAACCGGATCTTTCCAAGAGTCCACCTCCTCCACCCCAACCGCAGGCTCCTCCACCAAAGACGCAGGCTCCTCCACCGCCCGAATAAAAAATACAAATCAACCTTCTTTTGTCACAAAGCGCATTTATTGATTATGACCACCTGGCCCGGAACTTTCGACGGAACCGGCCCTTGACACGAAAAACATTTTTGAATTTCCCTCTGTAAGACACTTTAATCTTGCGGATCCTGAATCCTCCAAACTTGAAGCGGAAACGCATGTTTGTGACTTTCGCACCTGGGTCCTATTTATCGTGGTGATTTAACATGTCTATGGATAGATTTACAAAATTAAATTAAGTCATCTTCCAGAGGCTGCTCAAAAGGATAAAAGCTAACTGGTTTCCTTGACACTTGCTGTTGGCAAACTTTGCCTATAGTGAATAATGAACATCTTCATGCTAGTATGCCTAGTGATGTAACTGGATTAGCGAATCTCAAAACAAGGTACAATTTGCTTATTAACTTCGGCTTTGCCTACTCCGTGACTGTAGATTGGTTGATAGCTTGGCAGATTGCCTCATCGAATCTTACACCGCTTTATTGTGAACGATCGGCGATGTTTAGACTTATTGTCTGTGTTTAAAAGGAACCAAGCCCTCCTACGGATATGAAGAACAAGACTTTAAATTAGGTATATTGGCACCACATAAATACCACTTCATCACTTCAATCAATGTAGAATATTCCGTCATCCAGTACAGTCTCCATACTTTAATCCAGACCAATCCACCACATTTCTTCAAGTGAGTCCGATTGATTTGAAAAAATAAGAAAATAAAAAGCACCATAATTAAAGAAGGAAAGTCACTTTACAAAGCGAAAAATGACTTTCTGTGGATCGGCTTCTTCTGACTTGAAGATCACATCTTATGAAAAGAAAATTATCCTACTATTGCCTAGTTCTCGGTGGTTAACTTTTGGCACTAATTATAGGTTTTATAGACAATTCGTCTTGCTGGTGGATTAGTTTAAAATATATCTGTTGAAAGGTTTGATTAAAACTGCACCTTTCTTTATGTGCTTATCGCACTGTTTAAGATAATGCGCATACGATAAGATAACTAATGACTCAGGTTTTTCTTTCCGGTGCCAATGGGTTTATCGGAGCCCAGATAGCAAAACATCTTGTTGAAAAAGGATATGATGTGATTGGAAGTGTTCGATCAACAGAAAAAGGCGAAAAGTTGAAGAAACAATTGGGGCTGGCATTTACATATGAGGTGGTTCCTTCTTTTTTAGAGGAGGGGGCTTTTGACACGGCTTTGAAAAAGCATCCAGAGGTGACTGCGTTTTTGCATTCGGCCTCTCCTGTTATTTTCCAGTCAGACGATCCTGAAAACGACGTGCTTTTGCCAGCAATCCAGGGAACATTAAACGCATTGAAATCAGCACACCAGTATGGGCCGAACATCCAAAAGTTCATTTACACGTCGTCCCTGGCGGCAATGTATGACTACAGAAAGAGGGTCAACGTCACCGAAAGTCTGTGGAACGACGTGACATATGAAGAAGCGAAGAAAAATTCTGGTTCTCTATACGGAGGCTCCAAGACTTTTGCTGAGAAAGTGGCCTGGGAATTCATTGACAAAGAGAAGCCTTCCTTTACTTTGACTACCGTTAACCCTGTCTATGTGTTTGGGCCTTTGGCTTTCGACGATGACGCTGTGGATTCCTTCACTTCTTCGTCGAGTTATTTGCCCAAAGTTCTCAAAACCAAAAAGAACGAGTCTGTGTTTGAAGCCAAGGGCACAGGCGTCGACGTGAGAGATGTGGTGGCACTACACATTGCTGCGGTAGAAAATGATCTTTCAGGAAAGAGATTGCTTGCTTCTTGTCAGTATTGGGATACGCAGATTATGTTGGAGTTTATCAAAAAAACCTATCCCGAACTCGGCAAGGACTTGCCTGAGGGAAGTCCAGGAAGCATCGAGGAGGGAAGAAACAGTGTTCTGACATTTGACAACTCCGAGACAACGAGGTTGGTGGGCATCAAATGGACTCCTCTAGACAAATCGTTCAAGGACGCCGTTGACCAGATTCTCAGAGCCAAAGAGGGAAGATAGAGAACGTGTTAAAGATCCTTGTGAGTTTTCGATATAGACTGGGTTTAGCTGGTTGGAAAGTTGATTTGTCGTCTTTTGATCTAATTGTGAATGTGCTACATTTCATGTCCTCTAACAACTAGTCTTATCTTGAAAACTTCTACGCAAGCCTAGAACCACTTTGTATAAGTATTAGATATTTGAATTTCCAGAAAAGTTACACCTCGTGAATGGAAAATTGCTTATTGAATCTGCTTTAAAGCCACGACTCTTTACAAGAGAGCGAGGACCTTTCAAATGCCAATCCCATCAAGAATTCAGCAGATTGAATTTGAACATTTCTGTTGTACATTCTGCCAAGTTACCCATAGGACATAATTAGGACTGTCTGCTCTGTTGCAGAGAATTGAGAGTGTTTGCAATGAAAATCCAAATTTTGGTTCTAAAAGCAAGATCCAAATCATACGTACAGCCTGTTGTACCTTCTTCCAATAGACCAAGCATTATGCAAAAGAAGATGCCACCTGTTGTGCCTTTGTTTTCGTTTCCCTAATTAGTTTCTCTTCATAGAGAAGAAAGTTACGGATTCTCGAGAGCGCAGGACCCATCTGGAGAAGTTCCAATGCCGGTTCTTCTCTTTCTTGTTCTTCTCTTTCTTGTTCTTCTCTTTCATGTTCTTCCGTGGTCAAGGATGCAACTTCTCGTGTGATTTCTTCCACCAGAGTACTTATACTTTTAGATGTGCCATCGACATTTACGCTTTGATTCATGTCGTTGAGCTCTTTGAACCATTCTCTCTCCGCCTTGGAAATGGGAAGATCTATTTTGAGTTTCAACTCTTCGAAGCGATCAACAATATTTTCTTGGATCCGATTTTGCTTCTGGGCTAGTTTCTGCTGCCGTCCAACCAACAATGACAATTTCCGCTCTGTACTGATTCTCTTTTCCTCATTCTGATACTTAGCCAAAGCTTGTTCTGCGTCTTTCACCTGTGCTCTTAAATCCTCAACCTGGAACTTTAATTTCATTTGAAGAGACAACATGAACTTAGTAAGAGCATTAATCTGTCCCGCTGCGTTTCTTGTAATGCCATGCACATCGCTCAAAGTGTCGATAGATTCCAAATTGAAATTTTTCAATTCGCCTATGCTCAGACTCTTGTCTAAGCGAAGACGCAACTCATCCGCAGGAACATATGAAGGGACTGGAGGCGTGGACAAGAATTCCTCTGGAGCTTCCTTTTTCGTAATTTTCACCTCATTGCTCACAATTTGTCGAACACAAACTTTGTCTTTTGGAGAACAGGAAATCACAAAACTGCCGCTATGGCCAATTGTATCTTCGCAAATAGCCACGGATGTGGTGTCTGGAGAAATATCAAATGTGTCATATGTTGGCTCAAACAGGCCTGCCAGCGAAAGAAACAAAGATGCAGTAGACTCGCCTAAACTTCCAACAAGAAGTGTTCCACCTGATGCTAAAAGGAGCTTTTCGCCCTCGCTGCTTATGATAGGATTTCCAGAAATCTTGGTGCTATCTGAAGCCATTTTCGTCAAGTTTCCAAAGTTATCTGAAAAGTGCTTTGAAAGCTTTACGTTGAGGTTGTAGATTTCTAGTTCTTCATGATACGCCTTCATAGCGGCCTCGAACGCTGAATTATCTTCATCATCCGAATCTGATTCAACCACATATCCAAAACCTCTCGCTGGTTTGACGTAACTCTCCTCTTTTGGCACGACCACTTTGCTTTGCGGCTCTGTAGGTTTGTGGAAATTATCTTGTATTTTCTTCATTCCCATTACCAACGGCTGGAATTGTCCATAGTACTCTATCTTAGAATTACCAGTAGCAGTGGAATGCACAGATGCAAGGAGGGAAACTTTGTCGTTCGAAGCCACTTGGACGATGGTTGCATTTTTACCTGTTTTTGCCACTGGTCCTTGAATTTCGTAGCCGAAAGAAGGCTCTGCGTAATCCAAAGTGACGTCGCCAGAGATTGCCAGCTCTTTACCCATAGAAACAGTCAAATTCTGTTGCAACGATTCAGCAAATGAAAGTTGGGAAGCCAAAGCCTCAACCCGAGGATTCTTGTTTATCACTATAGGTGGGAAAGAATCTGAAACAGAAGAAAGAGCTTCTTGCGTTTCTAAATAAAACTGGGAGATTTGCAGGGCAGAAGTGCGGAACAGCGAACCCTTGCATAGGAATGGGAAGATAGCATAGATTAGACCGCATGCTGTGTTGATATATAGCGTGATGGAACCCGAAAAAGAGTCTGCTGATCCAAATGCCATCGAAACTACGTTTTTCCCATCTAGGTCCGGAAAGGATGCAAGATCTAGGACCAATACCGGTGTGGAGAAAGAACACATGACGTCAAAAACAAGAATTTGACGACTCGTCAAGACAACGATTTCAGAATGTCTTGCTGCGGCAGGATGCCATTGAACACATTGGATTGGGTCCTTGAACTTTCCGAGATCGAACGAAAAGGGTTCTGCAAGAGCAGTGGAGTGGTCTGCGAAGGATATTTCGTTTGTGTCAACAACAGAAATGCTTTTTTCTCCCACAACAGTAAGGTATCTTTGAGAAGGACAGAGAAGTAGGTCTTTCACGTCTGTTTCAGGCCCGGCAAGCTTGATGATCTTGTAGAACTTTGTCTTGGGCGAAATTGGCGCTGCCTTCACCACATTGGCCATAGCCGTGAACACGACATTGTTCTTCTTCACTGCCACCAGCACTTTTTCACATTGAACGTAGTTTTCAAAAACCGAAAGACCCAGAACGTGGTTCTGGAAGTCAAAGGTCATATTTGCACCGGAAAATTTTGTTTTCGGATTTGGTAGCAGGGAGTTTGTGGAATTCAAGCTGAATGTGCCGTTTCCGTGCTTGGAAAATGCTGGACCAGGAGAAGGTGTTTGTTCTGGTTTATCTACTTTCATTCAAGAAGACTGAGAAACGGCTTTTCCTGCAGGCACAACTTTGCACCCAAGCGGCATCTACAACAAGAAGATATATATAACGAATCACAAAAGAACATTGGGGACATTTCAGGAAGCAATCTATTTCTTTAAGAAGCTATCTATTTCAGAAGATAATTTTCGGCCTTGCCTCTATGTGGTTTTCGCACTGACTACAGAAACAGCAGTAGTAGTGGCACCTGGACCAACCTCAGGCGGGAAGCTTGAAGAGCGGGAAGGCGGAGCAGGGACAGATACATTGGAGTCTTCCAATTCGGCTCCATTCTCTTGCGTTTCCACTTTTTTCAAAACCAGGCGGATTCGCCGGAGCATCGTGTGGTTTTCCTCGCCAGAGCTTGCTACCTTCGGGCCCGGGGCCACTGGGGCAGGAAGGGCCACGAAGTTTCCTGGAAGCAGAGGGCCATTGGCCTCTTCAGCCGGCGGAGCTTTTTTTTTGTGGAAAAACAGCATGAACTTATCTCTTTTCCTGATTCTTGTCTGCGGCGCCTCTCGAGGCCCGCCAACTATACGAAGCCCCTGCCTGTGCCACCACTGTAGCCAGACGTTTTTGAAGTTGGCAAATCCTTGTTTGTTCATTTTTTTTTTTACTGTAATTTTACGCCCGTAGCACAAGTAGAGATATCTTAGTCGCACAAACGCATCCACTTATATTAGTGCGGCTCATATTTTAGTGAGGTCCGTCTCCGATCGGAAAAAGTGCCCGGCGGTCCTGCTTTCGCTTTTAAATTCTGGCTGTGGAGAATTCGAGACGTCATTTTGGTGAATGTTTGAAGCACATCTTTCTGGTACTTGAGTCTGTTTTCAACTTCCGCTTCCAAAACCTTTTCGTTTTTAAGGCACTGGCTCAAGAGACTTCTGGTGCTAGACAAAAGAAACGCACAGAGAAGCGAAACGGTTCCTCTGTCTGCGGTGGTAAAGATTTTGATTTCTGAAAACTCGTAGTATGCCTGCGCAAATTCCTGGGTCGACTCGGGCTGGAATGCCAACGCAAGTGCCTCGAAATTGGACTTGATGAATTTTCTCAACAGCTCCACCACTATGCGATTGGACGTCTGGTACTTTTCCAACTCTTTCATCAACTCTTTTTCCGTGGATATGATGTGGTGGTATTTCTGCTTGTACATCTCGATTGAGCTCTGGGTATCTCTCAATTTTTCTGCGAGAGAGGTGTTTTTCTTCTTTTGGGCTTCAAGCTCTGCCTCCATCTTCAGACTCATTTCTTTTTGTTCTGCTTGGTTTTCTTTGAGCAAGATGTTTTCTTTTCTGACACTGTCAATCTCTTCATCTTTCTCTTTGAGGGCTTTGCACATTTTGAAATCCTTCTCTACCATGTCCTGTGCTCTATCATGCTGGGCCCGCAATTCTTTCTTGTATTGATCAAGTTTGGCATTTGCTTCGTTGACGTATTCAGCCTTCTGTTTCATTTGGACAAGCTCCACCTTTAATGACTCGATTTTTGCCACAAGCTCCTTGTTTTCGTTCTCCAAGGCCTTATCCTTAGACGCACGAAATGAATCTTCACTCATTTTCTCTGAGATATATGTCAGTTTCTTTTCCTCTGAGTTTTTTCCCTTCTGTATGGATTTCTCTAAAGCTTCATTCTTTTGCTTGAATTCCTCTAGTTGTCTTTCCTTCTGTGTGAGGTCTTCCTTGAGCTTGCGGTTTTCATTTTGAGCTTCTTTACTAGTGTGGAAAAGCTCTTTCAAATCATCAATATCGCTTTCCTTCTTTTCAAGCCTTTTTTTAAGCTCCACGTTTTCTTCTGTCACTTCTGCAATCTGGCCACTAAGCTCATTTACTTTTGTCTTCAACCCTTTCATGATGCGAATGGTGGAATTCATATTCGTTCCCGTATCATCCATGGCTGCTTTTATGTCTGCTTTCATCTGTTCTAAAGTGCAAACTGCCAAATCCATAGGGTCGAGTTGTACTATGCTACATGCTTGAGAGTAGATGGGGTAAAGTAGCTCAATGTGAGTCTGGTTTTCTTTGGCCTCTTCCTCGTTTTCTCCATACGAATCCAGAAAAGAGCTCTCTGTAGTTTCATCATTGCATGTTTTCGTTTGTGGTTCGGAAACAATGTCATCATTTTCAGACTCCGAGGGCATCTGTTCGTTTTCTGGAGAGAATATTGTTCCCAAGTTTGCCTGCACCTTTTGAATGGTTTCTTCACTTAGCTTCCCTTCTTCCGAAGCAGAAATCAGTGTGCTACTATCACTGCCATATAACTCAGTCTCCGATTCTTCAACTTTGGCACGATCGTGGATTTGGTCAGCAAATTGGACAGTTTTGCTGCGGGGAAGACAAAGAACTTGGTCTCGTTTGGTCAAAGTACGAAAAGAGAAGCTTTTGGACCTAGGAATTCTCGGTGTACTTGAAAGGGAATCGGATTTAGTGGCTTCTTTCCATGTGGGATCTTTCCATACTAGCGGTTTCCCGAAAAAATGCCGTTTCAACGGGATCTCAGGAATATCTGCCTTGGTAATTACCTCTGAAGAGCCTGTTTCAGAGGAAGTGCTTTCACATCTACGTTTTTCTGGTGTAAAAAGTTTCCGAAACATTTTGTGTTTGTGGTTTAGAACGAAGTCGCATATTGATTAACTCATGCATTAATGAAGAAAAGAATATTCCACATGGACAAAGCGCTTAACATAGTAGAAACTTTGAAAAGAATTACATCTGCAAACTGATTATTGTCTACTACCTTAGGGTAAGTTTTCGACACGCCTGAAGAAGAAGCATCTTCAAATGTAAGAATCAAAAAAAACCCAAAAGATGAATGTTTGAAAACAATATTCAGCCTTAAGTCTTGCCACTGGAGGAAACCATGATTGTCCTCTTAAAGAAATATCTATATGAACTTGAATCTTACTTTCATAGCCTGATCTCTGCATTTTTTAATATCAACATATTGATCCCATTATATAATATACCAGTCCACTCTCATCAACCTCGAAAGCAATTTTTCCGAGACATAATTCTCTTTATGGTCTCGCTTGAGAATATTTGCTAGACTTGCCTTATAAACCCATTTGTGGATGCTAAAGAATAAAGGCCAACTAGTCAAACCATAAATCAACTCACGGTCGTCACAACAAAAGAATGATTTTTTCACTTTTTCAAAATTATAGAGAGCTGAAGGTCATTGATGAATTTGAAAGTCTTTCGGTTATTGACCTGGTTTTACTTATAAGGCGCCAATTCCTTAATCTAAAATGTTTAAATAATTACAATTGATTTTTGTGCAAGATCCAGAATCTTCAATTAACTTGTTTCACAATACGAATAGACATGTAAAGGCTGGGCACGCGTTCGAATCACAACCGAGCCAGGAATTTCACATTTTCCTATGGATAACGGAAATCGAGAGGACGCTCTCGTAGCTTAACTATGGGGTGTACGGGTGTTTCGTCCTGGTGTTTGGGTTTTTGTAGAACAGGTGTACGGATGTTACACTTGGTGTATGGGTTTATTATCAGGATGTATGGGTTTCTTGTTGGATGTAAAGGTTTTTCCATGGTGCATGGGTGTTTTGTGGTGTACTGGTGTAATATTTGGAGGTACGGGTTCGCATTCTTTTTGTGTCATTCACCGACCCCAAAATTCTGGGGTACAAAGAGGATTTTCCCTTTTGAACTACTTGTTCTTTCTTAACGTATTTAATTTGCACTTTGCGTTGAATTCTAGTGTTAAAATGTGGGATATAGAGCAATGAGTATGAGTAAAAGAAACAGAAGTTTAAATTATAACTCTTTGCACACAGTGATTGTGGAACAAACACTAATGATTGAAAACCACAGTTCCTACCATTATTAAGAGTTATGGCTATGCAAGTTTCTCAAACTACGACTGTTTAGTTTTGCCAATGGAAACTATGTTTATCATCATCCACTAGATCTGGCCACAAACATGTTATTGTTGTCTTCATATGGCGAGCTAGAGTATTCTATCTTTGCTTTACCTGTTCATTGGAATACGGTCATTTCCTTCACGAAAGTAATTGAACTTGAAAGCATAGCATATCCACAGATAAAGGACAACTACTACTAACTACTAATTTTGTCTATCGTACTCACCATACAATATTTGAAACAGTTTATGGGCTGTCCCTTATTTTTCTGAGAAGCCTTACACCTCAATAACATTATTTACTTTTCACCATTATTCACTTTCATCATTATTCACTTTTCACCATTATTCACTTTTTCGTCTGAATGTTGAATCAGCAATTCTCCTTCGCATCTTCTTTCGCATCTTTCGCAACTATTCGCACCAACTTCTTCGCACTTTCGCACTCCACTCTTTAAAACTATCCATACTACTCCATGGGAAAACAATACATTTCTACCGTTTCGGCGGCCCTAGCGCATAAGCTGGATATTCTGGCAGTGGAAATCACCAACAAATACACCATTTCTGTCTCCTGCGACGGAGACGTGGCGTTCTGGGACAACAAGAAAGACGACGTTCACACGCCGCTGGAACATGTTGTGTACAAGCATATCGACAAAATCGGCATCCACCACGTGGCTGTGTACGAAACCGTGCCTGCTGGGCTGACGACGCGTGTCACAGTGCTTGCGTTTGCATGTTTCGACGGTGCTGTCCGCATCTTCTACTACACCAACGACGATTTGGACACGTTCACGCAGCTTGATCTCAGCGACTTCACGTCGCTCTGCTGGTGTCCAGCTTTTTACAAGGACCCGACTTCTGCCCAGGACTTCTTTGTGGTGACGAAGGCCGACGGCAGTGTGGCTGTGCATCCGTTGAATGTGCAAGAATCCGATGGAGCTGTGACAGTGGAAATACGCCCGTTGGCCGGCTCTCTCCATGCCAGCAACACCGCGACATCGTTTCCGAACACCTTGGCTGTGTCTCTGTGTGACAGCTTGTGCGCTGTCGGCTACATCTCCGGCGACGTCGTGGTTTATAACTTGACAAGCCAAAAGGCTCTCTTCACCTTCCATCTGACAGACCTCCAGCACAAGGGTAAAGGGTCGACTGCGATCCCCCGTGCGCTAGCGTTTTCGCCAGGTGGCACTCTTCTCGCCGTTTCTCGTGACAACCAGCTGGCAGGCTCCATTACTCTTTACGACGTCAAGTATGGTGAGAACGTGGGCTCTCTCACAGGTCCCAGCCATCTGTCCAAGGCGACGGTGGGAGGCTTTGCGCATGGAGGCTGGGTTACGGGACTCAGTTTCAATGGCGATGGCTCCTTGTTGGCTAGTTGCGGGTTCGACCGCTGCGTTCGAGTGTGGAACATAGAGCTGCGTGAGCGAGAAGCGACGGTGCAACTCAGCGTCTCGGACTTGGACTTTGAGCCCGAGGATAGCGACGACTCCGTGTGTTCTGGTGTGGCCTTCATCAAAAAGGGAGTACGTGGAGGAGCAGGAGGTGATGCAAATGAGGGCCTTTGTGTTGTGAGTTTCGACAGGGGAATCAGATGGTATCGTGAAGCAGGAGGCATATAAGGTGTAACAAAGAGCGTGGTATATTCCTTTGTTGGCTCTAGAACAGATAAATTTGAAGACTTCTTTTTTCTGGGTCGACGAATCCAGCTGGTACTTTCCTGTTTCTGTCTAATGGTACTTCTTGATCTTTAATTAGATTAACATGCTTGAGATGATGTCGTGTGGATCATCTAACAGATCGGCAAGCTTGTCTTATTCTAAGCTGCTCTATTTGACAGATTTTTTTCCAAAGTTGTGAACCATTTTCAGAATATGCTCTGACGTGCATGTCGATTGTCCAATCGTACGAATTATTCCCTCCGACACATAGAAATCCAAATACTAACTAAGTTTCCCTTGGGCCTTTTTGTAGTACTTCGCTCTTCCTCTTTTACATAGAATTAAACAGAAGTGACTAATAAAAATATGGCTCCGATTGAGACTAGTGGATTGGAATCTTGAGAAGAAATATCACGGAAACAATCTGGTCTATCGTGAAAGGTTTTTTTTTGTATTTGTTTGCAATGAACATTTATTTTCTGGCCATTGTTATCCGCTTTGAAGAAAACTGCGAATACATTCTTCAGCACAATTATTGGAGTATAAAAACCAATGTATCGGTAGAAGACACAAAAATACTTGAGATTTGTACGACTCCCAAAAGGCAAAGAATACTAAAATAAGGCAAAGCTGCCTAAGAAAAACTACTTCAACCATTGGTTACTCACGGATATTCAAATCAGAATGCCTTCCAAATGACACAGTCGATGATTGATAAGAAGTATAATAGAAATCGGCACAGCCAACGAACAATCTAATCCAGGAAAGATTCAGGATCTGATAATTCTGATGTTAGAAAAGAGGTGAAACATTCGGCCTGTGGCTGGCAAGTATACGAGCATCCACCCCATTATCAAAAACATAAAAAAAAAACATAAAAAAACATAAAAAAAGACATTTGGCCTTTTCCGACTCCTCCTCTACTTCTAAAGCCATCTTCGCTAATTTCGATAGAAAGCTTGACTCGATTCCATAAGTGGTCAAAGAATCAAAGGCAAAGGCACTAATATAGAATCGCGCTTCCCCATATCTTTGGCATCGCATCTGCATCACGTGCCCGTATCTTCTTTGTTTACCTCCACATCTTCTTTTCTAAACATGATTGCCCGGTCGCCCGGACAGGTTCGAGACATTCTCGACCAGCTTTCTGCCGACGGAAGCCACGCCACTCGAACGATTCTGGAACTTGCGGAAATCGCCTCGTCCGAAGGCATTTCTCGCGACAACTTCAACTCACTACTCGATCTTGTTTTCGACCACACACTTGGCGCCACACAGCGGCTCAATTTGATTCGGTCATGTCTTGTGCCGAAACAGGACTTTTTGCTTGATCCCAGTTTGATAAACCGCATTGTCAGCGCGGTCGGCACGCCAGAAATATACTACAAAAACGGAAAACAACACAAGCTGAAGCGTTTACCCATAGCAAGCCAGCAGGCACTTCTCGAGTGGTTGATATGTGCATTGCATCTATTTGGAACGGCGGTGTTCCGCCGTTTACAATTGCGCCGCTCGCTCCCTCTTTTGTTCGGTCTCTTGCTGTACGAGTTTCTGAGACCGTATCTTTCTGTTTTGATCGTTGTGGCTGTCCACGAGACTGAGCCCTTTGTTGGGAGCAAGCACAGCCCGATCCGTCTGTGGCATGTGCACCTTGTGGCTGATTTGGCCGACAAGTTTCCCTTTGACTCGTCACTTCAGATGCTCCTAGCCTTTTTCCGCAAGCATATTCCAGGTTTAGATTATGCCACGCTTTTCAAAGACCGGCAACTCGTCAGACTCGAGCAGAACTTCGATATGCTAAACTACCCGAACCCTGACATCAGGCGGTTGCTTGAGTGGAAACCAGACGAGGACAATCTTGTATCGGCCCAAATGAAACAGGTCGAACTACACTTGAAACGGGTCTTTGCCCGTTTTGAGCAGCAATCAGCGAAAAAGAAGAAAGTTGGGCTGGAGCCTGACAACTTCGACGCTCTCGAGTGGTCATCCTCTTCTGTTTCAATCGCCACTGTCGATTCTCTTCGCAGTTTGGTTTCTAATTTCGAAAACATCACAATGTCCAATATCACATCTGTTTTGAGTGTCTCTTCTCTCCCTAACGAGCACTTGCGATGCATGTTTTTGGCTCTACTGTTAATAGACCAAGAAAGCGACAATCACAGAATCAAAAAGCTCGAATATGCCATCAAGTACCATGTGTTGAGCGACAAGCCGCAAAAATCACATTTGGCGCTATCACAACTCGCCAATTTTTCTCACTATGGGGGTCTCAAATCACTACTGGCACCTCTTTTGGAGTACTCAAGTCACATAGCGCAATCTCCCAACGAATATGTTGTTTCAGTTCAAATCCAACTTCTTGAACTTCTTCCGCCTACAAAAAACATAATCGACGCTTTCAGCAGTACAATTACTAACCTTGATGCTGTGCAAGAAAGCGTCAGTAAATCCAAGGCTTCTCTATTGGCAAGACAGTTTTTCATCAAACTTGCCCGCTGCATTTTCAAATGGAATGTACTTTATAGCACACTGGACTTGTGTTCGGAATTTCCCGTCATGGTGGTCGATATCCTCTCGCAAGTTTTTGCATTCGTTCAAAAAAGATGGATGCTGTTTCAGCTTGGGGCCCAGTTTGCTTTTCTAGATATTTTTACTGCACTCAAATCTGTTGATGCTGAGGACATCAGAACATGGCAGAAAGCTAGTGCTCTCATACCTCCTCCGGTATTAATGTATCAACTTCTTGTCTCAACAAACCCTTACGTGTTGTCTGAATCTCTTGGCTACCTAGCTTTCTTAAAGAAAGTTACATTCGAAGATGAATCTGCCTTACAGCTCCGAAACTCCTATGTTGTCGATGCAATCAATTTTCTCTGGAAAGAAGCAGCCTTTAATAAAGAAGCCGAAACGTTGAACTGGGGGATGATGCTTGACAGCGGCTTTATCGAAAAGATCAGTGCCCACAACTACTTTGGTTACTCGGACCAAATTCGACTTCGCACCGTTGGTGGCTTGGTGCAAAACCCTAGTTTGGCTTACATGTGCGCAGAGCTAGTTTGGATGCTAGAAGATCAACAACAGGATATCAACATCCGGCACCCGGGCCCCTTGGCCGAAGAAACAGTGAAACAGCTTCATCAAGACGAAGAAGTCACGTGGCTTCCACTCAGTTATCATGATATTCGAGTGACGCTTCTCAACAATCTTGACCGGCGCGGATTCCACGGCATGTGCGATTTACTTTTCTCGCTGTTGAAGCTGTTGGCGGGGCGGAGAGGACGCTAAACGAAAGAAAAAAAATGGATAAGTTTTGACAAGGAAAATCGACTCACCTTGGATTCAGCCATTACATGCAGGAAACACCAAACTTGGTCAAGTGCGATTTATTCAGTTCGAGATCAACATCAACGGCTCCGATGCTTTGCCGAGCTAAAACCCCTCGGAATTTCCTGGAACTTCGGATTGCGGGCGCCAGATCATTTTTCCGCTCAGCAATTGCGTTGCAGCTGTCCTCGGAAACCCTTCCCCTCAATGAGCTTGACAAGAAATGGGCCTCTCGATGGAGAAGCGTTTCGCCCAACAACGCACTCCACCCTTCCAAACATGTCGTAGATCCTAAAGCAGAGCCCTTTTTCTGTCTCACAATGTTCCCGTATCCGTCTGGAAACCTTCATTTGGGCCACCAGCGAGTGTTTACAATCAGCGATGTCTTAGCACGGTTCAAACGGTTGCAAGGTTTTGATGTGATCCACCCCATGGGCTGGGATGCTTTTGGCTTGCCTGCGGAAAACGCTGCAGTCGAGAGAGGCGTCAATCCGGCAACATGGACAAAACAGAACATTGCCAAGATGAAAGAGCAGATGCATGCCATGTTGGCAGACTTTGACTGGGAAAGAGAGGTCAATACGTGTTCGCCCGAGTACTACCGCTGGACGCAGAAAATCTTTACGTTGCTTTTCGAGCACGGCCTTGCTTACCGCATGGGAGCCGAAATCAACTGGGATCCTGTGGATCAGACAGTTTTGGCCAATGAGCAGGTTGACAGCGAGGGCAGATCATGGCGTTCGGGTGCCATTGTCGAGAAAAAAGTTTTGGAGCAGTGGTTCATTGGCATCACAAAGTACGCGGAGCAGTTGCAGGACGACTTACAAATCCTCGACCAGTGGCCCCACAAAGTCAAGGCTATGCAGAAAAACTGGATTGGAAAAAGTCCCGGTGCTGATATTGTGTTTCCAACAAGCTCCGGGGACAAATTGACGGTGTTCACCTCGCGGCCTGACACTTTATTCAGCGTGCAATTCGTGGCCCTTGCACTCAACCATCCTTTAGTGCAGAAGGCCGCCGAAAAGGACGAAAAATTGGCCTCTTTCATTGCTGCAATGACTGAAATTGATGATCCGGCCTCGAAAGAAGGCTACAAACTAGACATTTCTGTGTCGATCCCAATATCCGTGGATGGCAAGAAGAGAGAAGTTTTCGATGTGCCTGTTTATGTGGCACCATACGTTTTGGGCACTTATGGCCATGGTGCCGTTATGGGCTGCCCTGCTCACGATGAAAGAGATGCTGAGTTTTGGAAGTTGCACAATCCAGGAGTTCCTGCTCGTCAAACAATTGGTGATTTGGACACAGACAAAGCTTCAACCCAAACCTCTCTTTTCACACTGAAAGAGGGCAAATTGTACGATTCGCAGATTCTTCCGAACGGTCTTGAATCGTTGGGAGTATTTTCAGGCTTGACCTGCAAAGACGCAGCCGAAAAAGTTGTTTCCATTTTGGAAACCTACAATAGCGGTCGCAAAACCATTCAATTCAAGATTAGAGATTGGTTGATCAGCAGACAGAGATACTGGGGTGCACCAATACCTATTATTCATTGCGACTCTTGTGGCCCAGTAGCTGTTCCAGATAAAGATTTGCCTGTTTTGCTTCCATCCGTGGGAGGGGAGCATTTTGGCAAAGGCAATCCTTTGGCCTCCATTGAATCTTTTGTGAACACCACTTGTCCCTCTTGTGGCAGTCCTGCGAAAAGAGAAACCGATACAATGGACACCTTCATTGATTCTTCGTGGTATTTCTTCAGATACACGGATCCGAAGAATGAGAATAAAATCTTTGATTTTGAGAAAGCATCTAAACACATGCCCGTGGACTTGTACTCTGGCGGAGTTGAGCATGCTATTTTACATTTGATGTACTCCAGATTCATCGCTAAATTTCTTGCAGACGTTGGATTGTGGGATGGTAAAGATCTTAAGAATGAACCCATCAAGAGATTAGTTACACAAGGTATGGTTCACGGCCTTACATTCACTGATCCTGAAACAGGTCGTTTCTTAAAACCTGAAGAGTTGGATCTCAGCTCCGGAAACCCTCTTATCAAAAATACGAATGTTACACCCAACGTCAGTTATGAGAAAATGTCAAAGTCGAAATACAACGGTGTGGATCCGGTGAGCTGTATCTCAAAATATGGAGCAGATGCTGTGAGAGCCCATACTTTGTTTTCCGCCCCTGTTTCGGACGTTTTGAATTGGAATGAAGAGCAGTTACAGGGAACGGAAAGGTGGCTTAAAAAAGTTCTCAAGTTGAAGGACGATGTTGTGGAAGTATACAAGCGTGGCCAAGACTCGAGCAAACAAAATGGCGAGGAGTTTTCCGACTTGGTTTTGAACGACATGCATTATGAATCTTTCAAACTCAACAAGAATGAATTGGCTTTGTACAACGAAATTCTGTCTTACACCCAAAAAATTAGCAAATCAGTGGAAGAACTCTCCTTGAACACTGTGATCTCCGATTACATGAAAATAACAAACACACTTCAACGTGTGCTTAAAGAGAAACAGCAAATTCATCCTGAAGTTCTCATGGACGCTTACAAAAAGCTCTTGGTCTTGATGGCTCCTGTTACACCTTCAGTGGCAGAAGAATGTTGGGAAGCACTTTGCATTGGTCTCGGCCAAGAATGGAAGTCGATTTTTTTCCAAAAGCTTCCTGTTGGTAAACCGATCGCAACTCTGCAAATCACTTTCAATGTGATGGTCAACGGTAAGCGCAGAGGTTCGTTTGAGAGCGATAAAAGTCTTTTGGAGGAGTCCGAGGAAGAAATTTTGAAACGTGTTTATGAGAACACTCCAGCCCAGAAATTTGTTGACAAGGACGTCAAGAAGCTCATTGCAAAGGAGGGCATAATCAGCATTATTACTTGTAAATAGACCATCAATACGATGCATAGAACTTGCTGAAATCACCATAAATGTTCTAGCTATTGAACGAAATAACGATTAAGTCATGTCTTTCTCTATAAACTATGTACATGCGGCCCTTAGTAGCCTCTTTCCATGACGTATTTTTTGTAATCCTTCCTCCTAATTTTCCCCTCGAAGTTGATTTGTGCTCTTTTCACCACACCTCGAATGGTTTTGGTTACCTTGTCATAACCAGCTTCAGCAGCTGCAGCATAGAGATGCAGCAATTCTTTCCAAGTCCATTTGAACTGGTATTCTGTACTCACCAAAATCGCTAGAGCATCATCTAGAAGCTTCATGTCAGTAAGGCAATTGACCATACCGCTTGCAAAGCTAAAGTCCAATTTTTCCTTCTCGGATTTTGGTAAATTTCTGAAGCCGGCAGACTTTCTGTATGTTCCTCTTTCAGTCCAGACTTTCTGTGCAAAAATGTAGTTTTTATGCTTGGCTGCAGCCTTCAACGCAATAAGATAGGTGATTGTGTTTCTGGGCATTTTGAAAGCCGACTTTTGGCTTTCTGTGACTTGGGCCAAAATGGGTGACTTGGTTGGACTGGGCTCCTTTGGTGCAAGAAGCACACTTGTCGATTCCAAGATTTCCGGCTCAATGACTGTTTTCGTTTCTGTCACTCCTGTCTTGTCCAAGAATGTAAACTCTTCATAACGGTCGATGAAATCGTCTAGAGAGCCCATTCGGGCCGCAACATTGAGAAACGTCGTGACACTTTCCACATTCACAAACTCTCTGTTTACCATGAGAGCATGGGCCATGACAGCACTGGATTCAGCCAAAACTTCCTGTGGTGTAGAGAGCGAAATTTTAGGAAGATACGGAACCGCCTGTTTTGGATTCTCGGTGGTGGGAGTGAGATCCACCTTTTCAAGAATATTGCGCCGGAAGTTTCTTCCCTCCTCGTGCACCGTAATGGCAAAAGGCTGGAACTCTTCGATCAGCTTGCCAACATTGCTTCGAGCGTAGGCAAGGAAAAGAAACGAAAATGCCCGGGGCGACAAGGCGTTGGAGATGTTGAGCTGCTGGTAAAGAGCTCTGGCCAACGCCAAATCACCGTCCTTCGAGGCCAAGTAGAGCATATACTCAAGGGTGTTTGCCGTGGGTTCCCAGCCACAGCGGTAGATTTCGAAAATGAAGTCCCACGCCTTGAAACGGAGCTGTTCTCGAGACATACATCCGCGGGCCAACGCCACCATGATATTCTGGTTGAAGTCGAGTTTCTGGTCCAACATCTCCTGGTAGAGATCCAACGCCTTCTCGATGTCGTCGTTGTTGACATACGAAACGATAATGTCCTGGTACTCGCGAGTTTGCGGCGCCATCGACCCTGCGAGAAACTTCATCAGGTCGAACAACTTGACCGCTTGCTGGTGGTCTCTGGTTTTGTACACACACGTGGAGAGAACATTGGTGTACACAACGGGAGAGAGTTGGAGCCCGAGCTCCTTCATTTCCTGGATCACCTCGTTCATCTTCGCCACGTTGGTGTTTTTCCCGTATGCCTCGATGAGAAGCTCATAAGTGGCACGAGAAAGCTTGCCCAACTTGCCCTCTTTACCAGGTTCCTGGCGTAACTTCGCCACAATCCCCTCGATGTATGCAATCTGAGCATCGTTCAACGTCCTTCCAAGCATGAGACTCTTGATGTATGTGTTGAGCAACTTGGGAGACACGGCAAGGCCTGCTTGGCCCAAAAGCGACTCGATCTGGGGGAAAACGTGCCGAAGCTGGTCTTTAGGAATGGCGTAGACCATCTTGCGGATGTCTTTCTGAGGGAGACCGTCGAAGCCGCCTGCCGCTTCCAACTGCTGGAGAACGATGCTCCAGTTCTGGTGGTCTTTGGACACCAAGTACTTCACCGCAAGACCAAGGCGGTCTTGGATGGACTGGGGCAACGGCACGGCGGACGTGGATAATGACGCGGCCGAAGCGTCAAACGGGGCAATCTTGGCCGATCGAGGCGCCGCAAGACCAGCTGGCTCGGAGCCTTTTCCAAGCTCCGAAGGCAACGAAAGCTCTTGGATCTTCTGGGCCTCGAGCTCGCGGGCCTCGCGTGTCCGCACATACGACGCCACGCTGCGTGTGAGCTGCTTGAGCTCCTTCAATTTCTTGGCGTACTGCTGGTTTTTCTCGCGGGCCAAGCGCATTTCTTCTTGTTCTGCCCATTGCTGGAGCTTGTCTGATTTGCGCTTGGCGGCCTTTTTGCGCCTCTCGTGGCTCATGACGTAGATATTTCGGGAGCCGAGGATGTTGTAGGTGGGAAAAACAGGCCATAGCTGCTTTCGTAGGGCGGCTGGCGCTTTTTTGCCAATGAACATAGTAGTGTGGAGAAGTGATTTTTCACTTCGCGATGGAGTAGTGAAGAAAAACGATGAACAGAAGAAAATCAAAAGAGTAGTAGAAAGAAGAGAGGAAGTACAAGGAATCAAAGAAACGAACAGGAAAAACAATGAAGAGACAGAAACGGCGTGAAAAATTACACAGCGTCTATGGATATCTGATGTAGATGTCTTGTGCAAAAAAGAAATGCGATTTCTGTGGATCGAACACAGGACCTTCAGATCTTCAGTCTGACGCTCTCCCAACTGAGCTAAAACCGCGTAGAACCCATGCCGGGACTCGAACCCGGAATCTTTTGATTAGAAGTCAAATGCGCTAACCATTACGCCACACAGGCGGTTCTGTCTGCTTAAAAATGGCGGTCAGCCAGGTTGGCTGTATGTAAAATAAAGACTGCAGATAACGAAAGTCAGACATTGGGTGTGCAGGTGGCACTACTTTTCTACTTCAGACATTTCCAACATAAGAACAATGATAGGTGGCAAATGACAGCAGCGAAGCAAAGCAGCACTTGCCCTCTGACTTGCGGAAACATAAACGTTTTCTTTTCTCCAGCACAGTTGCCCGGTTCTAGAACGTTCTCGGGCGTTCTGGGTGGGAAGACACGTGACCTGCACATCGTGGATATGACCCCAGTGTGACTAGTATATATTGTAGTCAGACCACGGAATATCCGGAGCCTTGATAATTTTGCTATTCGCATCACCCATGTTGAGAGCAAATCTTAGACCGAAAAATTTAGCTAGACTAGCGGAGTCTAGAACGCCTTTGGCTCTGTCTCTGGCTGCTAGAGCTTTAACAATTGGCGCTAGACCCACTTTATTCTCCACAAACGCCACGTCCTATGCCCCAGTACCCAGTTTAGTCAGTGCCACATTCCGCCAGTCAGCACCATTTGTGCCCAAAAGACTTTTCCACAGCTCTGGTCCGCGGCAGCTCCAGATGCAACAGAACAATGACGATAACGTTCCTGCTCTAGAAAAGTACGGCAGTGATCTCACACAAATGGCCCGCGACGGCAAGCTCGATCCTGTCATTGGAAGAGACGAGGAAATCAGAAGAACAATCCAGATTCTTTCGCGCAGAACGAAGAACAACCCGGTGCTTATAGGTAATGCGGGAACAGGTAAGACTGCGGTGATGGAAGGGCTTGCGCAGCGGATCATCAAGGGCGAGGTGCCCGAGTCGATGAAGAACAAGCTGATTATCACGTTGGACTTGGCTGGAATCATATCGGGCGCCAAGTTCCGCGGTGATTTCGAAGAGAAGTTGAAGAAGATCTTGAAAGAGGTTGAGGACAAGAAGGGCCTGGTCATTTTGTTTGTTGATGAGTTGCACTTGCTTATGGGCCTTGGAAAAGCCGAAGGGTCCATTGACGCATCAAATTTGCTTAAGCCTGCTTTGGCCAGGGGAAAACTTTCCTTGTGTGGTGCTACTACCATCGAAGAATACAGAAAGTACGTTGAGAAAGATGCTGCGTTGGCCAGAAGATTCTCTTCTGTTTTGGTGAGCGAGCCTTCTGTCCAAGACACCATCTCCATCTTAAGAGGCTTGAAAGAACGGTATGAAGTGCACCATGGTGTGAGAATTGCAGATGGTGCTTTGGTCACAGCTGCTCTTTACTCGAATCGGTACATCACCGACCGTTTTCTTCCTGACAAGGCCATTGACTTGGTCGATGAAGCCTGTTCCACATTGAGATTGCAACATGAGTCGAAGCCTGATGCAATTGCGCAGTTGGACAGACAAATCATGACAATTGAGATTGAGTTGGAGTCGCTTAGAAAAGAAGAAGACTCCTTGTCCGTGGACCGACGCAAAAAGTTAGAAGAAGACTTGGCCGTGAAAAAGGCTGAGTTGAAGGAGTTCACCGAGCAATGGGAAAGCGAGAAACAGGCTATCGACAGCGTCAAGTCTGCCAAGGCGAACTTGGAACAGGCTCGTTTCGACTTGGAGCAGGCTCAACGTGAAGGAAATTACGCCAAAGCTTCCGAGTTGCAGTATGCCACGATTCCCAAGTTGGAGCGTGAGTTGCAACAGTTGACAGACTCAGAAGACGTCATCAAGAGCACTTCGCTTTTGCACGATTCTGTCACATCCGACGACATTGCGGCTGTGATTTCGAAAATGACAGGAATCCCTCTCAGCAGCTTGATGAAAGGCGAGAAGGATAAATTGTTGGACATGGAAGTTATTTTGAAGCAGCACGTGGTGGGCCAAGATGAAGCAATTCACGCTGTTTCCGATGCGGTCAGATTGCAAAGAGCAGGTCTCACGAGCGACAAGAGACCCATTGCGCTGTTCATGTTTTTGGGTCCTACAGGAACAGGAAAGACCGAGTTGACCAAGCAATTGGCAGAGTTCTTGTTCAATGACACATCCTCTGTGATTCGGTTTGACATGTCCGAATTCCAAGAAAAGCACACTGTGTCGAGATTAATTGGCTCTCCTCCCGGTTACGTTGGCTATGAAGACAGTGGTGAGTTGACTGAGGCTGTGAGAAGGAAACCATATGCGGTTGTGTTATTTGACGAGTTTGAAAAGGCCCACAAGGATGTGTCCAAGCTCTTGTTGCAAGTTTTGGACGAAGGTTCGTTGACTGATTCCCACGGCAAGAAAATCGACTTCCGCAACACTATCATAGTCATGACCTCTAACATTGGCCAGGAGATTTTGTTGGCTGATAAGGAAGCCAGCGAAGACGGAAAGATCCGTGAACTGGTGAAGAACAATGTCGTTGAAAGCTTGCGTCATCATTACCCTCCAGAGTTTTTGAATCGGTTGGACGATATTTTGGTGTTCAACCGTTTGTCCAAATCTTCATTGAGAAACATCTTGGAAATCCGCTTGAGAGAGGTCCAGGACCGTCTTGACGACAAGAGAATGAGCTTGTCTCTTTCAGACGAAGCAAAGGACTTTTTGGCCGATAAGGGCTACGATCCAATCTACGGTGCCAGACCTTTAAACAGAGCTTTGCAAAAGGAGCTTTTGAACCCAATGGCAATGCTTATGATCAAGGGCCAGATCCGTGAGGGAGAGAAGGTGAATGTTTCCGTGAAAGACAAAAAACTCTACATCGAACCTAACCATACCGAGGACGAAACTCTTTCAAAGGAAAGCACATAGTGTATATAGTTGAGCAGCAATCAATCATCAGAGAAGAGGTTTTGTAGATTAGATGTTTACAGTTTTTTTCCCATCATACTACACTGTCGCAAAGGCATACAGCACAAAACACAATGTCGAATTTAATCATCATCTAGTCAGTCTATACAGAGAATACAGTCCAGGACTCATTAGGTGCGCAGCCATGACTTTCTCACAACACTCTACCAGCCAAAGAGTTCTCTGCGACATGTTTCTCGGAATCGTCCACTTTCTTCAATGCTTTTCCTCCTTGGATCTGACCCAACAAAGCACCTAAATTAGGCACCGCGCTTGGACCTCCCAGCGGTGGTGCTGGGGCACTTAAGAACGAAGGAGGAGGTGGAGGTCCTCCAGGAGCTGGGGGTGCCGAGCCAAAAGATGGTGGGGGAGCCTGCGGTGGTGGGGGAACGGCCAGAGGTGGAGGTGGAACTCCCATAGGTGGAGGAGGAATTCCCATAGGAGGTGGTGGAATTGCCAGAGGAGGTGGTGGCACACCATCACTAGGTGGCATAGGGACTGGTGGGGGAGGTGGAGGCGGCATTCCTTGGGGTGGAGGCGGAGGTGGAATCCCATCGGTTGGTGGAGGTGGAAATGCCTGTGGAGAGGGCGTTGCAAAGTCATCCGACGAGTCTGTGGTGTTGTCGAAAGAAGAGTCATCCGAAATATGACTTGATGCAGAAAGAGGAGGAGCAGATTCTGCTGACCCCGCAACCGGCACTGAAGGCTGCGCTTGAGGCACTGGAGGTTGTGTCTCAGGCACTGGGGGTTGTGTCTCAGGCACTGGGGGTTGTGTCTCAGGCACTGGGGGTTGTGTCTCAGGCACTGGGGGTTGTGTCTCAGGCACTGGAGGCTGACCCTGAGGCACTGGAGGTTGTGTCTCAGGAACTGGAGGCTGACCCTGAGGTACTGGAACCGCTGGCGCCTCCTGTGGTGGCTGAGGCGCTTGTTCAGGTTGGGATGCTTGCGGTGCTTCAGGTGCTTGGGGTTGAGATGGTTGAGCTTGGAAACCGGCATTTCCTGTTGTTGCTCTTGAAAGAGGCTGAGGCATTCCGCCAAAAAGCAAACTGGCCAACTTTGCTGCCCCGGCACGATTTGGCTCTTCGTCATCAGAACTGTTCTCTTCTTCGTCACTCCAATCTTCCGACCCCAAGCCGCGCTGTGAAGCTCTTTGCGCCGCCAACTTGTTCTGGTCGACCAGCTCAGTTTTATTTGTAGGCTTGAAAAATGGATTGGAGTTGGCACCAGGAGTTGAAGGCTGTCCTGTTGCAAACTTGGCAAATGGGTTGCTCTTGTGAGGTCCTGTCTCGGAGCTTGCACTTGCAGTCTCTGCACTTGGCTTAGTCTGCTCGGGAGCCTGCTCGGCCGGTTTGCTCGCTACTGGTGCTTGAGGTTCTGTCTTAGCTTCTGGCTGGAATTCAGATTGGTTTGGTTTCTTTTCATTGTGTACACTTGAAGGCTTGTACAGCACAGCTTGAACCTGGGCCGGTTCCTCATCACTGTCGTCTTCTAATGCGGCCATCTCTTTCTTCAACTTGGCCAATCTTGCCTCCCTCTCCTGCTTTTTTCTGAGCTCTTTTTCCTTTTTGCGAGCTTCCATTTCTTGCTTTTGTTTCAAAAGTGCAGCGTACTCTGCATCTTCTTCATCATCAGACTCTTCTGGAACATTTCTTTCTGCATGTACCGGCGTAGGTTCCACAATTTGCGACGCAACTTGGGGCTTCGGTTGCTCTACATTTTGCTGGACCTGTGGTTGAGGCTTAGGTTGCTCAGGCACTTCTCTTGGTTGAGGTTTTGGCTCTTGTTTAGCTTCCTGTCTTTCGGCCCTTTGTTCAACTTTTGGTTCAGGTTTAGGTTCTGGGGCCTTTTCTGGAGCCGCTTCTTCTCTTTCGTGATTCTTGTTCCTTGAAATTCCAAGTTTGGCCAAACGTTCGTTCATTCTCTTCTCTGCCTGTGCTTTGATGTACGCAGACCGCTCCTCTGGCGTTTTGTAGGCTGGCTTGGCCTTGGGAGTCGGCGTAGATGCTAGCGACGAAGAAGACAGAGTTGATGGTTTAGTCGGTTTCTGGATCAGGTTAGCGACTGGCATCGATTGATCAGACTTTGGCTGGTTGGCTTCCGCCTTAGCAAAAGCATTCAATTCATCAATAAATGCTCTCATCATACTGGAAACATCATTGCCTTCCTCCCACTTGCTGGAAGTAGCTTCAGACTTGACCGAAGTTTGCAAATGCACGGCTGCGCCGTCTTCCAACTCCTTGATACTAGTCTCAATGTCCTTGATCATGCCTTGCTGGCTTTCACTTTCTCTCTTGGCTGCTTCAATTTCTTGTTGCAATTGAGCTTCTGCATCCTTGTTTGAGCCTCCAGGAATAGGCTTTCCTGTCAAGGCAGCCATTCTTTGCCTCAAAAGTTGCTTCGATTTGTGCTTGCGAATATCGGCCTCGGTAACTTCGCCGTTAATGCCCGTACCCACAATTCCTTCATCGCCACTTTCAGGCAGCCAGTCAGGAAACTGCTTCTTCAATTTGGCCTTGGTCAATTCAATCTTTGCCTGAGTGATATCTGCAGTAACCTGATAGATCTGCGACATCAACGAAGGGACTTTGTCTTTGGTGAAGTGATCCAATTTCTCCAACAAGCGCTTCTTCTCCACTTCATTCGCACCAAGAGCATATTTGTTCAACTCCTTTTGAACATCAATCACCTGGTGCTTCAAGTGCTCAATCTCCCTATAGTTGTTTTCGTCTTCCTGTTTTCTGGCGAGCGAATTGTGCTGATCTTCAACGTCTAGCGCATCCAACAAAATGCGCTTTTCGTGAATCAACTTCTTGAGCTCTTGCACGGACAAATCTCTCGACTTAGAGTTGGGTACACTGCCTTGCAGTTCACTAGGTTTTCTGCTCTTATGACGAGAGCTAGAAACGTAGCCCACATTGTCATCATCATTCTTGAATCTGGAAGCTGAAGTCGTTGGCTTGGCCGCTGGCGCCGCTTTTTTAGCTGAGCCGCCTTTCAAGGAGTTTTTCAATGTATCTACAGAATCCTGCAAATACTTGGCAGATGGAGGTACCAATTCTGGAGGCAACCGCAAGGGAATGTCGTAGCCATTCAATCTGCGGTAAACGAGATGCATAGCCACAGCAAACTCATCCTTGTTCAACTTGCCTCTGTTGCTTGAATCGCACAAGTTCCAGATCGATTCCAAGTCTGGTCTGCTCAAACCGGACTTGCCAAAAATAGAAATGGCTACATCACCTTGGATGTAGCCCTGCTTGCCAGTGTCCCAAGCGGCAAAAATACCGTCGTAGATTTGTTTTTCTTGTTTGGTGATAGCCCACGTAACGTTGCTTTTCAACGAGCCACCCATTGCATTCTGCAAATTATGGCTAGGAAGCTCTGCCGAAGGCAAAAAGTGCTGCTGCATAGCATTCAAACCGGGGATACCTCCGGTAGGCATCGACACAAAACCCCATTGACCTGGTTTACCCGTAGGCTGGGCCTGCAAAAAGCCAGTGGATTGGGGCTGGAGAGACTGGATGCCTGTGTTTTGGTATCCAGTGTTCTGGGGCTGAAATCCTGTTGACTGGGGCTGGAATCCAGTTGACTGGGGCTGGAATCCAGTTGACTGTGGCTGGATGCCTTGTGCTTGATACCCAGTGGTCTGAGGCTGGATTGCCTGAGGTTGGAAGCCTGTGGATTGAGGTTGAATCCCCTGCGATTGCATTCCTTGAGCCTGGTAGCCAGTCGTTTGTGGCTTGATTCCTTGGAAACCAGACTGTCCGCCTTGAGACTGATAGCCTGTCGTCTGAGGCTGAAGCTGTTGGAAACCAGTCGTTTGGGGCTGGAGTGGTTGGAAGCCTGTGGTTTGTGGCTGGAGTGGCTGGTAGCCAGTCGACTGCGGCTGGAATCCTTGGGCAGGGACCAATCCCGCAGTCTGCTGGGGCTGCAACGGCACCAAGCCGCCTCCAGTTTTCTGGGGAACAAACGAAGTTGGCGGAGCTGGTCCCTGGGTCATCCAGTCAGACTTGTCCTGGGCAAAGCTGGAGAAGGGCGTGTTGGCCAAGATGGCGGCCGGGTCTTCAGGCACGCTGAAGTTGATGGCGTCGACAAAGCTCTGAACCTCGTTTGCCCATTTCTCGGGCAATTGGTGGGGCAATTGATCGCCACGCAACGCCATGTTGCACAAGTGCAACGCCAATGCAAACTCCGGGAACAAAAGCAGTCCCAGCTTGTTTGTGTCGGCCAAAGCCCAGATTTCGGCTAACAACACCGGCGCCAAGCCAGAACGCAACAAAATGTCCCGGGCGGTGTCGCCCAGCACAGCGTTCTCGCCCTTGGCGACTGCCGTGCGGAACAAGTGCTCAAACTTGGTCTGGTCGCTGGCGGTGATGAACGATAAGCGCATGTTTGGGATTTTGATGTCGGAGTTCTCCTGGACATCGGCGAGAGCCGCCGAGAAGCCGGTTTTTTGTGCCTGGAGCGGCGCGTAGCCCGTCTGCTGCGGCTGGAACCCTTGCTGTTGGCTGGGCACCGCCTGCTGCTGGGCAAACTGGCCCTGGAACTGTTGCGGGAATCCAGTTTGCTGGCCTTGGAAAAGCCCCGGCTGCTGCGGCGCCGCGCCGTAAAAACCGGTGCTCTGTTGCTGGAGCGGGTACCCCTGCTGGTACTGGCCGTAATTCTGCGAGTATCCGCCCTGTTGGTACTGGTTGTACATTGGGGCAGAAAAGAAGTGGTTGGTGGAGTTTGAGTCGAGCGGTGGTGCACAGGTTTATGCCGTCGATCCACTGAGCCACTGAGCCAGATAGAGGAGATAGTATACCGAAACTGCAATAATTTTTTGATTCTGTATGTTTTGGTTTTTTGGTTTGTTTCTGTTCTTCGGTTTGTTTTTGTTTTTGTTTTGTTTTTGTTTTTTGTTTTTTTTTGTCTTTTTTTGCTCAATGTCTTTAGTCAATTTACTGATTACTTGTTCTTGAGATTGGTCCTGCGTTCTCAAGGCGGAGCATGATACGCACAGATGCTAGAATTGACAGAATTGACATTTGAACTTTTTTTCGTAGTGACGAAAAATCGGCTCCAATGCTAACGAACGTTTATGTTGAACGAATCATGGATACTGAAATGACTGAAAGAGCAAAGGTTCCCGTCGTTGATATGATGATTGAAACATTTGAATATGATCTTATTGCAGTACATGGAAGGCAGTAACCAAAAAGTAGATGCTCTGATCGCTTTCTATTTCTATTGCTTTGAAAATATGAAAGACCAGCAGTACAAATTGAGATTGTAAGCTCAAAACTCCAGTAAGCATCTTTAGACATTTGTGTGAATCCAACAGCCAATGGCTCTTCTAGTCAATTGGAAGAGTAAACTTTAATGAACCCTGTAAGCGTTGTTTATTCCAGTGAATAAAGGTAGACCTAGACTGGAAATCTCTAGGTACCATAGTATTATGGTCCTATATTTTATAAATAAGCCCCGTTGCCTATTTGTCTATACTCATTTGGACCACTTACATAGGATACGTGATAGGGTGAAAACTATAGAGACTATATTCAACGGGAACAGGAACTAGAGAATTGCAAACTGTACGCAAAAGTAGTGAATATCAAAACGTGAGAAATCAGAAGCTTTCTCGTTTGGATTATATCATTATGTTTATTAATGGCCTGACAAGACTTGCAATCTAAATGTCCCGGGTCACGTAGTCCCAGAAACCTATTTCCAATATGGTTGCAGTATTGAAAATAGTCACTAGCTCTTCCAATCTCTCCTCGGATATTTCCAGTTTCTGGAAAATATCGTCCAAGGTCATCCTTCCTTCCTTTTCTGCAGTGGTATACCAATCAGAAACATAGTCGTTCAACCACTCACCATAAGTTTCAGACTGGGTTGCGTTCACAACTCCCAAATCTTTTGGATCCACTTTCTCTCTAATCTTTTTGCCATAAATTCCCGCCTCGGCATATCCGTGTAAGCATGGTGCCAATGCCACTTTGAGACCCAAAAAGTCTTCAGTTTTTCCCAAACTCAAGAGGTAATCACAGTATGCGATACATGCACTAGCCGGTTGAAGCTCTTCGTCCAAGTCTGCATTGTCGTAGTCGATATTGTATACTGTGAGCAACTTTTTCTTGTGCCTTTTGATCTCTTCGATGATACTTCCAATAATTAGCGATTGCGCATGAATCTGCTCACAAGTTGGGGCCACTGAAGCAGCAATGGCATGAACTTGGGCATAGTTGACTAGGTAGTAAAAGTCTTGTTTCAAGTAAAAGAGAAAGCGGTCAAAGGGAAGCCTGTTTCTGGCCAAAAGATCTAGAAATTCGTGATGCACATACTTGTTCCAGTTTTCGTTGACCCTAGGGTGATTTGTGAAGTAGTCGATGATTGATCCATGTTTCTCAACCAAATGGGTTATCTTTTCGCCTTTGATAACATCTTTCACACTCGCCTTAGCCTCAACCGTATGGTTTAAAGGACCTTTGCCGTGGCCCAACTTTTGCTTCAAGCTAGTCATGCCCCGGTGAATGTAATTGACCGAAAGCGGAACAGCAAGTTGCAATGGTATTCCCTTGGCCAAGTTCGAAGCAACTGAACTAGCTAAAGTGCATCCAGTTCCGTGAGAATTATTTGACTCAATATATGAAGAACGAACCACAGTTACTTTCTGCTCGTCGCTCTGGAACAAAACATCGACAATCTCCAAAGCTTGGCCCGAACCGTCTTTGCCTGAGAATTTCTTCCCGTTGAGCCAAGGAATGTGACCTCCCTTGACCAACAAATTGGCACATCCAAGCTTTTCTTGCAATCTGACAGTGAAAGTCTTGAACTGGTCGACTGTCTCGATCTCAATTGGCTCGTCACCAAAGCACTTCCACAAGTGGAGAGCCTCCACATAATTGGGCATGCACAAGTATGCTCTTGGGATGATGGTCTTTTGACAAAGCTGCATTGTTTCGTCATTGGTGAGAATCTTTCCTGATGTACTTACCATGACCGGATCCACAACCAACTTGACCTTCTTGCTTTCCAAGTAGTCAAGGTAGGACGCAAGAACTTCCACAGCATCCTTAGTAAGCATTCCTGTCTTGACCACCTTTAATGGTGGGGCACCTTCGTATCCCTCGAGAAAATCTTCGAAATTCTTTTCGAGAATGGCCTTGACATGTTCTTTTGGTGTATCGACCACAGCCGAAACGCCCAAGGTGTTTTGGGCAGTTAAAGACGTGATACATGTAAGACCATAGACACTGTGGGCCGTCATGGTTTTGATGTCAGCCTCGATGCCTGCTCCGCCAGAACTATCGGATCCTGCAATAGTGAGGACAGCAGGAAGCTCCACTTTGGGTTCATTGGGCTCAAGAAGGTTGATTGTAGCAGATGTGATTGGCATTGGTTTCTCTATGGCATTTTGGGTCTCTGGATGCTTGGTTCTTATACCCATATATTTAACCTCGCAGACCTTTGCCCTGTATGCGCATGCGACTTGGATTGCTTGCCATAGGACCCGAAATCTGGCGGTGGAGGAGAAATAATTTGGGAAAAGAACACATATTCATTGGGGAGGCTGATTAGTTTTGGATCCAGTAAGAAACAACCTCGTAGACGTCTTGGGTGTCTTCTTACTTGGCGTTGGTGCTCGTTTCCCACAAGCGCATACTATGCGATAAGACGCACAATAGGCGAAAGTGGTATATGAAAATTTTCCGAGACAGAATATGAAAATTTTCCGAGAGACAGAATATGCAAATGAAACTAGCAGAAAACAGCTGATTCAGAACTCAATATTATTCAATTGGGCATATCAACATTCTGTGTCAACAAGTTGTTTTAGTGTGAAGTGATTCATCCGCGATATTCGGCGTATCCGACGATGATATCCGATTCTATCATTCCACTAAACGTGCTCGCTACGTAATATTCCTTTACTCAAATCTTGGTATCATTAACAAAGTCTATACTAGAGCTGTTTTGTCCGCAAGGAATTGTAGTATTCCACCAACAGCAATTCGCTCTTCAAAGTCTCCTCTCTATAGCCCACACGGATATTAGGCACGTTGGTTTTTTCAATGTCGTTTCCCTCGACGCCCGACTTGGCGAAGTTTTTGCCAAGCCAGTGCTTCTTGATGGCCCACTCCCAGCCTGACTGCTTCACCGAGTTCATGGCCAACTCACACATGTCCACACTAGAAAACTTGTAAATCTGCGCAGCGACAGAGTACTCTTCAATCAAAGGCTCCTTAGTGTAAGAGAATTGCAAAGGGTCGTCCGTGGACAAGGAAACGTTCAAGCCCTTTTTGAAGAAATTGAAAAATGGATTCTTGTCGTACGTCAAGAACAACGCATTATTGGATAATGGTGACATGGCCAATCCGATTTGGTCCAAGTAGTACAAGTACTGGACGAAAGGAAGCTTCCGCAAAAGGATGCCGTGAGAGATGGAGTGGGACGTCAAAAATGCAGCAATCAAGTGTTCTGGGTCTCCGGCTTCACCACAATGTGGCCTCAAAAGGAAAGTATTATATCCTAACGAACAACGTAACTGATTCAACGCAATCAAGTCCGAATACAAGTAGTATAAGTAATACGAGTAAGGTGGATTGTTGTGGCTATCCCACTCGCAAGCTGTTGGAGGTTTTCTGGTGTTGAAATGTTTGTCCAGCTTCGACTCATCGTCGACAGAATCGAAGCCCACCACTCTCTGCAAGAAAACATGAAGCTTAGGATTGGATTTGGGGTTGAGTGTCACTTTGTAAAGAGGGAGGAAAAGATTGTGCAAGATCTTCTGGAATGTGTGCACGTTTCCGTTGGTCTTGTACAAGTCGTACAAACGTGGAACTTGGATCAACCACCGAACATTGTGGCTGAACAACTTATTATCCACTATCCAGCTTGCAAGCTTATCCCATTCATCAGCACTGCGGCCGTAAACAGAAATTCTGAGCTCCACCATTTGGTACTTGGAAGACTCCAAGTCTTCGAAAACTTGTTTAGTGATCTCAGCCAAATACTTGCCGTTGATGAAGTTATCTGTCTTAAGGAAAATCTCACGCAAACGTGACTCGCCGATGGGATTATATTTCAAGTTGAACTTGTCGAACCGGTGGAAAGTGTCTGTATGTGCGTGCATGTCCAAGGTATCAATGGACAAATCGTAAGCAGAAAGGTTCAAGGACTCGAACACCTGTGCCAATGTCAACAACTTCCCATCTCTGAAAATAACTTGCTCGTCGGGGGTCGTTTTCAACTTGTACTTAATAAACCGCAACAAATGTTTCTGGTTCATACATGCAGAGTGGTGGATGTGGGTATCCACTTTTCTGACATTGTAAAAGTCTCTGTGTGGGTTCCTTTTCGACTGCTTGTTTTCCTCAAATTCGTTAAGCAAGTAGTACATGTTCCACTTAGTTTCCAAGTACAGCAAGCGCTTGAAGGCAAACGATTTGGTTGGCCCATCCAGCAGAATCTTAACGATCTTGTTCAAATCGGAGTAGTAATCGTGCAAAGTTGGGATTTCCGAAATGGGCTCACCAGTCTCGCGGTCATACACCTGATAAACGTCTTCGTGATTCAATTTCACTTCGTATTTGTCGGAAACGTCTTGGTCTGGAATGTGGCACTTTTCAAAGTCGAAAACCTCTTCATCTTCAACTTCACCTGGGATTTGGTTAAACCTGTTTTTCAGTTTGTAGGTGGGTTTTGGAGGAGGCGGATAAATCGTCCAGTCTGGCTTGTTTTTTGGATTCACCGCTTCGTCTTTCTGAAGCGAACGATCCAAATACTTATGGCGCAAGTCCAAGCACATTTTCACATTTTGGAAAAGCTCCACCAATTCGTGCGACGGATACTCTTCAGGCAAAGCATTGGCATTAGCCTTGGGGTCCTGCGTGTGGTTGTTGTTATGTGACGCCTCTGATGGTGTTGGATGGTACGGAACAGGGTGTTTCGGGAACTCGATCACCAGCTGTCTTCTTTTAGGTGCTGATTTGGTCAGCGACATGCTTGCTGACCGCTGCATTGGGCTTTGAAGAGCCTCGAAGGCACGGACTTTCAAGTCATGGTCTTTGATGAACTTGTCTTCAGTTGTGGAAAAGTGGGTGGAGTTGTAGGATTGAGAGAGGAGGTTCTCATTGTCGTCCGAATCGGAAAAGTGGTGCAAAGCATCGCCGTGGGGATCATCGGTGGCTATTTCGTCTTCGGAAATATCCAAATTGGATTTGATGTCAAACGGCATTGTATATCAAACGACGTGGAAGATGGAAGTAGGAGCAAAGGAGTGCTAACGGAGATTAACCCGCGGTGATCTTCGATGCAATGCGGGCGCGATGTGGTGCGCAACCATTTAAATGTGACGTGCGTCATGGTGCGCTTTCAAGATGTATGAGTGGAAACAGAAAAGTTGCTAGTTAGTAACTTCAGGGGTTAATATAAGCCACTTGTCTCGTTAATTTTCAGATAGGTGAATCTCAACGAAAGTCTTCAGTAATCACAACAAAAATAGTTAATTGGATTGAGCTTATGCAAGGTTCGTCCTGTTTGTATGTAATCAATGGTTTGACAATAGCACTAAGAAACTTGCGTCCATATTGTTCTTTGAGGTCAATTGCGCTGTAGGGGTTCTTCTGTTGGTTATGTACTTATGTTGAAATAACGGGACTGTGATCAATATCCAGATAATACAAAGTTGTATGCAAATAGACTAATTCATGGAGGGACTAATATCTCAAGTAATCATGTTGTGATTTGTGTTTCTAACGCAATCTGATTTATTTTCATCCTGGTGATAGGCAGAATGAGACTCTAAGCTTCATTTTCTCAGCCTTATTGTACTTCACCTAAAGCACTCTATGAGAGTGGTCGAATTTTGTTTCAAAGAAACAAAAAGGAAATGCCCATACAGATTGAAAACGCGCTAACAGCTCTCAGAAGTACTAATCTTTCATGTTCGATGGCCTACCTTAATACATGGTGTAGTTCTCAACATGAGAAGAATGGCATCTGAACTTCCATGAAACTCGAGGCAAGTTTTGAAAGAGCCAGAGAAGTGAACAATGCTTGACAACAAAAGGTAAGAATGTTGGTTTGGATTTCTGTGCTTTACATACAAGTTGATAAACTGAAAACAGGCTTCGTTTCGTTCAATAACTGGAACGTGTTACTCCATGCAAACAAATCACAATTTCGGTAATGCTGAAGCAGTTGTTTCATACCGAAATCCTTAGGCTGAGGGCTACATCAATGGCATCAACCGCTTCTGTCCATTCTACAATAACTCTTGAATAGATGCATAATAGAAGTGAGAGCGGTACAAGAATAAAGTCTGGCATACTTCCAGCCAAGCTCATGTGCCCTGCTACTCTTGAAGTCTCACGTGGCCCTTAATTATCTAATTATCTCACTACCACAACTTCTATTACATTGATTTTTGACGATCCATCGGCCAATTGTGGCTGTGTCGTCCAGTAATGCCGCATCAGTAGTAATCCCGCACCTGGTATTCCCTCACATGGTATTCCCGCACATAGTATTCCCTCATCTCATCTCAGTATTCTCTACAGTATTCTCGCACTTTAAGTGGCTTTCGCCATATCAAGCGCCGACCAAAAAATAAATGCCACTCATGCTCAAGCAGGTACCCCAAAAGGGGTACTATTTAGCGTGCATTTATTATGCTCCGGAAAGTAGTTTCCGTTTCATGGAGCGGAGTCATTACGGCGTGGGTTGCCGTTTCCATGCGCGGATTTCGCTAAGTGCAACTCACAACGGCGTGCTCGGTTTCTCTTTCCGCGAACAGCCACTATGTATGGAGCCCGACAATTCACTCCAGTATAAAAGAGTGCCGATCGCCACGAAAAAAGATAAAAACTATTCAGACCATATCATGTCCTCGCCCGTCTCATACACATTCCATCCACAGAAAAAAGCCACACTTGTGCTTGCTCCGTTTTCCGGAGGCCAGCCGAAAGGCGGAGTCGAGTTGGGTCCAGAATACATACTAAAACACGGCTTCGAGAACCAAGTGAAAGCGTTGGGCTGGGAAACGGAAATCGCCAACCCATTGCAAGACGCCGACTTTGAAGAAAAAAAGTCCGAGGCCAGAGATGCTTTCGGGGTCAAAAACACCGTCATCGTCAGCGAATGCAACAAGAAAATTTACGATGCATGTCTCACTGCTCACGGCTCGGGAAGAATGCCCGTTGTCATTGGAGGAGACCACTCCATTGGCACTGCTACTGTCGCAGCAGCTTTGGAAAGTGACCCAGACACATGTGTATTGTGGATCGATGCCCATGCCGATATCAACTCGCCAAAGACCTCTGAGTCGGGAAACTTGCATGGTTGTCCAGTGTCGTTTGTCATGGGCATCGACAGGGATTCGTATCCTCCTGAGTACGGCTGGGTGCCTGCCAAATTGAAGCCCAACAGAATTGCATACATTGGATTGAGAGATGTGGATGCTGGCGAACGCAAAATCTTGAAAGACTACAACATCACAGCCTTTTCCATGTACCATGTTGACAAGTACGGCATTGGCAAGGTGGTGGAAATGGCGTTGGACAAAATCAACCCAGACAGAAAGTTCCCTGTCCACTTGTCGTACGACGTTGATGCCATTGACCCATCTTTTGTTCCTGCCACAGGAACAAGAGTGGAAGGTGGCTTGTCCTTGAGAGAGGGATTATTTATTGCTGAAGATGTGGCGCAAACGGGGCTCTTGAAGTCTTTGGATATTGTCGAGACAAACCCGTTGTTGGGAGAAAACGACGACCACATTTTGGACACGGTGAACGCTGCCTGTGCCATTGGCCGGTGTGCGTTGGGCGAAACCTTGCTCTAGAATAGCTAGGGGTATGAAATTATGAGTAGAAGAAATACAAGAGAGAGCACACGAAAGTTGAAAGAAATGTAGACGTATGAAGAGGAGGAATATTGATCTGTAAGTTTGGTATCTGATTCCATGCCAATTACTTTATGTCCCCCAGATTCTTGCCAATCAAAGCCAAAATTGCACTCACCTATCTTGCATGTTCTCCTAGGTTTATCATTTGGTCTAATTGAAACAAGGCCAACAGTAAACAATTAGACCTAAATTGGATTACCTACAGAAAACAGGTTTGATGGCGAAAATTATGGTGCTTCGAGGTCATTTTGGTGCTTAAATATTCTGTGAAATCACCTATTGATAAGTGACAAAAAATATCTCAGAGGAATCAAATAAGCGCATTTAAAAAAGGGCATTTAATACCGCGAGAGTGAACGATACTAAATGTGTCCTTTAATGTCCTGAGCCAGCCCTTTTTTGAAATGCTGTTTATGTTTTGAAAACAATTCCATACTAACAAATGAAGAAGGCAAGCTCAAGTAAAGTCTTTAAAAGGTATTCCGCGGCGATAAGCCCATCTAGGAAACTCATCTGCAACAATACCTCATCCTCACATAGACACGTGTATACTGTACTATATCATATCCAGAAACAGACAAAACTTAAGCTTTCCAGAATCCACATCAATGAAAAAGATGATTGATTGCCACTCCGAACCTCTTTGACCTCGTGATTATTTCTCCAAAAAAGAAAGCATAAAAAAACGGTATTCTGTCATTGATTTAGTATGCTGATGTATCTGCAGGATCCTCCATACAGACAGAACACGGGGTCCCATAGTGAATGCATCATTAATGCTTAAAGGCTGACCCAAATAAACAAGTGGTGTTTTTTTTCGTCGCCAGATCCCGTTTTTGATCTCTGACAATGAAGTTCGGCAAAACTTTTTTGACCCATCAGATCCCAGAATGGTCTGGATATTACATGAACTACAAGCACTTGAAGAAAGTGATCAAGACAGTCGATCAGTTTGCAAACTACCATACTGCCGTTTCTCCGGAGCTCCCCGAGCTCATTTCTGCTGTCTTGTCCCAGTTCTTCTATGAGTTGGACCGTGACATTGAAAAAGTGTCTGATTTCTACGATACGAAATTCCACGATTACCAAAGGAGAACAGACCGGGTGGTTCATGCCTTGGGTTATTCGAACGGAAAAGTCACGCATGAGGTGGATACCACAGACGAGCTAGATGAGATTGTATCGATTTTGCTTGAGCTCAGAGCCGTCTATCGGAATCTCAAGTGGTTTGGTGAGTTGAACCACAAGGGCTTTGTCAAGATCTTGAAGAAGCTTGACAAGAAATTGTTGTATCTCACAGAGTTGGCCAATGACCAGCTTCGTAGCAGTTCCGAGGATGGTGCGGAATTGCCGCAGGTTGATTTGCCAAGGCACAACAAAGAGGCATATTTGGCCACAAGAGTCGAAGCTTTGCCTTTTGCCAACGGGCTGGAGCTTCAAGCGGGCTTGGATACCATCAATGCAATTTTGAACCAGCTTGGCGACCAGCAATTGGATCTCGAATCTTCAGAAGCTACGGAAGCGGCTACGCGTGATTTGAACGTGTTGAAGATCGGCAATAACCGCAAATACTCTTTTGACAAGGAGTTTTTGGAGGAGTTCTACGAGTTGATCCACGAAGATAATGCCTCAAAACTCATGGCCAAATTACAGACGTTGGATCTGAGCACTCGGCTGTTGAAACTTTTGCTTTTATTGTTGAACAAGGCCACTCTCGCCAATTCCATTGCCTGCGTGGACCTGTTGCTCGAGCAACTATTGAATATGTCAGAAAATGAGTCCCTGGCTTTTGCTGATCCATTGGATATCGCAGGACGCAATTTCTTCCATCAGTATGTGGTGTCTTTGGGCAAAAAACAAGTCACAAAAGCACAAAAACTGGTTTTTCCGGGCGAGTCGGCAGAATTAAGCAGACTTTACGGTAACAAGAGCGGTCCGGACGGGTCGCAGCTTACACCTGTGAGCAACGAAGGTTTGGCCCATGTTTTGGAAAAATTGGACCTGTATCCTCAGCACCAGCACCTTCTTATTGCTCGAGATGGATACATGCGGACTCCCTTGCACTATGCGGCTCAATATGGAATTAAAGATGTCACCAAGCTTATTTTAGACTACTTGGTGCGCTGGAAGTTGGTGGACATTGGAAAATCCATTGATTCTGTAGATGAATGGGGAGACCAAGAAGGTCTCACGCCGTTACATCTTGCGGTTATTGGAAAACATCCAAAAACGTTGCAAAACATTCTTAATGTTGTTGCCGTGAGTCTCACGTGTCCAGGCTTGCTTTTGCTTGCAGCTCGGTTAGGAACTGACGAGATTGTGCGTTCTTTTATTTCAGCCCGGTTAGTCGATATCAACTACTGTGATGCCGAAGGAAATTATGAGACTTCGCTCTATATTGCATCGAAGCTCCGTTTTGCACCCTTGGTGAAGTTTTTACTCGATTCTGGCGCAGACACGGAGTTGGGCGAAAACGTCTTTGGGTGGACACCCATTTTCATTGCGTGTGCGGAAGGTTTCGGCGACATTGTGGAGCTTCTCAAAGCTGGAGGTGCCACTTACAGCTTGGTGGATAATTCAGGCTGGTTGCCTATGGAACATGCGGCCTTGCGTGGCCATTTGGACGTGGCTAATCTGGTAAAGCCAGATAACGAACGCTTGCTTCTTTACGACATTGACAATCCCGCTCGGAATGTTCCACGGGTGGCCAATCCTCTGTCTCAAGCTACATCGCTTGCTGCATCTCCATTCTTGAACCCTACGGCTGAGGATATGCTTTTGCTGACTTCGTCTATCGAAAAACTTCCTGAACCAAACAGAAATGCTGTGAACGAAGTTTATCGCCAGTTTAAACAATTGGATAATGGTTCTTCTCTGTCAGTGAATATTGCGTCAACCAGTCCTCCAGAGGTGGCGAACAGAAACTTCCGCAGTCACCTGCGTTCTAGATCTCCGGCTAACAGGCGGAAAATGAAACCCATTAAATCCTTTGGCCATAGGTTTTTGCAAAAGGACGAGCAGTTGATTTTACTCACTTTGGGAACCACAGACTTGCGAGATGAGCTGAACCCCATCGACTTGAATCGCATTTCGTTGTCGCAAACCTTCTTCACAGAGTTGGATACAGCGCTTTCTTTGGTGATTACCTGCTGCGACAAACTGACCAAAAACGTCATTGAGGCGCCAGTGGTTATTGATTTGCCTTTGGAGGATCAACATGGGAGCGCCACCGATCCAATTTCTTTCAAGTTGACTGGTGGTGTTGACTCGACAAATGTTTACATCACCTTTGATATTGTGCCCACATACCAATATCCGGCAGTGAGTGTGGCAAAACGGAAATCTCGTGTGTTGGGCAGAGGAGTAGCCATGTTGGAATCGGCATACACAAATGTGGGAAGCCACTTGAGATCGTTGCACAATTCAATCACCGTGCCCATTGTTCAACAAGAATCACTCGATTTGTTGGGAACTTTGAAGTTTGAGTATTTGTGTGTGACTCCGTTTAAACATAAGCAAATGTCCATTACTCGTTCGGATACATATTGGAAACAATTGGTGTCCACGCGAGTCATTGGCCATCGTGGTTTGGGAAAGAACTTCAACAATAGAAAATCCTTGCAGTTGGGCGAGAATACTGTTGAGTCTTTTATTGCTGCTGCGTCCCTTGGAGCTTCGTATGTGGAGTTTGATGTGCAAATGACAAAGGATTATGTCCCTGTTGTTTATCACGATTTCCTTGTTGCTGAATCTGGCGTGGATATCCCAATGCACTTATTGACTGCAGAGCAGTTCTTGGGTCTCGGAAACCAGAACTCCTCACCTGGAAACGGCAAGATTTTCCACTACGATAAAGTCAACCAAAACGGGAACGTCACGAGAAATTTTGCCTTTGACGATGAGCTCTTGGGTAAATACAATAGACCCCGGCTGATGCTGTCGTATCCATCGGAACAGAATCAGAAATTGACTGTTGAAGATGATTTGGACAGAGAATTCCAGGACCAGATTACGCGCAGAATGAAGCTCACCAAGACTTGGAAAGAGAAAGGTTTCAAGGGAAACTCTCGTGGTCTGTCGATTGCGTCCGATTTTGTCACGTTGAAAGAGCTCTTCAAAAGATTACCAAAAAATGTTGGATTCAACATCGAGCTCAAATATCCCATGTTGGATGAAGCTGAGCATGAAAGCATGGGTGAGGTTGCATTTGACATGAATTTTTACGTGGACACCATCCTTAAGGTCATCTATGACGAGAACACTACGGGACGTGATATTTTGTTCTCATCATTCCATCCTGATATTTGCTTGTTGTTGTCCTTGAAACAACCCACGATCCCAATTTTGTTCTTGACTGAAGCCGGAACGCAGTTCATGGCCGATATCAGAGCTTCGTCTTTGCAGAATGCCATTCGTTTTGCAAAAAAGTGGAACTTGTTGGGCATTGTCAGTGCAGCGAAAACGTTGGTTACGACTCCTCGTTTGGCTCAAGTAGTGAAAAGTTCTGGTCTCGTTTGTGTTACCTATGGTGTTGAGAACAACTCGCCGGAATTGTGCAAAATTCAAATGAAGGCTGGCGTGGATGCCGTGATTGCCGATTCAGTTTTAGCGGTGAGAGAAGGCATGAGAAAGGATGATGGAGATGCAGAACTAAAAGTTTGATTAGAGCCTCGGAGTGTATTTCAGTGTGCATACGTTAGAGAATAGATAGAAGTTTTTTGACTTTACTTAGTATATTGTAGTGGTACAAGGATGGGGTGACATGTATTTGAAATCAGGATTTGTCTAACAAATGCTTTTTCATCTGATGACCAAAATGCCTATGGCGCATTCACAACCCGGAACATGAAGATATTGCTCCCTGTAAAAAAGCTGCTTATCTCTTAGACTTACGCTCATTGATTTCCTATCATCCATTATTTCAACGCATACAAGCCATGCTTCTCTGGCTATCTTTTACACTGAAGTAACATTATTTCCAAAAGGGGGAAGATCTTCTTGTTCAGTAAGTGGTATCACTTAGATGATGTGGCTTCATTTCTGCCAAGAGAGCCCTAGTGACCTATTGATACCCACTGGTGCCCTCAAGTGAAGACTGATGTGAAATGAGAAGCTTAATTTTAAGTATTTTCATCTCTAATTCTTATAGTACTTTTATCTATCGTCCAGCTCGAATACAGCCCGTACATAAGCATGCATCATTCTACCTTTTTAGTGTAGTGCCTGACCTTTCGTATTTCGTTTTTCTGAAGCACCTTCTTCCTTATCGTCTCTCTGAACCACAGAGACTCCCGTACATTAACGTCTTTGACGCAAATGATGGAAAAAGGGATACCGACGTTTGTATCAGAATGCAAATATTCACGAACCTGCTTGACTATTACAGATCTTATTATCGTTTTTCACAATATGTCGAGATCCAATCTAAATACTCGCTTTAAGACGACGTACATTGTATTAAGCGCATTATTCGCCTGAAGAGTGAAGACTCACTCAGGTATGCCAGGTTTTCTAAGAAAGAGTATATCAGCATATGATCTTTCCAGCTTTCATCACAGTTAAGTTGTAAAGAGAGGCAGAGACAATATAGGAGTAATCAAGATAGAGACGATACTCATATTATGAGACGCTTGCATGAATAGACCGCATGCCCTCTTATAGTTTCCACTTTTGTAATGCGCACAAGACTAAAACCCATTTTGACCAAGCCACAGTTTGATAAGTGTAGGTTCGGGCGATACTCTACAAGAGACTGCTTTCAATGAGATTTATGTACTGTTCATCAAACATTCTTGCGTTGTAACTACAATAGTACAGTTTTTTTATCTGACTTATTCTGTTGATTTTCGTATCTCCTCAAGGTGGTCTTTTTCGGCGTCTTCGCGCGGCAATTTCATGATGCATATGCGGTAGTATACGAGGATGCGATGTAAACAAGACTTATTGCCAATATGGGGACTTCTATTAGGTTTTCTTCTTTCGGAACTTGATAATAATGAAGAGTGAAAGTGATGATGTTTTCCACTACTAAATATTTTGGGTTATTTCGAATGTAAAGAATCACTTGCCAGGGAAAATTGTGTTTTCCCGTCCCCGCTGCTATACTACAGGAGCCCATGGAGGGTAGCATTAACAGGTTTGTCGTAACTAGAAACTCGTTTGTTTGCCAGGTTAGCGATATGACAGAAACTTCGATTGAACATATTGCACAATTAGAGAAACAAAGTCCACACTTCAATAGCATAGGGCCAATTGATTATAATCGTGACTCAAAATTACGAGCCCATGTGGAAAAAGCTACTTTACTCTCAGTATAGGAGAAGATTTAATGTTTGCGTAAGCATAAAAAACTTGGACGTGTAAAGTCAGCAAAAGCCTCATGTTCCATTCTGCAGTACCTCATGTACATCTAAGACGTTTCCCGAATCCGAGATGTGACTACATTTTCCTTTTATCATTCTTTGTGAATTGATAGTCTAGAAAGCATGACTTCCTTCTTCGACTTTCCAATAGAGAGACTTATTAGTTTGCTATTCTTCGATAAAAGGTAATCTTCTTTTGCATGCGCGTCTGTATGTCACATATGTTTGCATACTTCATGCCGCATCATGCGCTTGTCTATTGGCTGGTTTTACTGCAGTTTATCTTATCTTATGTTCAAAGAATAAAACACATCTGTGTCTTTTGTGCTGGAAATATTTCGAGGAGCCTCTTAACATGTGTATTTCGACTTAGCATCTAAATCTAAGAATGATCCTAGTGTTCTTAGAACGACCGACAGGATCTGCACAAAGAACGATGAGTTTCCAAACTATCGGCACATCACAACAAGACACTCATCCCTAACATTAAGAAAACCAACAATGCCTTGACATTAAGCTTAGGTCCTGCGCTTTTGTATGCCATTTTGCCTACGACTTCAACAAAAAGCATATCGAACGCACATTCGTATCCCTGACCGTCTTCCAACTTGTAACTAGCATTATTGCAAGCCACAAAGGTAGAGCCGTGCGATTTGGTATAAGGCATCACTTGGATGTATAATGTGCCATTGTGATCACAAAGAGAGGATTGATTAGTGCCCAATTTGAATTTAACATCTGGGTGACCTCCACAGCTAGCGATTTGTGTATATGAGTAAGGATAAGACATGCTTTTTTCTTACGACTTATTTTGGGGCTTTTATAGTGTGACCCTATCAGCCAGCCTCATATACATGCGGCGAAAAGTGACGCATGCGCAATACCCGCCTGTGCATATGTGGGCGCGGAAAAATCCATGACTCGAATCATCGTCTATCGCTATCTTATCACAGATTGCCTTCCCATTATTTTGTGGATCTGTATTATTTGTCAATTTAAGATCCACTGAAGTCTATTTTGTCTGTGGTTGCGAGTCTTGACTAGTTTGTAAGTTGATAAGTCGGGTTCTCAAAACTAAAGATCGCCTTTATCGAATGTGAAACCACAGCCATGATTCTCGTAAGAGACTGCGCTTTTCGGAAGAGGCGTGACGACGCAAGAGCTTTAAAATACTAACTGAGGATATGCGTGATGCAATTTCGATATTAAGTGAGAAAATTAATCGGAACACAGAAGCTCTTCGTGGAATGCTGTATGCGATATTTTCTTCTCCTTTAGTAGCATTTATCTCTTATTTCTGGACAGTAAGGTTCTACTTTTTATGCTTCTAAATAAAAGTAGCATCCAATTATCTTGGGTTGAGGAGAGATGGGTGACTTTATGGGAAGAAAAAGGTAGTAGTACAAAGTCTGGTGTTTCCTGGCTTCAACCAAAGGAGTTAGCATATAAGAAGGTGGGTAGGAGAACACTTCGAAAGGGACGAAGAGAAAGAAAAGGCTTCTTGGCTATTGCAGACGCTTCATCAGGTATCGCTTCTTTTGCACATATGCTTATCTGGCTTATCTTTCGACAGAGCAAATTGAAAAGCTTGGGCCACTTGTTTTTGGGAGTTGTCGGGTGTTGATAACAATCTGATAAGTATATCTTTCGAACTTACTGCATGTCAAGTATCAAGTTTTATATAGTTCTCTCTGTTTAGCCCAGTCTATATGCTATGTATATTCATTGTTTTTGAAGTGAGAATATCGTCCCAGTTAAGACACCATCTCATGCTCAACGCAACACAATGAGTAAATCTGTTTCAAATACTACTAGGATGGGCAATTTCCTTGAAGGCAATGATTTCTAGTGATCTATTTCTCTTTGACCATTAACTACTGGAGCTTGACTGAGTAGGTTATTTACTCCATGACACATATGGCTACAATCATAACAGTGGTACATAGTTGAGGGTATATGCTGTAGCTAGGAAAAAATTGACAATATTCTGATGAATACAGTCTCATATATTCTTTCTTACTTCACTTGCGCTTGTTCAGCCTTCTCCTTTGAAATATATCCAAGTGCGTTCAATCTCTCGACCAAAGTAGGATGGTTTTGTCTGTAGGCTGAGTATAACCAGTCAATGCGAAAGGATGACAAATCTTCAACTTCAAGTTTGATAAGAGCAGATGCCAAATCTTCACTGTATCCTTGTGCCTTCGCAAAATTGTCAGCCTGGTATTCATTCTTCCTGCTCACTAACTTAGTGGCAAATTCGACAGCACAGTCGACTGGGGCACTAACATAAGAGAATAAAACAAAGGCAATCATCGGAGGGTAGTCATGGAAAAAGCCAAAGGAATGGAAGAAGGATTTGTTTTCGATAAAAGCACGATACAAAACACAAGTCAACGTAACGGATGCTTGGTTAGAGAGAAGAAGCTGATAAACATGGTTCAACTTCCAGTGACCAATTTCATGAGCTAAAACCGCGATTATCTCTTTCGTGGTACTGTGGTCAATCAAGGTGTCAAAGAGCACAATTTGCTGACTCCAAGGCAAGCCACTGAAAGAATGCATTTGAATGTCCTGATCTGGAGGAACCGTCGATGACATATACACCAGAGAGAGGAAACCCGTTTTTCGTGGCCAATTTTTCAATTTCTGTCTTCAATTCACCATCCTCTATTGGAGTTAGTTTGTAAAAGAGAGGTAATATCAAGTTAGGCATGATCGTCATGAGGATGAGCTGCAAAAGAAGCGTAAAAGCACAGGCATAAGAGATGAAGGACGTTCCAAAATGATCAATGATCTTCAAAAAGCCGTATACAGCTGGTACCTCCCAACACAAAGCAGAACTAAAGCCAGCTTAATGGTATCCGATACCCAAAGCTTTACAGTTGACTTATTGAAGCCGAACTTCTCCTCCAACACAAAATCATTATAGTAGGAGAAAGGAAGCAGTTCGAAATTTCCGATAACAGATGTTAACACAAACAAAACCAAAGACTGGCTGATGAGCCCAGAACCGAAAAAGCGGCCAATAACAGAGACTTGTGATAACGAGGACAACAAAGAACCCGACCACGACCAGAGCTTCTGATACAAATCAAACTTGATATAAGCCAAGTCTTTGACCAAATTGAAAGTGGATTTTACAAAGTCGAAGGAGCTCTTTGCTCTGGAGTATTCTTGGGACTTGTCGAAGGTTTCCTTTGTAATTTCATTTTTGATCAGGGACGGGGGTTCTGTCTTGCATTGCTCTTTGTATTGTCTGTAGCTGACATATGTCTCAAATGTATACTTTCCTATCAAGAGTGTAGTGACGATGGACCTCCAGTGGTATGCCGGATTGTCAAAGGCAGATATGATCTGATGGTTAGTAGGACACTAGTATATTGCTTTGGGAACATACATTTCCAAAAGCCATATTGGAGATTGAAAGTGAGAAAAAAATACTCCAGACGTCCCAGAAACCTCTTTATATAGTGGAGTATTGCCACACAAAGTAGACGCATTGCCATCGAAGGCGCCAATCAGTGTTTGACGTGAACATGCACAGGAAAGCCACACGTACCGTATCGGGGACGTTTGTGCAGTACTCGCATGAGAAGATAAGGTGGAATTGTTTACACATTGCCACTTTAATGAAGGCTTAAGCCTAATGTACGATTCAATGAGGAAGTTGAGCGTTTTTGTGACATATTGATCTTCTATGGCCCAAAGAAACTTTATATATATGGAACTGAAAGAACGACAGAGATATAATAGCGGTGTGACAGATGCATACATGAACAATTGCGATTTGGTGGTTGAACATTGCATCGAACAAGCTTGAGAAAGTAAGTGCTTCGAGGATAGGGTTATAATACAAAATATTTGGAGAGCACCCAATACAAATAAATTTGTATTGGCAAAACTTCCTGGTGTCCTCATCAGAAAGTGACTTCTGCACTTGCCATTGTGCAGGTTGGCTTTCGAATGGGTGAATATAGCCGGGCCATTCTCAGATTCCCTATTCGGTGCATAATCTTACGGCTATTGTCATTGGTGGAGATTTCTCTTTTTCCGGCGTTTAGTGATATTTTGCCGTTGGGTAACCTTCTACTTAAATGTATACTATGTTAAGGAAGCTACAGACTAAGAAAGAACTTGCTCTATGCTTTTTCGTTTTTATTTACGATCCATATCAATGTTTATTGTTACGATATGAGGAAGAAAAAGGTAAGATTAAGCGTGTATAATTCTCTCGAACAATTGTGACTAGTAGCACTTACAAGACTAAGGCTTCAGTATTTGCGTCGTACATAACAGCTCATAAAAGTTTGGCTATAATATTCCTCTTCCCTTGAAATTTTGTGAGAGAGCATCGAAGTGATGTCAAGGGCTACTGAACAAAAATTCGCTAACTTTAACCCTCAATCATCATTCTTCTGTGGAAATTGTCACTCGCTGCAACTTTTGTTGCTTCCAACAGAGTTCACAGATACTGAAAAATAGTCAAGGACATAAAGTGGCCCGATAGAACTCCATAGTGCCTCTCAGGTCGAGAATATCCTTGTAACTAGATTTTAAGGGAGCTCTGACCGTGATCCAGAACTGGTTTAGAAAGAATTCGACTAAGTGATTGTACTGTTAAGTTCTGGAGATTGAAATTAGATTCGTAGTCTAAAAGCGAAGCAGATTGTACATATTATTATTAATCGACTAAAGACATTATGGCAAATCACCAAATCTTGGACCAAAGTAACCCTCTGGAGCAGAGATAGTGGCATTCAATCTTGCTGGGCCTAAACCATCGAGTCCCTCATACATCACATTGTTACCCCACCAGCTGATAGATTTGTCATGGTATTGCACGGCGAAGAAAATAATGATGGCACCAAAGGCGACACCGGCTTGCAAACCTCCACTGAGAACATAGTTGTACTTGGACCACCATGCGAAGTATCTCTTTCTGATAAGGTACATGAAGAAGAAACTGGTGATAAGACCTGGGGTGTAGTAACTCAAGTTGTATGGAGCGTAAATCAAGAAACCACCGATAATCAAAACAGGCTGGAAGAACTTGACGTACTTGTTGTTTCTCCAGTAGATCTTGACAAGAGCACATGGGAAAGCGAGCAAGAAACCAATCAAGAAACACCATTGCAAAATTGGATAAAGACCGTTGAAAACCTTCTTTGGACCAATGACACCCCACAACACAGAAGCAGAGAAGAATGTTCTTGACGCAGGACATTTGAACTTTTGGGGTTGCAATGGAGAACAATAGTCCTTGATAGTGCTGAAGGCCAAGTTCAAAGTTCCTAAACCGACGAATGTGGAAAGCAAAACGGAGATCATTTGGACTCTAAACAAAGCTCTTGGGGGAATTCTCATGTAGTGGCCCATCTTCTGGTCAGAAATATAGTTCTGGGCTTGACCATCAATGTTGTAACCCAAAGCTTTGATGAAGTTCAATGCGAGACCGTTACCTGGAATAGCGTAACCAACAATCAATTCAACCAAAACGTTAAGACCAAACGAGAAACCAGTAGTAGCGTACACAAGACTCAATGGGATCAAGAAAACAAAGTTGATCGCAAGGGCAAAGAAGATACCCCAAACCGGTGTTTCTGCTGGATAAGCCTTGACACAGATAATTGCAAGCACAACACTGATGACAAGGACAATTGCAAAGCACCATTCTGGAACTTCCTTGTATCTGCGCATAGATCTGGAAAATGGGTCGGTAAAGCCATCAAAAGTCGATGCTTTCAAATTGGTGAAAATCTTCTTGAAAGTGGTAAAAGAGTGCCTAAGTTGAGCAAAGTTAGTAATACCAACATAAACAATTGTGAATGGATAAATGGCAAAGAAAGCACCGTAAGACACTAAGTTAGCTGCAGTGTAGAATGGTGGGCCATATTGCTGGTATTTTTCGTTGTCAAAAGTCTTCTTTTCATTCAAGATTTCGCTGATAGCGTATGAGTCGCCAGTATTTGTGAACAAAGCATTGCTGTTGATAGGCAAGAATCCAGTCCATTTGTAGTTCGAGTACCAGACACCAACGATGCAGAAGAATGCAATGATAGAACCAATGTACTGGTTAGCTTGGGAGAAGAAGGGCACGACCAAAGGAGCATTGTAACTGATGACGTTCCAGTCGAAAGTAGTAATCGGGTTCAATCCCAAACCACTGACAGAACCCGTAATAGCGGCCAAGTTGAAACTCTCTGGTTTGATCCAAGTCATCCAGTTGAAAGTAGACAATGCTTGGAAAAGGTAGTCAGGAATCCAAAAGTAGAGGAAAGAAGCCGCACAGGTGATGAAATAGAAGCTGTATCTCGAAATGGTCCAGCCATTGATGTTGGCTTTCTTTTCTGGTTGCATCAAGGCCTTGTTCAAGGCCAAAGTTGGCATAATACTTGGCCAAAGAGCGGTTGTTGGGTAGACAAGGAATTTTCTCATGACACCGGCGAAACCGAAACCCATGAACTGAGTGGAAACAGCCAACAAGAATTGGTAACCGAAGTCCATCCACTTGGTGTCATACCAGGTCTTGATTTTCTGCACTGTGATGTTGTAAGCAACGTAAATGTTACCACCAGAAACCGAGTAGAAAAGAGTAGCCAACAATTGTTCTTTGTGAGTCCAAGGGCCAGGGTTCAAATCCACGGTTAAGCCAAAGAGGTTGAATTTGTACGCTGGCAAAATGTATTGCATAGCAATACCGGTTGGGTAGATGAAAAGTTGAGCCACAGCTGAGTCAAAGGAAATGGAAGGTTGTCTGTCCATAAAGTACTGGTTGATGAAAGCACCGATGATGGTCCAGATTATACCAACAATGTAAGCACGCAAAGTTTCACACGCAATATCTGGATCATCGAATGGGTCACTAACAGCACGCACTTCAGGGTATGGAGACCAGTAGGCAATAATTCCCGCTTCCGTTCTTACTTGCATGGCCCAGTCAATTCCTTCGAATTTTTGGTATTCCAAAGACGACGAAGTGTCGGCAACTGCAGCGCTCTCTTCCATGAATTCGGTCTTTTCGGCCAAAGCATCGTCAAGATTTTTTGTAGGAGCAGCAACAGCCTGGCTCTCGGAGGAATTAACCAAACGCTCAATCAAGTCATAGTCTTCGTTGGGAATGTTCACATCACCAAAGTGTTCCTTGAGGTACTCCTTGAGAATTTCAAGAGCCTCGTCCACTTGCAATGCTTGGATCTTCTCCAACATAAACGTGATGGTAACAGGTAAGTCGTCATACGAAGTCAAGTTGTCCCAACCAAGACGGCTCATAACATAATGTTTTTGGTCAGTGGTAAACTCAGCAGCAACTTCATTGAGCGAAAGTGGGTGGGAGGTGACCGCATGCAAATTGACCTCATGGTCCTTTGGGTCGGCACGGTTCCCAGCACTGGTAATACTGGTAAGATCAGGCTTCTCGGACATTATTTAAAAGTAGATCCAGAGTCAGCAACACAAGTAGTCCTGGTGAGAAGATGAAGAGAGGAAGTTGGATCCAATGGCTCCGACGATGCTTTATATATGCTTATTACCTTGATAAGCACTGGCCGAAAGGAAATCTATGGCTCATGCGGCTTCGTCGCCTTGATTCGCGTGCATGCATGCATTTCTTATCAGTTCCAAGTAGTATCTTCGCAGCATACATTTTTGTAATCGGACATTCATAACGCTACATCCCTACTTCACACATTGTTCAAATTCTCTCGTTTTCGATGTCTTTTCTGTATGATTAGTGCTTTGTTTTTGGCAAGCTCGTCTGTCGCTGCTACGAAATGTGGTGATCTGGTTTGTGGCATCGAGCCAGGGGATTCAAGCCACAGTATTTTATCCCAACCGGATTCGTCGATGCCAGATGGCCGTATGGCTTTTCTAAAGTGACATGCACCTATATGCCAAGATTGAGGTACGTTGTGTGCAGTTTGCAGAAGTGCCATTTGATTTATGCACTTGCGCGCGTATCCGTAGGCTCTTCACGCTTATCATCCAGTTATTTTCAGACGGCTATTTCTTTTAGACATTTTATGTGCTAATTGCTTAGAGACTCTTTCGTTACTGACTTGCGTCAAGATGCATCAAAGGAGTTTATTGTTAGCGCGGGCCCCTTTCTTACTTCGCGGAGTTTACAAGTGTCAGAATGCACAGAGGTGAATTGTGGCTGCCATGGAACGCAATTTGCAGATAACAATGTGACTGCGCGTGACGAGACACTTGATATGCTCTTGTGTGCAGGTCCGGTCTCTGTAAAGAGAAGCCCGGCGCTACTTAATGCAGATATTAAGGCTAACCTGCAGCCGCGTATCGTCTACGCAGAACATTGACCAGCGTACGTCTGCCTTGTCTTCAGGTGACACTATCCTCGAATACTTGGCATCTGGCTCGCCGCGTCTTGGCCTGGCGTATTCTATTTGCTTATTTTGCAACTGAAACACATGTTATCAGCGAAAAAGATGGACTTGGCAGAGCCGTTCGATAGAATTTCTTGGTGCATGTTTTGGTAGTGCTCCTGTCAATTATATACATGTTTGGTCTTCCTCGGCTATCGTTGATGGTACTAGCTGGCTCACCAAAAGAGGACAAAGCCTTACCTTTCGTACGAATGTCAGAGTCATGGCGGTTGGGATGATGTAGTAAAACTCTTCTATGGAATCGGATGAGAAACCATCTGAGTTTGTTTTTGCGAATGATTGGTGCTGTCTGATTACTTGTAAAATGCCTCATTTGTCAGGAAGATACATTGGTTTGAATTCGTTCGGTCTCTGCTTTCATATTTTATGAATTTATTTAATCAATTCAATATTTAATATTGGTTGCCTCTTTTCTTTGAAGGTTTATTGCATTCTTTATGTATACATTCTGGCAAATGTAAAAGCTTCTTCTCCAAAAAAGAAGGGATGTCCGCTAATCAAGTTGACATTATTATATTTGATTGAATTATCTTTGTTCTTTGTTTGAACAATTGATTTACTATTTCTGATGAAGCTCTTTCTGATTATACATTTAGCATATCCAAATTAGCAAATCCTTCTGTCTTTGGTTGTGCCTTCATTGAACTAGTAGCTAAGCATACCATTACAGTTTTCCACTCTATCTCAAAGAAATTGCTACCTTAGGTTCCTTAAAAGCCGTTAACTTATTCTGACAGGTTCCAAATGTGTTAGATGAGACTTATGCCGAGGACCGACGATCATACTTAACGCAAAAAAAAATACTAACCACCAATCTTAGAATTGTTTAAGCATCTTTTAGAGTGATGCTTCATAACTCCAGTAGAAAAGTGCTTAAGTAATTGATCTTAGACTGAATCTACTCTCCTTGGAGTCGCTGGCTTGTACTGTTTCAAAGTGGGTCAACATTATAGTATCTGCAACTGTCATGTGCATTGCATTTGATGCGTATGTATGCACGATTGAGGGTGGGCCACGCGGCTTCACGGCTCTTATCGTGATTGGTGTGTTGAAATCGCGCGTCGCCTAAAAAACGACAACGAAGTTTAATGTAACCGCATGATTAAGATAAAGGATGGTCGAAGCTTTCTGGTCCGTATTTATCCACCCATAGAATTAGCAAATGCATTGCGTCTTTCGCCATGAGTTATGATCCGCAGCTCTAAAGCTAGATACTGTATAGACAAGGTTTATGGTGCATTTTTGAACGGACCGTTTTAAGTGCTAGTTCAATCGGTGCAACTGGAGCCGGATTTTCTTGGGCGTTTTTCCAGTCAAGGCACTCTGCGTATGTTGCTCTTGTCAAATTAAGCGCACCTACATTCTAAGACAAGGAGTACCACTTGAGAAGTAGGATCCGGGGTACCGTAGATAACCCACTGAACTCAAATAGGACAATTAATGATGTGCGAAGAAGCAATTGCAGCTGCATTCATTGGTCCTGGTGAATACAAAGTGCGTATATAGTAAGGTCTGCTTTTCTGCACAATAGTGCACTTTTGATGTTGTTTCCCCGCAAAATATTTTTTTTAAAATACAAAACAGATTATTCACTAACGAACGTTAGAAATTTCGCCCATGTCATTTGCATATCTATGATGTATACAAGTCTAGTGGATACGGTGGAGTAGTATTCAGATGACATGAAAACACCAGAACCTCCCCACTATCTAACTCGCGCTAACTGAGTAACGGTATTTCCTAATCTCCACTGGTACATTGCTTTCTGCTTTTCTCTACTTTCACTATCCATCGTCGTATCTGGCTATCATATACTATGTTAAAGACACTTTCTCGCCACAGATTTGTCGCATTGCGGTCCCGACGACAACTATCTTTGAGAATAGCCATGCCTTTCGGATATTTCTTGCCAGCAGCCGGATCTGCCCGTGAATATTACAATCTTCCGTTTCTAAGTCACCTGAGAAGCCTAACGTCGACGGCAAGACGGTTCAATGAAGAGAAAAACAGTAATGAAGAGAAAAACAGCGATGCAGCGATTTCAGAGACACATGCGGCTGATCAAGAAAAGGGCAACAATACAGAAGATGTTGCTCCGGCGGATGATTTTCTCACGACGATATTCGATAGTATGGAGCCTTACATCGACACCTATGAAGTCTACAAGCAGCTCACGCGAGCAGGGTTCACGGCGGAGCAGAGTAACGAGATTATTGATTTGTTGGTGTATCAGCTCAACACCAAACTCTCCAAACTCTCAACAAAATACTCACAGATTTACGAGTTGGAGAACGAGCAGTACTTGTTTGAAAGTGCCCAGCAAGAGTTGCGGGTTGACATCACCAGAAACCGAGAGCAACATATCAACGATGCCGTCACGAAAATTAATGCTCTCGAAACAGACTACGAGGTGATTAGTGACGAGCTCAACAACCACTTTATCCAAATGAAAAACGATGTACAGGTGGCCATCAACGACCAGAAGTCGGACAACACATTGAAAAGCAAGAAAATCATGCTTCGCATCCAGGAAACAAACCACAAAATTACCACAGAACTCAACATGGCCATGCGATCTGAAATCGAGAGTTTGCGCTGGCACTTGTCTCGCTGGGGTTTGATTGCCATCATGGCTTCTGTATGTGCATCGTCCGTCACGATCTATGTGTACCGGATCAAAAAGGAACGGGCGAACTCGGCCAACAACGAGTTCGTTCCGCTTGTCATATATGAGCCCAGTGAGTTTGACGAGGATGACTATCATGCCGATCTAGATCCCAATGCTATATAAACGTTGGAGGTCCAAGAAGACAAGACAATGAGACAAGGGCGCTTTACATAGAGACTACTACGTATATTCGAATGAATACTGGAAGCTCGTCAGGTTGACACAAGTAGAAGAGTCCTTTTTTAAGCGAGAAATGGAAGATTGCCAGGAAAGCAGATGTACTGTAAGTAGTGTGTGGTCACATGACCTGCTCTGGTCCTATCATTTGTGAGAGCAAGTAAAAAGCTTCATAAGCACCTTCTTTTCTCATGTCCAAACCAGAATCGTGCGACGAGAACGCATGCAAGCCATTTGCTTGCGCCATTCAAGATTGCTTGATTGAAAACGGATACAACGAGTCCAAATGCACAAAGGCCATAGACAACTTGTACAAGTGTTGCAAGCAGTTTTACGAGGAAAACGGGCCCGACGCAGCCAGTGTGTGCTGCCCGAAATTCAATCTTTTGCAGCTCAAGTTGAAGCAGCGGCTGTTGGGGAAAATCGACGCCGAGCTCATACAATCAAGAAAATAGCTACAGACAAGAAATGTAAGTTGAGAGCCGCGTAGCCATTCATAGAAATGGCTCGACATAAAGGCCGGAAAAACTCGTTCATCTAAGGCTTACCCGAGCACGAAGAACCACACAGTGGCATAGATTGCATGTGGAAGAAGTCATGCAAACCGTGACTCTAATGGGCGCCTATAAAGACATTGTATAGAGAGGAAAATCTTTTGCTTGGAGGAAATGCGAAGACATATATACAGTGGGTGTTGTGCGGGTAACTCGCACATTGAGGTCTAGAAAGACCAACACGACATATGTAGGCAGAGAAGAGACATATGCCTATTTTGAAGGCTATAGCTTTCAGCCGAATAGATTGCTTGTAGGCCCTTTTTTGTCAATGTTACGGCAAACGGGAATTTAGGGCTATTTTTTTTTTTTTAGCCCTATGGGTTCTTGTCGTATTCCCTATAGTTGGGCAAGTACTTGTTCAATGGCGAAGAATCTTCTAGCCACATGGCCAGACCGGTCAAGTTCTGGACGGAGTTGTTGATTTTCACGTGTTTTTCAAACTCCAGAATCACCTGGCTGATTTCTGCTGGCTCCACGCCCATGTCTGCTAGTTGCTTGCGTAAAAGCGCAATGTGGAGCGCCATCTTGAAGCAACGTTTTGATATTTCTAGCCGCTCATTCAACATCTGGAGGTCCTGCTGCTTTCTGGCATTGAGAAAGTTCTGCTGCTGGAGCTGGATCGTCTTCAAGTTGATTGCTGTGGTTTCCGCGTTTAGCTTCTCTAGCTTGACTCGGTTCGAGTAGTTGTCGACAGCAAGGTATGCCAACGTGAACATTGCAATCACAGACGAAAGGTCTCGCAACGAGCGAGTCAGCGGTTGGTGTTCCTGGCTGTACTCTGAGTCGGATGGTTCTAATGGGACATCTTGTGTCTCAGATGGTTTCTTCTGTCCGTATGGCGGTGGAAAAGACGAAGGGTTGCTGAAATGGGAAGGTGGTACTTGAAGAGCACGTGCAAAGCGGCGGAGCATTGGTTGGAGTAGTAATGGGAAAGAAATGCTGGGGAAACCTGCAAGTAATTTGTAAGCGCAATAGTAAATGCGCGATCAGAAAGGTGTATAAAGTGGAGGTGATATTGGAACAGAGAATTAGTGGATCAAGGAGACTCGGGTTGAAAAAAGGTCAGTAAAGGCAAAAATGGATGGACGATTGAACTCATCGCATATGTAATGAGAGTAGAAAAATACGGTGCTTAAGAAGCGATAGTTTTCCTATACTCTCTTCCAATTAATTGCAAGTTCACATAATCTTGTCATACGTCATCGAGCCTGCTCAATGGGCACGAGCCATCGGTAATGTTTAGCCTGTCCCTGAATTTGTTGAGTATTCAAGCTCACTTATAAGATATTAAGCAATCCCAAACGCTTCACCCAATTGTCCCATGAATGTTCAGCACTCGGGTTCGCATTCGCATAGGGTAATCGAAGGTCAATCTATGTTTCCCTTTGTGATTCATTCCCTAGAATTTTCAAAGACTTTAATGACTTCAATACATCTGTGCACTGACAATGCATTCTGTACAAGCAATGGTAACGTGCTAATATTCTCTGTCAAATTCCATACAAACTATGTGTGTGTTTTGAGAACAGTAGTTACCATGCAAAGACGACTTCAAAGGCAATACCCTGGCCTAGCTCTTGTAATGTTTAGGCTGTGACCTCATTTTTACATCAACCAGCTTCACTGGACACTTGATTTCTACCATACGTCTCTTCACTATACAACTTAACGAGCCTTACCCTCAGCAGCCTTGATGAACAAGATGTCACCGTCCTCCACAATGTAGTCTTTACCCTTCATCATCAACTTACCAGCGGCCTTGACGGCGTTCTCATCGCCAAGCTCCACCAAGTCATCGTACTTGGTAACCTGGGCCAAAATAAACGTCTTCTCCAAGTCTGTGTGGATAGTACCAGCGGCCTGAGGTGCAGTGAAGTATCTTCTGATGGTCCACTCTCTAACTTCATCTGGACCTCCGGTGAAGAAGGAAATCAAGTCCAACTTTTGTCTCATGGTGGTGATGATTTTTGGCAAAGCAGACTGGGCGCCGATTTCCTTACAGTAAGCCTCTCTTTCTTCGTCTGTCTCCAAGCCAGCCAAGTGCGACTCCATAGAGACAGAAAGTGGGATAATCACATCGCCTGGAGAGTTGGCATCAACCCACTCTTTGATCTTCAACAACCACTTGTTCTTCTTTCTGACGTAGTCTCTCTCACTCAAGTTGAGCAAGTAGATACATGGCTTGGCAGTCAAGAGGAACATGCTGTTGATAACCTCCACCTCTTTCTGTGTCCATTTCTGGTTGGCCACTCTGCCTCCATCTTCCAACAACTGGATGATTCTCTTAACTAACTCGGCTTCCTCCTTCTTTTGCTTGACTTCCAAAGACTGGCCACCTCTTCTGGTGATTTTCTCGATACCTTCTAAGTGCTTTTGAGCAAACTCGATATCCTTCAATCTCAACTCATCCTTGATGATTTCCAAGTCGGCAATTGGGTTGACTTCGTCGTTGATGTGGATAATCTCAGAGTCCTCAAAACATCTGACCACCTGGTAGATGGCATCGACGGCTCTAATGTTGGCCAAGAAATTGTTACCCAAACCTTCACCCGCATGTGCACCTTTGGTCAAACCAGCAATGTCGTAAATGGTCATAAAGGCAGGAACTTCGGACTTAGGCTTGTACAACTCACATAATTTGTCAAAACGAGGAGAAGGAACAATGACTCTGGCTTCTTCTGGGTCGATGGTAGCAAATGGATAGTTGGCTGGGTTACCCAAAGGACATCTGGTGATGGCTTGGAAAAAAGTGGACTTTCCGACGTTGGCCAAACCAACAATTCCGGATTTCAAGTTGTTACCTGGTCTTCCAAGCAAAATTGGTTTTTCGACGACTCCCTTCTTCTTTGGTGGCATTTTGGATTCTGTGTGACTGAGGAAAAAGTACTAAAATTTTTCAGACCATGCGAGTGCTCATAGAGGAGTTGCTGGGGTCACGTGCCGAGTTTTAGGGTAGGTTCTGCAACGTACATTTCTACAACACTTTTGCTTTTTCAACGTTTGTGTTGGATGGTAGCTGGGTTTCTGTATTTTCTAGATCGGTTTGTGAGTCCGTTTCTGGTGTGCTGAAGTCGGAGCATACGCTTTTCCACACATAAGTGAGTGTACACGTATCAGTTTTAGAGAACAAAATGTCACCGAGTTACAATGGGTTTACTTGTGCTGATTTCGTTCATATGGCATATTTTCTGCCAAATACTAGCCCTTGAAGTCTATTTGTTAGCATGGTGGGTTTGTCACTAATTACCAGTGTGTTCTGGTTTTCGCACACTTATCTTCTTTTTCTTTTCAACCCACTACTGATCTTGAACCGATAATGTTGTCTCAAGCACTTCGCCTCAAGCTTCCCTCAAGACTTTTCTCCTCTACGATAAGCAGCCTCGACAAGTCCTCTGTTCCTGCTGGCACAGTATTGAACTTGAAAATCAGAAAAAACGGAGATGAGCCAGTGGCTTTAGAAGACAGCGAATATCCTGAATGGCTATGGGAATGTCTCGATAAGGAGAAGCAGGAACAGCGTTTGAAGGAACAGGACTTTATGAAATGGAGAAAAAAGCAAATCAATAAGGCCAACACTGCCAAGATCAAGAACAACAACTTCATTTCCCAAATGTGATTTTCGGTGAACAATCGTGTACATAGAACTGCAAATACAGACTACTTATAGGTGCCGGTCGTCGTAGATTACATGATTACAGATACAATGATTTTTGTGCTTCGTTCATTTGATCCTACCATGGATTAGAGTCGATGTCTTCTGCTCCCCATTCTTTGTGGGCAAGAGTCAGTGGGGGCTCCATCTGCTTGAAAAGCTCAGCTCTTTTGAATGTTTTTTCTTCGTACTTCTCTCCTGTCTCTGGTGCATAGTCTTGCGAAGCATTTTCGGCATTTTCGTTGACATCCTCGTAGACGTAGGTGTCATTCACGCTATCTTTGTTTTGTGTCAATATTTCATCCACATCATCTAAAACAGAGACAGGTAACAGAGGCTGGTATTTTTTCGCTCTGAGCAACTTTACACCTCCTAGGCCGGCGCCGTAGTTGACAATAAGTTCGTTCAAGTTGGGGAGGGTCACCGCAAAGACATAGTTTGGGTTCAAGTATATGTACACTTCTTTCAGCAAGAAAGTTGACTGAGTCATATAATGCAAGCCCGTCTGAGAAACCAGGTTCTCGCCCTGCTCATTCATGAGGCTCTTCAAGTATTGCACAAGAGGCTTAGCAAGTTTAGGCTCGTCCACCTCGTATCGGTATAACTTGTTTGCCACCTTGAAAATCTGATAGTAGTTGAGATGGCTAAACTCGTTAATCGTGTTGACTAAAGACTCTTCGTCCTTAATGCCAGACATCACCTGAAGCCACTGTAATAACTCTATTGTCGGCAACAAATGCGTTTTTCCAATGTAATAAAGTGACTTGTATAAGAACGATAACGACTGAATGTCTTTGGTATTCTCTTTATCGGTCAAAACATTGGTGAGAGGCAATGTTCTCTGTTCTTCATTCAAAAGAAGCTCGAGTCCTCCTATCCGGTCTGGTCTGTAAATATGATAATTGTGTGAGCGAAGCCAATCTTCTAACGCAGAAATGTTGAGGCGAATTTGGATGGCTTTCACTCTGGAGCAGTTCTTAGAGTTGGCTATAACGCGATTGAAAAGAGTGGCATTGATGTAGTAAAACACCTGTGAGTAAGTTTGAAAGCGTAACAACGGATCAACAGCATGCAATTTTAAGACGTAATCTAAGGCACCCAAAACCTGGATGTACTTGACCGGAGAAGGCTTCATCAATTCCGCTTCTTTTGGAGGATACAACATATCTAAAATGTCGTCGTAAGAACTTGGGTGTTTCTTGTTTTTGTTCTTGAAAAGGTTCCAGTCTTTGGCATACAAAGCATTAGACACGTCAACCAAATTAGTATAATTAATTAAGCAGTCATCCACTAGGAGATTGAGGCGTGAATTAATTGAAAAGGATAGCGTAGCCACGAGAGACTGGGTTAAGTTTATCAACTCTTGAAGGTAACGTGGAAATGCGTGGTAGATGCGGCCCTTGGTGAAATAGAAATGTAGAAACTGTAAGACTGAAAGCCAATAACTGATCAATACGATATCACCTGCGCCACCTGCTGCATTCTTTTCATTGCTCAGGTCCGAAGTTGTAATCGCCATATTAAACACACCAGACTTTGTATTTGTCACCGACCTCAAGCGAGCCACAAAACAATCAAAGAGAAAATCTGTCAAGTCAGCACTATCCACCTTATCATGCGAATATCTCATGAGCTGGAATAAGATTGCTGCTGGGATTTTTGTCTCGTGTTGATGTACTGTGGAGTTAATGCGCAAGTTGAAGATGTAATCAAGCAAAGATGGAATGTCCGAGTCAGAAAACTTGATACACTGCTCTGGAAGAATCTTGTCGTAATCGTATGTTGGAGTTTGGACCAACTCTGTATCGTAAGCTAATTCTGCTTCTTCATCCATCAGCTCCTCCTCCACAGAGTCGTTGCTAATGTTGCTGGAAATTCTAATTTGATCTGCCAAGTTGTCTACTTCGTGGTTGTTGGCTGACATTGGGGAGTTATAAATTCCATCTTTGGTCGCCAGTGCAGAAAAAAGATTATGGCCCTTGAAGAATTCGTAGATGGCCGGCATTTCTATTGTGACAAGCGAAACTGCATTCTTCCCGTCGTCTTTTGGTGCCAAATATGGGTCTGCTTGGTAATCTAGAAGTAATTTGACCATAGGCAAGTTTTCAAAATGCACCGCCCACATAAGCGGTGTATACTTTGGTCCTTCTGTGTCATAAGCGTCTGGGTCGGCTTGGTAGCGGGATAAAAGCGTTTCGGCGATGGAAATATGATCAAACACTATGGCAAAAACCAAAAGCGGATATCCTGTCATTTCGGTGAGAGACAGTCGCAAGATCTGCGGATCTGAGTGCACAATTGATTCGAAAGTGACCATGTCATTTTCACAAACAGCCAAGATCAACTCTCTCTGGGACTGAATCGATGACGAATCAGCTTCGGCTCCAGACGCTAGTTCCAAGTCACTCTGAACGGATTTTTTTGCATCTTGCACACGGGCAAAAAGTGGGTCGGCATGCTTCAAAATTGATGTGGCTGGAGCCAGAAATGGCGAAGTGTTGGAGTCCGCCCAGGCATCCATAGTTAAATACCGTGAATTATTATTGTCAGGATTGCTCGGTTTAAGACCGGCTATGCGTACACGTGACCTGTCAAACCCATAACCAAACCAATGGAAAGAAACATACTTGAGTTTGACTGAAGGGAGAGAACAAGCATTCAATATCTTAAATAGAACTTTAATCGTTTGGATACTGTTGGATTACGGGCGTGAATTGGAAACTGTGTAAGGTATACAGAAGATACAGAAGGAATACGGGAGGTACGGAAAGGCATTGGATTTTGGTTTTATTAATGAGCGAAGCTGAAATTTGCTTTCTGAAAAGAAAAATTTGGGTAAGATTGAATTTTTATTCGAAATATTCGAGTGCTGTTGTTTTACGTTTTGTCAGAAATTAGAGTAGTTGCAGGCATAATGTTAATTCGCACCAGTCACTGAATAATATTACAGAAGATACAAAGCTCTCAGAAAAAAACACCATGAAGTGGAACAGAAGATAAGAACCCCAAGAGGATCAACCCTTACAATACCTAACTATTCACATTTAGATTTGGAAAATCCTCAAAATCTAACGTCCTCTGACCACCACGAAATATTGACATACAATCAGTTTCAACCAAAGAGATGATATACGAAGGTATACACTACTAATGGGCTAATCGTAAACGGTTGAAATCACCGAGGCTTCAAACAACCGTCGTTTCGGTTTTTCCAACGTATCATTCATATTCTCTCCTTTGTCTTGTTCTTTGATTAATCCGCATTACCTGATACCATAACCTGTACTACCGTCATAAAGTGTTATCAGCCAATGCAAAATCATCTCATTGATGGTAAATGTCTCTCTCAAATGTATAGCTTAAACGACACACTTCACTAGAGTGTATGTTGGCGTGACTAAGAAAGGTCAACGATTCCGCGCCGATTCCGCACAAGACCTTTATCAAAGGCTGTATTACTAATTGCGCGAGTGTCATTTGGTCTTTCAATACAAGAGCCTATTCCAAAATACGATAAAACACAAAACCTGGAAACTGTTCACTTCGAAAAACTATCAATACGGACAGATCAACCTTATCGAATTCTCCTTAATCGTCTCGAGTCATCTTCTTCATCTACTCCTGCATAACTTTTCTATCATCATCGCCACTTGGAAATCTCTTTGCACCCACAGCCATGAGTGCTATTCTTTCTGCAGACGATCTCAACGACTTTATTTCGCCAGGTCTAGCGTGCATTCAGCCCGTGGAAAAACTTCCGCCCATTAAAGAGGGCAAAGCAAAGCCCCCAGGATCCGAGCTAGGAGAGGCGGAGGATCCGGAAGTTTCGATCGAAAGCGACCATAGCACATTGAAGCAAGCCCAGATTTCGCTTGCAGACTGTTTGGCGTGTTCTGGATGTATCACTTCGGCAGAGGAAGTGTTGGTGGCCCAGCATTCGCACGAACAGCTTCGATCTGTTTTGAAAAAGAATGAACACATTTTTGTCGCCAGCATATCACATCAAACCCGGGCGTCGTTGGCGCATGCGTACGGAAGGCCAGTTTCCGACATGGATAAACTAATAGTGGCTTTTTTCCGGCGCTTGGGGTTCAAATACGTTGTGGGTACAGCGGTTGGACGAAAACTCTCCATGGTTCAAGAAGCACAACGCATTTTGCGTGAGAAAGACACAAATTCGCTCAAGGGTCCGGTTCTTTCATCTGTCTGTCCTGGATGGGTCCTCTACGCAGAGAAAACTCATCCTCATGTGCTTCCATACATGTCTCCGGTCAAATCACCACAGCAAATCACTGGATGTATCCTCAAAACGTTATCGGCAGAAGAATTGGCTGTGCCAAGGGAGAAAATCTACCATGTTGCTGTGATGCCTTGCTTTGACAAGAAACTTGAGGCAGCAAGACCTGAAGCTGATGAGTCTCTTCTGGGCCCGGACGTTGACTGTGTAATTACGGCGAAAGAGCTCGTTTCACTTGCCGAAGCCATGGGTCATCTGATTGTGGAAATATCGGAATCCGATGACAAAAAAAATCTGAAGTTGAAGTCCGAGCAAGGTGATATGGTCGATTGTAATTCAAAAGATGACCCTAGCTCTCTTTTCAGGCTGTGCGCCCCCTCTCGCTTTCCCTTTGCGGAATTAAGTTGGGCCAACGATCTGGGATCAGAGTCCGGCGGTTGGGCACATAACTACTTGCGTTTGGCTCAACAGCACTTTATTTCCAAGAACCCAGACACTTATCAGGCCGCAGATTTTTCGATTGCTTGTGTGGGCGGACGTAATTCTGATGTTTATGAGTGGCGCCTTACTCATGGTGGATCTACATTAGCATCCGCTGCGGTGGTGAACGGTTTTCGCAATATCCAAAACTTGGTTCGCCGTCTCAAAACCTCCAAGACTCCGCTTGTCCGGCGGCGCAGAAAGAGAACCGAAGCTGAGGAGTCCGCTGAAGAGTCGGCGGATCCGGCTCGCTGCGACTATGTGGAAATCATGGCCTGTCCAGGAGGATGTATTAATGGCGGAGGTCAAATCTCAGCTCCTCAACCGACCCAGGAAAAAGAATGGTTGACTGAAGTTCGGGCCGCTTATGCTGACATAAACACGGTCGATTTAGTGTCGACGCCAGAGTTGATCCAGCGTCTTGTTGATGCCAGCAAGAAATTTGAACAAGATGTTTCGCCCCAGCGTCTTTTCCAGACCCAGTTCCATGAAGTCGAAAAACCAACAGACCCCAATGCTGTATTGCTTGGTGCTAAGTGGTAGTCAAAACCACCAAGAATAGCAATTTCATGGTTATCACGATAGCAGAACCTAAGAGGTCAGGTCTCTGGATTTACCATACATTTCAACTGCTGGTGGCAGGTCTCAAAATTTATGGGATTGGAATGCCTAGTGTCAGGCAACTACCACCACGTATTATTTATTATCACACTCTGGTTTCCGGCGATTTCATTCCGGTGCTGGCTTTATAGAGCTGATTAATTCAGGAATAATTTATAGAAGGAAAACAATCAATTATGCACTTTTGTAGACAAATGAGAGGAGTTAGAACTCCAAAGAGCAGAAAAAGTGTCACCAAGAAGCATTGACATTTTTCAATAGACGTTTTTCACAATAGAATTAAAATTAGCCATCTAAGAATCAGCTTGCACCTTTTAATAGAGGCCTCTCTGAACATGATAAATACCGGTTACGCTTCGAAATTTTTTTTTTTTCAGCTTCTAACTTGCTTGCATAGTTGATTCATCTTGCATGACTGCCTTTAATGTTGAAACAGTTCCATAAACCGTTCGACAGAAACCATGAATCTATTGTAGATCCCCTTCCTTCATGAACTTTTCTCCTAGACACTGGAGTTTAAAGATTTCAGTCTCCTATCAGAAAAGGATTGGATGGGAATTTTAGACTTAAAAACTCACTACGCTACAGATGAAAGGCGGAAGTCAAGAAGATACGCAAAATGGTATTATCTTGTGACGTAATGAATTGTAATTGTTGATTTTCGATAATGCAAGAGCCTGTCTAATCTCGTCAGTGCGTACTATAGCAAGGGAAGACTACAATAATGCCATGAATGCATTGTTCACAATTACAATGTACCACCAAAAATTTCCAATGTCCTACCTAACAAGATTTTCCTTAGTCTGTTTTGCTTAATCCGCTTTGCCTGGGCTAAAGACAAAATTTAGCCTAGAAAAAATTAAGCCTAGAACAGAGCTGAGACTGCATTTATGGAGAAGATCTGTCCAGAGTGTATATGAAATACTAGACCACTTTTATCAGCCTTCACATTTATCAGTCTCTGGATTCCGTATTGACATGTTTCGAAGAGCACTACCTGCTGCAAGAAATTTTGGTTCACAATTAAGGACCACGAGAACATTTTCTCTTTCGGGTGCATTGCTAGCAGAGACCAAATCATCAAAGACCAACCGTTTCGCATCAAAGTACAAAAAGTCAAGCTCCGGTAACAAGAACGGCCCCAGACACGATAATGCTCCGAAAAAGTTCCGCCAAGGCGACACGCGGACGAAAACTATAAGATTCAACTTTGATTCAGGAAGTGAAAAGGCGAAAGAAGCCTTGAAAGATCTCATCAAGCGAGTGCACGGGTATAGCCCAAACTACCAGGTTCAGTTTGTGGATCCGCAAACAAACAAACTCAGAAAAATGCATTTGGTGGAACTCGTCAACTCCACAGATCTCGACAAAGACGGTTTGCTCATGGTGGGCCCTCTGTCTGCACAAGAAATGCCCTTGGTTAGAACTATTCGGGTCCAAGATATGATTAAGGAATATTCGGACAGACTAGCTTTAGCAAAGGAGAAAGAGCTCTTGGCTCTGGGCAGTGTGATAGCACAAAGGGTCATAAACAAGCGGATGCAAGCAGAAAAGAAAAAATCTGCCACCAAAATGTTGGCGCTTTCGTGGTCTATTAGTGTGAGTGACTTAATGCACCAGAAAAAGAACGAAATCTTGAAGAGAGTGGACAACAATGAGAAATTCATCATCTTTGTGGGAGAAAAAGAATCCTTGTATAGTGCCCGGAACAGTGTGGAAAAAGAAGACGGCATCGCTAGTCAATTGGGCACATCTCGCACCAAATGGGATCGCATGGACGAAGATGAGCTTGCAATGGAAATGAAGAAACGAGAAATGATTTTTGGGAAGCTTGAAGAGCTTTTGGCCGAATGTGAGTGCAAGTACGATGTTTCAGGATCCCTCGACGCCCGCATGATGTTGAATGTGACACCTAAACCAAACGTCTCCAAAGCCAGCGAGAAAGAGACAGAGGTTTCCGCAAGAGAGTTGAAGAGACAAAGAATGTTGGCCAAAAGCAGAGAGGCGGCTAAAGCGAAGAAGAAGATCGACGAGGAAGACTTGGACTCGTTGTATCTGATTAAAATTATCGAATGACCTTGTAAATAGACAATTTACGATTACGATTAACGAGAGCATACTCAAAAATCCTCGAAAATCAGTCCTCTCAAATGGATGAATCCGCTAGGCTTGGACAATAGATCAATTTTTATGGACTTCCTGTTTGGTCAAGTTGTATGAGCGGACCGTCTTCATCCTGCCACAAACCCACATTCGTCTTCCAGACCGAAATCATCCACCAGAATAAGATTAGGATATGGTCAGAAGTTAAAAACATGGTAGCAACATTATTAAAAGATATTAATCGTACTGATTAGCATTGCATTGAAGCTAGTACACTTTTGTCTCCAGGATACGCAAATCAAGCGTTTACATCTGCTCATCCGTTCACCTCTATTAATTAACACTTCCATATGTACTTGAACCCTCGCCACGAGAAACATTCAACTGATTCTGAAGTCGTTTCGCCCGCAACTTTTGCACCTTGTACCCATACTCGTGGCCGCCCACAAGCTCATCCACTATAGGATAATTAATCAACTGCTTGACCTCTGTCTGGTCTAAATTGTAGTTGTTCACAACCTGCGCCGCCACGCCATAGTAAAGTTCATCTTCATCTAAGTTTTCTTCTGAATAATCGATATCCGGCACTGCCCGTGCCAATGCATCCACTATATTTTCACCATCGTGTCTCGCCTGTGACTCCAAGGACGGCGATCCTGGAGGTGAAAGCTGGACCGAAGGTGCTAAACCTTTCGTGGAGCTTGCCAGATATATGGAATCAGCATACACCGCACGAGGCGGAAGCGCATTGATCTCCGATGTACTTTGAATATCCGAGTTGATGGCCGTGGGGATTGTTGGCAGAGGCAACCAGTGCTTCTGTTTTCCGTTGGGTTGATATCGGAGACCTTGATTGATTCTACTCATTCTGGACTTAGAGGTAGGATGAGCGATCATTGCGTCCACAGAGTCAAATTGCTTGTAGTCCTTGTAGTAGTCGCCATAGAAAGTGAGGCGGAAGTCAATCACAAGGTCCTTGATGCCAATCATGTCTTTGAAAGCGTAATAGAGCCGTAAACGTCCACTAGGCATGCGCGAGATGGTGAACGGCTTATACGAGAAGGACATCCAGTGGCCAAACGCAAATGCTATAAGCTCGCAGCATAAAAGAGCGTTTTGGATCGAAACACCAATGTTGGGAGCTCCATTTTCATCCTCAGAACTATTGCCCGGCAAGAAACCAGCAAAGTTGAGCACTGCAAGCAAAACACCCTGCCAGTAAGATGCAAAAATGATGAGCTTGACACAGAGGAACTTGCCCACAGGGTTAAAGGGCTTCAAGTCTGTCCACAAGATCTTCCAGAAAATGGCAAGACAATAGAGCGAGAGCGAGACGCTGAAGTTGTAGACGATAGTAAACCACAAATAGAGCGATTTGAGTCCCAAGTCATTGACGTCGTACCACCCTAGCATCTCCAGAAGAAGGACACCGAAACAAATGAAGGGTTTGAGCCAAACATACTGCAAAATGCCTCTTTTGATGCCTAGAAGCGTCCTTGGGTCCAGGATGTCAAGTTTCGGCAAGATAAAGCGCAAAAACCCCGGATGGGCAACAGGAGGCCTCCCGCTGGTCATGATCACAATGCTTTTCGCTCCTCCTAGCATGTCCGTAAGTAGTGAGAAAAAAGTGTAGATGACAAACGCTTCGTAAATCTCTCGAAGAGGCTCGATGATGAATTTATTATACACCGCCGTAGGATTCACAAGCATGGAATAACACGACAAGGCAAACATGGGCACAATAAGTTGGATGCGGATCATGAGCCGCTGTTGAAACGGTTTTCGGTAGTTGAGAAGATGCATGAAAATGGAGATAAAAATGATTAGAGCAGAAAAGAGAGCCGACCATCCAGAGACAGAGACTACCCAATGAGGAAGGGTGATTGGAGTGTCTTCCATTTCCGCTCACTTAGTAGGAAAACAGGACGCTTAGTTGATATGGAGTATAAGGTGTGCAGGATTGGCAATCTTGGGCTTATGGCTGAGGCAGAAAAATATGTACCAGAATTTTGATCGTTGAAAACAAAGAGCAAGTTGAGAAAAGTTTGTCGGTCGAATTTATTTCACAGGGGAGATGGAGAAAATAAAAAAAGTATGACATTTTTGAGCCCATTAGTGTTATTGGATTGTATTGCCTGGGGTTCTGAAATTTGGTGATGTCAAGTCAAATGTCACCCTTGGATACGTTCTTTGCTCATCTGTTCCGAATGGATCCAGATAACTTTGCTTGAAATTGGGCGCAGACTGATATACAGCTAAATCTTCTTCGTAGACTAATTTCCCTAGATTATACCCATTTCACTTGTCGTAAGTGTCTACTTACGTTGATTCTCTGTACAACTGTTGATACGAACTGTAGAGATTGCGAACTCGACGTTAAATTAAATCAACCATTATATAATGTAATTCCTGGTGTTATATATATTACATCTATTGACGTTATTAATAATGTTAATGTAAATACTATACTTATAATACTGTTAGGTCAACCATACAGGAGGACCTGGAGGTAGTCCAGGTTCCAGTTCCGGTTATGGTACCTACCAAATAAGCCAGGTGGTCTTATCTGTCTCGATTACGTAAGCTTCGCCGTATGAGATAAGAATCATAACCCTATTTACTACGTCTATAAGAATGCTGGCTTCCCCTGTATTTGGAAGCCAGGAACCAAGAAGTTCGGACTAGAATATACACTGCCAATTGTATTCAGAACCTAACAAATACCTAATCTATTAATTGCTATTGAATGTCCTTTTATTGGTCCTATTATGATCTTTCCCACAATCTTAGTAGATCCTACGTGGAATGTGGTAAAAACAGTTTAGTTAGAGTCAGGTGAGTGACTGAGTCTTTCTTACCCTTCTGTTGCCATGGCAAATCTGCCAAGCGTATCGGATTGAAAATTCTTATCGAAATTGACTATTCAACCAAGCAGCTATCTCGAACTGCAATTTTCAAAGACAAAAACTGTGGCTCTTTGGCCAGGTATATTAAGGCAAGGCAATAAGGCACGGTACGGCAAAATAGAATTTCGGCTAGGTAATTTCGGCTAGGTACAATTCCGTACAAATGAGGTCGGCACCAGACGAACGTAAAATCCGCTCCCAAAAGATCCTACCGGTTAAAAAAGACTCTAGTAATCATGCGATATCAGGCTTTTTCTAGGAATGCTCCATATGCACCGGCAGTTCCTAGCAGACATGATGTGAAAGGGCAGAAAAACAAAAGAAGAAAATGTTCAACAGAACGAAATCAGAGTAAATCAAGATAAAGGATACAAGTTTATACATGAAGGGGTACGACGTGATTTAAAAATATCCGTAGGACCAACGCTTCCGAGATTAATGTGAGATTGACACATTTTTACAGGCATGCATAATTTCCGCATTCGGCAAGTATAGGAGCACAACAGGAGCACAGCGGTCTAGTAAAAAGGAGGACCAGGGCCCATAATGGAAATTACTGTGGTGCAAATTAATAAAATCCGGGGTTATTTTAAGAGCTGTGGAGTCTAGTATTCTCCGGTGGGGTACTTTCTGATGTTGCGCAGTAGTGATCCGAGACGGTTGAGAAAAATGAACGAACATGACAGTGATTGGATAAAGCGACCGTAGATGATTTTTGAGCTGGGATAGTCCTAGTGAATGTTGTGTTTAGAATTGTCAACCATACATGCTCTGTCATCACCTGTTGCGATAAGCGAAATGCGAGGAAGTTAGAGGATTGTCTAAATATAGCTTTGAGTTGATGTTAAATTGATAATCTGAGCTTAGAGATGACGTTCATAAACTACAGCGAACCAAGATTGGACACGATAATAAGAGATCCTGGCACTGGGGGATGCACGTCAGCACTTCTGTATCGACTCAGAAATGTCTCACTTTATTGAGCGTTGACAAAGTTGGAACAAGACAATCACATCGTGTCAACTTCCATCAACACAGACGTGGAAAAGCCTTCGGCCATGTCGGAAGCTAAATAGAAAGTCAGACGAACCAAAGGCAGTTATTAGTCATGACTCGCTACGTCCGCGGATTGTCTTCTTTCGGCATGCAGCATATGCCATACGGCGCATGACTCAAACCGATATCAAGGCTAAAGTCAAACACCACAACTCCACATATTTGATTATACTGCAAAGCCGCAAAGCTCCATATGACAGAAGCACACCGTAACAAAATAGAAAACGTACTCGTAACCCATCGAAAAGCAATTCTGCTTGGACCCGAATTCGCAAAGAGCCTTGTGGATAATGCAGGGCGAGCAAATCAGAAGACGTCCTGCGAAGAAAGCGATTGTATGCACAAATTATGACAGATTCTCTTCGCACCGCGCTAAAAATGGAGCCGTTCGAACACTGGTGCCGCACCCAATCCTGCCTATACGCGGATTCTAACCGGGTGATGGCCCCATTGGTCAAAGTGCCGCATACTACATCGCCATATCCCGTGATAAGACTTGTCATCACCAGGAAGAAAAACCCAAAGACAGCAGTCAAAAAACTCAAGGACGCCGCTTAAAGGTGACAGCAAACAGACATATGCGCCATGTCAGGGTCTAGCGCTATTAAATTTCTTAGCGAAGACACCACAGCACTTTTTTTTCTTGTGCTGATAAGAAGCTGTCATGCACATACCTGAGGCTTGGAGCCGCGCGAGTCTTTGGACCTCCTCTGTTCTTATCAGTGCATATGCTCCACAGTATATAAAGTAGCCCTAAACCTGAAGGTTCAAACCTCTAGCATTTCTCGTACTATCAATCATGTCTGAGAAACCCGCTCTCGCCGCTATTGTCAGCGGAGGCGATATCAACGATCTCAATAATGATGCAGTCGACTTGCAAGCTGTTGCTTCTCACACCTTCTCTCTTAATGAAGTTGCCGGAGACTTCACCAACGACCAAAAACACTACATTTTGAGCCGTTTGGGTTACGACGACTTGACGTCTTTCGACGACTTGCCTGTCACTGCAACTTACATGTTGGAGAAAATCAACGCTCTTGATGTCAACGAAGCCGTGGAAATTCTCAAGCAGTATCTTGAAGATCACTACGGTGACGTCAACATTCCAAACAGTGCCTACGATCTTGCCGAGCGTTTGGTTAACTCTACTTCTGCCCAAGAGGTCAGCAGCCTGTCCAAAATCGACGAAACCATCGAGAAAACAGAGTACAACGTCGACAGCGCTGTGGTGCAAGACAGCTCGTCATCTTTGGAATTTCAGAAATTCGAGGGAATTGATTGGGCTTTGCAAGTCAAGACAGAGGCAGGTATCATCAACTTCTGGTCGCCTTACCCCGAAGTTAGATCTGTGACCAACCCATACGATGATCCTAATACACCATGTGAAACTTTACGTGCTTATATTGTCGGTATCATCTGGACTGCGGTTGGCTCTTTTATCAATCAATATTTCTACGACAGACAACCTTCCATTACTTTCGACTCATCCGTCGCCCAACTTTTCATTTATCCAACTGGTATGGCTATGCAATACATTTTGCCAGCAAAGTCTATCAAGTTCGGTAAATTCTCGGTTGACTTGAACCCAGGCCCTTGGAATTATAAGGAGCAATTGTTAGCTACACTTTTCTTCTCTGTTTCAAGTGCTACGATTTATGTCAACTCAAACATCACAGTGCAAAAATTGAGCTTCTGGTACGACACTAAATGGATGAATTTCGGATATCAAGTATTGTTGGCTCTTTCCACTCAATTTATGGGTTTCGGTTTTGCTGGTATCATGAGGAAATTTTTGGTTTACCCTGTCAACGCTATTTGGCCAAGTATTATGCCTACATTGGCGTTGAACAATGCTTTGATGCAACCAGAAAAGAAAGCCAACATCAATGGCTGGACCATTTCAAGATACAGCTTTTATTTCATCACCTGTGCGGCCTCTTTCCTCTACTTCTGGATCCCTGACTACCTTTTCCAAGCTTTGTCTACGTTCAACTGGATGACTTGGATCAAGCCCGACAACTTTAACTTGGCTGCTATTACTGGTTCTGTCAGCGGTATGGGGTTGAATCCAATCACCACTTTCGATTGGAACATCATCAACTACAACTATCCTTTGACTATCCCTTTCTTTTCTCAAGCCAACCAATACATTGGGTCTATCATTGCTTTCTTCTGCATCATTGGCGTGTGGTACTCCAACTACAAGTGGACTGGATACTTGCCACTCAACAGTAACTCTTTGTTCAGCAACACTGGTGATTCATACGACATTAGTCAAGTCTTGAACGAAAAGAAAAACTTTGACAATGAGAAGTACCAAACGTACGGCCCACCTTTTTACACCGCGGCCAACTTGGTTGTTTACGGTGCATTTTTTGCCATCTATCCATTCACAATTGTCTATGTTGCGATCACGAATTTTGCACAACTTAAACATTCTGCAAGAACATTCAAAAGAGTTTTTACTAATCTCAAAGCATCTACTTTCGAAGGTTTCAATGATCCTTTCTCAAGATCTATGCGCAAGTACAAAGAAGTTCCTGAATGGTGGTTTGCAATTATTCTTGTTATAAGTATTGTTCTTGCAATTCTCTGTGTGAAGGTTTACCCAGCTGACACTCCAGTGTGGGGTATCTTCTTTGCTCTTGCGATCAACTTTATTTTCTTGATCCCATTGAGTCTTGTGTACGCTACTACTGGTTTCTCTTTTGGTCTTAACGTCTTGGTTGAATTGATTGTTGGTTATGCTATTCCAGGTAACGGTCTCGCATTGAATTTCATCAAAGCTTTGGGTTACAACATTGATGGTCAAGCACAGAACTATGTTTCTGACCAGAAGATGGCTCATTACATGAGAATCCCTCCTAGATCGTTATTCAGAGTCCAAATGACTTCTGTCTTACTTGCCACATTTGTCAACTTGGGAACTTTGAACTTAGCTTTCAGCACCATTAAAGGTTACTGTACACCAGACCAACCCCAGAAATTCTCTTGTCCACAATCGACCACTTTCTTCTCGGCCTCTGTATTGTGGGGTGTCATTGGTCCAAAGAAGGTTTTCAACGGTCTTTATCCAATCTTGCAATGGTGTTTCTTGATTGGTTTCTTGCTCGCTTTCCCATGTGCTCTTGTCAAGATCTACTGGAGAAACAACAAGTATGTCAAGTTCTTCCAACCAGTTTTGATCATTGGTGGTTTCTTGATTTACGCTCCATATAACTTGAGTTACTACACTCCTGCTCTTATAACCAGTTTCTTCTTTATGCATGTCATCAGAAAGAGATACTTCTCCTGGTGGTCCAAATACACTTATGTCCTTGGTGGAGGTTTGCAAGCCGGTGTTGCCTTTAGTGCTATCATCATCTTCTTTGCCGTGCAATACCACGAGAAGGATGTTAACTGGTGGGGTAACACGGTACTGTACGCTGGTTTGGATTATGTTGGCCCAGCTAGATTGAATGCCACAATCTCTGCACCAGATGGTTACTTCGGACCAAGATATGGTGACTTGCCATAAATATCATTAACCATATGTCGATTCTTTAATAATAATTTTAATAGTGAAAATGCTGTAAGCATATAGTTTATTTTGACAACTATGGGGCACAACTGTATGGTCATCATTGAATACTTCTGCCTTCAAATCTGCATGATAGAGCTATGGGCCTCTCACTTGATGCTGTAAGTATGTCAATTTCATGCGATGATACATTCTCAGCACAAGAACATTTTAGGATGAATTCAACAAACATTTAGAGAATTTTCTTTCATTTTTTCGAGATTTAGTTTACTTTTGCTGTGCCCATCTTTTGAGTTCAGTTAGCTCTAATAAAGAAATTGAGCTCCTGATGTTTTTTTTTAAAGGAAATACGTTAATGGAACATCAACTCCTTCTTCGCACCATCCGGTAATCAAAATAACATTGATTTAAGAGGATTACCCCCACAGAGTTTATATGGGCAATTTAAAGAGCTGGAAAGGAGACAATAAATGAAAAAAACAGAAGTGATGAGATAATAATGGGCTAAGGTTGAGTTGAAAGTGAAGAACATCCGCTTCTCCTTTCAATTTTGGCTAATTGAATTTTTTGAAGCGGTAAAACTGACAACTTTGAACTCTTTTCCTCCTGACTCCAGAGCCAGACCTCTAGTAGTAGTGAAAATTTTTTTCCAAAAAGGGAGAAAATAACCGAGGAACCGATGGAGTCTGTTTATTCAAATTAGATCATCGCTTATCATAAGCATGATTGATCTTACTATTCTTTTAGTCTTTATTGAACACATGTATGTACACGTACCTAACAGTGGGTTTTTTTTCCCAATATGCTTTTCGATTAAAACGATTATGACAATAATTTTTTCTTCAGTTTAGTATGTTGAGTGAAGATCGACATTTTAGATGCCATGCACTGAGCGTTGTATAATGTGGATGAATGAATCAAATTTCCGGAAAAAAATAAGACCGTTACAAAGTGGACGTCGCCTAAACTTTGACATCAAAGCCTCTTCTCTTATGCTTTCAGCTGAAATCTGGATTCTAGTCAGCTTTCGCTACCGGTCTCTTTTGTTTAGCGCAGAAAATACGTCAAACTGTATAAAATGCGTGAACCCATACACACACCACTGACAGTCTAAATACAATTTCTAGCAGTCAAGAGAGGCTTTATAGAAAACCAGCAAGATTGCAAGATGGGCAAGCTGGCAATGTAAGACACGTGACATGTGGGATTTGCACCCAAACAGAGCGGTCCTGTTTGGAGAGGTGCGGATTCAGTGGAAACTTGTCGCGCATGCAACTGCATGAGTCACAGAAGGCGCATGATGGTGCTTCAAGTGTCGCGAGAAGCCAATACTGAAAAGCAACAAGAACGGTACTGAGCCGGACTTTTTGCCTTCTTCAACCTTCTGAATTCGTTTAAAATTCCCCTTCGCAACACTGCGTCTTTTATGGTATCGCCAGCATAAAGTCGCGTAAACAAATGCGCTTCCGGGGTCCCCGAAATTCCATGCGCACCACCAAAATTAGTAGTGAAGCAACAACTAGTAAACAAGAGCGCCAAAAGACATGACATAGTAGGAGATTGCCAACCTAAGAGACGCCAACGTACAACCTTGGAAAGCGCCAATCTAATAATTTCGCTCTTCTTCTGTGTCTGTGGACGCCCAAACTTCTGCACAAACCACCATCAAATGCAGATGCGGCAGACCCATACGTCCCATATTGAAGAGGTGACGCAACGTCCTAGAATCACAGAAATCCCCATCAGTCCTCTCGCTTTCCTTTCTCATCTGCTCTGTTCTTTCCAAGGACAGCCTGTGCCACTTGGTGAAGCCGCACTTTTTCACGGAACGGCTAAAATCTAGGAATTCGCTCATTCCTCTTGCTCCATGATAGCGCATTGAAACGCATTCACGATAACGTTGGTGCATGGTCCCATCTTTTTCTCGTGACACCTTTCTCTTTATTCTTTTCTCTTTTTCTCTTTTGCATCGCCGTGACGGTGCCTCTTCCTATCTCTGCCGTAGTCGTTTGGCCGCACGTGACGGCGCCTGTTGTCGTTTGCAAGCTCGAACCCCCACAAATCGCACTAATATGTTTATGTGTAGCAGCGTTGCGACTTACAAAAGTTTGTGCATACACCTACTTTTTTCTGGCGCTCCATAATTCCCTGCTTCCCCGAGAATTTCCCCACATCCACCCCAACACCTCTCAGACCCATCTGCCGCATCGCCCAGTTCCCGCCATCCTCTTCCTGCCATCCACTTTCTGCCCCGGCTGCCTCCACCCCTCTTCTCTTGCTCACTTCCTTTAGCCATGCCCAAACAAGAAAACGGCGTGCCGGAGGAAGTTCCTCTGCGCTCAGAAACGCCCATAGCCACGCCCATGGCGCTGTATGCCAACTCCATGGCAAGTACGAACTCCGTACCTCCTTCGACCTACGCCATGCGGCCGTCCGACCAAAAGAGACGAAGAGTCACCAGAGCTTGCGACAACTGCAGACTCAAGAAGGTCAAGTGCGACGGCAAACAGCCATGTATCCACTGCACGGTGTACTCGTACAACTGCACGTACGACCGGCCCAACGTGCGCAACAAAAAAGCCCCGGCACCTTTGCCCAGCACGCCGCAGACAAACTTGCTCCAGCTGATTGCCATGAACAGAATGCCGTCCGTGTCCACCATCAACGCCAACTTGGTCTTGTGCCAGAACATCATGAACTTGTTGTTCCCCAAGTTGCGCCTCAACTTCTTGGAGGACCGGCCCCAGAACTTTGACTTCAACAAGTTCCAGAAAGTGGTGGGGTATCTCCAGAACAAGAACCCCTCCAACATCAACTTGCACGAGATCCTGGAGCTTTACTTGGACAACCCAACGCCGTCTGCTTCTCCCATCAGCCACGTCGAGCATCACGTGGGCTCCACAGGCTCTTCTGATGACACCCTAGGTGCTGAAATCAAAATCATCTTGCCTCCGAAAGAAGTGGCTCTACAGTTGATTTTCACCACATGGAACAAAGCATGCGTGCTTTTCCGCTTCTACCACAGGCCTTCTTTGCTCGAAGAAGTGGATTTGCTCTACAGCTTGGACCCTCTACATTACACCGATAGACAGCAAAAGTTTTTGCCCTTCATGTACTCGATTCTTGCATGTGGCTCGCTCTTCTCTCGCCAATGCTACAATGATCTTCCCAGCAACGAAACGTTGGAAGATGACGGATTCAAATACTTTTTGGAGGCAAGGAAACTTATAGATATTACAAACGTGGGCGACATTCCCTCGATCCAAACCATTGTCATGATGATCATATACTTGCAGTGTTCCGCAAGATTATCGACATGCTATTCATACATCGGTATTGCCCTCAGAAGTGCATTGAAAGAAGGCTTACACAGGAATCTTTCCATCTTCCAATCGTCCAAGAGAAAACTCGATCCTATTGAAGTTGACACAAGGAAACGATTGTTTTTCACCATTTACAAGATGGACATCTACATCAACTCGCTCCTAGGCTTGCCTCGTTCGATCAGTGAAGATGAGTTTGATCAGGAGTTCCCCGTGGAACTTGATGATGAATACATTACAAGAGAGGCATATCTTTTTGATAAGCAAGAAGGGCGATTGTCATCTGCTGGGTGCGCAAATCATCACACAAAGTTGACAATTATCCTTTCAGAAATCATGAAAGAGTTGTATCCGATCAAAGCCAAGCCCAAGAACAGTGCTGATGCCAAACTTTCGGGTGGCATCCACGATAAAGTTACTGAGCTAGAGTTCAAGTTGAAAAAATGGCTCGAGAACCTTCCGGCCGAGTTGAAGCCAACAGACCCAAATGACTCAGAAAGTGGAAAACAAATCCCTGATCGTTTCAAATTGGCGAACTACTACCTCCATCTTTCGTTTTTGAATTGTCAGATTAGTCTTTACAGACCTTTTATCCACTACATTAGTAACGGATACCAGTCCACATACTCTGACTCGAGATCTTTGATCCGTGGTCGCAATTGCATAAAAGTTGCTCGGATGGTTGTGAAGTTGGCTAACAAGATGATTGATCAGAATTTGTTGGTAGGAACGTATTGGTTCTCCATGTACACAATTTTCTTTTCCATCGCTTGTCTAATTTATTACTTTCACTTTGCCAATTACAACAACCAAAAGAATAACCAAATGGGTGTCAACTACGCTGGTGTGTTATTTGATGATGATTTGAACATTGAAATGATTCGAAAGGATATTGAGATTGGCCGCAAGGTGTTGGATACTTTGAAGAATATGTCGAATGCTTCTTTGCGGATCTACAACATTTTGAACAATTTGTTTGAGCAGTTAAACAGAAGAACAGCAGACACTTCGTTGAAGGCCAATTTGATGTCAGGCTCTTCAAGCATTGAAGCTAATGATGCATCTGTACAAGTCACACTCCGGAATTTTGATAAGATCAACGATTTCAAGAGCAATACATCTGGCCAGAACCGTCAAAATGAAGAAGGCTTCAAATTTGTCAATACGCCTAATAGCGAGAAGAATGAAGCTGAAAAGCAATTATTTGATCTTTTTACCAAACCTTCGAAAACTACCGAAGAAACCAACTCCTTTGACGTTCCTAATGTTGAGCTCCCAGAAGCGCCAGTGGATGGGTCCAATGAATCTTCGCTTCCGAGCTCCAAACCTGAAGTTCTAGATCCTCAAGTCAATATGCCATCATTTATCGATACGCCTTTAGATTATATGCCAGGCGTCATTGACACGTTGGACACACAGATATTTGGCCGTATTCTTCCGCCATATATGCTTGAGGGAAATAAGAAGCTTGATTCAATGGACGGGAAGCCACTGGACAAGATATTTAAAGGATTTGACCAGCAAGAGTTGAACTCTCTTACATTTGATCCAAGCCTGTTTGACTCGCTTGATCCCTTCAACCCGAACCAGTGATTTTTGCGATGATGATTGATCTAAAGATTATCTGTAATATATACTAATACAGCTAAAGAAACTAATAGAATCCGGTAAAAAGCAAAGCTCAGGCATTTTGTCCATAGGTGCGTACAGTTTACCATTCTCCGCCCCAGCCATCATCATCATTGTCGTTATCCTGGAGATTTAGTTTGAGAGTGGAGCCAGGGGCTTTATTGACCTTCTTAGTTGACAACTTGAGAGTCTTTTTTGTAGTTGCATTTCCCAATGGTCGAGAAGGTTTTGCTGCTCTTGCTAAAACTGAAGGTTTGGGTGGAGGAGCCAAAATTTCTGGTTCATTATCAAAGTCGTCATCACCCCAGCCGTCATTGTCGTCCAATTCGTCATTCCAGTTGTCCGTATCAAGTTTCTGTGTTTCTTGAGTAGTTGGTGTCGATATTCTTGTCAAATCCGGAGTGGATCTGTTGAACGACTCATCAATATCACCCTGAACTTCTGAACTGGTCACAAATTTATTGACCATACTCCAGCCGAACGAAAGTGCACCACCTTCAGCAGGAGACGCAGCAGCTTCCGAATTTGTTTTCTCCTTCGCTTCAACAGGAGCGAATTTCTTGAAAAACTCCCTTTCTTCTTCGTCCTCGTCCTCTTCCACTCTCGGCAACGTGGCTGCGTGTTTTTCAACGTAACCAAAATACAATTGGAACACGCGCTTTGCCTCTTCTCGAACTTTGGCACTTTTACCGTCCATAAGTGCAATCGCCAAGTGTCCCAAAATCTTACCGCAGATCTCGTCTAAAGAAAAATCATCCACAAGCTTTTCGAATCCTTGAAGCGCTGTTAATTTACAAGGAGTGAAAGAATCGCGTAGAGACTTGGAAAGAGCTGTAATAACCACGCTATTACGCGAGTTTGCATAAATCTTGCTGGAGATTTTGATGATCAAAATCAACGTGTTTGTTCGAATCGACGGTTTAGGGTCCATTTGCAGTTTGGCCAAGATTTTGAGCAAGTCTTGATTCACTTGCTTAACACTAACCTTGTCTATAATTGTGGTTATCAGAGTCAATGTTGTCTCGCGGATCATGAAGTTTGTGTCCTGGAAACCCGTCACCAAGTTGTAAAAAATCTTGGACTGAACCTCGTAGTCAGAAAGACGAGAACAATATGATGGCAAGTGGTGCAAAAGTGTAAGACGAATCGATCTGTCCGGAAGTGCAAAGCACTGAAATATTATGGGCTTGACCATGCTACCAAATGGTTCATCAGCCAAATTTGTGCTGAGTTTCAAAATATGATTGAGCAAAAGCGAAATCGATTCTTGTCGCTGCTGGTGTTGTTCAGGGGTACTATTGACTGTAGGTTTAGCTTTCAGCAAAAGGTTGAACTGGGAAACGATTTCAGGAAGCAATTTTTTGTCCAAGTATCCTGGTGGAAACTCGGCTTCGACGTATGGGGCCATTCCGTTCTTAAAGAAGGCCAATTTTTCGGCATCACTTTGAAACTTGAGCTCATCCAAGAGTGCACTAAGCGCCACGAGGGGACTGTTGGCAAAAAATGAAGCAGTTTCCTGAGAAAATCTCTCCACCAGGGTCCGAAGGCTTGGTTTGGCGTTCAAAAGGCGCTTGAGCAGAGCCACCAATGGTCGTGGGATCTTATGAGACGCCACTTGGCTTGTGTCAATGGAAGATTCATCTTGTGCGATATCGCCCACCAATACCCACAAGATGAACATTCCCAAACGGAAAGAGTCGAGTTTTGTGGGAGCAGGACGAATGCCTTCAATGCCGTTTATTGCCTCGGCTGGCAAGCCAGAGGAGAAATGGGGCTGGCGGGCAGAAAGACGGTAAACAGGCTGGTCAGGATCAGAGTCGAGGTTTGTAAGCAACTCAAAACCGAATAGTTTCCATTCGCCTTGGGCCGACACAAACACAGCCAGCGAGTTCAAACAAGCATGGACGCAGTGGGCCTTTGAGTTAACAAGCAGGATTGCCTGAATAATGCTGTGGATTCCGTAGAGTTTGGCATCGGCAGTAACGCGTTCGTCGGCCAAATATTGAGTGAGCGGCACAACCTGCTCTGTCACGATGTACAAGTACAGATCGGAGTCGAAAAAGTCTAGAGCTGCAACGATGTGGGGCAAGCGGACAAGCTTGAGCTTGCGGAAACTGTTGCGGGCCAACGGCTCGTACTGGGCCAACGATGGGTCTTTTAGGTTGAACTCAAATATCGACACCGGCGTGTCTGTTTTCGGGTTGGTACCATTGTATACTGTCCAGATGGAACGAGAAGACGGGTCGACGCTGAGAGGCTCGACGATTTTCTCTTTGAACGAATAAGGAATGGACAAGCCTGTGAGCGAAGAAAGGGCGCTAGAAAGAAAGTTCATGGTGAACGCGCTTGAATGTTTGGTGCGCGCGATAAAGATAAGTCGAGAAGCAGGAAGAGGTGTGAAGAAGTAAGAGAAGTAGGAAAGAGGATGTGAAGAAGTAAGATAAGCGAAGAAGTTAGAGGGAAATTGGCTGATCAAAAAGGTTAGGTGACAAAAGATAGTTTGTGGACCGTTGGGGACTTTTGTTTTTCGGGTTTCGCCCTAACATATTGTAAGAAATGCTGGTTATGCTAGGATTGTTGGATAGATGCGGGCCTACTTTTGAAAGCGACTCAGAAATTCTGTTGCGCAAGCCGATAAGTCATTAAATCTTTCCAACCCTTAAAATCAAGGAGCCAAATGTGCACTGTTTATTCAACACTTCAGTTTCTACGTTTTGATGTAAACAATCCAATTCAACCAAGTTTGTAATATCCATCACAATTCACAAAGATCGAAACTCGCTAGCAAATTGGCAAAAGTGGCGGAAAGCTGATTTTTCTTCTTTTTTACTGTCTCAGCTAGTAGAAAAGATTATTTCTGGCTCTACTGTTCTTTTCATAATTGATTTTGACCGTTCGAAGCTTTAAATTAGAATCTGCTAAAACAACCCAATTTTCCTTTCCGCACACCTCGTTTTCCCTTGTAAAACCATACGAACACAGGAATTGTACATAAGACATGATAATACAGACAATAAGCAAGCAGCACGCTCACACAAAGACCAATACTTATGAAGATCAACCCTCTCCTATCAGGATGTTGCACCACAATACATTGTCTTGTCTGTAAGAAACAACAATAATTAGAAGAAGAAAGAAGAAGGAGAAAGGGGGAGGTGCAGCAACAACCAAAGCTTAAAGCTATATACCACGCCAGTCTTTGGCGTTACTTTACCGTTCCTGATTCTTGTCTCAGTTTCTGCATGCGCAATCCGGATTGCAGAGGTGCAGAAGAAGTTTAACTTTATTTGTGGCAGAATCTAAGAAACACCACTGTTCGACTGTTACATGTAGCCATCCCATTCATCCATTGACAAGAAAAAAAGAATTCCCCGCAACAAGTCCCCTGTCTATGCATATTCCGTTCTCAAACAAAAAGTACAGGCTTGAGCTATTAAACTCGCGAACATGGCATTTTGGGGCGCGCCAAAGCTTTTTGATCTTCACCACATCAACATTGTCTTTCGTTTCTTAAGTCGTCGTTTCTCTTCTTGACGCATCTTTTTTTTTAATCGCCAGGGTTTTAAATTTGACCCGTTCATCCCAAACTTTGCCTGCCATGGCCTCACGCTCGTTTCGCCGCTTTGTCTTTCTAGCCGTTGTCTTCTTTTTCGTGGTAGGTCTCTACTTTGTCGACCAGAGACCTGTTCCGTCGTCCAATGTGGCAACACTGCTCCATGACATTGTCATGGGCCCGCCACTTCAGATGCCAGAGCTGGAGCTGCGCAACGATGTACCAGAATGTGCTATTCTCACGCCGCAAAAGGGCTTTGTTGACTTGCTGGGCCTCTCCGAGTCTGCTGAAGACGGCAAAGCCGTCGCATGGCCTGTCCGTGCGCCGGGCCTTGCCCACAACTATTCTATTGGTATCTGTCTGAGCCCGTTGAAGAAACTGCTCGTTGAATCCGTGTCTGTCAGAGACGGCGTGGATGCTTCGCACATGGGTGCCTTTTACGTTGATCCCTCGGGAGAATACGTGCTGATGGGCCAGGTGTCGTCAAGACCAGAATACCATGGCCACAGGCTCACATTGACGTATGAAAACGGCTCGTTCTGCAACACTGTGCAGCAGACCAATGGGGAGAAAATGCGCCAGAAAACCATTTTGACATTCATGTGTGACCACCAGATGATGGGCCGAGCGCATATCACCCATCTAGCGTCGGCCGAAGATTGCACCCACGTTTTTGAGGTTCGCTCGCATTTTGCATGTGCTACGGCAGCAAAGGCCGACAATCTTGCGGCCGTGTGGATATTCCTTTTGATTTTCCTTGCGGCACTCATGGTGTTTTTCTCGGGCGAAGTGTTGTACCGCCACTTGAAGCGGAAAGAAGTGGTGGTGTGAGCAGGAAGCTCAACTTAAACGTATGACATTTTGATCTGCGATCTTTGGTGAATGACCAAGACTTTCCTTGAATGGAGCATGGTAATCATAGTTTAAAGCCTTTTTGGTTACGTCAGCCTGTCCGTGATATTCAAATTGATCGATATGACTGAACCAGGTTCCAAAGTGCTCATTTGAAAACCACACGCTCACCGAGTCTGATAATCAGAATACAGGTAAGTCTCCTCTGGTTATCGAACGCTCTTGCTACGCTTACATGACCACTGTCAGCGTTGCTCAGCACCTAGCATTCACTAATACAGAACTTAGCATAGCGTGCCGGGATATAATGCTCGCTCGCAACTACTAATACATACCTTCCATGAAATGTACATTTTCTAAGTAATTTTAGACGGCCCCGTTGGCCACAATCGCAGCAAACCCTTCGGTTTCACTGCGTGCTTGCACCTTAGCCATGACTTTTCCGCTCGTGAGCGCTAATCTCACCAAAACCCCAACTTTACCGCCCCAAACGTCCTTGCCCAACAACTTCAAAACGTGGGATGTAGAGTCCGCAGGAACATAGTCAGATCCATCCAAAGGCATGCCGTTGAACGTCTTTGTGAGTTTAACTACCGCAGCCTCTAATCCGTTGACACCTGCAACACTGACAACACTGCTTTCTTCCTCAGGCAATTGGTCGAAGATGCTGCTGAAATTGGAGTTGTACATAGGTGTGATGAAATCGCCCGCCGAAATTTCCAAGTCTTCGATCTGATACTCGTCTTCCAAGCCTTCGTCCGCTGGATCAATTCCACCTTCGCTATCGATAATGTCTTTACTGGTGTAACTGAGAGTGTTGCCGAAAGCAGCTAAAATGTCATCGTCTCCAATTGTAGGGGTGGAGAAGGACACAAATACGCTTTCGGTTTGGTCAGGTCTCAACTCCGCCAATGGAATCACAAAGTCCTCAACGTACAAGTCATTGTCAGATTGCGCAATGATGGAAACATCTTGCAAAACCAAAGATGGCAAGGTGTTTGTAATGTCGTACTGTAACACCAATTTCTGGCTCTCGATGAAGAAATGCTTGACAACTGTCACCACAAACTCGTTTTCCTTGTCGGTCAAGTAAATTGGGGCAGATGATGATTTGCTCAACTTACCGTAGTTAGCAAAATCTGGAACATTAGCCAACTTGGCAGCGTACTCTTGTTGCTTCAAGTACTCGTCTGCGGCGCCGTCCGAAGTTCCCTTGGCAGAGTTTGCTTCGGTGTTTCCAGAAGAAGGCTCTGCGGTGTCGGCACCCTCTGTAGCATTTTCCAACTTCTTGAGTTTGGAGTTGTATTCCAACGATTTCACCTCGTCCTTAGTGAGAAGTGGGACTTGGGAAATATCAAACTTCTGGCCAAAGTTCTCCTCGTTGTTCAAATATCCAGTCAATTTGCTCTCCAAAGCGGCCAAGTTGAATCTGGACTCGTTCAAAACCAACTGTTTCTGGTTGTTGCCGAGGAATCGCAACGACAAAGCAGCACGGTCTCTGACTTCATCATCGACATCGTTCAAACACCTGCTCAACAAGATTTTGACGTTGGAGGCCACTTCGTCGTCACAAACTGCAGCGAATTTGGCCAATGCAATCACCGCCGAGGATCTGACAATGGAGTTTTCTAACACCAAACGGTTATAGATGTGTCTGATGTAGTACGAAGGATTGGAAGTATTAGGACCTTCATCACCCAAGAGGTGTAAAATACGCACAGACAATTCCGTGAACTCGCAGTCCTCAATGAACTCACACAAGTTCATCAAGATAGTTTGCTTGGCGCTCTCATCAGGCAAAAACTTGATCAAGTCAAACAAAGCTTCGACAATGCTGGATTTCAACTGCAATGTGCCATCGTCTCTCAACAAGTCAGAAAGGAAAGCCACCAACTTCTTGTGTTTAGAGGGGAACTTCAACGCCAAGTTTTCAATTGCATCGATAATCACAGCTTTGAAGTCCTCGGTAATTTCATCCATCAAGGATGTCATCTTGGAAATCAATCTGTCCACGCTCTCAGAGCTGGAAGACTCGACTGTGCCAACACCCAAGGTTTTCAATAAAGTAGTGATGGCCAAGGTGGAAATGGATCTGTTTGGATCATTAATCAAGCTTTCCAATTCCAAATTCACCACAATGATTTTTTCTGGGTGCTTCATGGAGATCTTGCTGATCAAGCGAACAGCAGCGAATCTAGTAGCCGTTCTTGGCACACCCATCAACTTCTGCAAAGTGAGAATGATAGACATAAACTCATCGTCTTTGATCAAATGTTGCAAAGAAACCAAGGTCTTGCACGCCTCCAACTCAACCATATCGGATTTATGCTTCATGAAGCTGGCCAAAATTGGGTACAAGTGGGTAATCAAAGATTCGTCATCGAGCAAAACCTTGTTGATGTAGCGAATAAGCTGGATGATAGACAAGGAGTTCTTCAAGGCCGATCCTTCAGACAAGGTCGTGATAAGCTTCATCAACGACATCTTGTCGTGGTTCCGCAACTGGTACAACAAGCCCAATGCGTGGTATTGGTACATGTACGAGTTGGAAGGCAAGTTCGTGGTGGAGCTGCCATAGTACTCGTGCAATTGAAACTGGTTTGGAGGGAACTGTTTGTAGCTTTGAATGGTCTCCAAAGTTTCGTTTGTGAAGCGCTTCACCACATCTTTGGCGATCGGCAACAAGTTGTAGCACGAGGTCAAAGCCGCAGAAGAAACAATGGGGTTCTTGTCCACAAGACAGTTTTTGAACAATCTCTCCGACGCAGACACCGTGGTTGGATCCAACACTTTGGACAATGTCCGGATCGCGTTAGGCTTGTAGATCAAATCGCCCGATTGGATATCCTTCATAATGGACGAAGTCACCATCAAAATGTCCAGCGACGTGGCCGCAAGCTCCTTGATCGTCAAGTACACCAATTGACGCAACGACGAGTCCTTGTGCTGGAACAACTTGGAAATGGAGAAAAACAACTTGGTGGCCTCCTTGGGCGGGAAAACCTCCCCCTGGTAGATCAATCTCAACAATTTGGCCAAAAGCTGACGGCATTTTTTGGCATTGACAGGCAGCGCGTTGAACTGCTGCAAGCATTCTTGGAACACCGCCATCTTGTCCGGAACAATGTCCGCCGAGTCCAGCGCCTTGTAAGTTTGTGTTGACATTTGGAGGTGGAGTTGTGTTTTGGAGGAGACTTTTTTCGAGTTACGTGGTGGTGCCGGCGGGACACGCCCGCACGTGAGAGGTCACGTGCAATAAACACTTACCTTGTCCTCTAATGATCCAATTGGGATTCTGGCTGATTTTATGTTCTTTAGTCGTCGTGGGCAGTGTAGTATGCTTTATGGTACTTATTGATTATCCTTGATTACACATAAGGTATATTGATTTAACCGTGTTGCAACCAATTAAGTGTGATCAGCGAAGTATACCGAGCGCTCTATATGGAATGAAACTATCTGTAGAAATGAGTTGCAGAATTAGTTTTTAAATGGCATCTTTCTAAGAGTTGCCAATTTGCTGAAACTGCAAGAAAAATAGTGGAATGCATCACCGAGTTTTTCGAACTTTTGGTTTTGAAATTCTTAATGCTAATATTGTAATCAAGTCATCAGAGCATAAGCCAGTAGTCGAAGTTAGGACTTAATCAGAATGGCTTTCAGAACATTACCTAGCATTAGTTGCTTATGTATATTCTGCTGTCCAGGTTTTAAAGTGAGGCAGAACAATTATTATGAAGGTTATATTAAGATCAATGCACCCTATTGGTCCTTCATGCGTTTACACAATTCTGGTAAACCTGTCCACTTCAAAGTGGTACCTGAATCAACCGAGAAAGAATTCTCGCTAATTGGACTGAGAAGCCTATGCAAACATCAATAATCGCCGACTCAAAACCAGCGCACGTGCTCAAATAATGTTCAGTAGGTGGCACAAAGACAGAAATTCGGCTGTGAAACAGACAAACAGACAGCTTCAAAAGTTTAAGAAGTTTTAATTTGCACTGTCGATTGGCCTTCAAAGTCACCAATTGGTGGATGACTTCCTCGGAGATGAGGTCTTTGTAGAAGAGAACCGTACATGAAGAAATGTCGTGGGAATGTACACTGCTAGAATTTCAAGAACCGATTATAATCACCCATAGGTACTGCTTGAATGATCCAAGGGAAGAAAAGAAGTGAAGATCTATCAAAATCGATCTAGGGAAAAATGCGCTATATTTAGCACTTCTAATTTAGGGGCTGAAGATCATTATACTAACGAGCAAAGCCTTATTGAAATACAAAGTTAGGCACGTCTTAATCCAGTTCCACAAGCTAAATTAACCACTATTCTTCTAAATTTGATACTCCTTCGGCGTGGATAGCTCAAAAACCGTCTATCAAAGTAGCGTAAAATGAGCCTTTACTTAAAGAAAAGGAAATGCTAATAATTCTAGATGTATCTATACCGTTTCTTGCAATATTGAACCTTTGATGCATGCGCGTTTTCACGTCAAATGCAAAATGCACAGCCAACTTATACACGCATGCATACAGCTTTCTCCAGGTCCGCCGATTTCCATCTTTCCTGATTCTCCACTACATTTCCACATCACAGTCCACAACACATCGAGACTCTTTATAGACTTCACAGGCGCAATATCGCACATCCGAATATCTTGAACCTTCCATATTCACCAATCTCGTGCTACTTTAGTCCACCATGGCTATATTCCGCAAAAAGCGATTTCTCCTATTGGTGGCAATTGCAACCGTGGGATTCATGATATTGCAGTTTACAAGCTTTGCTCGTTTATTGAAACCGCCTCTCCCATACTCAGACCGTGGCTTCTTCGAGAGCGACTATGAGACCAGGGCGAAAGTGCATTTTTCGAATTACCAGTATCTGGGGACCGAATCTTTTGGCCGGCGCTTGGGCGAAAAGTGGGAACACTTTGCGCAGAGGCCGCTTCATGAGAAATGTGTCCAGTTTTTCCTGGCGTTCGAGCAAGATGAACCGAAGTGGAAACTTCACCGCACAGACTCGGACAGGTACGATAAGTACATTGTACATAAGCAAAAGTTCTTTGAGCGCAGCTTTGGCAAGCTCAAAAAACAAAAGGAGAAAGCTAAAAGTGACAATCCAGAAGATGTGACCGACTTAGACAAACAAGAAATTGACGCATGGTATACGGAACTGGTACAGGCAACAGAAAATGCCGAGCAGAGCATGGCCGATACCATGACAGTGCTTCGTCTTTTCGCTCACTGTTTCTACGGACCAGAGGGTGATAAAATCCGGGCAGCAGAAGATGCACGTCCACTTTACGAGTCCCTCTCTCGTCGCTTGGTGCCAATTTTCCTGCCCTACTTCCCCATGATTCACCAGACGGACGATACGCTATTGCAGGATAGATTTCCTGAAAGCTCGGTGGAATTCAACTATGGCGACAACCTCCTCGATTTCTACCGGCAGAATGTTCATGGATCCGGAATAGTGATTTCCGGAGCCACTCGTTACGTCAAACATATAGTCAAGTTTATTCGGTTACTTCGAGTCATGAACAATCGGTTGCCGATCCAGATTATTTTCCGCAACGACTTGCTGGAAAAGGCAAAGAAAGTCCTCTATGCTGTGGCCACCCGGAGCAAAGAGGAAATGTTCAACCCGGTCTTTACCGACCAGAAGCTTATGCAGAAAATGTATCCAGGTTTCGACATGGACCACGAAACAGTGAAATCTCTCGAGTTTCCTCCTCAGGACATCACTCTTATCAACATACATCGCTCGATTCTGCCAGACCACCAGAACGACTACACAGGCTACAACAACAAAATTCTTGCTCTCTTCTTCAGCACATTCCAGAACGTTCTACTCTACGACGCCGACAGCGTCCCACTAGTCCCACCTCAAGAAATCCTTGATGCCAACGAGTTCCGTGACAACGGGGCGTATTTCTTCCGTGACAGGTCACTTCGAGACAGTAATGATTGGCTTGAAACAAATTACTTTGCCAAACTCATGCCCCACACAAACAATGTTCTCGACATGGCAATGGGGGTGCGTCCGGTGACCAACCACACGATGAAAAACGCATACATGACTGGCTGGCGTCATTTTCAAGAAGCTGGTCTTCTTGCGTTGGACAAGCGGCGCCATTTCGGCATGTTTTTGCCACTTTTTGCCCTCGCTCTATGGGAAGAACCTGTTCAGTCTCTGATTTGGGGCGATAAGGAAATGTACTGGCTTGCTATGTCTATCGTTGGAGACGAGCAATACCATATGAACAAGTACGCGGCCGCTTCAGTTGGCCAAAAGACGGAGGAGGGCCGTTTCAAATTGTATAACAATACCCAAGCAAATGAATTGTGTTCGTCACATCCAGGGCATGTGAACCTGGCTGGAAAGCTTCTATGGATCAATTCAGGCTTTTCCTATTGCAAGAAAAACGGCTATGTGCGAGATTCAAGGAAGTTTCCCTTCTCGGCCATGGAAGATCGGAAAATGGTTGAAGACTTATATCGAAACCCGCTCTTGATTCGCCATGCAATAGTGCCCCCAGATCTTCCCGATCTCCGCACATCAGACTCGCCCGATCTACAGAGCGAAATAGATTTGGTTGAACTTGTGAGGAAAAGGAAAAAAGATGTGGACGATTTACCAGATGAACAGATCGACGGTTACGATCCACAAAAAGGATGGATCAAGTCTTCCTGTTGCTCCAACTATCAGTACTGTGCTTACGACGCCATTGAAAGTTATTCGAATCCAGGGACGCTTGACACTTCGGGCACGCTTTTTACGTTTCTGGAGGAGGAAGCAGCCAGATTTGATTTCTTGGGTACCGTATGGACCACTGGAAATCGGCCAGCATCTATTCCTGACGGCTCCAAAGTGGACACTCCACAAGAAAAGTCAAAAGACAAAGAAAATAAAACTGCATTTGAGAATCAGTCTCTGAATAACAACACGTTATTCAATGTCCGGGAGCGTCCAGAAAAACTCCGAAATGACATCAAGGCTATGATTGCTGATCTACTCAAAAAATCTGAAACGTCATCAAGAGTTTAATCCACTCAAAAACTTAAATGTATACAAAAAGTATTCTCATATCTACCCGTGGTATTCCTGCTATAAATAATCATTTCTTCGTACATAGTAATGGTGCAGATCTACACCATAGCATGTGCACAGTCAGTGACCATGCTTAAATTCACGTCATCACCAGTCTCTGCAAGCGCTTTCTCGAACTCCTCTAACAACCGTAAGCCAGCACGTGGAGATGGAATTGTGAACCGCAAAAAGTAAAAGTTGAAGCTTGGCACTATTGTGTTGTCGCAAACAGCTTTGTTGACAAGAACATTTAATAAAGTCTTGGATTTGATGGCTCCGAGGAACCTGACGATGGTGATTAAATTATCAACGCTGAGCTCGTCCATGCGAATCTCCTTGCAAAATTTCAAAACCGATTCAAACTTATAAGTTAAGATGGCAACATGACTTTGCCCACTCAATCGAGACGCTTTAGTTAAATACTTTATTAAGCAATCAAACAATTGTTCACGATTCCGAGCCGAAAGCCTGTTTTCTTGAAATATGTCTCGCATGTTTTTCGTCCGGTTTTCCTGAAGAAGAGCAAGAGCGACTGTACCAACAGTCTCTTTCATGTTGGAATTCTGCATCTTCAGAACTTCCTTTCCTTCCAAAGAGGCCATAAAGCGAGCGAACTCAATGGATTGTCTGATCTTCAGCGACCGGTCTTGAAGTGGCCCAAACTTCAGCAAAATTGTTTCATACTCACCATTCAGAATGTAATAGTTGATCAAACATGTCAACAAAGGTTCAGACAGCAACAACAATTTATTTCCTTCCACACCACTAAAATAGTGGCGGAATATCAGGCTAACTTCTGTTTCCTTCCCAGTGTCCATAAGCGCGTTCAAAACCACATTCAAAAAGAATTCGTCTGATGGTTTACCAACATTCAAACTAAGCACCTGTGCAAAATCTTGATCTAAAAATTGGCACACTTTATCCGACTGGCCAATATGAACCAACTTAGAGAAAAGCTTACCAAGCCAAACCTTGCTCTTGTTTTCATGAACCAAGTTATTAAGGTCATCAGAAAATATTTTCAAGAAATATGTGTTGTCTGTTAGAGATGCATGTTCCGCAAAGCGGTTCAACACACTATCACGCAGTAAAACTTTACGATGGTTAGTCTGAAGATGTTTCAACACCTCAATGTTCACTTTGTCGTTTTTCAATTCAATCAATGAGCCCAATAAATGCATGACCTCACTTGCTTCAAGTCTCAGCTTCAAAAGACGCTCTGTGAACTCAGAGATTTTGATGATGGAATCCTTCTCTAATACGTCCATGATGAAATTTCTGTTCATCACAAGACTCCAAGTCAATTGATTAAAATTACATCCCGATTGAAATTCCTCCACAAATCGGTCCACTGCGCCGTGATAATTGACATTGAAATACGCGGACAAATCCAACAGGAAATGGTCATCGGAAAGAGAACTCACTTGAGAAGAAAACACAGTTTCCAATCCCAAAGCTTTGCAAGCCTCGGAGACATCCTTGGTACAAAATTCTGGTGGAGAGTTTGTGAATAAAGATCTGAATGAACCATACAAAGCTTCCTTGAATTGAGTGAGCTCAGAGGAAAGTTCAATGTAATGATTCGTGGTGTCTTCAAACTGATTGATCAAACAGGACTCAAATTGCAAAACCTTGAAAGCTTGGTGATGATTCAAAGGAGAATTCTGAATGAAGGACATAAAGTACATGCAAATAGACATGAGTCCGTGAATGTTGTCTGTTTCTAATGAGAAATTTGAAAATGCACGCGAAATAACCTTCGAATTCAAAAGAAGGTTAAGATTCTCCACACTATTATGCAAAACGAATGCGACATGCTGGCTTAAAAATTTATTCAACTCAGTGGCATCATCCGAATAATGCTGTCCCTGTTGTTCCACAAAACTCCACAAAAGGTTGGAGTAATAAGAGTTACCATATGCACTCACACCATTCAGAAGGTACAAGCATACTTTCTGAGAAATATTCCAGTTACTGATAATATGGTCGTGAAGAAAAATTTCTTTCAACAATCTCGATACTTTGGAATGGTCATTCAAATCGAGACTGAGAGAGAGTAAAAAGTCCCTGCAATTTACCTTTTTCCCTTGTGACTTGGCCATGGCAAGCATCGCAGGCAGAAAGTCCTTCCTGATAGCAGCGTACTCATAAAGTTCCCAGATTTTCGTATAGATGGTGTATTGTTCCTTTGAGATAGAATCCTGATCTGTTGCAGACAATTTTTCCAATTCCAAAAGAGAATACCGATTGATGAAGTTGTTGATGAGGGAATTGAGCACATCGATGGTAAGTTCCGGGATATAAGTGATCTGCTTAAAACGGTTGAACAAGTTATAGGCTCTGTTCAAGTCTTCTGGTTTTCCAGACGCCATTATGGCATCGAGGTACCCAGAAATCAATGCAGAAACATCCATTTTCCTTGACGATAAAGAAGTGTTCTCGTTTAAAACCATGTCCTTGTAATCAAGTAGAATGGTGTCCAAGAATTTCGTAGCCATGGCCAAGTTTCCGTTACTGACCAATGCTTGGATTAAAGCGAAATATACATCGAATTCCAGATGAGCCAAGTGGGGGAATAATTGGCAGCTTGATTTGAAACTGTTAAAAACATTCGACACAAAGTCGTATATTTCTTTGTTGTCCAGCCCCAAAACATTTAAAGTTTTGAAGTTTCTCGAAAGGTCAATAAGGCCAGAGTAAAACTTTGCGTTGCTAATTTGGGCATCCTGAAGCGAAATCAATGCTTTGGCAGACTTCAGAGTCAAAACGTTAGGAAGAGCGTTGATAGACGACACCATGTTCGGCAAAATAGTGTTTAGATCGAGCTCTTTTGGTTCTTTAATGGATAAAAACAACTCCACACCAACTTGGCAAAACTCAGTTGCCTTTATTAGCCCAGTTTGGTAATCTTCTGTAGCGATATTAGAGGCCAGAGCAATTTGTGATGCTTCCAAAGCCCCCTTGAAAATGTCAGCAAGAATCACATTGTACGTTTCCGTATTGGGCTTGAAAGCTGCATCACGGGAGCAAACGGCCAAAAGATCCTCATACACTGTCAATAAGCTGGTAAGCTTCGATTCTATCGCTGAAATTGTGCACTGGCTGTCCAACTCTCTCATGGAAATCGACTTCAACACAATGTTGTATTCGTGGACTGAGGGGAGAGGGATGTGGTTTCTTTTCAAGCCCTGGTAGAGAGGATATATGACATTTAAATCTTCAGGACATTCATGAGAAATGAAGGTGTTGACGATCTTATCCACTTGGGATTTCTGGAAGCTTGACTCGAAGTCATCTTCCTCTTTTTCAGGAATATTCTCCGACGGAACCTTGGAGGATGTCGAGTAATGACGGCGACCACCATAGAGCAGCAAAATACCCTTTGGCCGAACAAGCGACCATGTAGAAAGGAACTTACGCAGAACCGATTTCAACTCGGAGATGCTTTTGTTGATATCCAGATTTGCTTTGGAGATGAAAAACTCTGGGAAAAAGGGCCGGTATGACTTGGGAACGAAAAGCACAAGAACAGGCGCCGCCTGATCTGAAAGCTGCGAGCGGTCTTCTCGCCTAAGCTCATGGTTTATGAGTGTGAAATAGATTCCATAGTGGCCATTGGACAAAGACAAGATTCGATGGCTCGAAGGATGGGGTTCCTCCAGAGTCCAAGGGGCAGTTTTCCCGCTGGAGTAAAGCGTAAGCGCGTTGTTATTCAAGTATGGGATCGAAGACTGGAAGAAACGAACTTTTTCGCCTCTGGCGCCTTTGACAAATCTAGGATGCATCGTTCTTGAAATAAAATTGGAAGGAACAGATGCTGTCAGCTAGAAAAGGGCTAAGGATAGCCAATAAATAAGAGCAAGTGCCAAATAAATAATATGAAAAAAGGAAGGGGTGAAGCAAAGAACGGTAGAATGACTCGTGAGCAGAGCTTTCGTAAGAATGAAAAGAAGTCACTGGCTAATAAAACGTCCTGCACAGTATCTACACTCACGGAAAACTTCGGAACACTCTTCGTCCAGAGTCTCGTCGCATACTAGAACTGTCTTTGTTTTGAGATACATTTCTATATATGCAAGTTCTACTACTAGGTATCCTTCAGCTTTGTTTCTTTGTTTTTGCCACAAAAACTGAAGCTTTTGTGCTATTGCCTTTTCGCCCAGGCGCTCGTAAAGAAAGCAGGATCTGGCTTATATGCCGGCCGTGCATAAGCGTGTCGAACTACCCCAGTGGCGTGCAGAAAGCGCAATGTCTCACAATGCATCGGCTCATCATGGACAATCGGAAAGATCGAGACCAATAGAAGCAAAATAAAATTGGATCGTCCAATTGGAGAAGACTTGTAACTTCTGGATACGGCCTTTTGGATACGGACATGTAGCCCTGACTATCCTAATGTCGTTTCTTTTGTAAGTGTGATTGCTAAAAAAGCGTCGACCACCAAAGGTTCGATGTATGTGGGAGTATGTTCCCTTAAGGAATGAAAGTTACTCAGGCATTTGTTGAATTATGTTGAAAAAAGCTTAATACCAAATACTTTGCACCAAGATTTGATAATCGGGCTTGAAGATAAATAGAGCATTAGGTACAAGCGTTGATGAATCATTGAAACCGAATTCAAATTTCAACTTGTCCAACATCCAGTTAATGATGATTAATACCTAGCAGTTTGAAGGACAATAGTGTTTCAGCCTCGTGAAGATGTATGGAGGGAGTAGTAGTCCAGCGAAGCTTTCATAACAGTCGAGGCATGCTTTATGAGACCGGTGGACCATTAAGACGTTGGTAGCCGTGGCTAAGTCGAAACATGCAGTTTTGTAGGTTGTCTCGATGTAAGTCAGGTGCCTGTTACCGCCCGCGCAGACATTGAAATCACAGAAGTCCAAAGCACTTGCTTCTGCTAACCGCTCATTCTATAAGGGCATCAGCAGGTCGAAGATCCTCTCGTTAAGGGTGCGTTCATGGATCGTAAATCCTAAAAGTAGAACCGATCTCTTCAATGCCTAGTGCTCTAGCAACAGAAGCTCAAGCACGCGGCGTAGAATCTCCTCCTCGTCGTCTTCGCCCGCGTGCGCCAGTGCGCTCGTTCCCTCCAGACTGACAAGCGTTTGCCACGGCGACAGCTCGTCCTGACGCAGAAGAGCAAGCGCCGCCAAAAGTTCAGCGTCCTCGCCGCTGGCATCGCTTGCGCTAAGCGCCATGGCCGTACGCAACTCGTCGTCCTCCGACACGTAGTCGGTGCCGTTGTATTTATCGGCCAAACGGGCGCGCTCCGCCTCCGCATGGCGGAGGGCGGCCCAGTCGTCCAACTGGGTGCGGATGGTGTGCTGGCGCGCGCGGCGCAGCGTCGACTCGCCCGCCGGGGTGCTGGGTCTCTGCACGGGCGGCGCGCCAAAACTAAAGTGTTGCACCACGTCGCCGCACAACACGACGCCCGACGCCGACGGGCCTAGCGCCACCGCCAGAACGGGCGCGGTGCCGTGGCGCGTGCCCCGCCGGGCCGCCGCCGTGCCCTCGCGGAGGTACCGCCCCAGATGGGCGTCGTAAAAATGCACCCAGTCGTACGCGGCCGCCACCACCACCACGCAACTGTCGACCGCCACTTTTGTTCGCGCCTCAAGGCCGCGCGGCGCGCGCGCATCGTGGAACGGCGCGATCAAACACTGCGGGCGCAAGGCGCCGCGCGCCCGCACGTTGAACACAGCCACCGACCCGTCGTCAAGCGCCGCCGCCAAGAGGCGCCCGTCGCCGCCCGCCACTCGCGCATCCTGCGGCCGCCCGGCCGGCATCTGGAGCGCCGTGTGCACCACGTTGGCGGGCAACTGCGCCTCCACATACGCCCATGCCATTTGCTCGCGCAACACTCGCACAGACGAGCCGTGCACGAGCGCCACCGCCGAGCCTGCAAAGTCCACATGGCACCGGGGCAGAGCGTCAAGCGTCCATCCGTGCGGCGCCACTGCAAGCGGCTCCAACGAGGAAAACGCTAGCACATGGACATTTTCCGCCGTCACCACCACGATGCGCTCAAAGTCCGTGTCCATGCAGAAGGCGCGCTCGCCTAGATGCGCCAGGCGGAGAAGCGCGGACGCCAGGAAAACACGCACCTGGCCCGCGGCGTCGAGCGCCACCATTTCGCCCGGCGCGCCGCGCACGTTTTTCTGGCGCCGCACGCGCACCAGAACTATCTCCACTGGATCTGCCAGGTGGGCCAGATTTGCCAGGTGGGCCAGATTTGCCAGGTGGGCCAGATTTGCCAGGTGGGCCAGATTTGCTAGGTCCGGCCGCGCCACCGCCTGCGCCGGCTGCGCCAGCGCCAAGTTCTTCGCCCAAACCACGCCGTCGCGCGTGCCCACTCCAAGCAAGGCGCCCGAAGCGTCCAGCGCCAGAACCGCAGCAAAGTGCGCCGATCCCGGCACAAACACCTGGTTTTTCCCCAGCACCAACGCGCACAGCGCAAGCGAGCCGGCGGGCGAGATGGTGGCAAGCCGGTCGTGCGCAAAATCCATCTCCACCACCGCCAGCGGGCCGTACTCGCCGTTGACCAACAGGTACAGGTGGGCGCGCGCTTTGGCCTTGGTCCACTGGCGGAGGCGCGCCACGCGCCCAAAATACTCTGCGAGCCACGCGCGCAGCCCTGTCACCGAAGCAAACTCGCTGGGCGTCCCGAGCTGGTTGCGAAACGCCTGCGTCCACGCAGCCTTGTCCAGAACGGCGCTGTTCCATTTTCGGCACACAAGGCGAAGCTCGCGGAGCTCCATTGGCGTGAGGTGGGCGAAAATGTCCACCAACGTTTCGTGCGGAAGATCGTTGATATGCGGCGTGTAAGGTTCGTGTTCGTGGCTCTGACTGTTTTGTTTGTCTTGTTCGTTTTGTTTGTCTAGTTCGTTTTGTTCGTTTTGTTTGTCTTGTTTGTCTTGTTTGTCTTGTTCGTTTTGTTCGTTTTGTTTGTTTTGTTCGTTTTGTTTGTCTTCTTCACTTATACTTTCGTGTCCAGTTGTTCTGTCTCGGAAATGTCTGGTTATGTTTCTATTTTGTCTATTATTATCGTTTCCATCACTGTCAACGTTCTCTGTTCGTGTAACTTCACTTCCCACGCCATTTTTTTCGCCCATTAGGTCTCCCCCTTGTCTATTGTGTGCATTGTCCGAGGATTTGCAACTCTTGGGGCTTGTAGATTCATAACGGTTCTGACTCATTAACTCAGGCTTATTAGTATATGCGCTTTTGATGGTGTTTTCTCTTGAATCTTTGTATTCTCCGTTGCTAATCGAACCACCACTTTTCGTATGCAATGTGTTTTCACGTTTTCTAGCGGCAATACAACTAATATTCTGCTGAGTCGGACCTTGGGTGACTTCTCCAGTACTATTCACGTCTCCCTCTAATATGCTATATCCGCCATCTCCACATGATCCATTTTGAAATGTCTTCATGTCTTGCCGCAGCGACATTCCCGCATCTGCCGTGTCTTCCACCATTGCCACGATTGATTGCAATGGCAAGTTGCTCCTGCACCAACGGTACGTGGGTTTTTCTCTAATTTTGCGACAATGTCGCAATATTTTTTCTCGCACCGAGTCGACTCAACTTTGGTTCCCGAGAAATGCGAAAATGTCGCGCCCGCTTTCTCCACACCAATTTCCACCAAAATTTTTCACTACTCCTCCACCACTGACCATGGCCGAAAGTACTCCAGACCCGGTGAAAGAGGCCAAACTTAGAATCCGCCTCCCGTCTTGCGTGGGCTCCAAAATCGAGTTTGTTGAATCTCACCACGCATTAAGCGAAACCATTGCCGATGTGAAAGAAGCTTTAGCCGCTACTTCCGTCTTGAACAACTTGACAAACTATGCTCTTGTGTATGGCGATGTCCGCATCACCGACGAGTTCGACGACTTTTCTACTTTGGAAGAGGCTCTCGGCTCTTCTGGTGACATTGACCTTCAATTAGTTGAGGCTCCATACACTTTGAAGAAAGTGCACGAGCACCTTCTCCGCTTCCGGGAAAATGTTGGCTTGAACTTCTTTGACTTTGCTGCAAGGTCCCCAGGTGTCTTGGGTGGATCCAAGTTGGGTTCGCTTGGCTTGCGTGACATCGAAGCGACGAAGGACGAAAAGAAGGAGAACGAGGATAAGACAACGAAAGAGAGTGAGCCAAAGACTGAGAACGAGACGAAGGCAAACAGTGAAGTCGCAAAGGACTCCAAAAAGCCAGGGAAAAAGGGAAAGAAGGCAAAAAAGCAAGAGACTTTGGAGCCTGAGCCAAAAGCTGAAGCTTCGAAGCCAGAAACTGAAACTGATTCCGACGCTGCGCTTGCTACTGCCATTTCTCAAACAGTCTCTTCTGTGCTTGACTTCTCTTGCGATTTGGAGAAACATGCCGACGCCGAATCGGTGTTTTCTCTCTGGAAACTTCCTCTCAAATCTTTTGCTTTGTCACCATGGAATCCAGTTCCTTCCTCTCAGCGTTTGAAGGGTGATTTGTTGTACCTCACATTGACCACTTTGGAAGGAGAAACATTTTGCATCACTTGTCACGCTTCGGGATTCTTTGTTAACAGAATTTCCAATGCTAATTTCAACCCTGTTCTCAAAACCAACGAGAAGGGAGTCTCACGTAAAGCTTATGTGTTCTACGACTTGGTATCGCAATTGTCGCCTCTTTTCTCTCAGACCATAGCCCAAAACAAGGAACGGTTAGCCACTGCGTCTCAGTTTTCTGATTCGTATTTGCTTCCCACCCAAAGCCCTGCTCTTCCTTGGTCTGTCTCTCAGGCACAAGTGGCGACACGGAATGTTGCCGATGCCTCTCGTGTTATGGCGGAAAGTTTCTCTCATGGTGTCGATGGGGCCGAGCTTGCCAAAGATTGGAATGACGAATTTCAAGGAATCAAAGAGTTCCCACGGGAATCGTTCAACGAGCGTTTGTTGCGTGAGAAATTGCTCAGCAAGTACATTCAAGAGTTCCGCCAAGTTGCCGTTGCCACTGCTGTTAGCATTGTGGAAGGCAATGTCGTTCCGCTCAATCCTAATGAGCCTCGTGACCGTCATATTTACTTGCGCAACAACATCTTCTACTCTTTCGGCGTTAATGCCACAGGTGCCCACGATTCTACTGGTGGCGATGAAGCTGCAAGATACTGTGCAGCGAAAGATGTATCGGCAGTTCGTTTGTTGAACCGTGTGGACGCTCCAGGTGTTTCCAGCTTGCTTGCATGTGTGGTGGACTACTTGGGTGAAAGAGTGGTTTGCCAAGCGCCTGTACCTGGCGTTTTCTCGGAACAAACCGATGCCGAAGGAAATGCCGTCGATAAGGTGGTGTACGGTCTTTCTTTGGAGGCCAACGAGATCCGGACCGATGCAGAATTTGCTGACGCTTTGAAGCCACTCGCAGATGCCTTCCACTTGAAGCCACATCGTGTGCAGTTGGAGTCTGGTGCCGACTCGGGCCAAGATGTGGTCCTTTCAAAGGACACAAAGGGTCTCAAGGGCACAGATGGACGTAAGTACGTGATTGACTTGTACCGTACTACCCCACTTGATGTTTCGTTTGTGGAAAAGCATTGCACGAGCTCTGAAACTTCGTACCCTCATCGCGAGGCTTCTGTGCGCCACGAGGCTGTTGAAGAGTGGTACAGAAGAAAGGCTGCGGCCATTTTCAAAGTCGAAACTGAGCGCTTGGAGAAGGAAGGCAAGTTGGAAGGAAAGGAGCGCCCACAAGTGGCTCTTCAATACGATGAGCTTAATCTCAACCCAGACGCATTCACTGGTGTGAACGAAAGTGCAGACGACCAGAAAGCCGTGAGGGAATTGTCTGAGTTTGTATCACAACACTTGATTCCAGAGTTCTTGAACGATGTGGCACAAAACGCCGCTCCTTTTGATGGTGCTCAGTTGTCGGACTACATGCACCGTGGCGGTATCAACATGCGTTACCTTGGTACGATCGCAACAGAAGCACAAAAGAAGGCCGAGACTCATGCCCAGGAAATCGCTGCGGCTATAGAGGAGAATGAGAAGAAGCGTCTTGAGAGCGAAAAGAAGCAGAAAGAGGCTGAAAAGGACTCTGAAAAGGACTCTGAAAAAGACTCTGACAAAGACTCTGAAAAATCGTCTGACAAGACTGAACAGTCCGACTCTGATAAGCCCGAGGAAGAGAAGCCCGAAGAAGAAAAGTCTGCTGCAACGTTGCTCCCTGTGGCTGCAAACATGGCCGCCTTGCAACGTCTCTGTGTCCAAGAAATGGTTGCCCGTGGTGTTAAGCATGTCTTGCGCCGTCTTGGTTCCAGTGTTCCGCTTCTCTTGAAACCACATTTCGTGGCTCACGTGCACAACTGCTTGTTGGGATCTACTTCGACTGTTTCTATTGACGATGCTGTATCGTCACTCGTTTTTAAGAAGGAGCTCGCTTTTATCAAGTTGACCCCACAAGAGATTGTTCTGTTGGTGGAGCGCGAGGTACTCGTTCGCTTTAGATACACGTTGTCATCCGGATGGGAAAAGGAGATCCACGCCTTGCCCTTGGTGAGAGAAATCGCCCACAAAGTCGGAATTCAGTGGAAGGCTCTGGCTTTGCGTTTCAACAAAGAATCGGGCCACCGTGTACTTGTTGCTGATGATATTGTCAGCTTCGTTCCAGTGGTCAAAGACTCTTCTTTCCGTTGTTCGTTTGTTGACGAGATCTTCGAAACAGCCCGGGTGCAGATTCGGGATGGCGCAGAAGTTGGATGGGCTCTTTTGGAGGAGCTCGCCTCATTCTACCAGCAAATTTACGGAACCGTGCACACTGAGACAGCTAGCTTCTACTCGAGCTTGGCTCAGATCTACGCGGAAAACAACATGTCTGTTGAAGCAGCAATTGTCGCTCGCCGGGCAGTCATTTTGTTCGAAAGACTCTGTGGTTGTGATAGCTACGAGGCGATCAACGCTTATGTGAAGGCTTCGTTCTACGACAGTCTTAACAAGGATCATGAGTCGGCCTTCAAGTTGAACACACGTGCCTTCGAGGCTTGGAGCGTTGTCTACGGTCCAGAGCACCCCAACACGGTCAACACCTTGTCCAATTTTGGTACTGTCTTGCAAGAATTGAAACTGACTAGTGAGGCCCGTCGTTTCTTCGAAAGGGCCATTGAGCTTTCGGAAAAATTGAACGGCGATTCGAGCGACATCACCGCTATCATCCGTCATCGTTTGGGTGTTTTGCTTGTTCAAGCCAGCGAGTTCCAAGCTGCATTGGAACAATTCCAGGCTGCTGGTGCGGTGTTCTCCAAGGTAGTGGGCCATGATGACGTTCTTTCGAAGGAATGCCGTAACTTTGCTGGCAACATTGCCAAGTACTTGGCATACACGGAACAGCAAAAGAAAATGGCTGCACAAGCCAAGCCTAAAGCCAAGCCTACCGTCATAAAACCGGTGAAGGCCAAAAAGAACCATACCCCAACACCCGACCCTGAAATTGCATCTAAGTCAGTGGACGAAATCTTGCAGTTCATCGAAGGTGGCCTGGGTAAGAAAAACAAGAAGAAAAAGTAAACCTTGTATTTAGCCTGTCCATAGTCACTTGTCCATAGTGGGCCATATCAAATGGCTTGACAATTGTATTTATAACCCTTGATAGCTTTGATAGAGCTGATGTATTTATCCGGACCTCAAGGTATGAGGACGAACCCGAAAAGGAATGAAATCATTTATCTTCTAGGAAAAGAAAGAGTAATATGAATGAAAATTCACGAGCGTGAAAGTTACAGCTGATGATATAATCATTTTGAAACCTGGGTGCACTTGTTCCGGTCAACAAGCACGATATTTTTCGAATCATATAAGAGGATGTTTATCGAATGTATAATCTTCATTGAGAATTTATCTAATTGTTGTACAACCGAGGCAAATAGTGTCTTTTGAATAAAATACAAAGGAAAGAAGTCATACTCTTAATCTATCTACAAGCTCTAAAGTAAGCACATCTGCTCAACAAACGGCGCCGAAAATGTAGATGCATAAGGACCTTGTGAACCACAAGACCATGGATTGGACGAATGTATTCCTCCACCATACCCACCATACTATCCACCATACAAACCATACAATCCTCGATATAATCCTCAACATAATCTTGTTAACAAAGCATAAGTCTTCGCTGGGCCAGCAATGCCGATTCCCTCTAATCCTTCTTCACCAGATACTGCACCATCACCTTCCCCAAGTATCTGTCACGTTTGCGAAGAGCGTCGTTCAAACGAGACTCGAGTGCTGTGATCTCGGCCACTGTCATGTTCTCGCGAGCATCAATCTTAACAAGAAGCGACGTACGAGCACCAGCGGCCAAAACTGCCACATCTGCCACAGAAACACCGGCCTCGGCACATGCAGCGACCTCTTCCTCGACCATCAGCCTCATTTCCGTGTATTGCAGCGACGATCTTGGCGCCCCACGGTCCAACACCTCGAAAATGGCGTCGCGGAACGTGGCCCAGCCGGCATTCACAATCAACGCAGATACTAGCAAGCCGCCCACGGCATCAAGCCACGAAACACCAAAAAGATTGCCTCCGGTCACAGTAACAAACGCCACTGCGGCAGTGAGCGAGTCCACTCTGTGGTGCCACGCGTTGGCCACAAGAACCTTGGAGTTTGTTTTCTTGGCCACAGCCATGGTTTTGCGGAAAAGCGCCTCCTTGACTCCGATGGAACCCAACGCAAGCCATGCCGCGTTCATGTTTGGCGCCGCCCGCTCCGTGTGAACGTGGCCGTCCACATCCGCATGTGTGTGCGTATGGGAGTGGGAGTGTGAGTGCACTTGGAGAAGCAGAACGTAGTCGTAGATGTGTGCCGGCAACACGTACTCGAAAATCTGGAGAAGCGAGCTCCAGCCCACGGAAAAACCCGCAAACAAGAGCACGCCGCTGACCAAAAGCGTGCCCACGGACTCGATCTTGCCGTAGCCCAACGGGAACCGCTCAAACGTGCCGTGCTTTCCTGCAACATTGACGGTGGCCAACGTGAGCAAGTCGGCCACCATGTCGGAAAGCGAGTGGATGGCGTCTGCAATCAACGCCTGCGAATGGAACGCCACGCCGCCTGCCGCTTTGGATGCGGCCATGGCGATGTTGACGCCGAGCCCAATCCATGTGATTCGGACCGCTGGGCTATTGAGCGATCCGGAAAGCAACTCGTTCGGGCCATGCGAATGTGAATGCGAATGGAGAAGGCTGTGCGAATGGGAGTGGGACTCTGTGTCGTGGGAATGGGTGTGCGTGTCGTGGGTATGCGAGTGCGTGTCGTGAGAATGTGAGTGCGTGTCGTGTGTGTCGTTGGAATGAACATGGGAGTTGGGAGCACCAGATGTCACAGAGCTAGGCTTGTGGTGTTGGATGTCGTGTGCAAGGGTCTCTTTTGTGTCGTTTCCTTCGCTGGTGGCGGGGCGCCTCGGCTTCCCGTCGGGAGACATCTGTGTCGCAAGCAGACGGACCATGGTGCGTGGGAAATATCGGGGCAAGGTGCTGACGTGACGTGGACGGAACAATGGGAAAAGCATGGTGGTGAGCAGCGACGCACAGGGCCTGTTGCATGTCGCGTGCCTGCACAGGAGGGCAGGCGATGTCCCCGACTCGGCGTGGCGCATGCATGTCTCTGAGGACACTGAAATCTACTGTCTAGTCGACATTGTCGCTTTGTCAGATTTATTCTATATGGAGAAACTGTAGTGCTCTGAGATCGCCAAAATATCACTTCTGGAGTGGCGCAGGTAGAATTCGGATATATCGCTTTCTCATCCTCGGTGTATTTTCTTAGGCTAAGGAAGATGATCTATTATTTCACAGAGGGCTCAAAGTCTCTGACCAAAGAGCCGCTCGATTATGGAGTAGATGAAGGGTACATCATACAATATTCCAATGCTGGAACACTTCTATCTGACATATGAAGATAAGCCAGTTGCCGCAAGAACATGAATAAATGGGCACCGACCATGAACAAGGGCAATCAATATTGTCCACATGGCATATGTAGCTGTTATAATGTCATTCAGCTTTGGCCCATTAAAGTGTCAGTATCAGCGATTGAACGCCAGTACTTAGTCCAGCATGTCTCATTTGAGCTAAGGATGTCGCGAGTGCCAGCATCTCCAAACTCGGCCTCAGCTATCAATCCAATGTTCCACTCACTGTCCCTCTCTTCCCTATTCCTTGATTTCTTTTCTTATTTCCCTTCTCTTTATTTCCCTTCTCTTCTACGCAAAGAGACGCGCCACTGCTTCTGTTGTCGACAACTCTTCTGTCTCAGGCTCAGACGGCTCCTGCTCTTTTTCTGGCTCCTTCTTTGGCTCCCGCACATAGGCGCGGGTGGTGGGCGCCTCCCATTCCTGGCCCCATTTGGGGTCGCCCAAGGCGGCGCGGATTTTCGCCAACGCGAGCGATTTCCGCTGCGCCTGGCGCAACTGGGCGCGAAGCTCGCTGCTGGGCCGCCGCGTGTGCATGAAATTGCAGTGGTCGCCGCGCGAGCACTGGTTGTTGTCGTAGGCGCGGCAGTTTGCTTCGGCGAAATTCGAAACGGGCGACAACTCGCAGTAGACCGGGCGCCCGCCGTACCACTCTTGGTTCAACTGGGCCACGGCCTTGTCGGCGCTCTGCGTGTCGCTATAGCGCACATACACGTTGCCGCAGAGATGGAAGTTTTCGTTTTCACACACCACCATCTGCTCAATTTCGCCGCTCTGGGCGGCGTGGGTGTAAATGTCGGCGTAGAACTGGTCAAACGATTCGGGCGACACTTTGTTCTTTTCGGCGCTTTGCGTGTACAAGTTGGCAAGAAGCACGGTTTTCGACTCTGTGGGTCGGATGTGCTTTCTCGAGCACTTATCGCCATGGCGACAGGCGCCGATTTTCTGGTAGAATGTGCATATGGCCTGGGAATCCATGGAGAAGAGATGGAGTAGATGTCGCGCAGCGGTGCAGGAGACATAATGAAGTTGTGCGCCTCGACCCATGTCTCTAAATGGCGACACCATCGAAAAGAATGGTTATGCTTCTACTCAGAGTATTTTTACTTCAGCTCATCTTTGCAGTTTTATGATTTGAGGCTGGAAAATCTACGGGGCGATGAATAGACTGATCTTATAATGCTCATATAGGAACACTAGGTTCTTCTCATTGCTGGTATTACAATTTCTTTGCAAACTGCATTATTGAAACGCAAGCTATATAGACTGACATTTCTGTCTGTGTAGCTTTAGCCTGAATGTGCAATGCGTAGATTGGATATGAACATCCCGTACTTTCAATTACCATAAGACAAAATATCAAGAAGCAATTCCAAAATGTTCGGATGGTGAATATTCTTTTTACGAAGCAAATATTTAGTAGTTCTCAAAATGGGTCTATCTATCCTGCTGGTGTCCCCTGTATCCCTAGTATATTCACTACTGGATATTTTTGTCACCTCCGACATTAAGAGTGGGAAAGACGTACCATACTTCCTTGTTGGCAAGATGTATTCTATAATACAATCCCGACAACTATGAGTATGCCGAACTTATGGATCCGTAAATAGTAAGAACTAAATTCAATGTTAGGATTTCGTATTGCTGTAATCTACGGTGCTTCTAATCTACTAAATATAATAAGTCAATTTGGACCTACTGGCAGCGAAAGCTTGAGATCAGGCCCATTCATGTGTTTATTCATTGCCATATCACAATAAAATAGAGCCAAAGCAGATTCCAGAACTACATCCTTGAACCTATTGCTAGACATAGCACTTCAAGGAAATAGAATCTTCAACACTGGCTACGATGGAACGAAGTCATTCCACATATTCTTCGTATATGACATTTCTAGTTGAACTTTTCATTACTCACGATTTATCTAGCTAAATGCAAAGTCAAGAAGGGAGAAGAGACACTGAAAGAGAAACAATACAATTAGAGAAAGCCATAGCCATAATCTATGAAGCTGTCCCTTTCAGGCCGTTTGTCCCATTGGAATGATCTCTACACTAGCATATAATTCCAGCATGCATTTCTTTTCTGTACAAGTATCGCAGAGCAGCTGGGCGCTCTGTTCTTCTAAAAGCAAAAGACCTGGTCTCCTGCGTCAGACTTCATGGTGGTTTTCTCCCAGCCCAATTCGGTTGTGAGGTCAATGAGAAGTCTCTTCATTTCAGGTGGCCCACAAACAAAAAGTCTGTTCTCTGGAGAAACCGGAGGCATATATTTTTCAAGCATTTCCTTGGTAACGTAGCCAACAGAGCCTGTCCAGTTCTGAGGTGGGTGGGTCAAGGTGTAGTGAACCTCGAAGTTCGGGTATTTGCTGGCAATCTGGTCCAACTCGGAGCGCAACAAGATGTCGTTTTCGGTCTCGTTGGCGTAAAGCAACTTGATTTTCGTGGTGTCTTCTGGAGTGGTGATGACTTTGGTGATGACTTGCAAAATCGGGGTGATGCCGGACCCACCAGCAACCATGCCGATTTCTTTAGCCATATTGGTCTGATACTCCAATCTTCCGACAGGGCCACGGAACTTGACGGTCTGGCCCTCCTTCAACATGGCAAAACGTTTCGAAACCTTGCCGTGCGGGTACGACTTGACCAAAAGATCAAAGAAACCGGTGTCGAACTCGTTCGAAATGGGCGAGTAGTAGCGGATTTCGTCTTTGCCGTCGATGCTGAAACAACAAGCAACGTGGTGTCCTGGCGGAATGCGAAGAACTTCGTCCTCGTGGTTCAACTTGAATCTGTAGATGGCGGAGTTCTTCGAGATGATCGTTTTGTCAATCAATTCCAAGTCGTTCCACTTGACAGGATCAATCGACCGCCGTCTGCTCCATGCCTCGTAAAAGTTGTAGGTGCACATTATCGCCACAAAAGAAAGGGTATAAGGCAAATAGTGGTAGTCAATGAGACACGTGCCTGCTATGATAAGCGCCACAGGGATATAAATCCCATGAAGCGGCTGCTTCAACAAGTCTCTCTTGTCTTGGAATTCCGACATGTAGGCTCCAACTATTGGCTTTGACTTTTGGCTGATGGAGCTTTTTTTCCACCCGCACATTCCGCAACCTGCAGACAGGGAACCATGGACAGACAGAGAAATGTCCTAAAAATTCGTCAAATGATTCAAATATTGGTCTTGGAAAAAAAATTCTATTGAAGAAGTCTTTAGACTGTCGGTTCGAAATTGCCGCTGATATTATTTTCCGTCGGCTCTTAGACAGTTTATTGACTGCGAAGTTTCAAGATGCCAGTAACACTGCGAAATTACTTAGTACGTAGGCAGACCTCAATTGAATCACTTGTTTCATCCACTTTTATGAAAGTAACAGAATACAGGAAAATATACTGGGAAATGAAGTTCCTTCTAACATCTTTAATTTTGAAGAGCTCTATATGACAATCCGTTGAAGATTGGACAAACGATGTCATAAGGTCACAGCTTAACCAATTTAGAAGATTCTCTGGAACTTTTAGTGGAGACAGAAAAATCATCTTTTTTTGAAACAATACATTTATTAAAGGCTCGCGCCAAGGTAGAAGTAAACATGCTATACGCCGCAGCAACAAGAAACTTATGGGGGTATACGTAAACTAGTACTCTTCCTCTTCTTCAGGGAAAGAGTCGGTGCCGACCTCTTCGTAATCTCTCTCCAAAGCGGCCAAGTCCTCTCTGGCTTCAGTGAACTCTCCTTCTTCCATACCTTCGCCCACATACCAGTGCACGAACGCTCTCTTGGAGTACATCAAGTCGAACTTCTTGTCAATTCTCTTCCAGGCTTCAGCAATGGCAGTGGTGTTGGAAAGCATGCACACGGCTCTCTTGGCAGAGGCAAGCTCAGATCCCTGGATAGCAGTAGGAGGCTGGTAACAGATACCAATCTTGAAACCGGTTGGACACCAGTCCACCAACTGCACGGTTTTCTTAGCCTTGATTTGGGCCACGGAGTCTTGCACGTCTCTGGTGACAACATCGCCTCGGTACAACAAACAAGTAGCCATGTACTTGCCCAATCTTGGATCACACTTGACCAACTGGTTACCTGGTTCAAAACAGGAGGCAGTAATCTCAGAAACAGAGTTAGATTCGTGGTTGGCTCTCACTTTAGAGAATACTGGAGCATACGAAACCAAGGGGAAGTGGATTCTTGGGTATGGAACCAAGTTGGTTTGGAATTCGTTCAAGTCCACGTTCAAGGAGCCATCGAATCTCAACGATGCCGTGACAGAAGAGACGACCTGAGCGATCAAGCTGTTCAAGGAGTCGAAGTTGGGTCTGGCAATGCCCAAATTTCTGCGGCACATATCGTAAATGGCCTCGTTGTCGACCATAAATGTACAGTCGGCGTGTTCCAATGTGGTGTGGGTGGTCAAGACAGTGTTGTATGGCTCCACCACAGAGGTCGACACTTGTGGCGCTGGGTACACAGCAAACTCCAATTTAGACTTCTTGCCATAGTCAATGGACAATTGTTCCAAGAGCAAAGAGCCCAAACCAGAACCGGTACCACCACCCAAAGAGTGGGTGAAGAGGAAGCCTTGCAAACCATCGCATTGGTCGGCCATTCTTCTGACTCTGTCCAAAACGTCGTCCAAAATCTCTCTTCCCACAGTGTAGTGGCCTCTGGCATAGTTGTTAGCCGCATCTTCCTTTCCAGCAATCAACTGTTCTGGGTGAAACAAATCCTTGTAGGCTCCAGTGCGAACCTCGTCGATCACGTTTGGCTCCAAGTCCACGTACAACGCTCTTGGAACGTACTTTCCCGATCCAGTTTCGGAGAAAAAGGTCGAAAAGCCTTCTTCCCCACCCTTTGGTCTGGTCAATCCTTCTTGCAAGTAACCGTCGGGTCTGATTCCATGTTCTTGCGAGTACAACTCCCAGCACGCATTACCGATTTGACAACCGGCCTGACCGACTATATTGTTAGTATATGTTTGCAATGTCCACGCATCTTATCCGGAAACCATAAAAAAAGACACTGTCTGAGCCAATATTTGAAATGTAAGGATGCTTGCTTGCGCTTCGGCTTGTTTATGCACTGAGCGATTCTTGGAGGGACTTTGGGTCAACATTTAGGGACTTCTGGTCAACATTTAGGGACTTCAGCTCTTCTTGATTCTTTCACATTGTGGTAGAAAGAAGGACAGGAAGCAGAACAGGATCATTTGCTGCTTTTCAAACGTACGGAATAACTCTTTGGTTTCAATCTGGTTAAGGTTATGGTGGCGATGGTCTCTATCGGCTAATCATTGGGATGGAAAACAAAAAAGGGCCAAAAAAGATCGGAAATTGATGGGGAAAAGAAAGATGGAAAACTCAAAGTGAATGCATACCGTTGATACTGATGACTTCTCTCATTTGCGGTTTTAGTCTAGCGTTAAAGTGAAGAGATAAACTAGAAGCGGTTTTCTAAATGTTTGAGCCAATGTTTATGTTTTGGTATGCGCACGCCCTAGAGGGGCCTCTGACGGGGCAAAATCTGTTAGCATTCCCGATTTGGCGCAAACAATAACAGCATGGAAAATGTCGCGCCTTGAGAGTGAGAGGCACGGGTCTACGGTCTTTGTCAAACGGGTATGGTATATGGCACGATGTACGTACACAGGAATATAGCCTTGAAGCTCAAAGCCTCTTCTCTATACAACGATGGCGATGCGCCCATCTAGTTCTTGACATTGTACGATCTTTGGAATTTGTCGTTAATGTCAACCAAGTAGTAAGCACCAGGAGCAATGTCGTCAACAGAGCCGGCTGGTTTGAAACTCTTTTGCAAGTGGGCCTTTTCTCGCAACTCAATGTGCTCGACATATTCTTGCGGAGTTCTTTGCTTTCTGCCAGCAAACAACTTGTGCTCCAAGTCCAAGACTTTGGTGATGTGGGAGATGTCGCCAACAACGTTCAATGACATGAATGTAGAAGCAAGACCAGAACCGTACGAGAAGACGGAAATCTTCTTACCTTGCAAGTTCTCGCTACCAACAAAGAACAAGACCGAAGCCAACGATGTCCAGCACGAAGCGGTATACATGTTACCGGTGTTGGTGGCCACCTTCAAAGCTGGGGAGACTCTCTTGGCAGACTCTTCCTTGGCGAGACCCAAAAACACCTTCTCGAGGTTTCTGTCAGTCAAAGATTGCTCGTAAGTCAAGCTCTTGACTTGTTCGAACACCTCGGCATCCAACTTGTCCTTGAATGCATCAGGGTTGGAGACAAAGTCATTGTACAACAATCTGGCAAAAGACTTGGTCACCAACTTACAGGTTGGCACGTGGAAGGCCGAGTAATCAAAGTGGTCCAAGATGCCAACAGTCTTGTTGGCAGACTTAGTGATCTTCTTGCTGTAGTTGCGGTATGCGTGGTCCAAGGACTTGGTGTAGCAAGTCAACGAGAAGTGACCGTCAACAACAGGATACTCAGATGTGAAGTCAGGCTTGTAGAAATCGTAAGCATGCTCCATGTGAGAGCCTCTGGTCAGGTCGAAAACAAGCGGCGCGTCTGGGCCAATAAGCATGGCCACAGAGCCAACACCACCGGTTGGTCTGGCGGCACCCTTCGAGTAGATAGCAATGTCGCCTGCCACGACAATGGCGTCTCTACCATCCCAGGAAGAAGACTCGATCCAGTTGACGGCGTTAATAACAGCAGAGGTTCCACCGTAGCACGCGTTGACCGTGTCGACACCTTCAATGTCGTCGTTGTCGCCAAAAAGTTGCATCAAAACCGACTTGACCGACTTGGACTTGTCCAACAAGGTCTCGGTTCCGACCTCCAATCTACCAATAGAGTTGGGGTCGATGTTGTAGTTCTTCAACAATCTAGAAGTGGCAGTCAACGAGATGGAGTAAATGTCCTCTCTGTCAGAGACGAAGGCCATGTTGGTCTGGCCCAAGCCAATGGTGTATTTGCCCGCTGGGATCTCGTCGAATTTCTCCAACTCAGATTGGTTGACGTAGTTTGTGGGGATGTAGACCTCGATGGCCTTGATACCGACGTTTTTGACTGACATGGTTTTAGCGTGGAAAAGAAAACTGGAGCGGCTCGAAAAGTTCACAAATGGTGTGCACGGCTTATTTCTACGACGAGTAAACGAGCGTACGATGTTGTGTGCAGGTCCACATCCTTCAGCCACGATAATTATGTTTTGTTGGGCTACGACGTACGGAGCTCCGTATTTATATGTTTGTGGCTGCAAATGCAAGTGCTAAACGGGAACTTTTGGCCACGAAAATGTCGCAAGAATGGTTGCTCGGGCAGAAGGGAATATGTATGTAGGGTCTGAACGAAATTTTCGGACGCGACTCTCATCTGGTAAAGTAGGCTGATTTCAGGCTTCAAAGTCTAGAGTACTCTATTGATTTTATACATGAAGTGGTAAAGAAGGAAGTCTGATCGAATTTCACCAAAGTGTTTCTATATCTGACAACCGGTGAAGGCGAACGAAAAGAGCACTAAAGTCACGCGCAGGATTTCTTTATCTGCTTCACAATTTATTTGCGGAATAGACACGTATGGCGAAATTGGCAAACAATAGAAAAATTAGTGAAGTCCACCTAAAATAATATGTTTATATGGAGAATGAAAATTCAACGATCTACTGATGGTTTGTTCGTATTATCTTTTTCATGTAGACTAAGTTTAGTCTGGTACTGTTGACCTGCAAGATAAGAATTCTTGCTTCTCAGTATAATTAGTTGGAAAAGTCGTAAACGCATAGACAAGCTCAAAGAATTTTAGTTTTCTTACAAAGCGAGCAACTATGTAATAATAGAAGAGCTATTCAAACTATGATCAGTTTATCGTGTGGTAAGAAGCTAATATTGATGAGTTTAGTATCTTAAATTCCTCAAAATGCAAATTAAACTCCTCGTTTACTTCGAAACTGGATTGAATTGAATAACTAGTAAAGCATAGACATTGCAAGACGAAAACAAGCAAGTAAACTAGGACAAACGAAGAGGGAAAGAAGAAAAATAAACTACTACTATATTGTACTGAAATTCAGGAACAAAAAGGGGAGCTCGTACATTAGATTATCTATCACTTCACAAAAAGCATAGTTTAAATTCACAGATATTCTTCAGGTCTAAACTTACGTTGACCTAGGTTTTTGCTCCACTTAGTTTAGATACCTTACTGTCAGTCCTCTTTATCTCCTATGATAATGAATCTTCAACCCTAACAAGCTGAGAACGAATAAAAGCTTGTTATACAAGATACTTGAAGCAGTATGAACGTCTATGCATTATATCAAATTCTCTAAGATTTCAGAAGAAATGAAAAAGTCTATTCGATGTCCATGAGAGTCGCCAAACTTCATGAAAGGCCATCATCGGTTCTGAAAAACCATCTAGTTGCGCAACACAAGAGTGCCATCACGGTCGTAAACACCCGGGTTCCGAATATAAGGATCTAACTCAATGTAATTGTCTGAAAGTTCATAACTCAAGTAAATTTTGCGCCGCAAGTAATGAGAGCTCACCTCCGGGTTTGTACTCTCCACCCACCTTTTGGTCACATCCAAAAATGTAGTGAAAAGCTCATGGCGCCGTGCCACTAGCTCATAGTAATGTGCGTCTTTTTTCTTTGGAGGCCGCGTGTGTTCTTTTGACGGAGGTTTGTACGTCAAGTCTGCCTTGTCTTCTCCTCCCAAATACTCTGGGATATACTTGGGTTCAATAAGCTCGCATAGATCTTTGTAGCCCTTTGTGAAGTGAATTTTCGAAGACACAACGGGGTCCAACCAGTTCTTGATAATGCTCCACACCGTTTGGAAGATCCATGGTGCATTGTGCACAATGACAATTCCTAAACTTTCCGGATAATGGGCCTCAAACATGGCCATCAAAAATTTTATGGGTGCGTTGTCGGCATTCTTCATCGAAAAACCCGTCAAGTCAAACATGACCGAGCATGTATCCACAGACTCATGAACTTCACGTAAAAACAAGCGGCACCATTCGATCACCACAAGCGCAAACTTCTCTGTTTCAGGTAAAGGCGAGTCTGCAGCGAAATGCTTACTTGATTGAAACACGAAAAGCGGGTTTTTATTCCGGTCTTGTCCCCTGATAAACAGCTTGCTGACGATGAAATTCTTGATGAAGCCTACTTCTCGTGTATCTCCAGCGATGTAGGCCGGAGCATCTCCTTCCATGAGCATATCGTTCACACGGTACTCTTCGGCCTTCCAGTGTAAGCTTCTGGCAAGCATCTGCATGGCGTCGTTGAAAACATATTTGCGGGCCCGAATGTAGCGAAGCAAAAGGTTGTCCACCAAGTCGTTTCGGGAAAAGGCTATGAAAGAAGAGTGGAGTACCTGCGGATCGTACTTGGCCATGAAAGGTCTAATGTTCCGCTGGGGCGACACTTTGTACGCCGATATCTGATCGACGTCCGGCTTTCCACCTGTTTTTTCTTGTTCGGTTTGTAAGTTCTGCTGACCGTTTCTTTTTTGGTTCTTTCCATTACTGTCAGTTACGCTAGTGTTGCCACTGTTGTCAGAGAGTATTGAATGGGCAGTGTAGAATGTCTGGACAGAGCTCACATCGGAATCGATATCCGGTTCGGATTCTGCACCTTCATACGAATGATACACATGTTTGATGAAAGCTGACGCCGATTCCACGTGCTCATACTTTTCCATGTGCAGCCGGGTCAACTGCTTTGCTCTGGTGGCACTCAACGGCTTTTCATGTTGTGTTTTCCGTCGATGGAAAAGCGATCTTTTCCGCTTGTGTTCCGAAATCAGCGAATGTCCTGTTTTGCTTCTGTGCAACGCAAGAGCAGTTACCGAAGATGCCACAAAAGCATGCTTGCTTTCTATATCTTCAATCGGCACGTCCAGGCCATATCCCCAATAGTGCAAGAGAAAGGCCCAAGCTTGTTTGAGCAAAATTTCCTGATCCGGATCAAGTGATTGCACGCGTCCAGGACGGTATTGGACGGAAGACGGGTATACCAACGGATGCTCAGGCATTGAGTACTGATAAGGTTTTCCTTTTCTTTTTTTTCTTTAAATGGCGTTTATTTTGTCCGCTTTTCCATACGTGGCCACACATCTATACAAGGCTTATGTCGCGTAAATGACACTAGCGGACAGGAACGCGAATATTTTTCGACATAGCCCATGTCTCAACTTCATAGCGACAGAAGCAGACAATACAAGAGTAGAGAGAAGGCAAGACAAGTCTGTTATCAAGAATCTGCAATATTTGAAGTGCCATTTCCGAGCCATATGCATGCACAGATATATTAGAGAAGTGCCTTATCTGGTGAACATTCCGCACTGATTCAGACAAGCATTGCAATATAGATGTCTTCTGCTCTTCACCTTTCTGAACGTTGCTCAAACTGGTTCGTAAGAGTACCGTAGTCGGAGAATTCTCGGCAAGTTGTTAGTTTTCGTAAAACCGTGAATCTATCCTATTGTTTCACGCAATAAAGACGCACATCTTAAACTCCTCCCCTATCAAAACCGCTTCCTTGGTCGCATTTGTGCAATCTTACGGCCCTGCATCGCGAGAGGCGGCGTAAAAGGTTGGCCTGGAGCAGACCCAGGTTGTCCGAAGTTGACAGGCGGCGTGTTTTCTCTGCTCGCCAGTCCAAAGCTTCCTGGAGCACTATTGAAGCCTGTTGCACTGCCCAAAGCATTTGCAGAGAAAGAAAAGCCGCCATTGGCAGGTCCAGAACCACCAAATCCGGGAGTTGCACTTGTTTGACCAAAAGTATTACCACCGGCTGGAGTAGAACCAAATCCTGGATTGGGGTTAGCACCAAACGTGCCAAGTTGGGGAGCCGGGGCAGCAATATTGCCATTGTTGTTGGAACCAAAACCGAAACCAGCAGATGGAGTGGCCGACCGACTGGCACCAAAAGTTGATGTGACGTTATTGCTAAAATTGAATCCGTCACTTTTGGGGGGCGCAGGAGCACCAAACTTGAAAGGTGTAGACTCTTTGCTCACGTTGAAATTGAATGCTGGTTGTGGGGCATTGTTGCCGCCCCCAAAAATCTGCGCGGGATCAACCAGAGCAGTTTGTCCGAAGCTGAATCCGGAGTTGGTTGGTTGGGCATTGCCAGAAAACGAAGGTGCTGTTGTCGTAGGAGCTGAGTTTCCAAGCGCGAGACCCGGAGTAGCGGCTGGTTTGGGTGTGGTTTCTTTCGAGGAGAAGGAAAATGCAGGGGTGTTTTCTTTTGTAGTAGGTGCAAGCGAAGTAGATGTCTTTTCGCCAGTCCCACCAAAACCAAATAAGGGCTTATCTGACTTTTCGTTACCAAACAGAAATTTGGGTGCCAGCTCATTCGCCGCTGGCTTTGTTGTTTCTGTTTTTTGGCCAAATGAAAATTTAGGCGGCTCACTAGCATTCCTTTCAGATTGCCCGAAAGAAAACTTAGGCGCTTCTTTTTTGTCGTTGTTTCCAAAAGCGAAACTAGGTGGTTCTGTGTTCTCCTTCTTTTCAAAGGAAAACTTTGGTGCCTCTGTTGCTGCTTTCTTTTCGAAAGAAAATGCTGGCACCTTTGACGAATCCTTCTGTTCATTTGGTTTGCTTTCTCCGAAAGAAAATTTCGGAGCATCGTTTGATTCTGCGTCTGCCTTTTGACTCGAGCCACCAAAGGAAAACTTTGGGGTTGTGGACTCTTTTGCTTCGCCACCGAAAGAGATTTTTGGCGTACTTGACTCCTTGGACTGATCTCCGAATGAAAATTTTGTCGTACTTGATGCTTTGGACCCATCTCCAAAAGAGATTTTGGGTGTGCTGGATTCCTTTGCTTGATCACCAAACAATTTTGGTGCACTCGTAGAACCGAAAGAAAACTTAGGTAAGGACGTATCTTTAGTATCATCACCCGTTTTCTTAGCACCAAAAGAGATGACTGGCGCATCCGATTTTGCGCCTGTACTACTAGAGTTTCCAAATGAGAAACCCAGAGACTTTTCAGTGTTGGAGGAAAATAACCCTGGTTTATTGGAGTCCAGGCTCAACGCAGGAGTAGGGGTTTCGCTAGTGGATTTGGCCCCAAACGAAAACGCAGGAAGCGGGGCCTTCGAAGCTTCAGAACTTTTAGAATCACCCAGGATCTCTGTGCCCAGTTTCGAACCGAAAGAAAATGCTGGTTTAGGCTCTTCCTCCAGAGAGCGCTTTCGTTTCTCTTTAGGCTCAGAGGAAAAGGATATAGAAGGTAAACTTGGAGCAGTCTCTGTCTTTTTCTCGTGAGCTGAAGGACCAGTTGAATTTTCCTTGATCAGCTCGTCGTCTTCTTTTCGCTTTTGGAGGATCGACTTAATTGCTCCCAGGTCCACATCAAAGTTGAAACCTGCACTAGGGCCGATAGATGTCTTTTTCGCTGGAGCCGGTTGCTCTTTGAGCTTGATGATGTTTGATATGCTGGCAGTTTTTTCGACGTAGTCCTTATCCAAAGATAAATCCTGTGACACGCCCAGCCTAATTGTTTCATCCAACCCAGCGCGCTGGCCTACCGACCGACGTCTTTTTATGAGTCTTTCGGAGGAATTGTCATCGGGAAAGCCCTTCGTGTCTATTTTTTCCTCCAGTTGTTTTTCAAACTTTGGGTTGCTAAGCGTACCCAAGTATCCAGTCAATTGAGTTTCACCTTTGTGTTCCACATCTTTTTTCTGTGGTTCGTAATAGAACTCGCCGGAGAACATACCGCGGCTCTTATGGCGCCTATTAGGGTGCCGCCGGCGGAATGTCCGACTGGCCTGGGTGTTTGTGAATTGAAGACGGCGCTCTAGATAATCTTGGTTGTGTGTTTGCGTCGAGCAGTCGACTTTGTTGTCGGGCCGCATGAACGAGCTGCTTTCGTCCGGATCAACCATTGACTGGAGTCTCTTTTGCAAAAACTCGGATGCTTCCATTGTCTTTTTCATCTGCAACAACTTGTACCGTTCACGAGGGTCCAAGTTGATGAACGGTGGTCTTACCAAATTGCCATCCTCGTCTTGGTATAGCGGCGCAAACTCGTGCTCAACCACCACCGGGCCGTCATTTTTTTCATCTTCCCAGTCCAGAGCATTTGTCGGTAGCACCAGGTTGCGGGGAAAACTCAATGCGGGCGAAATATCTTTCCCAAAGCCGTCAGCAGAATTTCTCCAAACACCTTTCTCGGCATCTACTATGCTGGCACGTCTTTGCTCCATAGCTCCGCCGATCAGTTGTCGTTCTGACTGAAGCGAATTCGTGAGCGCCTGATAGCCGTCTAGGCCCACAATCGACGACGAACGTGGGACTGCCGAGCTGCGCAGTTTCAAGTCCTCTTGCACAGACATTCGTCTCTTCCTCGAGGTGAAATCAGCAGGCAAAACGTCCAGGCCGATATTTTGTATCTGGTTGCCCGAGTCAGAAGCAACAGTATCATGTGTGGGTTCCGCTCGCGAAAAAACACGCTTTAGCGACGAAAAAAAACCGGTCCCTAAAAACTTTTGCCTCTTGGAGTTCGGCTCGGGTGCCGTTTGCGGGCTAACTGAGCGCTTCATACTGTGTATGTGCCGTTTGTGTTTTTTCCCTTGCTTATACTATACATTGAGTGAGGGCAGTGGGTTTTTTGCGCGCGCACACCCGTGCATTCCTCATCGCTCTGTTCCGCCGTACTACATGAGCATTAAACCAGTCAATATGGAGAGCTAAAAGTGAAAAGTAAAGCGTAAATTATTAGCTGTCGTCACCGAAAACATCGAACGTCGCCTTATGTTGCGGAGGCATGTCGTTCGTGATATTTAGGTTGAGCCCTGCGCCCGAGCCGTTGAAAATGTCATCCGCACTTTCGTCATAGTATGCTCGCGCAGGGTTCCGGAGTCCTGTTACAGGATCTTCTCTGTTCACGCGGTCAATTTCTTTCACCAATTTGATCATGGAATTCTCGCCGTAATTTACGCCGAATAGCGCAAGGAGCGGAATCACTGCCTGTACCCAAGCATCCACTATACGTGCCCGTTGCTTGGTGCCAAGGCGTGAAATGGGGAACTCGCCCTTTTTAATAAATGCAACAATGTCCACGATCAAATGGTGTTTGCTGAACACAGTATTGACTATAATCGGCACCAAGGCAGAGAGATTCCGGCTTCTCTTGGCCTCGCACACGACAATCGTGTAATCAGAGCATTTGAATATGCATGAACCATTTTTGTAAATGTCTGGGTGACACGACTCGATGGTAGACTCGATGTCTATTGGGAAATGATGCAATCCCATCACCTCAAAGGTGTCTGAGATTTTTCCCAACACGAAAAGAGGCTGGAAATTCGTGAGCTCCTCTCCTTTCGCCTCCCCGGGTGTATTTTTTGATATGGATATGTGGTGGAGGAATCCCAAGTCGCCTGTTCGCAAGTAAGTCAAGTCTTGATTTCCGTCAGCAATTTTCCCAAGAAACTGGGTTTTCACAAAATTGTCCACTGGACCCTTGGGACCGTTTGTGAACGACTTTATGTTCGCCTCAGAACACACCCAAATCTCGCCAAATTCTCCCTCACGACAGACTTTATTGGTCTCTGGATTCACAATCGCTATTTCAGTGCACACTGGCACCATTCCCGAATCTTGAATTCGCAATGCGTTGGGGTACTCTGCTTGGTTCACTACAGAAACATAGCCTTGGCGCAATGCAACAGGATCCAAGAAAAGATCCACAGGTGCCACAGTCATATAAGACCGGGCTGAAATAATTGGGTTGAAGCAGTGGTTGTAAACTGCAGACATGGCGGCAGCGCCTAGCTTGGTGGGCTGGAATATTTTGGCAAGTTTACGTAGTAGATCAATCTCCACTCGTCCGTCTGTACTGATCATCATATTCTTCAAGCGCAGGAGATCAAAGCCCTTCGGGGTAAATTTGGTCACAGAATACTTCAACATCTGCTCTGTCACGAACACATCTTTGACCTTGTATTTTACAAGAGCCAAAAAGAATGCCAAGGGATTTTCTGCGAAATTCACAGGGGAACTGAGGTATGTAGTTGTACCCAAATACACGCCAAGTAAAACTGCTTGAACGAACCCGATACCAGCAGCATGCCGTACACAGCCCACAATAGAGGAGCTTGATGATAAATTGCATGTTTCTTTGAAGACTTTGCAGATACGCATGATATTGTCGTGACTTAGGGCAGCACCCACTCTGTAATGGTCGGAAGTAAAGTTGAGCCAGATCAAACTTGTTGTGTTTGGGTCTCTAAAATTGGCTGCTGCTTGATACTTTGCAATCTTTGAAAGAAGGCTGGCAACGTTGGCCACCTTGGATAGCTTCGAAGTGTTTTTAAGCCGGAGCGGCTTGGCACGGCGGGCATTTATCTTTTTTAATGCATCAGCTATAGGACCAGTTTTCATGAATCGCTCAACGTCGTCGTTGATAAACACCTCCAGTACATCGAAATCCTTTGTGACACCGACAAAAGCCGGAAAGTCTTCGCCGATCCTGTTCGAATCAAACGGTAGCATCGGAATCGGGATTACAGCGCACATCAAGCACGCATACAAGGCGATCACGAACTCCTCGGACAACGAATACATCAAGATGACATGCTGTCCTTGACGAATGTTGATTTTTTCAATCATGTAATGGCAAACAGCATAAACACGGAGCTCGAATTTTTTCCATGTAAGAGGCTTTGATGAGCCTTTCCCGCTGGTATCAATATTCTGGAAAGCAATAGCGTCTCCTGCGTTCGCAACACGGAACTTGAGCACATCAAGAATAGATTTAAAGTCTGTGAGAGGAGCACCAGTTTTGTCATCGAATGATTTAGGCCGATAGTCGATTGTTGAAATTTGGGGTGGAAACCGCTGGAGCGACAGGCTTCGAAGTTGTGAAGCATATGGTGACCAAATACCGCCAATTATGTCTTCACCATATGGCACCATACTTACTGATTGGCGCACGAAGAACTTGACAAACTCGGCCTTAAGGGTTCCTTCCAAGAACTTTTTCTTGCAGAGCATGTTAGCGATTTCTAAACCACCACTTCGCATGATTTTGGGCAACGTGTCGCAATCAACAACAACCACGCAAAAAAGCCGAAGCTGGTGATGTGAGCTCAAAGTGTCAAAGCATTTTTGCGCAATTGCATTCAACATGGGTTCATTCAAGGGAACAGCGCTGTAATCAAATTTCTTTCCTGATTTGGAGCCTCCACCTGCTGGATCATCTACAATCACTCGCCGAAGGATCTCTGCCTCGACGATGGCGACAGGCAAATGCTCATTGCCGATGAAAACATCAAATATCGTACAATCGTGAACCTGGCGCACCTCGGAGGCCAAAGTTGCCAATAGATGTGAAGAATAGTGGTAGCGCGTGCCTCCCGTGATTGCTTGCTTTCGCAGACGGTACAATTTCTGGTCCACCCAGCTCACACGTTGCCGAATTCTATCCTCGTAGAGACCCAATACGTAGACTTTCCCTTGATGTGTGAATCCGAGAAGTCCTGTGCGAAGGAAGTCCTGTTCCAAAACGCCATTGGCGTCCCGGCATTTGGCGTGGAAAATCTGTCGAGACTCTTTGCGAAGGCCGTAGAAACCGCCCAGTAGACAGGGACTATCGATCCAGAGCTCTCCCAATTCTCCCTGGCACACCAAAGTGGCCAGCTCGGGATTCACCACAGCTAATGTGGCGTCAGGCAAAGGGTACCCAAACGCGTCGACGCGAAGTGTGTCTGGCGCTTCCTCAACCACGCAGACTCTGTTTCGGGCCAACAGTTCCTTGTCGATGAAGACGCAAGAGAGGTCATTGTTTGCGGACGGCACGAGCCAGTCTCGCATCGACACCACCATTCCTCCATATTCACTTAACGTAAGCATGGGGATGATGGCATTGTATGCGTTGAGACAACCCAAAGGTTTGAGGTACCGTTCTGTGAGCACCTCGACAAACTCACCGTCGACAGTGAGTGCATTGATCAAAACCCAGCGAAGCGGGGAGAAATCCACTCGCTGCGCTTTTGAAAAGTACCGTGTAGCATTGGGTGCCTGCTGGTAGTCGTATGTTGCCCGCTTCAAGCCGAGGAAGTCTGCGAGAAGCAAGTTGGCCCGAGTTTTCGAGACAATGTGTGCAAAGAGACCTTGGACCTCCATGACTTTGGGAGGGGCCCATACCAACATGTTCCCCGAGTAAACGGAAAACATCACGCCCACAATCAATCCAATGGACATGCGCACGTCGACGGTGGCCAAAAACAGCCTTCGCTGCGTGCAAAGGTCGCCGCCCGAAGGAACGCTCAGGAGAGAAGTGGCGAGGCAGTTCATCTGGTGCAACACGGTTCTGTGGCTGAGAGCCACGCCACGCAATTCTCCGACGGGCGAGCGGGCGTATTCGACGTAGGCCAAGTCGTTTTCCTTGTGGCGGGCCAAAATGTGTTCCTGTTCCGACTTGCGGGCAGAACCCAAGTCTGACGTGCGGAGACGAGCCACTTTGGCCGGCCACACAAAGTCCGGCGCCGGAAGCTTGTCGATTTCCTTGTACATGGTTTCGGACATGAGCACGAGCGACGCAGACGCCACGCCAACAATGTCAAGCATCTCTGCGAGCAGAATGTCCAGGTGGATTGGGATGGCGGTGGCATTGGCGAGGAAACAGCCGAAAAGCGCCACGGTGAACTCGCAGACCTCTGTCTGGCGGTAGAGCAACACCACGGCGGCGCCCAGCTTGCCGCTGGTGCGGTGCTTCACCTCGTGGGCCACCTTGGCCGCTTTCAAAAACATCTTCTCCCATGTGATGGACTGGGCCTCCTTGCCGCGCGCGTCAAGCGCCACCATGGCCAAGTCTGTCTTTGCCGACTCGGCGCGCTTGCGGAGAAGCTCCACAAGACTGTGTTTGGCGAACGAAGCATAGTCGCTGGGCTTGCGGGGAAGCAAAGGCGGCTCGAGAGTCTGCACGGCCTCGTTTGCAGGGCGGACTTGCTGGTGGAGCCGCTGCACCAGCCGCATGATTTCCTCGCGTCGGTTGATGTAGGTCCACTGGTCGATGGAGGCGGCGGCAAAGTCGTTTTCGAGTTTCTGGAGCAAAAGCGCCATGTCTGGAGGTATGTCGGGCGTGCCGCCCACGTACGCGGACGGCTCTTTGGCGACGCCCATGCCGTCGTGCGGCGGCGGCTGTCCGATGTTCATGTTGGGCAAGTCGCTACGGAGCGTGGTAGTGGTGGAGTATGGAAAAGGTGTGTATTTGGTGTACTTTGGAGTGGACTGGAGTATATATGGTGCAGATGCGCAAAATAGGCTCGCCCAGTGCAGGAAAGTGAAGCCAGAAGTTAAACTGGGGAAGCTGGAACTGGTGGGAATGGACGAGAAAAGAGTTGGTGGAGTTGGTAGAGTTGGTAGAGTTTGATGGCGTGAGACAAGTTGCGATGAGCTGAGAACCGGTTGATAAGATGGGGAAAGTTGCGTGGAGGTCAGAAGCCGAGGTGCTGGCCCGTTCCGGTGAATGGTGCGAAAGACTAGACCGTTTACTGTCAGAGGGTGCAGTAGAAGCACAGGCGTAGATAGTACAACCAAATTGAGCTAGAATTGGGTTCTGACGTATTCTGTAGTGTTACGGAATGGCAATTATAAAAATGGACACGGCATTGAGAACAACCTACAGTCAAAGGGTTTCACACTAATGGTACCTACATCCAAGGGCAAAACAGCAGTTTCCCGGTAAGAGGACAGACTGTATTTCAGGATGGGCATCGATAATGTGGGTGCTAATTGAACCTACGAGCAACAATTTGAGCGATTGTCATTATCTGTAGTCGTTGAAATGAATAAAAGCGGCTCAGGCTTAATCAGCCAAAAATAAGCAAACAATTGAAGAAAAGTGAAGAGAGCATAAAAGATACTCTAGCACAAAAGGCTCTTCTTGGAGGAATCAAGCTATATCAAATTGGTATGATCACCTTCAAGATTGCCAAAAAGCCTATGAAACTTCGCACAAGACGAATCTGCTCGAGATTTATCTGCTCGAATGAGCACAACACTGATTGAACAATTCACATGCTACACAAGTTTTGACGTCAATGAACTTAAGTCATTTTGTATAATTTACTGTTTCAACATGTATTTTCAGTTTCTCTTATAATGGCAAGCTTCTCAGCATCCACGTCAGGTGAAAGTACTTGAGTCTCCATAGCACAATCTTGATAGTTACTCTAGTAACTAGCAAAAGATATTCAACTTCCCAAAGTAGCATCGCTAATGGTCCAATTCAGATAAACTATACACTTCGAAAACCTAACAGACATTTACTCTCGTTCCTCATTATGACCAGCAGGCAAAGGTCGCCAATCGCCAAGTCATTTAGCCTGAAAAAAATGGCGAGTCGTAGAGTTATCAGCAAGATGCAACAAATGTGTTCTATACTATTTTTCAACAGGTTCAACATTCCTCCTCTCCTTATTATTCTCTTGACTGCAGCTCACTTATTGAGAATGCCAGGGCCCTTGTATAGAAGCTCATCAGGAACGGGAATACCTTTGGCGTGGCACATGGCCACCAACTTTGAGTTTTCCTCCTTCAAATACTCAATGTAGTCTGCCGACTTTGAGAGAATGTTGAGCTCGGACCGACTTTCGTCTTCCGTCAAGGATGGTGTGAGCTCCACAATTCTGTCAAACTCGGCCCGAATGTTTTCTCGTCTTTTCTGCTCCGAGGCAATGTGATGCGCCTAATGTTAGCTCGCCGAAACGACATGGTTTATGCAAAACGTACCTTCTTCTGGTCTTCACTCAACGTGGAGACTTTCTTTCTTTTTTCCGCCATGTGTAGAATACAGATAAGAGTACCTATACAGATAAGAGTACCTATACAGATTAGAGTACCTATACAGATTAGACGAGCCGAATTTGTGGGGTGCGGTTGGTTTTGATCCGCGCACGACACCGCCATGTGCGGCGCTACCAGGCACAAGAAAGTGGGCAACTGCACCAGACTGCAAAAACCCACTGAAACATGGCAGAGCAAAAAATGAACTCTCCCAGGGGTGAGTCGAACACCCGATCTCAAGATTACAATTCCATTACAGTCTCGCGCCTTAGCCAGCTTGGCCACCGGGAGGTGTTCCAATAGGGTCTTTTAAAAGCCGGTTTAGTGTGGACTTCATGTGCGACTGCAGAAATTACCGCATTGGGTAAATTGTTATAAGAAATGGCCAACCTTTTGGGTAGTAGTGGCGTAATTTTAGACAGTCACAAAATGCAAGTGGTTAAATGTACGACTTTTGATTGACGTTAGCATCAGTGTTTCCAGCCAATCAGAACGATTATCATTCTACTAAATTAGTCTCATGACATAGTAAGAGAAGTACAGAAGCACCCACTTGCCCAAATGGAAAGTACCGGTCCGTCCGATTACTCCATAGCTGTCCTGAGCTGTGTCATTCTTTTATACTCTTGTCTGTTCGCTTTTCCTCGCCGAATGTAAACATATTTCGCTTGTCTATATTTATAAAATGCTTGATTGTGTTGCCTGACATAGAGAATAATTATGCTTGTAGATGTGTTGATGAACGCTTATAAACACACACATTTGCTAACCTGCTTTTTCTTTCCAGTCTCCATCAACATTTTCGTCTAAAGACATTACAAAATGTCAACTAATTGACAACATCAATGAACATTAACCGGATAATAACTTATATACGTAACAAATATCTGATATACTGCAGTTCATTAAAATGCTACCGAGTTGTTTCACCACACTGCAACAAATGCTCCGACGTAACACATCCAAACGTATATCCTACATTGTAGATAGCTTCATCGTCTGGTACTTTGGTCCACTCCCCAAATACGATTTTTTCTCTGTTGAAAATCGTACGGCGTCGCACACTTATTGTCCTTTGCAATGCCCCTTTCGCTACCAAGCTAGAGGTTTTCATCTGGGGCTGAACAACTTTACCTGGAAGGACTTCACAGAAAACTTTTTGCGCCGTATACTGAGCTCGCATCAATGTTGTTCTCAAGTTGCTTTCCTGTCCGAATATTTTGGTGTGCAACCTTAATCCAAATGACGCTTGCAGAAACATGCCGTAGGTTTTCGTCACCGTTGTAGGAGTTTCCGAAGCAGAATTGTCGATGCACAGGCCTATGGGTGTCCAGTGGCTTGGGAGATGAACAAACTTGGCAGAAGAGAGATCAGTTTGGACATATAGTGAGGGCATTTGATTCGGCTGGTCTTGTGCTGGAGGGCTTAAGAGAGACATGCTGTTTTCCAAAACATCAATCGGAACAATCACTGAAGAGTCGTTTTGGACTTGGACAATGCCTCCGCTCTCAAGCAAAACCGCGTTCAAGCTGTCCACAGACTCGATTTCGTGGATGGAGAGATTATCGTAGACAAGGGGGATTTGTGCCGAGACTATAGAAACAAGAAGCAAGATTCGCCACATTGTAGGAAGTATATTTTTGATTTGCGGGTCCGACAGCACGTTTAAGGCTGTTTCATTTTCTCACATTTGTAGTCTTGGCCGACCAAACATGCTATACTCTGCTCACATTTGCATCTGTATTAGCATTCTGGGAGACTTTTTTAGGGACCCCATCAAATCGGTTTTCTAGTCAATATTCAATTAAATGCAATAACCTTCTTTTTGGTATTGGGGTTTCAAGACAGCCATTACGATATTCTTCCATTACTCTTATCTAGCTTTGAGAATTTTCAATCGAGTTTGAGACGCTACTTTTGGCTCTTTTCCCTTTTTTTATTTTACCCTTTTGTTTATCCTTTTGTTTTGCCCTCCAAGTAGTATTTTCTACTGACATGCTCAATATTTCTATTGTTCTTGTTGTTTTCTCACCTTGGCTTTATCATTTTTGCGCACTTGCAACCACACATTTATGGTGTCTGGATGTGCTCTGACAAAAAAAAAAGACCAATCCTTATTGTTTTTCCAACCAAATGCCCTTCAGATTCCCGGTCAAGTTCGAGCTTCCCAAGCATTCCTACCTCAATAGCAGAGTCATCAAAGACCACTTCAAGCGCTTGCAGTTTGCCGAACATGAGGTCACAAGAAAAGCGTTGAAGTATATTGCCAGAAACACCGAACTTCCTGCCAGAGCCCGTTTGGAAGCCCAGTTACAGCTCACGGCCATGCCCAAGTACACCTCCCCCACACAAATCAAGGAAAGATGTGTCGCCTCAGGCCACAGCCGCTCGGTGATCACCGACTTCAAGTTGAACAGAACCGCCTTCAGAGAACGTGCCCGGGCGGGCCAGATTCCAGGTGTGCAAAAGGCATCCTGGTGATTGTACATAGACTGTAAATAGACGATTGTCACGGGGATTCGTAGCTACGACCGATGAGTGTGCTGAGTTATGTATGTTATGTTGCAGTATGTGATGAAAACCAGGGAATTACTCAATGGAGATCTCTGGAGGATTCTCTCGCAGACTGAAGATCTTCTATTAGATCCATGTGCGAACGCAGGAGATGTATCAGAGACTTCACAGCTGTCTTCCATACTTGCTAGGGATACTTCAAACTAGCTTTAGGGTTAGATAAGCGAGCTCATGGCTGTAGGTGAATCTTCACGAAACATCAAACTATCCATCTGTTACCGGGTGATAAAGGAACCCTGCTGGCTTACGTGAAAATATTGTTGAAGCAGTCACGCAGAATTACAAGACTGGATCCAGCCAAATCACTTGTTCCTTACCGCTTCGATTCGTGGATACTCGTGCATTCAACGCCACACAAAACGATGTGCCTGGAGTTGGGCAAAAGTAATGTCATCACGTTCAATATCTATGAGTGGGTCCGTGGGGTCCATTGGCCCCTTTTTCCTTTGGACCTTGTTCTGTGAAACATCAGCACTCTCTCTCGCTTCCTCTGTATCCACTTTTTCTGTTTCCTCTATATTTGCTTTTTCTGTCTCCTCTGTATCAACTTTTTCTGTCTCCTCTGTATCAACTTTTTCTGTCTCCTCTGTACCTGCCTTTACTGATTCCTCTGCATCTGCTTTTCCTGTTTCCTCTGTATCTGCATTTCCTGTTTCCTCTCGATCTGCTTTTTCTGTTTCCACTGTATCTGGTTTTTCATTATTTTTTTCTATCGTCTCGGTTTCTGATTTCGCTTCCAGCTCGCCCTTCTGGCGTTCATTTTTATCGCCCTTATTTCCTCCCTTTCGAAGAGCTTCATGAGCTGAACGCATGACAAATCCCGTGTCTTCAACATCCTCATCTTCATCAAACGACAAGGCAACCCTCTTCCGCTTGCGAGGGGCTGGTTTGTCATTTTTCTCGTGCATTTCTTCCTCTTGCCTTTTCTCTCTTCTTCCGAGATCCTCAAAGTACGCCTCCTCCACTTCCACACCCGTCACTTTTGCAGGATACAACGGTGCGCCATCTGGTCCTTTCTCGCCGTCATGGATCTTCATCACGTTGTAGAATGAATCGCCAGTGACACGTCCAATCATCACGTGTCGGTTATTGAGTTCTGGTGCTGGTTGGGTAGTGATGAAAAACCCTTCTGCAGAAGCATACTGGTCGCTTCGAAGAAGACCCACACATCCTCTGACAGAGAATCGTAATCGGGAGTGAAACTCAGGAGCAAAAGGTTCTCCTCCGGCTACAGGATCCACCTGTATCAGATTCTCCTGCGGCGTGAATGTAGCATTGTTATAATCCCCGTTCACCAAGTTGGAGAGAAATTTTTTGCAGGCAGTGGGTGTTTCTTTTGCAAACAATTCGATGGATATGCGCCCTTTGGTTGTAGAAAGCACAATCCTGGCTGTTGGTGGTATCTCCATAGTCTGAAGAGTAGTAGTCTAGTGGAGTATATGCAGATGTGAAGACCTCGCACCCGTACATCAAACAGCATCAGTAGTCAGAAACTGTGGTCATGTCATTGGGCTAAAAGTTGGGAATTAAGCATTATTCAATTTGAGTTTTCTTATGCTTTGCTATTCACCTTCTTCATGATCTTCTTGGGGGAACCTGTAGTGACAAGGTGTATCCTTGTGTGCAGGACATTGGACATGATCCACCAAAGCCACCATTGACTAGCAAAATAGAGACCAAATCTGGCTAAATGTGTTCGTATTGTAAAAGGAGTACAAGTATTGGAGAGAGTTGGAGAATTTGGGTACATTCAACAGTTCTTGATATTTTTCTGCGTACATTCACTTTATGATTATTCTGTAATGTGGCATGAGGGTGCAAAATGCGACAATAATAATTCTGGCTATAGTCGAAAGCTCACAAAACAAAAACCAACTTAAACAACTTAAACAACTTAATCAACTTAAACAACTTAATCAACTTAATCAACTTAAACAACTTAAACGAACCAAACCAACTTCAAAGCACATTTTCAAAACATTTCAAATCGAACCGGATCAAATCCAACGAACTATTTCCATGCCGTCGTTTGGACATTCTGCATACACCACCACCTACTGTTTGTTGATCGCGCACCCGTGCACCACACACCTCGAAGCTACTCACCGCCTACTTCCCAAGAAACATGGGTTCACTCAAATCGTTTGTGAAAGCAGTCCGCAAAGCGAAAACCATTGCAGACGAGCGCACGGTGGTCCGCAAAGAGGCTGCGGCGATCCGAACATCGTTCCGTGATCCGAATCTCGACCAGGCCACGCGGCGCGTCAACGTGTCCAAGTTGTTGTATCTCTACATTTTGGGAGAGAAAACGCATTTCGGCCAGGTGGAATGTCTCAAGTTGTTGGCGCTGGCGCGCTTTGCCGACAAGCGGTTGGGCTACTTGGCCACCATGCTTCTCTTGGACGAGAACCAGGAGGTTTTGACGCTTTTGACCAATTCCTTGGACAACGACATGCAGCACCCCAACACGTTTATTGTCGGGCTTGCGTTGAGCTGCTTGGGTAGCGTGGCGTCCCCCGAGTTGGCCCGCGACTTGTATGCCAACGTGGACCGTATCTTGGGCTCGTCCAGCCCATACTTGAAGAAAAAAGCCTGTCTTGTGGCGGCTAAGTTGGTGGACAAAGAGCCGGACTTGGGCGAGGTGTTTGCCGCGCGTGTGCTGGCGCTTATTCTGGACAAAACACCGCTGGTTTTGTTGGGCACATGCCGCTTGGTCCAGGCTATCCACAGCCAATGCCCCGACTTGCGAGAAGCCATGGTCAAGACGGTTCCACGGTGGATTGCGCACCTCCGCCGCGTGCTTGCAAGCGGATACATGCCCGAGTATGATGTGGGAGGAGTCACAGACCCGTTCTTGCAGGTAGCACTTCTCCAGACATTGCGGGCGTTGGTTTCTGACGAAAACTGTCCAGCACAGCTCGTGGAGGAAACCAACGACGTCTTGGCTGCCGTGGCGCTGGGTTTAGATGGCGGCAAGAACGCAGCACATGCCGTGTTGTATGAGTGTGTCAAGACCATCTTTCTGATCCGCCTGGATCCGGCTTTGAAGGTGTTGGGTGTCAACCTTTTGGGCAAGTTTTTGCAGGCCAAGGACAACAACACACGCTACGTGGCGCTCGAGCTGTTGTTGACAGTGATGGACTTTGAGCCGCAGGCCGTGCAGCGCCATCGTGCCACCATTGTTTCTTGTTTGCACGATGGCGATGTATCAATGCGCCGTCGTGCATTGGAGTTGGTTTTCGCTATCCTCAACGAACAGAACATCCGGGTGTTGATGCGTGAGGTTTTGGCATTTTTAGAACACTGCCCTGACCCAGACTTGCGGCCATACGTGGCGTCACAGTTGGCAATTGCTGTGTTCCGCTACGCCCCCAACGACAAGTGGCAGTTTGACACCCTTGTGCGCATGCTCCGTGTCGGAGGCTCGTCCGTGGCACCAGACATTGTGGCTTCAATCTTGGCACTTGTGATGCGCTGTACTGATGCAGAATTGCGCCGCCATGTGGTTAGCCGTTTACTTCTGGCCACGCTTACAGATCCGTCGCAGTATGCGTTGGCTTTGGTGGTGGTTTGGCTGCTTGGTGAGTACGCCGACGCTGTTGTGGGAACAAGCGTTGAAGTATCGGGCAAGGAGCAGGCCGTGACTGAAGAAACTATAGTGGACGTGCTTGATCGTTTCGCCAACAGTTCAAGCTTCTCCGCAACAGAGACTGTTCAATTGGTGATGTACATTTTGACTGCAGCCATCAAGTTGTCAGTTAAATTCAATGGTGCCAAGACGCTTGAGCTGTTGCGTTTGCTTATCTCATCCCGCACAACCGATCAGAACCTCGAGATCCAGACCCGTGCTGTCGAGTACCAGCAGATATTTGGTGTTGACGAGAAGTTACGCCGCGGGTTGTTAGCACGTATGCCACCTCCACCTGAAAAAGAACGTGAAGCACTCAGTTTGCAAAATGAACCCAAACCAAAAGTGAAACCTGCTGCGGCCGCCAGCGCCGATGACTTGCTTAATCTTCTTGATCTGAATGATACTCCTCTGCAGAACAACCAGCCCAACCTGACTGGCCAGACCACAGACCTTTTGTCGGACATTTTTGGCTCCACGGACAAGAAGGTCACACCAGCCAAGAACGATGTCGTGGACGATCTTTTGGGTCTTTCCCTAGACAGTCCACTGTCTCGTTCCAATGTTGGAGCCGGAGGCTCAGCTGCCGCTGCATTCAGCGGTTCCAGCGGACAAGCAGCTCTGGGTGCATCTGAAATCGAAGCGTTTGCCAATGGCCACTTGCGCATCACGTTTGCGCCAGCATCGTTTTCGCCCGGTGAAGCCGTACTCGAATCCCGCATCACATCCATGGCGCCACAAAGCCGCATTGAACATGTTCAATTGCTCATTGCTGTGCCCAAGACGCAAAAGCTCGCCATGTCCACAGTAGCCGGAACTGACTCACTCACTAACGGCAGCGAGATTAGGCAAGTGTTGCGCATCTCAGGAAAGAGCGGAACACGTATCAAGTTGAGGGTCAAGGTCAAATACACTATTGACGGTTCTGCCAATGAGACACAGTTTGACTTTGCTCAAATTGAGCATTCATTGTGAGGACATACATAAGGTAGAAGGAAAGAAACTATACAGTTACAACTCCACGCTCGAGGAGACACCTTCGGCAGCATGGTCCACAGCCTTGGCGAATGGCTTCTGGGGCTTGATGTACGTCTGGGTAAGAGGGTGGATGAAGTTCTCATACACGAGAGCAGCACCGCCGGTGGCAGGAATGCCGATATAGATCAAAAACACCGTTTTGAACAAATAGTAGAAGGGCACCCAGTACAAGATGGCGCGCGACCAGAACTCAGCCACGTTCAAGAACGCAAACACAACCCAGTAAGTCAACAATTGCGTGTCATCTTTGGTGGACGCAGACTCGAGCGCAACCAAAGAGTAGTAGCCTGGCACAACAAAACCGGCAATGTTCGACAACAATTGGCCAACGCCTGCGACATTCAAGAAGATCAACAAGAAGTAGACGCCAACGCCGCCCAAAACAAAGTATGATCTGGGCAAGCCTGTCTGTTGTTCAAAAACCTGCAATGGCTTGACGCCTTGGGTGGACTAAAAGTTAGTGGGCCAGAAGTATGGACACGAGCGAATTGAAGCACGTACTTGGTCGATGTGGGTCAAAAAATCTTTGACTTGTTTAGGAAGAGCGGACATGTTTAGAGATCGCAAGAGAGACAATTGGCGAGAGATATATACAAAAGGCTTGCTTCCTGCAGAAAACTGCGCAACTAAGATAGTAAAGCTTATATGAGTAATGGAACTGAAGAGAATTAAAAACCTGTCAAAACGGTGATTTGTAATTGTGACATAAGGTAACCGTGAAAATTCCCTGGCTGAGTTGGTTTTGAGGTTTGGACTTGTCTACGGGTTTTCGATCGTTTAGGTCATTTTGCGAACCGCGGAAGCTTTAGATTAGGGAAGGCACATATGCGAATGCTAGCTCTAGTATGAACAAATTGAGAAGACAATTTGGCATATCCACTTTTGGAGTTGTTGTTTCAAAAACACCGGTGATGTAATGTTCTTAATCTTTTTCCATCTCTACTTCTTTATTATTTTTGCTATAATTGACATCAGAAAAGAAGTTCAATAGTGGCTCGAAAACTGCAAATTGATTCTATATAACTTTGGTTAGAAAGCACTTTGGTCTTCTTATTCTCTTTAATCTTGAACTCTGAACCTTTGCAAATCACAATGAGCCAAAGACTGCTTATTATTGTACGACGTCATAAATGAATAAGGAAATCACCGAGGTAAAAATATGCTATGATTTGGCATTCCGAACATTAATGCAGTAGAGCCTTACAATATCATCCATGGCGGAACTTCTCTGAGCATTCTTCGCTCCAGACATGAAGATTTCAATTTATTTCTCCGGATACCGCACTATAGAACACCAGTCTCGAGTCTGGCCTACTTCACTTCTATCATTACCGTCTTGAGTCCCTAACTACTTCAGCTTACCCTTGGATTTAGCACTGCCTTCAAACCCGGCCCGTTTCTTAACGTCCTTGCCTTTTCCGCCTTTGTTTACCGTGCCAGTAAACTTCTTCAACCGCGGCTGGTGCTTGCCTTTTTTGCCCTTGTTTTCTCTTCTGCTCTTCAAGTTAGCCTCTCTTCTCTTTTGGCGTGCGGCGATTGTGTCCTTAACAACCTGTTTTCTCTCCTTCCACTCGATTTCGCTCTTGAGCTTTTGCTTTTCTTTTCTCTTCAATGCTTTCTTCAACAACTTCTCGTCGTCCTTGACTTTAATGCCTTCAGCCTGTGACATGAGGCTCTGCCACTTATCCTTCTCCTCCTGCTTAGCCCGTTCCTCCGGTGTTAGGCTGTCCAATTTTCTTCTCTTGGCCTCGAGCTTTTGCATGTGGGCCTTGATGTCATTGTTCGAAGGTCCCTTTTTCTTCTTTTGAGCAACTCCACTTCTCACTTTGCTTAAATCGGACGTTGCACGGCTTCCATCCTTAAACACGATATTTCCGAAAAGAACGTTTGCATCTTCAGCATCTTCCGCATCAGACTTGTCGCTGTCTTCATCGGAGCTTGAGCTGGAACTGGAATCAGCTTGTTCATCTTCATGCTTTCTTTTGAGTTTTTCTTGTCTCTTTGCCTCTTGTCTTTTCTTTCTTTCTGCCAACATTTGTTCCCTCGATTTAACGGGACCACCAGTCTTGGTTCCGGGAGCCTTTCTTTTCTCCCTCAACAAGCTGATTTTACTGGCCAACTTCTTTTTCAACTCTGCTCTTCGCTGTTCACGTGCTTTTTGCTCTTCAGGAGAAAGCACTTTCTTCTGTGATTTGGGCTTCTCTGCAACGCTGGATTCCACCTCGTTTCCCTCATCGTCGAAAACCATTTGGGGACCGTCTTCGGAAATAAGGCCAGCTTCGGAATTGGTCTCCGCTCCCAAATTTAGTTGGTCATTGGGTTTTTCTGCCGGGGCGGTTTCGCTCTTTGTTTGCCCGGGGAGAACTACATTTTTGGCACTCTTGGGCCTTGTTCTCCATGACATCCTTGGCACTGGCGCCTGCATTGTTGTACGAGTCTGCGTCTGCTGCGCTTTCCGGGTCCAACTTGGCTCTCTTGTCTTTGGACACTTCCTTCTTCAGTTTCTTCTTTTGTTTCCACTGGTCCTGGGTGGCATCGTCATAGTAGTACTTTGCCGGAATCAATGACAACAATCCATTGAAAGCCGTCGAATGCGTCTTCAATCGTTCCTGAAAGTTAGCAAATGGTCCAAAAGACGCCAAAAGAGCACGGTCGGGGCCAGAGCACGTGGCGGCGATTTTTTGCAGCAGAAGCCTTTGTTCACCGTAGGAACGGAGCCCAAAGAAAATCCGCAGTCTTTCGATTCCAACATACCTCGAGTGAATTAGTCATGGCTTTAGAAGAGTTGATGCAATGGAAAAAAAAGTTCCTAGTGGCATCGCACCCCCAATGCAGGACGTGGAGGTGGATAGAGAAGCCAGAGAAAATAGCAAGAAGAAAAAAGGAAAGAGAAAACTACAAGAAGAAAGACAGATGAAAAACGAAAAGAGAAGAACAATGACGATATCGACGCAAACAAAGAAACGAAAAAAGTAAGCAAATGTGTGGGCTCGTTGTATCTGGCTCGGCTGTCCGATTTATAAGGCTGGTGGGCCCGCACGGTGTGTACACCCGTGCACCACGCTATCTAGTGATCGTCCACCCAATTTATAGCCCTAACCCAGCATGGATTCTACAACAGAATATCTTGTGGTGTCGTTGCCACAATCGGTCAATGCGCATCCGTTTTTGGAGCGCACATTGAACGGCGGCAAGCAGCCGCTTTTCCCCGTGTCGTTGCCCGACTTCCAAATTAAAACCTTGGACTCGTTGGTGCAACTTTCCGAAGAACTTGCCAAGTTGGACACGACTTTGCAGGCGTCGGTGGCCAAAGTGGTTGATGTCATTCAGACGGTGGAGCCACGCAAGCTGTTTGGCGAAACCCGTGTGGTCAACTCGAAGCCAGCGTCTGCCTTTGTGGAGCACTTCACTTGGAACACCACCAAATACCGTTTGGACAAGTCGATCAAGGACTTGGCGCTGCTCATTAGCGGCGACGCGCTTTCGTTGGACAACGATGTCCGGCAAGCGTACCAGCAGTACCAGACTGCCAAGTCCAACTTCATGGCCGCAGACCGCAAGAAGAACGGAGACTTGTCCATCAAGTCCTTGCATGAGATTGTGCGGCCCGAGCACTTTGTGTTGGACTCGGAGCACTTGACCACGGTGTTGGTGGCTGTGCCCAAGTCCCTTGTGGGCGACTTTGACAAGAGCTACGAGAAGTTGACCGAGTTTGTCATCCCCAGAAGCGCACAGGAGATTGCTCGCGACAATGAGTTTGTCTTGTATGCCGTGAGCTTGTTCAAGAAGTACCAGCAAGAGTTTATCACCGCGTGCAGAGAACATAAGTGGCACCCGAGAACAGACTTTGTGTACTCGGAGGACAACTTGAACCAGATGAGAAAGGAGTTCGACTTGACCAAGACCACTGAGTCCAAGGCCAAAAACGACTTGATCTGGTTGTCTAAGACCGCGTACTCGGACATTTTCTCTGCCTGGGTCCACATCAAGGCTCTCCGTATCTACGTCGAGTCCGTTTTGAGATACGGCTTGCCTCCCCAGTTTGACACTTATGCCATCAAGTTTGAAGGAAGCAACCTCAACAACGTCAGCAAAGCGAAAAAGGAATTGGTGGCCAAGTTCGGCTACTTGGGCGGCGATGGCTTTTCGGAAAAGAACAATTTGCATGAGTATGCCTCCTTGGTGGACTCAGACTATGAGCCTTTTGTCTTGTACCTGTTGGAAATTGTTTAGGTGCCACTTGAGCCGGGCCTCTTGCTGTTTATTTCTCCTCTTTCTGCACTAGTGTAGCAATAGAAATTTGAAACTGACTCGTGTAGTGTAAAAAGACAATAGCAATGCTAAATCGTTGCACTACTAGACCGAACTCACATCTTTCAAAAAAGAAAGCTCGCACTCAGGTTCGAACTAAGGACCAACAGATTTGCAATCTGCTGCGCTACCACTGCGCCATACGAGCTTTTCTGCAACTTTCTATCTCAACCACAATGTGACCAAACTTACCAACATTTTTCAGAAAGTTGTAAGTTTCTACGCTAAAGTGCTGTTTTTCTTCATTTGGACATTTTAATAGCAGCATTGTTTAATCTTGGTGCGCGACGTGCTCTAGCTATCATTAATTGACATTCCTGCACCATAGCTAGGTATCTATAGATGCTAGAGTGAGTCTATCAGAATTCCCATCATGTCCGACGAAGACGATTTTCTCTCTGAAGAATCTTACGAGTTTGAATTTGAGGATGATGATTACGACGGAGGCGTTGACAATATCTCGGAAGAGGGCCAATCAACGGTATGTTTCTCTCATTCATCTATAAAGCCTTGACTAACAAAAAGGAAAACATGTACTATCACGCCAAAGGGTTGAAAGAGGATTCCGTGGATCTGTCTCTCGAAACTTTCCACAAGCTAATAGACACCGCTAATGGCGACAAGGATATAGAGTGGATCTTCAAGAGTTACAAACAGCTTGCCAAAATCTATTATCAGCGAAACCAGTATGACAGTGTTCTTGAATGCATCGGGAGCTTGATTGGCCTTTTGCCCAAGCTCAATGGAAACTATGCGGAGGATTCGATCAATAAGCTTCTATCCCGATACTCGTCTTCGAAAAACACGGCCTTTGTTTCCAAGATGTACGACGTTATCGTGTCCAATCTCCAGGACGCAGAAGTCTCTGGCATGTCAGCGCACCGGCTTTGGCTCAAGATCAATATCAATAGATTGAATAGCATGCTAGAGCATGACGAGTTGCAAAAATGTCCCGAGATCATTCGTGCCATAAACGAGAAGCTCGAAAATGTTTCAGAGCTGACTAAGACATCCTATGCCTTGGACATCATTGCAGCGGAAATCGAATATGAGATGCGCAGCAACGGGAATATCAATACTTTGAAACTGATTTACCAGCGGAGTCTTCAAGTGAAACCTGCAATTACACATCCTCGAGTCATGGGGGTTATAAAAGAATGTGGAGCCATGCTTCAGTTTTATGCGAAGAAGTATGATAGGGCTCGCGTGGAGTTTTACGAGTGCTTCAAGCATTTCGATGAGGCCGGTTCCTTGTCGAAAAATAAAGTATTGAAATATTTGTGCTTATGCTCGATGCTTGCTGATAACGAGGTGAATCCTTTCGAAAGTCAGGAAACACAGGTTTACACGCAGCTACCGGAGTTCCAGAATTTGATTTTGTTGGGCAAATGCTATGAGCAGGTTGACTTGAAGCAGTTTCTTTCCACGGTGGACTCAATGAACCGATCAGGCGACTCTCTTGCGCAAGATCCAATTTTCAAGAGTGCTCTACCGAATATTCTTCATAATCTCAAGGTCAAACTCATTCTCAGCTACTTGAAAGCTTACAAAACTGTTCGATATGATTTTGTGATTCTGAGGCTCTCCCTTGCAGACGATACCGAACTTGAAAACCTCTTGATGTCTATGGCAAATGAAGGTGCTGACCCCCGAATGCGTATAGACTTTTGTCTGCGAACTATAGAAACGGAAGACGAATCCTCCTCAATCTTCCCTCCTTCGTTGAATGAGAAAATAGTTACAGACAACTTTGGAGTATTGAGGATGTTGAGGTTCTACATTCCCAACTTTGCGTCAGAAAACAACGATGCCCAAATGGACATTGATGGGACGCTGGAAGATAACAGTTCGCCTCTTTGGAATTTCAGCAAAATGCTCTTTTTTGATGCCAAAGCAGCCCACGATTGGCTTCTGTGGTTGAAGAGTGCCATCCCTGCTAAAGCTCAACATTTGGTAAGTCAAAAGGATCAGATATACTCTGAGCAGCAAGATTCGACCGCCATAAAGCAGGGCCCAAGTGATTTGGTACAAACAGATGCAAGCACAAACAGCGGTATTTTGGGTGCTACTACAATGCATCCAACGGAACCAGAGGAGGAAGAAGATGAGGACGAAGTGAGCAAAATTGATCTTCTTCAAACATGGACCCAACAGCTTTTGGATAGCTTGACAGATAGTGGATGAATATAATGGAGAATTGGCGAGAGAGTATTACAAAGAATATCGTAAGATGAAGCCTCTTTGAGGTTACAATTAGTAGTCCTTTTTTTCTTCCTAAAATATCGGAAAATTAAATCGATTTATGCTTTGGTCTAAGGTCGGTGCACAATTCTTTCTGTAAGCCCTAAGTATACAGAGGTGGTGCACATAAACACATATATCTCCCGCCGCGAGAAAAGATGAAAAAAATATTATCAACACTCTTCTTCTTCAGATGGTATGTGTCTATAAGGTGGATACTAGGATTAGACATAAATGCGTTATCGTCATGAGTTGGCTTCTATATGTGGCCAACATATGAAATCAACTAACACACGTATGAAGTATCCAATTGTTCAATCACAATTAGTACTAACAATTACTTAGGCCTTTTACCTTTAAAGTGCGCGTAGCAATAATTTTTACAAAACTTCCATCCAAACTTCTGTTCAGCTGGAAGCAATTTACGTTCAAAAAAAGAAGGGGATTGAAAAAAAACTGATTTCGCCCAGGATCGAACTGGGGACGTTCTGCGTGTTAAGCAGATGCCATGACCAACTAGACCACGAAACCAATTTATGTTACTTTTGCACTTGAATTAATATGTTCGGTAATGTCAGACTGATAGTCAATAATACGAATGATTTAAGGATTCCAGATCTGATATGAAACTATTTATCATTGAGGCCGAGAGTAAGTGGCAAATCACTGCCATGCATGGAAATGCGCTCGTCCAAGTGTTTGAGAGCAAAAAATAGTACCCCCGCACTATAAAGACGCGGCGATTTCCAGAAATTTAAAACAGTGCAATGAAAGTCTACTATTGGTATGTCGGCCTGGAGCTTTTCGAAGGGCTCGCTGGCTGCGACTCAGATGGAACGCTCGTTTACCTATCTTTGGGCCAATGGCAATTTTTGGTTGACGTTGTCAAACGAGACTTTCTTCCCGTCAAAAGAAACCATGAGCTTTTGGCGGGCCATCCTGACAAACAGAGCGACGGAACAAAAGAAACGCTCGCGCTTCTTCTGGAGATCTTGGGCAACCCGGCAAACATCGATCGAATCGGACGTAAAATCCGGCTCCGCTACATTTTTGGAACGCTGTTCCAGCGCAAAGTGTGGGACACTTTAATGACTATAAAAATGGGCGAAACCCTAACTTACAGCGAGGTGGCCGCCCGGGCGGGCGGGAAAAAGGGCGCGTCGCGCGCCGCCGGCCATGCATGTGGCGCCAACAGAATTGCCCTTTTGGTTCCGTGCCACCGCGTGGTTTCGAGCGCGGGAGCATTGACCGGTTACCGGTGGGGCATAGACGTAAAGCGGCAGCTTCTCGATACCGAGCGGCAGGCTGCAAAAAAAGGACTATAGGAAATTTCAGTGTGCCGTTATCGGTCCAGTTCAGCAGAGAAACATAGGAAATTTCAGTGTGGCGTTATCGGTCCAGCTCAGCAGAGAAACCTAATGCTTGGGGGGAATCTCGAAGTGAGGCAAGGCAAGCCAATGCTGCGCGGGCGAAATTTTCGGCCGCTTCAGCTTGTTGGGCCCGCGTGTCCATGCCTTGGGGATGCGCATGTTGATTTTGCCGAAACACGAGCTCCGCGGCACATGGTTCTGGTAACTTGTCTTGTCGAAAAACACCGGTTTGCAATCGACAAATGTCTTGTACACGGACTCGGGTTTCCACTCAAAGTCCGAAGTATCGCGCCGCTTGCGGTCGCGCGGGCGGGTTTTCCCCGAGCACGCAATGCGCCGCCTGTATCGGTCCTCCATGGCAAACTCTCGCCGCACCGTTTCGCGCACAAGCGTGTGGGTACGCCAGGCAGATTTCCGTCGGGCGGGCCGGAGCGAAAGCGCCCCGCATGCCTCGGGCGCGTCGTGTACTAGGGCGTACTCCGTGGCGTAGGCGAAAATTGTTCCTGGCGGCGGGGCGAGCATGCACACTGTGTCCTTTTTTTGGGGCGCCACTTTTGCTGCGGCCGCATCAGCACGTTCATTGTTGCACAAATCTCCATGAGGGGCGGTCAAAGTGCTGTGTTCGATTTCCAATGGGATGCTGGCCGCCTCAAGTAGCCCAGGAACACTTTCTAGTGCCGTCTTGTCTCCATTGCAGTCGATGCTGCTGCTGCACTCAAAATTAGCATTGCTCGACCGGTGGGAGCATGGCGATATCCTGTTACAGAAGGTCGAGGGAACAATCTTGCAATTTGTGCCCGTGCATTTGTTTACGCAGCCTGCGCTCGCTTGGCAAATACTGCTGGTGCGGCTTGAGCAATCATTGAACCTCTTGTCTGTGTGGCCGCCTAAAGTCTCTTCAGAGCCATTGCTCGAGCAAATGTTGATGCCATTGTCAACCCAGTTATCGTTCGAGACATATGGAGGGTAATTGGCGCATTGGTTGTGGGATGTGTTGATCACTCCAACGGTGGTTGAGCCTTTTTTTTCCTCGAGCTCAAGCGAAATCTCAAGGTCGAGCGCATTGTCGAGCGGCTCGAGAAGCGGCGCGCTGAAAAACGCCGCCTCCCACTCCATGTACATATTGTCTGGAGCGCAAGCCATGGGTGCAAAAACCGGCGCGCGCCGATATTTAGGCCGCGCGCCGCAGAACACTTTTGCGCAGAGCGCATGGCACTCTGTGCTCAAATATCAGGCCCAATATGCGTGTATAGTGCATGCTATGGAAGTTCCAGAGTAGTTTCGGGTTATCTTCCGGATGGGTTATCTTTTGGATGGGTAAAGCGGCTATTCAGTGATAGCCAAATGGAGGAAACTATATTCCACTTGGTGGAATTTTCGCTCCGATTTTGCGTTCAAGAGACTCTGTATCTTCCAAAAAATGCAAGGTGAGCTTTGAGTAGTCGAATTTACAATTAATGAAACATGATAATGTGTTTCTAGATGAGGCTTATATGTCGATCTCTTAGCAACGTTCAACTTTGTCTACCTCTCTCCATTGTTCCTCAAAAGCATCTCTCCTTCGTATTGGGAAAAGTAGAAATGTAGTAGCGAAACGGTTTTGTTCTCACATTGATATTGTTACGTATACCTACTGAACAGATTCTTAGTCCTATAGAGGTGGAAAGATGCACATCATCAAGGTAAGAGTATAATGTCGAGGTACTATTCAGAATATGTGTCAATTGCCAGAACTACAAATTTCAGGTGTCCCCGTTCCATTGTCCCAACACAATTGATTGATGATTCAGAATTACATGTGATCTAAAGGAACAATAGAAGATGCTTGTGCAATCGACATACTGCCCAGAGCCTAAATGGCTTGTTTGACTTATAAACGTGCATGCGCTGTCTAAATATGACCAGATATGTTACCCGATGTGCCTACCCTATCTAGTTACTAAACGTGTAAACTAAATACGCTTATCTTTATCCTCTACTTGCTCGCATTGTTTCTGTACATGTGTCTTCTCTAACACAGAACGGATCATCTACATCTAGACTTATACTTTGGGCTCTTTGCAAGGCCGATACTGAGTCTGAATTGCCCATTTCACGGCTTATTTACGGCACTAAGAACGCTCTAGTCTATTCTGATTTAATACATTCGTTGTCCCTTTATACTTACAGTCCGTATTACGGGTCGCATCATTCGTCAGATCATATTCTTCTCCACTATTTTGTATTACATTGTACTCCTAGCATAGACACCCTTGGCTACATTGTAGTACGTCATTGTCTGGCTCCATTATATGAGGTATGTCCATCGATGCTTGCTCAAGGTGTCTTTAAACAGAAATCTCCACACAATAGACAAGCCACCTCATCGGACCGGGCCGGCTCGGCTAGAAACAAGCGCCAAGTCAATGTCAAGATGGACAGTCAAATATAGCGGACGGACTTCGGCGCGAATCATGAGGCGCACCACTGCGGGGCGAAAAGATACGCAAGCCGAAACATCAGGAGACACGACCACTTGCGGATTCGCCAGTAGCGGCGCTATCTGGGCTAGAGTAGGCGGCTAATGTTGGGTTCCGCAGCCAATGCAACCTTTTGCAAGCGCTGGAATCCCCTCGGGGACATGGAAACACCATTCATCTCGGAATAAACTTGTGCCTGGCGAAGCGGGGAGTTAACGTGCATACCAGGTGCAGCCTAAATACGCCCAAGGAAAAAACCACATACAGTCATAGCCACAACACACTACGCCAACAATCAGTGAAATTGCACATAATAAAAAGCAAAAAAGGTACAAAAGTACAAAAGTACAAGAGTGTCAGCGGCAAGAGCAGAACAAGGTTGATGTGGGTGTATCTTCTCACTTGTGTCGGCTCTATTCTTTTCGCCGCCCCAGTCCTTCTCCGCCCAAACAGCGACAGGGCGAAAAAAAGAAAGTCGGCCGTTTGATTGCCAGACAGGGCGCAGGGCGCGTCTTTGTCTTTTGTGCACCACGCTCACATATATTTATAACCTCCGCTTTTCCACAGGTTCCGCCCGCCGCCTGAAACCTGCTCAACTTTTCTTGATCCCGTCGGCCGCTGCCCAAATTCCGCCCAGAAATCCTTTGTCTCGGCCGCCACTTTTTTTTCCCATCTTTTCTTTGCGCCTTCTTCCCATTATTCAGCGCCACATCCTTTATATCCTCCGAATCCCCGATAACCAAGATCTTCGACATGGAGAGAGTTTTGCCCCAAACAGACCCTCGCAGCCCTTTCAACGTCAACGTGCCGCCGCAGGATGCTAAGCCCATCCACCATTTGGTGGCGTACTTCAAACTCTGGAAACACTTCATTTCGGCGCTAGTGGCGTACTTGAAAGACTTGGTCATGGCCAAAGAATTCGAGCTGAATCTCAACTTGCAACTTGTGGGTTCTGTACAATTCCCAGGCTTCAAAGATTTGGCTTACAAATGCCTTTCCCTGGTTGAACAGCAGATCTCACCCCAAGCCACACCAAAACTGGAGAAGCCACCACTGCCTGCGTCAAACCCCATTGTAGGACCGTCTGCGCCTGGTCAGGAGAACAAGCGGCCAGGCTTAGCCAAAACAAAGTCTGCGCTGTCATTTTTGAAGAACCAGACGTTTGCCCACCACCGCTCTGCCAGTCTGTCGAGCTTAAAGTCGGAATACAGCGGAAAGCAGTTCCCGCCACCAAAACACGCTCATACCACAAACTCCTCCACTCCGCCTGCGACAATTGCAGCCAAGTATGTTCCGAAGAACGATGTGAGTGTTGATCCGGCGTATTTTCCGCCCGACTCGATGTTTTCTGGAACTCCTCAGGCACTTATCAACCACCATATGAATACATATAGCGCGCAGGCCCGCTTATGCCGAGAAGTCACCCACAAACTTATTCCACGACTCGAGAACTTGCACAAGAATTTGGGGCTCAAGATCAAGGAGATTCGATCGCTGTTGAAAAACGATTCGTTTGCGAACCCCACGCTAGTAAAAGAGGTTTCGAAGACAGGGGCTATCCTAAGCACTTTTGTACTGTCTGTTCAGCGCTATTCAGGCCCTAAGCCAGTGCTCAAGAAAGAGGGGGATGGAGATGACGATGATGCTTACTCCATGAGCGATCCTTTTCTTGTCAAGTTGCGTTTGGATTACCAGCTCAAAAACCAATTGATTCACGAAAATTACATCTTTGCGCTGTATGTAAACCTCCAGAATATTTCCAAGGACTTGCTTACATATGTGGTTAAGGACTTGAGTTCGGTAGCCGAACGCATGATTCGGGCTACAAACAACGAGGCAGTGTATGCATCATCGTCGGAGAATGTTCTCTACAATATGGGTGTTACCTTGAAACACAAGTTGAATGCACTGGAACACGAGTGGCAGCATTTCATCTCACACAATCCGAACTTTGTCAACACGTACCAAAGCACAGCTAATTCAACCAAAAGAGAAATGAGACGATTCAAGGATATTGTGATCCCATTTGCGGACTCATTGCATAGTAAATGCTTACGGTGCGGGTTCATGTACAAGAAGCAAAAATTGATCAAGCTGTACACAAGTTATTTCTACTTATTGACCTGCAACTACTTGCATGAGTTCAAAATCGAATCAGAAAAAGAGAAAGATGGTGAGAAGAACGGACAACACAATCCAAAAAAGAAATCAAAAGGCAAAGTGGGTGGTTTTGTTGGTCACAACGATACGCCAACGAAATCATACAACTTGAACGACTATTCTTTTTCAGTGAAAAACGAGTCTGATTTCAAGTTCGTCTTGACAAAGATATCCAACACATCTCTGAAGTTCACATTCAAGTGTCTGAATGAAACAGACTTCATTAATTGGACAACAGATTTGTTTGATTTGCTCAAGTTTGGCAGCAACCACCTAAAGCGTTTCAAATTCATCGAAGAAAAGATGGCTATGCGTAAACAGGACGCCTCTGAATCAGAGAAACCACCATCTCAAGACGACTTGAAATTGCAACTCAAGGGCCTTCTTTCTGCAGACTTGTCTATGAATAAAATTCAAGGTCAGCCTTCAAGTCTTTCGGGCATTTTCACGCCCAAGATCAACTCGCCTCCCGATCGTGAGAAGAATCCGTTTGAAAACACTTTTGGAAACATTGGGTCCGAACAACAACCCTCAGTGGTTACCCCGCCATTATCATCTCTGCACCCAGAGTCGCCTGCATCAGATTTCAATTCTGAAGGTGCTTCGTCACAGCCTGTTTCGCCTGGTGAGCCTGGCACAGAGAGTCTGGCTGAACACCAGAAGGCGCACGAGAATTATCTCAAGCTTCAACACGAAATTATGAAACAACAAGAGCAGTTGGTGGAGCTCAACCTAGCTCCTACAGACAGGCCGTCTTTGTCAAGACATCTGTCGACAGAGTCGATGTTGTCGGTGATGGAGCAGAATAATCATAACCTCTCAGACTTCTTGCACCAGAACCGTGATCTCATGAAGGAAAACACATCTCCACCGATCAACGACTCGCACAGTTCCGAGCTGTTGGCACCGGTGCCAACAGTTTACGTGCTGCATCACACGAGTTAAATATAGACTAATAGATCTGGCATATGCTATTGAACTAAAACGTAACGAAACGAACGAACCACTTCTTAAATTTTCATTCTTTTTGCTAATTACATTCATTACATGGAATTGCTGTGTCGCATAGAATAATGCTCCGAAGGAATTAGTCTCTCCAATATACAGAACTAGAATCCATACAAGACGATCTGGCTTAACAGATGCAGACTTGGCACTTAACCGCGTTCGCTTTATTGCTTTTTTTGTTCGTCAGCACGGCTTTTTTTTCTCTGATGCAAGCAAGCAAGAAAGACGAGGCAGTGTACCAGTCACGGCTGGGCCTGCGCATTATGCAGGAGCGCGCGCATTCTTGGGGAGTAATTTCGCAAGCTTTAACTTCCCTACTATATATATCATCGAGTCAATATATAGTTCCGATTAATTGCAATTCGGCACATTCTTTTTCCAGGTTTCAAGTTTCAAAAAACCCAAGCGTTCCTATTTGCCAAATCTTTCAGCGTCCCAGAATTAGCCGCTCGTTGTCATGTCGTACTCATCAGGCTTCAAAAAAAACGAAAGCGCCATTGCTTCAGACACCGAAGGCGATGTCGAAATTTCCGATAGACCAAACCCTCCATTGAGAAGATCGTCGTCGTTGTTTTCGTTGTCTTCCAACCAGGAACCGTTGCCCCGCCCAGATCCAGAGGACTACAAGAACTTTTTGGACGACAATCGCCACTTTTCCTTGATTAGAAACTTGCACATGGCCGACTTCATCACCCTTTTGAACGGGTTTTCCGGGTTCTACTCCATCATCTCGTGCTTGCGCTTTGCACTCACTGGTCAATTGCACTATGTGCAAAGAGCCCACTTTTTCATTTGCTTGGGCCTTTTTTTCGACTTTTTTGATGGCCGTGTCGCCCGTTTGAGAAACAAGGCTTCGCTCATGGGCCAGGAACTCGACTCCTTGGCCGATCTCATTTCCTTCAGCGTGTCGCCTGCCATAATTGCCTTTGCAATTGGCTTTAGATCGACTGTGGACACGCTTATTTTGGCGTACTGGGTTTTGTGTGGCTTAACCCGTTTGGCCCGTTTCAATATCAGCACAAACAACATTCCAAAGGACAGCACGGGCAAGTCGCAGTATTTTGAAGGCTTGCCAGTTCCGTCGAACTTGATTTGGGTCGTCACAATGGCTATTTTGGTGTACAGAGGCCTTGTGTTCGACAAGTTGCCTGGAGGCATGATTTTTGCCGGCACATTTGCCGAGTTCCACGCGGTTTCGCTTCTTTTCATTGTTCAGGGAAGTGCCGAGATCTCCAAGAGCTTGAGAATCCCCAAGCCATAGTGTATTTATGTATATGAATATTCCTGGTATCAATGACGATACCAATGTGCAAAGAAAAAGTTGGTTCCTAGTCCAGTGTAGAATCAATGGGTACCCTTTTCCAACTGGAACCGTGTGGGGCCCATAAGCTCGATGTGGCGAAAATCTAGTCCCTTGTATATGCCACTCTGCAACTCGCTATAATATTGGGTGAAATTGATGGGATCCAAAACGCCTATTGTTGTAGGCAGAAACCCCAAACGATGGGCTCGCTCAGCAATGTCCAAAAGACGACACTGGTCCCAGAAAACGTTGTGGATGCGTGCCAACTTCCAAAAGTACATGGACCGGTAGCGCCATACTTGCAAGGTGGAAAAGTCTCGGGCAGAAGTTGGAGTGATGCCTAACTTGGCCAACTCATGATGGAAAAGCAGCAAAAGCGAAAGAAGTTCGGGTTTGTCCTGGATCCGGTCCACTAATGTAGTAGCTAGAACGTTGGCAGATGCAGATTTGCCTAGCTGTTCTTGGTAGTCGTCCACTTCTTTCACGTACTTGAGTGCATTAACTATGGTGAATCCAGACTTTTTCATTTGAGGCGCAGAGTAGTGTCGCACGGCTTGTAACCTGGAAAACATGATCAAAGAGAGAATACGAATGACTAAAGGAAAGAAGGAGACAATATATCAAAAGCAGAAGATTAGAACCAGAAGATGGAGAAGTCTGATTCGCACTACTGCACCTTTGGGTGCAAGAGTCGAAACATCTGCATCAGCATTCCTAGGATAATTGTTCACAAGACAAAATGACTTTACTGGCTTCTCGTATCCTCGTTGTATCGTAATCGTTAATCTTCTGCAGTGATTCTGTTACGGTCTTTTTTCTTCCCTTTCTCTGAGGCCATCAATGGCACCACTTCAGTAAGTCCAAACAGCATCACTTCAGTCAGCCCAAACGGCATCAAGGAACTAGTAATATAGATATACTTATCGCTTATCGCATTTATAATCTTCAATAGTGTTAATCTATTCTTCAGTATTAGCCAGCCCCTCCACTATAATCAAGCCACTGGTGATACCGCGGAGGCACGGGTGTAGGTAGGTGAAAAAAAGACCGAAAATTACAGAGCCTGAACTTTTGCCTTCACCACATTCCCAAAGCCATGCTTGCTTCGAAAATTTTGCGTGCATTGCCACTCCACGGCGCATCGCAGGCCCGTTTGGCCATGCCCGTTGTCCGCTCGAATTTTGGCGGCTGGAGAAGATTTTACGCTGAAAAGAAAGATGAGAAACCGCAATCCATCTTGACTGACGACATGTTGGCCAAGGCAGGTTTTGAGGACGAACCAAAGAACGAAGAGAACGACGACAAGTCTAAGAATGAGAAATCCGCCAGAAGAAGACGGAAAGCGCAAACATCCAAGGATATCCAGAGAGAGAAGTATGCCAACTGGTTCTACATTTCGACTCTTTTTGGCACTTTTGCCGGTGTGGGCTGGATGTGCAGAGACTGGGACTCAGACGAGGAACAAAAGAGATTGGATGCCAGTGATATTGGAAACGGATACACTCCCAAATTGATGTATGATCGTTTCAACAAGAGATTTCTGAGTCTCTTTACGTTCTTCAGCGAACCGGCTTTCGAAAACTTATTGCCTCCTCCTCCACCAGAAGCTTACCGTCGTCCGTTGACCTTGGTTTTGTCTTTGGATGATCTTTTGATCCACTCTGAATGGGACACCAAGAACGGTTGGAGAACAGCCAAGAGACCTGGTTTGGACTACTTTTTGGGATACTTGTCGCAGTACTACGAGATTGTTATTTTCGGCTCCAACTCTCAAATGTATTCTGAGAAAACTGTGGCCAAATTGGACCCTTTGAGAGCTTACATCCAGTATGCTTTGTTCAGAGAGGCCTGTCGTTACAAAGATGGAAAATTGATCAAAGACTTGAACCTCTTGAACCGTGATTTAGCTAAGACTGTTGCCATTGATGTCAATGAAGAATCTTTGTGCATGAACCCAGAGAACAGTATCATTTTGAAACCATGGGACGGTAAGCCTGACGACACTTTGGTCAAGTTGATTCCCTTGTTGGAATACTTGGCCACTCAACCAATCAAGGATGTTCGTCCTATTTTGAACTCTTTTGAAGACAAGAGCAACATCATTGCTGAGTACGAGAAACGTGAAGCACAATTGCGTGCCCGTTGGAGAGAAGATAACAAGGACTTGTTGGCAAGAGCCCACAAGCCAAATGCTGGTAGCTTTTTTGCATCCTTGATGGGTATTCCACAGTCTTCTGTCAACAGAGAACCAAAAATGCCATTGGACATCATTAGAGAACATGGTCAGATGCAATACGAGAGCTTGCAGAAGTACTTGAAGGAAAATGAAGCCAAGTTCTTGGAAGAGGAGAGAAAGATGAAGGAGGAATACGGAAAAGTGACTTTGAATAAGTTGATGACCGAAGGAATGCCAACTGCAGAAGAGATTGCAAAGGCCCAAGCAGAAAAAGGCTGCTTTAGAAGCTTCTGGTTCCCGCAACTGATGTAATGATTTCTTGAATATAGCAAAACAACTTGTACACTGATATTATGATATCGGGTCTCAATCTTGTAAGATTTCTCTTAATCGTAGTAGAGTAGGGTATAATGCTCCAATGACACGAAACTACAATAAAATCAGCGGTCTTATGCCAGTTTAGTTATGTTCCCAAAAGCAATGAAGTTAAAGTTTGTTCGAGTGTCTATGATTTTGTCAGCTCTTGAGATACTGTTGGGGCATAGCATAACTAAAGTATGAGCAACACAACTTCTGTGAAGAAACTCATCACATAAAACAACTACAATAAATCATGAAGTGTCGATTTGTACTTTCCTTGCATTATTCAGTACTGCAAAATACTATCGTCAATACTTCCGGAGTATATATTAGGCATCTTCAAAAAAAAGAAAAAAAAAGAGCACAATAAAAGCACACTATGAAAGGGAGAGGTATAGAAATTAAAGCTGAGATACTTTCTCCTGACATAATCAACATAATCAATCGAGATGTTCTAAGTAGAGTTTGAGTAAATGAACAGATCTTGAAAAGTTCCTAGTTCCTCAAGATTTCAGTATGTAGAAACGCAGGAACCCCAATTTACTAAATCGTTGAGAGCTAGTTTTCAGGTAAGGGAAACTAAGAGTTCGAAGATTTCATCGAAACATTTGAACGCAGTTTCGTTCAAGGAATATTGATCACATCCTTTTTATTTGAAGCTATACCCACTAGTTCTTGATTTTTACTATTTGGAGCCAACTATTCCACGGGCTTAAAGTCTCACTTGGTCACTAATAACGTGTTGCACCATCCACACTTGATTTATAGGAACTTAAAACTCATACATTTTACAAGAGATATTGTTGATAGCGATACCAAGATGCATTGGGTCTGACAAGACCCGAATACGTAGATGCAATTTATAACCATTCGTAGCTGAAGTGTAAAGGACCCAAAGTTGGGTCCATTAGTTTAACGTTCAATTTACTTTGGTATTTTTTAACGCAGGCGTTTGAAATAATGAAATGGTTGACTCATTATAACGGGGAAAAAGGATGGAGCCAATCGTAGTTATATATAAAAAAAAAGTTTCTGTTCTTTGTATTGTACAACATTCCTTAAAAGTGGGTGCAGATGATCATTTTATTTACTGCCTAATTTGGTTTCAATGGACAGATACTGAACTAATCTTTGGGTATACTTTGGAATCTGTTTCCTCTACATGTCCGGCACGGACTTCCAAATGTTTTCAGCAGCTATGTCTTGGCATGTGTTTCTGCATAAGGGTTCATATATTTCGCTCGATTATCAATTCCGATCTCGGCGTGTAGTGCACAAATAAAAAAGGAGAAAACAACTTCAAGTATCGTCGACACTGGTAGTAGAGGCCAATAAGCTGATCGAAAAGCATCCAAAGTACCGCTTTCGCTGATATTTTGTAATCTGGTAAGTGTTTTGAAAAAAATATTCCTTGGAATGTCGTCCCTGGTACTTCCTCTTTGATGCACGACATCCGGACCGACATTCGCACTAGCCAGTAAGATACTTTATCTAAACAATCAGTGACACAAAACCGGCACACGGTCAAAAGTTATTTTCTCAGCCTTCCTTCACGAATTTCACTTTTTGCATTCTTTTCCATTCCAACTTCTGAACTTCTTTCTTGTCTTTCTCCACTTGTTGCAAACGTAACTGTTTTTGCTTGTGCCACACATATCAGATTGAAGGGATAAATTCAGGCTCATCCTTTTTGTTCTTTTTTTTATCCAAGTGAAGAGCACTATTAGTCAAGGAGAACATTCTTTTGCCGCCCCGGACACCCAAAAGGAAAAGTTTTACTGCAACTGCTTGTGATCCCAGTGATCTTACCGTCCCTTTCTAGCCCCTCCTACCTCCTTCCTTTTCAGTTCAGTTCCTGTTTTGATCCCCGATGTCGGCCCGAGGAGCTCAGATTGCCCCTAGAACGAACTTGGCGCCATCGCCTTTGGCTAGTGGGGCTGCTTCCTCACCAGAATCAAGTTCGCCTGGTGGAATTACAACCATCGCCACATCGCGAGAATGGGTCTTGCCACCAAGACCCAAACCAGGACGCAAACCTAGTGTTGACACGCCGGCGTCCAAGAGAAAGGCACAAAACCGTGCTGCTCAGCGTGCTTTCAGGGAACGCAGAGCCACGCGTGTGCAAGAGTTGGAGCAGAAGTTGCTCGAGGTGGAAAAAGACAAGGAGACCCGAGAAATGGGTCTAGTCAACACCATCAACAAACTAAAGTTCGAGAACCAGTTTCTTATAAAGTCTCTTGAGCAACTACGCCTGGAGTTTCAATCGTTCCGTGCGGCCGGGTCCTCTCCATCTAGGCCCGATTCCCTACCGGCGAGCGGAAGCGCCAGTCTACAAGCAAACGCTTACAAGTCTGAACTTAGCCAAAGCGCACACCAACTTCTTGAGTTTGCCAAATCTCTGCCTGCGCAGGTTTCTGCGTCGCCCGCCCTGCTGCAATATTCTGTTCAACAGATTCTGCCTGCTCCATCTGCGGATTCGCCGCCGTCTTTATCCGCATTCCGTTCCGTGGCCCCAAAGAGTGGGAACAGCACGCAAATCACACCTATATCCCACAAGCTGTCGCCTGATAAGAAGAAGGACAGTACCGAAGATTTTGATTGCGGTATTTGCCTCAAGGAAAGATGTCTTTGCGAAGATGTGGGCCTCAAGTCGAAGAGCTTGGAAGACACATTCAAGTCCTTCACACCTATGGCCGCAGTATCTTTGCGTGCCAAGCGTAAAGTTTCCGAGGTGAAAGAAATTGACTTTACCGCAGGATACAAGAAAATGCCAGATCTCAAGAAATTGCGCAAGAACTCGCTGGAAAGAGACAAGCCGAGAAAAACGTCGCTGGTATCGATGGGTGGCGACAACTTCGACGAGAACTCGCCAGTTGAAAACTGTGGCTTTTGCACGGATGATACCCCATGTGTCTGTAGAGAAGCGGCCAAAGAAGCGGCTCGCCTCAACCAGTCGCTTCAGGAAAAGGAGGAAGAAGAACACGATGCGGCTGGCCCTATGCTGCTTCCTCCTATCCAGGTTAAGGATGGTGTGTCTAAGGCGCCGTTGCCCGTGATGCATCCGGGACCTTCTCTTGAAATCAGAGAGTACACGAATTTGACTCCGGGAGCAGTGCCTACGGTTGTCACCAAAGAGGAAACTGCGCCAGAAACGAGCAACAACAAGCCAGACGAGGAAAAATCGGGATGCACAGGCAACCCTGGAACGTGCATGCAATGTCAGATGGATCCGATGTCAACGCTATTTTGTACTACAGTTGCAAGCAAGGCTGCGCTGGAACCAACACAAGCAACGCAAGACGTGCCAAAGGCATTGCCTACTGGTGACGAGAAGTCTTCAGCATCTCTGGAATCTTCTTCTCTGCGACCTTCGTCGCTGGGTCCTTCATCTCTAGGGCCATCTTCTCTGGCGTCTATCTCTGCGGCATCCTCGACATCTTCGGTGCCTCTGCCTTCAGGAGGCATTTTCATTCCGTGTTCTGATGCTTATAAGACACTTTCGCGCCACAAAAGGTTTAACAGTGTGGACTTTCTGTCGCTTGTGGGCAGATTGACCACTAGGGGAATGCTTGTGGAGGCTCAATCTGTGGCGAATGTGATTCGGGAGCTAGACAGAAAGGTGTACGATTAGTGCAAAGGGTATATGATTATGAGAACATTCGTTGGGTAGCTTAATGCGTAGTAAAGATTTGCAAGTAGGTATTCTTGATTTAGCTTATGGAGAGGTGAATGGAAGAACGGCATCACTGCAATCAAGGAAACTGCGCTGCCAAGTGCAAGAAGAAGTGGCTGATTTGAATGTGGTTTTATCAGCTTTTGTCGGTGCTTCCTCTTTCATGAAACAATTGATACCATGGAGATTCTACGGTTTCCCTTCAGGTGAAATGAGGCATTGTAGTATAAAAGCGAATTTGCGTTGGTGTCAAGACAATTACGTCAAGAAATAGGCACAACTGACAAAATTCATGGAAGAATCAATCGTTCACCAAATCTAGTATTTCTTTTTCGCTTATCACCAACTGCGTTGTGCGTATATCAGACACTGAAAGTTACTTGGCTTAGATGAACCATACCCTCGCAGTGCGAACTGTCTCGTTCTCCAAGCCAAAAGAGATAAAAAAAATTGTCTAAATTCTTGTAAGTGTTTTCTTCACCCTGTTTTCGTAATTGTATTCTGGCACTATCTCCATCTTTCAAGCGGGAGTGCAGATATGTCGGCTGCAACACAATGTCGCGATGACGCTCATCGCCTACGCTTTTCTTTCCAATGTCACCAAGCACCATGCGGATACTTTCAGTGCCGCGAGCATGTCGTTTTTTGCACGTGTCTGGTCCTGCTTTCGGTCTGAAGGCGGAAAAAGTGCCGATTTCTGAAGTCCTAAGGTCGTCAGCCAAAGTCACGGTCGGCCGGCATGAGTACAAACAGTGGGAAGACGACATTGGCACTCGAGGCCCAAGGAAGTATCGGACAGAGCTTGAGGCTAATGTTCTTCCGCGGGCTGAAAGAATCCTTCTGGAGAAGAGATCGGGCAACGACATGAAACCAAAGCGAATTCGTCTGAAGACCAACACGATAAGGAACGGGGAGGACACGATAGATACCAAAGTGAAGGAAAAGCCAACGACGGCAATTCCAAAGAAAACGCTGGCGGAGACAAAGAAGAGCAAGAAAGCCTACAAGCTTAGGCCAGAGCATGCGGGCGAACACGCATCGGCAGGGAAAGGAAAGGGCGAGCACAAGCGGGCGCGCAACCGGCGGCGCGAGAAGTCTGGCGAGAAAACGGGGCGCTCGCGGGTCATTGTGCGCGGCCGAGGCGGGCTTGCGCCGCTTTTGCAGGCGCGCGCGCCCGAAACAAGGCACATTCCGCGCCTCTCGCACGGCCTCGACCGGGTGCTTTTCTCGCCCGGAGTCCACTTTCTACAAGACCCCCGCACACGAGTGTACAACTTCACGCCCTACCTCAAGAAGATTGTGCCCCTAGATGACTTTGATATGGATAAAGTCACGGGGTTTGTGGCCGCCAACAAAGATAAGGTTTTGTTGGAGCATGCGATCGAGAACGGGAAGAAATACTATTCGAGCACACTGTCGATGACGCTGGCGCTCCACCAGATGTATTTGTTTTTCAACAACTACTCGCCGGGCGCCACGCACCGCTTCAACTTCACGCCCTTTTCGCGCACAGCAACCACGTTGCCGCTGTCTGTGATCGTGGAGCCAAAGGGCGAGCACAAGGGCGAGAAAATATACTCTGTCACTGCGGACAAGTCGGCAGACACAGAAATCATGTTGAGCGCCATGGGCCACTGCCTCGAGGCGCTTTTGACCAACGACGAGACGGCGTTCCAGGCATACTTGAAAACTTCAGAGGCGAAGGATAGGGAGGACGAGATCCAAGACAACGTCCAAGACAACATCCAAGACAAGAGCGTCCAAGACAACATCCAAGACAAGAGCGTCCAAGACAACGTCCAAGATAAAGCGACTTCAAGCGCCAACGTCTACAACTATCTGGTGTGCGGGCCGTTTCTCATGCGGTCGCAGCTCGACTGCTTCGACCCGCGGCTTCCTGGGTCGGGCACCTTCGACGTGAAAACGCGGGCCGCGTGCGCCGTGCGGTACGACCGCGCCGACCCGGACCGCGGCACGTACCAGATCTGGAAACAGCACGGCCGCTTCGAGTCGTTCGAGCGCGAGTACGCCGACTTGATTCGCACGGGCGCCCTTCTCAAGTACGCTTTCCAGGCGCGTATCGGCCAGATGGACGGCGTGTTTGTCGCCTACCACAACGTGGCGTCGTTTTTCGGCTTCCAGTATCTTCCTGTGGGCGAGCTCGACCGGGTGTTTTACTCGGACTCGCACGCCGAGCGCAGGGCCGAGAGCACCGCCAACGGCTTCCCCGACGACAATCTTCCGACACACGTGGCCGAGGCCCAGTTCAAGGCGCTGCTTGCCCTCTGGGCCGATCTCATGGACTGTGTGCGCAGCGACCTTGCGCGGACGCCCTATGCGGATATGCCGTTCCGCCTTGTGCTCAAGAGGAAAGCGGCGCCCGACGCGCGCCGCCTGTACCTTTATGCGTGGGCGGTGCCAATGCCGCCGCACGAGATTGCTGTGCTCCAGGAGAGCCCGCAGCTTTTCGCCACGCTGTTCCGCGCCCAAGTGACGCCCGAGCAGCGCGCAGAAAACATCGAGGCGGCGCGCCGCCATCTAGATGCGCTCAATGCAAAGCACGCCGCGCAGTTCCCGGTGCTTGCGTATCGCGCGCTGGCCCGCGCGCTTTTCGACGGCTCGCCCTGCGACTCGCGCCATCCGTATCCGCTGCTGTCGAGCACACGGCTCGAGTATGCGTACGAGATCGAGCGGCTCCATGAAAGTGTGGAGAGCACGGCGAAAATGAAAAAGACTGAAAACTCGAAGGAGCGCAAGACACATCCAGAAAACTCGAAGGAACGCAAGACACATTCAGAAAACACTGGAGATTCGAAAACGACTGGGGCATCCTTTGAATCTCTGTCGTCGGAGCGTCCGCTTGGGCCCTTGGCACGCCAGTTTCTTACGCAGATGCGCGCGGTTTCGCGCATGCTCACGGCCTTCGACCCAAATACGCCCATCGTCGACCAAATGCGCGACTACGCGCGGGTCGGCGCCCGCCGCGCGGAAAAATGGAAGCACTTGGAAGATCCGGCAGTTGTGTATTCTCCTTTGGAAGAGGAGCACAAGTGATGGTGATATTGGATATGTGGCAAATATTCGGTTTAGCGAACCCAACTCAGCATAGAATTAACATTAAGCGGATACTTTACCCAATAGGAAGTTTGCATCATACCGTATTAGTTGTAGACCCAGTTCAATTTCTGGCACGTTACGCATATTCTGTATTATGCCACTTTGGACGAAGTCATTTTCACTCTAGGATTGGTTTGCAAAAACGCAGTAGAAAGAATTATGGCATTACCTAAATGGTTAAGAAGTCCGGGCATTCTGGTATCTATCCTCACGACAATAATGCATCTTTCTCTGTCTTGATCTTGAATTCTGCAACAAGAATCGTCGCTATATTGTGACTACGTAGAAGCTGAAAAATATTCCACTTTGGTGCTGTACTTTCGATGCGATTTTGACATGAATTGCATTTTAGCAAGCTTCTTCTCCATGACGTCAGTGCCAAGCTGCGATAAGGCCTACGGCTGAAGTGATTTCCGTTCATCCTGCCATGATTATTCTCGGGAACACGGAAAGAATTCGGACTGACTCATGTGAAGTTAATCCACCTCCGTTGATCCGCTATCTGCACACATGCAGTCGTATTTATCCGAGCCTCGGAGACGATGCCGAAGACAGAAAGTCTGGAACGAAGGGTGAAACGTGATTAAGACGAAAAAAACGAAAAGGTCCGAAGAAGAAAAGAGAATGCTCAAAGAAGGAAAAAGGACAAAGGAAAAAGAAGCGGCCACGTGTAATTCGAGCCTTGTTCAATTCAGCCTCGATCTCCCCTCTTTATTATATGCCGCGCGGAACAAGTCCGAAGAGGAGAAGGAGGGGCATTAAAGACAAGGTCCAACAAAACACAAACACACAAAACCAAAAAAAGTTAGCAAATCTAGCAAATCTAGCAAATCTGGTAAATCCGACAAAACACCCCAAACACACAAAACATAAAGCAGAATCCCGTAGTACATGATGGGCGAGTTGGATCGGAGTCACGTGCGCCACACTTCTAACGGCATGCCATCACCAGTTCCGCTTGTGCGCGACTCATTCCGTTGTGCCGCGTGACTCACGGTGGCTTTTCAACCTTAATAAACTGGGGAAGTTTTCTTTGCTCAACATCTCAAAAGCTTCATTTTACACATCTGCACGCTTGCCATTTGAGTTTCCGTGTTTTCCTCCTGTTGCAAGCTTATTTTTTTCGTCGTTACCCATCGCAGCCTTCTTCGCGCATAGGCATCAGACGCTTTTTCCTCGACCCATACAAGAATCATCTATTCATAGCAGAAAGAAAAACCAGCAAAACGTTTCTTACGCTGACTAAGACCCCTGTTTCCTTCCTTGCTGACATGTCTCTTTTCCGATTCACCACGCCTCCCAGTCCGCCGCTCGAGTATCAGATGCCCAAAACCGGCGAAACCCACATGCGCCAGACCAGAGAGGCGCTCAACACCAAGGAAATGCTCTCCAAAGACACGTCATACCCATACTTAAGCACAAAGCAAAGCATGCCCCGAGCTGTGCAGAACGCCAGCCCCGAAAAGGGCGGCAAGCCAGATATTCTTCGCCCGGCGGCCCTTCCGACGCCGCTCCAATCGCGCACCTCCACCACTTCGCTCGGGTCTCTTTTCGCGCCGGCGCCCACAGAAGTGTGCGACACCGTGCAGCGCCGCCTTGGCCCAAAGTCGCTCGTGATGCTTGTGGGCCTCCCAGCATCGGGCAAATCCACCGTGTGCAACTACTTGGCTCAGCATCTCGAGGCCCACGACTACAAGGCGCTCATATACAATGCGGGCGTAGTGCGGCGCAATGCGCGCGCGCCTGCGGGCGCCGACTTTTTCGACCCGCAGAACGTCCAGGCCGCCGCCTTGCGCGAACAGTACGCCTCGGCCGCCATGACCACTTTGCTCAGCGACCTTGCCCACAGCAGAATCAGCGTCGGGTTTTTGGACGCCACAAACACCACGGCGGCCCGCAGAAAGCGCATGCTTGAAATGGCCCTCAGCTCGGGCGTGAACTTTGCCAACATCTACGTTTTGGACGTGGCATGCACCGACGCCCAGTTGCTCGAACACAATATCGCCCGCAAGGCCGGCAACGTCGACTACCGCGGCCGCAGCGCAGACGAGGCCGTGCGCGACTTCCGCCGCCGCGCCGCCCACTACGCCCAGATATATGAGCCTGTTTCTCGTGAAGAGGTGGCTCGCTTTGGCGCCACCTACATTCGCATCCAGGACGCCGGGCGTGCCGTTTCGATGGCCGCCGGCCTGGGCGACGACGTCGACCAGTTGGTGCGCTCCTTTGTGTGCGACTACTACAAGAACCACGGCGCCGACTATTGCGCGCAGGTTGTGCGGTCGAGCAAAGGCGACCAGAGTGCTGGAAGGATTCACAGCGTTATAGAATAGGGTATTCCCGGCGCAGGCGCTGAATAGTTGAATACAAAGGTTAGGAAGTTAAGTGTAGGTTTTGAAGGGGTTATGATGGATCTCGGCTTTATGATGGGATTCGAGGGAATTTCATTGACTGGAGCAACGTAGATAGTAGTTTCCAGCTATGCAGTTTCATGTCGGTGTTGGAGCTTTGAATTGTGGTCAAAATGTGGTATTTTAAACTGGCCAGGTCGTGAAATCCAGCTTTTGCAGATTTGAAAACTACTACTTCTCTAAATTGATGCAGTTGTTTGCCCAGTTGCCTGGCATGAATGTGATGTACTATCAAAGCAGATTGGAATGCTTTAGCTGGACTAATTTAGATGGACAACCAGCACAGGTTGTACATTCCCAAGGAACCGAAGAATCTGATTTTATGTAGAAGAAGGAAGGTGATGAATAGAATTTATTGGCAGAATAATAGGATTGCTCCTTGAAGTACGTAAGTCCAATAAATTCGGCTACATCCAAATAAGTTAACAGAGTTCAAAACAACTTCGTCCTAATATTGAGCATAATCCACTGATCCAACTCCTACAAAACTGCTAGTAATATTTAAGTTCCAGGCAGAACATAGTAGTACTTATTTCGATATATATTTGCTGGTCTGTTGCCCATTTGACAATCCTCGATCTTAGTATGTAATTCTACAGTACGGTAGTTTGAGCTAGAGTTGAATTTCATGTCTGATTCTATAAGGTGTGCTAGGAATGCCTAAAACAGGTTTTCTAGCACCATCAAAGCTTCATTAACATTATCTCGTAGCGCCTCAGTTCAATCCCGGAATACCACGACGCTCCTGCTCCACAACATGCGAGGTGTCCTCCAACACCGCATTCACATTATTATTAACACCATAGTACCACGCACCGTTCTTGTCGTTGGTGTACAATGGATCTTTGAACGCCATAGGGTCATTTGGCCGAGCACGCAGCCAAAATCTGGCAGACCTGTCGTTACCGGCCAGGCACAAAAGGTGGCCCAACGGATGGTACTCCAACGCATGGATAGCTTTTTCGTGTGCATACGGAATGCGGTGCACCGCTTCAACCGACGCTGGCCCGCTCTGGTCCACATCTGCTGGCACATATTTGTCCAAAAAGTAGTGGTGCATAGCGCCATCGTAGGCAGCCGTGGTTAAAAGCAGCGCATGCACCGGATGCCATTCCACACACAGGAGATCGGCCTCGTGGTCTCGAATCACCGTGTAGTCGGCCATGGCACGCAAGTCAAAGACACGACACAGGCGATCGCGGGAAACCGAGGCCAAAAGCCGCGCCGTGCCAGCTTTCTGGAACTTCGTTTTCGTCACGGTGTGTTTGAAGCCAAGAAGCGTGGCCACGGCCGCAGGCGTACGTGGATCCCATAGCTTGACCAAGTTGTCTTTCGAGCCCAGCACCACGAGCCCCAACGTTGGATGCCAGTCGGCACTTTTCACGTCCCAGTGGTGGCCTGTCAAGACCCGTTCCTCGCGACCAGATGCAAAACTCCAGATCTTAAGCGTGGAGTCGTCCAGGCAAGTGACATACTTGCTGTCGGTGGGGGAAAAGGCAATGTCGCGCACAGCATCGCCGTGCGCTTGCACAATGTTGACATTGTTGTAATTGGGCTGCCAGTACTTGATAGCGCCGTCCTGGTCTCCCAGAAGAAGCCACTCGTCCGAATGCGAATAGCGCAACGCTAGAACGGCGGAGTCGTGTGCTTGCATGATCGTTTCAAAGTTGAACGTCATGCCGTTCCAGATGGTGAACTCTCCACTATGCAGCGCCACGACTAGCCGCCGGCCTTCGGGGGTCCATTTCACGGCATTGATCAGATGTCTCGCCTTGTTCAGCGAAAGATGCACAAACTTCGCCTGGATATCGAAAGCCGCGGCGTTTCCGGCCACATTGTCGTTTTTGTACGCGAGTGCAGGCAAAACATCCACGAGATACGACAGCTCGGGCCTGGCTGCGCCCAAATGGTACCTTGTGCGCCCTAAACTGCGCTGCATGTGCCAACGGCCCATGCTATTTCCATGATCGACTGTGCGCCGGTGGTGGCCTTTTTTCTCTTGCAGTTGTAACTGCTGCTCCAAGCTCTGTTGGTAGCGGCTCATGAATGGAGAATTGGAGGTAGATGGAGAACGTCAGTGGTATATTCAAATGTTACAGATGGATACAGGTCTAGTAGTAGTTCAATTTGGGATTTGCCGATATGGTTTGCTGATTGGTGTCAAACGCAAATGGTAGAATGGCCTTGTAGATGGAAGTTGTAGGAGAAGCTAGTCGCAGTAGATGGAGAAGAGTGTTGATGGTCGTGCGCGGCCAAACTGACAGACGTCTGGAAGTAAGAGGCAATACTTTTCTATTTAAAAAATCTAGGTGATCAGATGTAAAGGGTTTTCATTCTCCATAATTTTATTTTTCAATTTTCAATTCGATTTGGTGTGTATCCAGCGACACTGACATGAAAATCTCGTGTGAGTTGTCAGCCATATGTAGTAGCGAAATTCGCCCTACAAAAGATACAAATATTTACCGAAAATAAATTTAACAGGATATAATGCTGAGATTGAAAGCTCAGAGACTATTAGTATGGATCATCAATCAGAGAAACACTCGAATAATATGTAGGTGAGTGTGTTGTGCGATGTAGTCTATATCTTGGGATTTGACGATGAACAAATATTGCATGAATTACTGTGGTTAATTTAAGACACCAAGAAAAGTAATGAAGAAGACCGTTGACGCACAGCATACCGTCAAAAGAGTATTCTTGCCCCCGTGAGAATTTCAAGTGACTTTCTTCACCATGGAGCCACATTCACCTTCATACAGTCAATCCCAATTAGAATTCGCATGCACGTTGATCGAAATTCACACCACTATAAACTGAATTTCGCGCCTAGACAAAGTGAAATTCGCCCTTTAGAAAATTGAAGTTCGCCCCTCTAGAAAAGCCATTTCGCACTTCAAGAAATCAAAATTCGCACGCACAGAAACGTAAATTCGCAACCGAGGAAACCACAATTCGTAGGACAAAAATGCAAAATTCGTGATAAAGTGAATTAGAAAGTCGCTTTACTATAATCGTGCGAAATATATATCAGATCCACAATGGGTTCGTAGGACTTCAATTGAGTGTAGTACATGAGTATTCAGTATTAGGCGATCTAAACTGATTCAGGTGAACGGCCTTCCAGTTTTGTAAATTGTTTAAAACTACGATGAAAAAGAAGGTTCACCTATGTAGTGCGAATTGTAGGAAAACTTGGGCGAATTTGAGAACCATCTGATTACGAATTATAGTTTCCATGTGTACGAATTGTTGATTCCAGAGGTACGAATTCTAAATTTTGGCCATGCGAATATTGGTTTTTTTAGTGCGAATTTGGATTTCTCGGAGGGCGAACATTAATATTCCGAAGGGCGAATTCATAGTTTTTCGAGCGGCGACTTTCAGTTTTTTGAGGTGCGAATTTCAATCAACGTGCATGCGAATTCTATTTGGGATTGACTGTATCTTTAGTGTTTGCTTGCGCCCTTCCAATCATGCCATTCTTAATTAATGGGGCAACACTCAGTTTCGTCATGACATTTTTTGCTCTATTAGCTGAACTCCATCTTTCGTCCTTTTTGTTTGAATATATTGCCATTTGCAAATAATTTGTTCTGGGATGTACCACAACCTAGAAAAGGCCCAGCCCACTATTGCCTCGCTTTTGCCTGAACTATCCAAAATTTTATGTCTCAGAGACCTGAACTAGACTGCTTATCCTGGTTTCTATATAATACACTTTTCTCTGTCAACTCGAATGCTTTTGGGGTTGAGCCGACTTTTTCGTAGCACTGATGGGGGCCGATTTCTATCTTTAAATCCACGCTTACAAAAAAGGTCTTGTCAAATTTTCCGAATATGAGTCGGTCCTGTAAGATTCGGCTATAGCTGGTGGCTATTGGTGTCAAGATTAGCCGCTGCGCAGCGTATGTAGAAAGTTTAACTTTATTATATATTCAGTTCTGGCCATCACGAAAACGGTTCGAGAGAAATCGTGTCGAAAGTATATACAGCATTCATAAGGCTCACTTTTTATTTTCGTAGTAATCCATGAGTACCTTGTATGTTAGGTACTTATTTGCCACGTAGATGTCGTAAACTTCTTCGTCTTCTATTACCGTTCTCCAAACAAAGTCAGAGTAAATATCCGCAATGAATGTAAGGGGTGCTTGTGAAACTATCAAGAAAACGTGAAATAATGACATGGGTGGATAGTTTAGGATTATCAAGTGGAAATGGAAATGATAGTTACCTTCCTTTTGCCATTGCGGCACATAGGCCAAAGACTCTGTTGTGCATATGCAAAAGTCTTATCTCATGCATCGAACAAAAATATAGCCATCCAAATGGAATTTACACAGTTCACCTTCTCCTTTCAAGGAACTACAATTTTCCCTTCAATAAAATGGAACTTGCCCTTCGAGAAACAAAAGTCATACATAGAATCTAATTCGCAACAGTACAAAAGGAGACTTGAAATAAGTAAATTTTATATTCGTTGCAACAATCGTCATTACATTCAAACGATTTGTGCCCACTATCTCCAAATTTGGAATATCGTTACAGTTAAGATACAAGCATATTGCTCGCATTACATTAACTCTCTCAAGTACAACAGATACTAGGATGGGTGATACCTAATAATTATCCCTGGTGTCCCATTAAGCTCTGGAACTGACTGAGAAGGACACCTACTACCTGACATTTACGGCTACAATAATAAAAGCTGTACGTGGTTGAAGCTAAATTGCAGCTTGTTCATCAATTTTGCGATGAAGTTTCTCTTTTATTCACTTTCAACTTTCGGTTTTCCAGCCTTCTGCTTTGAAGTGTATCCAAGGGCGTTCAATCTCTCGACCAAAGTAGGATGGTTTTGTGTGTAGGCAGAGTATAACCAGTCCATGCGGAAGGATGACAAATTTTCAACTTTAAGTTTGATAAGAGCAGATGCCAACTCTTCAGTGTATCCTTGCGCTTTCGCAAAATTGTCGGCCTGGTATTCATTCTTCCTGCTCATTAAATTTTTGGCAAATTTGACAGCACAGTCGACTGGAGCCTTAACATAAGAAAATAAAACAAAGGCAATCATCGGAGGGTAGTCATGGAAAAAGCCAAAGGAATGGAAGAACGACTTATTTTCGATAAATGCACGATACAAAACACAAGTCAACGTAATGGATGCTTGGTTAGAGAGAAGAAGCTGATAAACATGGTTTAACTTCCAGTGGCCAATCTCATGAGCCAAAACCGCAACAATCCCTTCTGTAGTACTTTGGTTAATCAAAGTGTCAAAAATGACAATCTGCTGACTCCAAGGCAAGCCACTGAAGAATGCATTTGAGTGTCCTGATCTGGACGAACCGTCAATGACATATACGCCAGAAAGAGGAAACCCATTTTTCGTGGCCAATTTTTCAATTTCGATCTTCAACTCCCCGTCTTCTAATGGAGTAAGCTTGTAAAAGAAAGGTAAGATCAATTTAGGCATGATAGTCATGAGAATGACTTGCAAAAGAAGCGTAAAAGCACAGGCATAAGAGATGAAGGACGTTCCAAAATAATCAATGATCTTCAAAAAGCCGTATACAGCTGGACCTCCCAACCCAAGCAGAACCAAAGCCAGCTTAATGGTATCCGATGCCCAAAGCTTTACAGTTGATTTATTAAACCCAAACTTCTGTTCCAACACAAAATCTTCATAATAAGTGAAGGGAAGCAGTTCCAAAGTTCCAAGAATAGAAGTTAACACAAACAATACTAAAGACTGGCTGATGAGCCCAGAACCGAAAAAGCGACCAATGACCGAAACTTGCGATAACGAGGACAACAAAGAACCCGACCACGACCAGAACTTCTGATACAAATCAAACTTGATATAAGCGAAGTCTTTGACCAAATTGAAAGTGGACTTTACAAAGGCGAAGGAGCTTCTTGCTCTGGCGTATTCTTGGGACTTGTCGAAAGTTTCTTTTGCAATCTCATTTTTGATCAGGGCCGGGGGTTCTGTCTTGCATTGCTCTTTGTATTGTCTGTAGCTGACATAAGTCTCAAATGTATACTTTCCTATCAAAAGTGTGGTGACAATAGACCTCCAGTGGTACGCCGGATTATCAAAAGCAGATATGATCTGATTGTCAGTAAGACGCTAGAATATTGCATTGCGAACAACATACCTTTCCAAAATCCATTATGTATGAAAGCTTGGAACTAATACAACTTGAGAAATAAATTCAGCCACCCTCTTTATAATGTCACAGAGGAAAAACGCGCATAATCATCCACGGCGCCAATCGGTCTTCGACATGAACATGCAGATGACAGCCACACATACCGTAAATTGACGTCTGTGCAGTATGTGCATAAAAAGATAAGATAGGGCCATTATCCAAATCCACTTGAGTGAGAGGCTTAATTTTCATGTAGGACTAAAAATGAATTTGGGCTGGTTGTGGAACTATGTACAAGTAGTATTATTTTAAAGGCTGTTTAGAGCCACGATACCCACATGAAGAGCGGTGTGCAAACCAAGAAAGCAAGAAAGATAGTAGTCAGTGGTTAGATCGAACTATTTGAACACCATTTGCATCAATTAAGACGATTGAAGGAAGCGAACGCAGAAAAATTTATTCCAGAGTCTGATAGCATTCCGATGTAAGATTGGATGTGGAGGTCAGATTATGATGTCTTTTCGGATAGATAACTGCTCATTTGGAATTGTGTAGTCTGCAATGTATTAATGGGCAAGTATAGCCGAGTCATACACACACACCTGTGCGTCGTGTATTCTGATTCTGTGACCCTATTCGCCTTTTCCAATCGATACATCAATCTAGTGCCATAGAACTGTGTGCTCTCTCCACTTGAATTCGCAATCGTATGAAGAAGAAATTCTTCTATGCTTGGTTCTTTGCTATACCTTTTGGGGTTACTGTGGGGATGCCAAAACGGACGTCAATGTTGACAGGTGTGTATAGGCCCAGATGCATGTGTGGAATATATTTTTTAGTGCAAATGGTACGTAACCATATAAACAAGTCAAAAGTGGGGAACAGAGGAGTCTTGGAGGTCTTGCCTTTTCAGTGAAATTGCATGACAAAGGGAAGGAGGGATATCTTTATGGATCTGTTTAGTTGGAGGGATTATAAAGCTAGAAAGTTCAATTCGACATCTCGAACTGGAATAGCATGAGCGGCTTCTTTATTCACGCATGCACCATGTACCTGTAGAATTACTGGCAGCAATCTTCTGTATTCCTAGCAGTTCTAATATTTTGGACGTGTTTGTATATTCAACAAGTCGTTAATAGCACCTCTTGGTAGCATTCCTAATTTATGCCATGTTGTACATTTTGAAAACGCAACTTATACAATCAACCCCAAATAGAATTCGCCTGCAAGTAGAAAATTAATGAGAATTCGCTTCTCGAAAAAGTGGAAGTCGCCCCCTCCGTAAAATGAAGTTCGCCCTCGAGAAATCAAAACCCGCACTTTAAAAAAACTCGAACACATGGAAATGTCATTTCGCAAATGGGGTCACACAATTCGTAGGACAACAAAGCAAAATTCGTGAAAAAATGAATTAGAAATTCGCTTTAGTTGTGACTAATTCTATGTTTCTTTCTTCAGATCTACAATGGGTACGAAAAATCATTAGAATGAGCTTTCAGTCATTGGCGACCTTAACTGATTCCAGTTTGTAGATTGATTTAAACTACATAGAAAGAGAATGTTAACTCGAAATTAGCAGATGTGGTGCGAATTGCACCAAAATTAGGGCGAGTTTGAGAATCATCTGATTACGAATGTTGTGTACGAATTGTTGATTCAAGAGGTCGAATTCTAATTTTTGCGCATGCGAATTCTGGGTGTCTTCAGTGCGAATTATAGTTTCTTGGAGGGCGAACATTGATAGTCTGTAGGGCGAACTTTACTTTTTCGAAGGGCGAATTTCAGTTGCTTGAAGCGTGAACTTCGACGTACGTATATGCGAATTTTATTTGGGGGATTTACAGTAAGACGTGTCAATTGCTTCACAGATGGATTATTGTATAACATGGATCCACACACCGAGAAGGGAAGTAATTATTTTGTACTCCATAAATGCCTCATCCAAAGATCATAGGGGTTTTTTTCTTAGATAATTTTGAATGTGACAGCCGCATGTTTCCATACCAATCTATTCGAGTCATGAAGCCCTCTATTATCACCGTTTTTGTAATAATTCCACAAGTTGAAGCTCAGGCTTGATTTCTAACATGATATTCGATCCCTCGCATACTCAGGAGCAGAAGCAAGCTAATTCTGCTTGAAATTGGATCTAACAGCCTCCATGATTTTTTCTGGATGCCCACCTTGTGATAAGCAGAATTTTTTTGCTCATGTCTCGCCCGCCATATGAGTAGTACATTATTCATCGTATTGAAAACGTTCATTGTATTCATGAAGGCAAAGTTTTCTACAAGGATCAAGATTTTGTTGGCTAAATGTATTATGGACAGCAAGTTTTCGTGTTTCCAGTCGCCGTTTCCTGGCCCTAATTTTAAACCTCATTAGACATGAAAAGAAAATGCCAAGTCAATTCTTGGGTGCCCCAATACAGGTTCATAACAGAGTAGATTACTCTACCACAGCGTAAATTTCTCTATACTTGAACCTCATGAATTAGTAATCATTGTGTTCATTTAGAATGTCCATGAAATTCATAGCGCTACGATCAAGTCGCTGTTTAAAATAGGTCCTTAAGCAATACGAAAAGACACGATTTCACGCCTATATTCATCGTATATACCCTTTGTTTTTTCTATTCATCACCTAAAGGCATATTATTAATACCAGTCCAGCCATAGGCAATCCAATAAAGAGTGCACATTAACTTAGTCACCGTGGTGACTCCACAGTTTGGCATACAGAACACAAGACCGTTCCATTAATTAATCCTTGGGTTCATCACCATGGTTTCGTTTTTCTACCACGACAACTTGGATACGCCAGAAAATTTCACTGACGAACATGACTCGGGCATCCCCGTTCCGCCAGAAAAGTTGGCAGAGCTTGGTGTGATCTACCGCTACATAGACAATATGCCCGAACTAGAAGCCTTGGCCAAGGAAAGAGACTACAAGAACCGGGACCAGGTCAAGCTCAACTTGGAATCTTTTGGTGGCGACAAAGAGGCGTACGATGCTAAGATGCGCCAGTTCTACAAAGAACACTATCACGAAGACGAAGAGATTCGGTACATTGTTGACGGCGAAGGCTACTTTGATGTGAGGGATCGGGGCGACCGTTGGATCCGGGCCAAGTTGACCAAGAACGACTTGTTGATTTTGCCTGCCGGGATCTACCACCGCTTTACGCTTTCGAGCCGTTTGAAGAATGTCACGGCATTGCGTCTTTTCAAAGATGAGCCAAAGTGGGAGGCCATCAACAGAGACGAAGGCCGTTTGACGGAAGCAAGACAACAGTACGCGAGATCTATTGCTGTTTAGGTGTTTATGAATATTCGACTGACACACCTGTAGTATAAAAGGGCAGGCAGGCATTGAAGAAGGAAGCTAAACTGCTATTCTTTCAGTTCCATCACTTTATTCGACTATCCTTTTCCATCATGCTAATATCATGTTATTTATATAATGATGGCTATTCTATCGTACTATTCACATAATGCTGGCTATTCTATGTTATATGTATTCCTTCATCTTCCCACTTGTTCACAATTGCATCTACAAGAGTTGCTCTATCACTATCGTACATTATCCTATTGTCTCATGATCTTCACCTTGTTTTTCGTCATCCACTGCTCCATCTCTTTTTTCGTAGACACAAAGCTCTTCTCCACCTCTTCTCTTGTCTGAAGAAGCTGTTTTTTCTCCTCGTCCAATATCTTGATAACTTCGTCCACGGTCTTTTCAACCAAAACTCCACCGATCATCTTGAAGCACTTTCTTCCATTGCGTTTCTCTGGCGGGATCTCGGCCAAAGTCTTGTCAACTATATTGTGTTCCAGAACTTGCGAAGTGATTGTCGAAAGCTGACTTTGCAACTCCGTCAACGCCTCTTGGTAATTGTTATATTGCGCCTGGAGCTGCTGTGCTTTTTGCTCCTGTGCCTGTTGTTTTTCCGCCTCTGACATATTGGTGAAGAAGCTTGGTCTGGAAAAGCCTTGTGTAGTGCACACCAGTACCTCTGACGTCTAACAATTTGGTGTGGGCCGAATGGTTCTACGCAAATGTCAATGGTAAATTATGCTAAATCTTTGTAAGTGTCTAAATCCGAGGCTTCATAATGCACACATGTAGAAGGATTTAAAAAGCTCAAGTATGGCGAAGTGAGGGTTTTATTTTTTTCTGACCTCTTTTCATCATCACTCATCTCTGGCTTTTCGGAATTCAAATGGACTCTAAAACAAGAGACTAATCTTTAGGCGATTAGTTGAAATTGACGACGGTTCAGTTATCTTGCCAAATCTACTTCATAGTTTCTCAACTACGTCTATTTTATACCTTGGCCGCATTTATTTCTGTTCCTAGTTGGCCTTGCTAGATGGTTTTTCCTCCTCCTTGGTCTCCTTCTCTAATTCTTTTCTCTCAACTTTCTTCTCATCACCAATAAACAAAAAGATAGTGACAAATACAAGCCAGGCAATGACAACGAAGCTGGCACTAGCCACATACATCCATGCGTTAGTGATCTCCCACGATCTCTTGTACTCGTCGTTGGCCAAGTGTCTCACTGCAACAATTCTTTTGTCATTGAGGAAAGACAAGCCTGGTCTCTTGTAGTCCAACTCGAAAGTAAACATGCCGTGGTGGTCTGGGATGGTGAATTGCACGTAGAAGATGCTCATGTCCTCAGGTCCATCGGGCGTCGAACTTCCTGGTCCTAAAAGGGTCATGTTTAATCTCTGGTATGGGTCCAACATCTTGAAAGACAACTGCAAAGCATCATCGTCATTTGGAACATATGGAACCCACTCACCCCCAACATATTCGGATACACCGACAGTATAGTATACTTCGTCTTTAACTTTGTACAACGTGCGGTTCGAAAGTCCTGGTTCCAGCACGCGGTAGTGTTCAACAAACTGTAATTTCAAAACTCCACGCTCGTGGAAAACCCACAGAAGAGCATCGCGAGTAAGCAAACTTTCTGAGCCAAACCATGCTCCACGGCCATTGTTCAAGCCTTGGAATGCTGCGGCCAAGAATCCTTGTTCGCCCACGGTCCATGTTTTTTCTTCAGTCAAAAATTCGTCCTTGGGACTTGCACAGAAAGACAATTGAGGTGCTTTGACCAATGGGAACACGAGAGGACTGTTAGAAACAAGCGCAGCGGTGCCCTTGTAAGTTTGTGGGTCGAGCAGAGGGAGAACCACCGAGTTGGCGACTCTTCCGGAATCCACCTCCACAGGCGCAAAATGGCTCGCCACGGCATAGCCCTTTGGCGCAGGGAAAATTCCGGCCTGCGCCAAAAATAAACGCACTTCTTCTGGAACAGTGTGCGTAGCCAGACTTACAGCCACGATGTTACCGCCCTTGTTGAAGAAATCAAGCAATTTGTGCTTGTTGACGATATTTTTCGCCGCAGCTGCTCTTTTCGACGACGGCAAAAACACAACGTGGTGGTAAAGGGCGTCTTCACCCAAGAAAAGCTCAGCTTCGCTATCTGAGTACTCAATGGTTGTGACGTTGTAGTCTTCGTTGAGTTTGAAAACAGAAACGGCTTCCTCCTGGTTCTCAGTAAGTTTGGGGTCTAAGACCACCAAAACTTGAGTGGTATTCCAGACCCCACTGTGGAGACACCATGCGGACACCAAAAGTGCCAAAAACGGCAACACGCGACCGATTGGGGAGAAGATCATTGATGGTGGGAGTTGGAAAACAGATTGAAGATACGTGGTGCGTTTGTAGTTGTATGCAGGTCGGTGCCAACGAGTGTCTTTGGTACTAGAGATGTTGAATTTGAATTTCAGTGAAAGAAGAGAGAAGACGTTCAGGAGAATAGAAAGTTTTTCAGAGAGAAGTAAAACTTGCTTCGTATAATTTCCCTTAAAGTTGGTGTCCAATCTGGTGAATACAGGGAGGTACTGATGAGAATTAAATCGTAGAGTAGTCGCTTTAAGGTGAACAACGGAGAAGTGTCATCATTTATAGGTTCGTAGATTGACAATTAGTAATCAAAATGGAGGGATCCAGACATAAGGGCAGAATCGATCGTCTGTTTAAATCCATTGCACTGCGATGCCATTGAGCAAAGGAAACAAGATAAAAAAGAGAGAAAAGATGGCTGGGGATAGAATATACCAGTAAGTAGCAGATGCTTCGAAAACAACAATTGTCTCTTTATCGTTTGAGGAGCAGACGTTTCCTGATCATCTATTTTCCGAAAACATTGACAATTTTGATTACCACTACCGGAAAAAAACTTCTTTTGTCGCTGATCTTCATTAAAATGTGCTTTGGGTTAACCATATTATTTCATGAGGCAAAGTTCTGCTTTCAGATTATACATCCGAATCCATTCAGCACCAAAGCACAAATTCGCACATTCCTAGTATGCACACAGACATCTAGATATGTGCTACTCATCTGCCGGATTGCGCATCTACTACTCTTCATGATGAAAATCAAGGTTGAATTTCTCGGCGGCCTCGACGTGATTTCCAATCATGTCCGGGAGCATAAACTTTCGCTTCCATTAGAAGAGGGCCAAGCGACCATGAAAGATGTGATTTCGCACGTCGTTTCTTCAGTGATTGCCGATCCTAAAGACATTCCTGTTTTCCTCGAGGAAGGAACAGTTCGCCCAGGCATCTTGGTGCTTATAAACGACACGGACTGGGAGTTAGAAGGCATGGAGGACTATGTTGTGGAGTCTGGCGATGTTTTTACATTCACTTCCACTTTGCACGGAGGATGAGAAGATGTGATATCTGAAGAATATAAGGGCAAACAGCGTGAATAGAGGTAATAGCATAAAGTCAAATTATTGAGCAAATAATGTGAATAGAAGTAATAGTATACCGACAAAGTACGATTGCGTCTTGAAATGTCTCCTCTCTTGGCCTTTTACCCAGATAATGTTTTCCTTTCCCACATCTGTCCTCTTTTTCCTTTTAGCTTTGCTTTTAAGCTCATTTCTCTCGTTAGCAAGGTACGATGTGACACCCAAGCACACCCCGTCCCGCCCATTGTCGTGGAACAAGGGTAACAGTTGACGTTTCGCCATGGCGAAGGATTTCTACCGGAATTTCCAGACCAATCTTCTCCTGAACACGAGCGGCAAGCGCAGTGAGCCCAGCATGGTTGGACGCGTCGATGTCAGTGTCAAACGAAACGATGCGGTCTCCTGGCCGCAAACCACATGTGGCAGCAGGGCTTTCGGGCGCCACCTCGCGGACAGTGGCAAATGGCTTTTTTGCAGCCGTCAGTGGCGATTCGCTCACTTGAAGAGATTCGATTTGTGGGTTTGTAGCCGCCAGGAGGCGCTCGGCCAAGTGTGTTTCGAGTAATCGTAATACAAGAGAGTGGTCGTTTCGGAGTCTGATGATATTGGTCCGGACAAGACGAATACTCACTACGTCAACGTCGTTCCTTGGAAAGCCATCAACCACAAGAGGCGTATCCATATCAAAATTGTAGGTGTTATGTAAAAGATCAAAAAGCGTTTCCAAAGTGGATTCCAAATGCGTTTTAGCCTGGGCCAATTCGGGATACCGCATGCTTTCAAGCTCAACCTGTTCATAGGACGGAATGTCCAAGTTGAGACTCTTCATTGCTCCGGCAAAAGTTGCTGGGTTGGGCCGAGTCATATTTGAGGTTATGAAAGAAGTTTAAGTTTGTAAATTTCTGGGGTATGTGATGGCAAGCCCGTACCTCCGACAACATGGTGAATGCATTTTGCAAAATATGAACATGCCTCTTCCTTGCTTTTCAATCGAGTTACAGACCGTCGAATATTACATTTCGGTTTTTAAAGTTTGGTTTTTTTCGGGTTTCTTTAAATTCATGGTTTGCAGTATGTTTTGGTAGCTCTTTAGAATTCGCATTTACTGAATTGATAGCACACTTTTTAGGCCAAGTATGGATAGAAAAAATGAGTCTCGTTCTCATTAGCAAGAAGATTCTGTTTTATACTACATGGATTTGCCTTCAGAACCTTGGAAACTACTTGAGTATCTTTTACGACTGATAAAGCATCAGATTTTCTGAATCTGATCGTCACGCCGATTAAAAGTACTTTCCAGCTTTTTGGTGTCATAACTTGTTCAGTGTACCAATGATGTAATTTTCATTGTAGAAATACATTAGGTCATTCGAGAGCCGATGATTGATTATTGCTGATATCTCTTCAAAGGATCTCGGGGTATATTGTTCTCAAGGTGGATGAACCTATTCTTCAACGGGTACAGTAAGGCAATCTAAGGTTTACTGGCGGTTTTTAATGAAGATTTTATTAATCTATGTGGAGAAAGAAGGAAAACATTGCGTATTTTTAAAATATTTGTATGAGTTTTGAATAATAGAACGCAATTGAGCATGTATGACGCCTTTAACACGTAAATATCGCAGGTTATATCCTTTGGCTATCCTTACTGGCCAATTATTGGATAAAAAATGGGCTGTTTTTTTTTTTTATTATTTTATTTTGCTTTTCCTTTTTCTTTTTTTTTATTTATTAGATTAATGTAGATGCAACTCTAAAGTTGCGATCGACTATAAAGAATGGCATTCTCCTACTTCACAATTAGATGTAGCAGTACTTTTTGACAACGAATAGATCACCCCTCTTCTCACCAACTTAGCGACAACACTTCTTGTCCATGTCCTGAGAGTCACTGAGACAGCTTCCGTTCAAAGGCTCATTGTATGTAAAAAGAAGACGGCCCGCAAAAGCTCCCAAAATACAGCAGATGATTATGTACCCGTTGTAGTACATGAACAACAACATAATAATGTAAGACAACCCCCATTCAATGGTGAACAAAACACACCGAATAAGATGTTCGAAAGGCAGAGCCATGATTCCCGAAGCAGGCACAGGAGCAAAAAGCCAGCGGTGGCTAATGGCATGGACAGCAGGATTGACGGCAATAGTGGCGCTTTTGCTGGATTCCATTTCCAATTTGGAGTTGTCAGCCGACTCTTGGGCAGAGTATTTCGTGATAAGAGCCGAGTCATATTCACGAGCAAAACGGTGCAACCACTGGGACACCAACACCAAAAAGAAAACACCAATACATGAGCCGGCAAAGGCACCCTTGGATTTATTGTGCCAGCTTCTAGCAATGAAACACGAGTCCACAGTATACCAGTTCCAAAGCATGGAGATTTTACATGCGTGGGGGTTGGCTTTTCCACTCATTCCACCCATGCTCATTCTGGAGAGTTCTTGAGGCAAAGACATTGTTGTGTATCCAGCTGGTTTAATTTGTGGTTCTACAGCCGTCCCACTTTGTCCTTATATACTTTTTTCAGCATGGGTCCTTAGAGCACATTAGTCTCCCAAAAAGGGAAATGATATTTGCTCTAGGGTCCACTTATCTGGGTTTAATTTTGCTCGCTTCGAGCTCCACCTAACAATGTTGAAATGAGTTGTTTCTTTTCTCGTACCATTGTTCTTCTTGAAAAAATGTCCTATTCTTTTTTAAGCAGATGCATCTCTGCCCCAACCTATCTTCTCGTTCCGCATATTCGAGGTTTGCGAAATCCAACCATTTTCGTGCACGACAATGATCTGGTATTACTATAAATTATATCTATTTTTTGTTGTTATTCTTTTCTTTTTATTTTTTTTTTTTTTTTTTTTGCCTTCCCTTCTTATTATCCACATGCCTTTTCTTGTTTCGTGTAGCTGAACACCTTTAGGTAGTTTCATGCATAATCATGTTGTGCGCCGCGCCCCAATCTTTTGGACAATCTACGCCTGGTAATTTTCGATTGAACTCAGTTTTCATTGAAACTAGGCCCCATGGTAGAACGAGCCTGTTGCAAACGGTTTTCCACCTCGGACTGTAATCGGGCCAAAAAATCTTGGAGTGCCAATATGCCCTTTTCGTCCTGTTGAAAGGAGCGCGTGTCGTCTGGATCCAGCTCGCATGAAAGAAGAGAGGAATCAAAAAGTGAATCGGCAGATGTTGAATAGTTATCGAGATCCATGAGAAATAGAAGTATCGTGGAAAAAAAGGTGTTTGACGAGCAAGATTCAAGTTAGTTGCCCCTTCGATGTTTTCTTTTTTAGCGTTTTCATCGCTGGTTATGGCGTCGGATATGTTTACGAGACGTGGGGAAGAGAAACCGTTTTACGAGTAGTCTGAGAAAGCTCGCGGAAAAGTTCGAACAAAGCCGTCACTTTGTATTCTTTTATTTTTTTTTATGAGTTCCATTTATTGAGCACCAAAGTCGTCAAGAATCTCTCAAGCCAACACTTATGTTGTTATTGTTAATTCACATGACGAGTCTAAATAGTCGGATTAAGGTTATTCGGAAAACTCGGAAAAACAGTTTGCACATGGATTTCTTGTGCAATACGAGAAATCTCGTAGTACATGGACAGATGGAATTTGCCCGAATTGCTTCACTATAAGTGACCGAGTATAGCTTTATTTAACTTCACTTACTGCAAGTTCAAGAGATCAAAAAAGATGTTTCCTCCCACCAGAGAGCCAGTTTGAACCTTGTGTGAAATTTATTCTCAAGTCTCAAGCCTTAGATAAGAGTTGATGATCGCTTATTTGCACATTATTTGTACATCCTCGTAGTCCAATTCATGATGACGTCGCATCTGCAGGGGAATACGTTAGTGGCCGCTTTTTCTTGCTTGTTGTGTATGGGCGAGCTTGAACTATAGACCCTCTGTACACTATCTGTAGTGGACCCTATACGGTATAGCCTGGCTACCTGCAGTATACAAGTGCATACAATTTCTTATCTGAACGGCCGTTTCCCGACTGTTTGCTGCTTAGACACCTTTACCGTGTCAGTTATATCGACATCGAAACAAGAGAAACGTGACAGTTTTGAGATCCAGTAAACTATTCTTTGCAGTTGTGCACATATTATCTTATAGGTATACGTAAGCTCACGTGACAGGCCCATTAACGATCTCTATCAATCTGACTAATTGTCAGCATCTTCTAGGACATGCTTCATCTCACACAAGAACATATAGACCATCTCAACAAGACGCTAGTGGAACTTTCAGCTCCGGAGATTTTGGCCTGGGCGGCCGTCACTTTTCCCCGATTTGTACCAGACCACTGCCTTTGGTCTCACAGGTTTGGTGATTATGGACATGATCTCCAAGCAGAAGCCCGTTGACTTGATTTTCATCGACACTTTGCACCATTTCCCGCAAACCTATGACCTTGTGGACAAGATCAAGGCCAAATACAACCCCAAATTGCATGTGTACAAACCAAAGGACACCGAAACAGAAGCGGAATTCACGAAAAAGCATGGCGACTCGTTATGGGAAAAAAACGACGAGCTCTACGATTTCCTTGTTAAGGTCGAACCTGCGCAGCGGGCCTATAAAGAGCTTGGCGTGAAGGCTGTTCTTACGGGCCGCAGAAAAAGCCAGGGCGGAGCCCGGGCCGCTTTGCCTGTGGTGGAGGTCGAACAGTCCAGTGGCATCATCAAAATCAACCCATTGTGGGATTGGGACTTTGCCCAGGTTAAGCAGTACATTACCGAGCACAATGTGCCTTATAATGAGTTGTTGGATTTGGGTTACAAGTCTGTTGGCGATTGGCACTCGACGGTTCCTGTTGCGGAAGGCGAAGACGAGAGAGCAGGAAGATGGAAGGGCCAGGCAAAAACAGAGTGTGGAATTCACGAAACATCCAAGTTTGCGCAGTATTTGGCCAGCCTGGGCGCCTAGGGCGGAGGAGACATGTATATTTATTCGAAGTAGAATCTAAACGTGGTTTGTCTGGGTGTAGTGAAAAAAGCCTTCAAGGTGCGGCGGTCGGGTCAAGAATGGCTAGAACTCCTGTAAGTTCTGAATATTCATCAAGGGTCATTCTATCTCACTTTGAGATTTCCTTCCCTTCGTACTGCTGCATCATTGCAATCTAATGAATGCGGGTATCATCCCAATTCATGCCCACAAATCGGGCACCGGTATATCATGTTTATAGTTCAGTCGAGATAAGTGGTCTAGCCCAAAACTTTTAACCTAAATATTCGTTGTTCAAAAGACGCTTGATGACTTTCCTTTGATGATGTACATTGCAAAAATCTGGTCGAGATATTCTACTGTTGTATACCTCTCTTTGTAGTTTTCAGCAAATATAAGGTGCTTTGTAGTAAACGTGGTTGAGCACCAGCAATGTTCGAGCTCGATACCCTGTCTTAATATCTACTCGCTAAACTACAGTCCGTGGCCATAAGCTCCATTATTTGACCAAAGTTTGTACGCTGGAAAGATGTGGATGTATGACTCAAACTAGCAACCACATCCGACTCCCGGCTAGCACAATCGTCATAAAGGAATCAAAACTTACCAGATCTCGGATGATTTTTATGTACGAAACCGGTGTGTAGCGCTGCTGATTTCCATTCTATGAGCGGAATTCTTATCGTTCTGTTAGGCAAATGAGTTGTGTATATGTCGAAATTACAAATTGAATTTGTGAGCAGATACTGCAAATTACCGCTTCTGACTACTGTACGGAAGATAGACGTGATAGCAAAGTTGGCGTATTATTTGCGCTTGAACACCCTTTTCTTTTGACACAAGGTACTCGTGTTAGAGTAAGCTTGAAAGATAAAAGGAGCGCAAATATCATTAGCAAGACTAATAGAAGATGAAAACCCTAAATATAAACAGATCTACTCATTATACCGTCTCTCGAAATTTGCAATCAAGTAGTTCTGATGCTCGCCCAATAGGGAAATGGCTGATTGCGCTTAAATGCGCTTGTATCTCCAGGTTTCGCGCACAAAAAAGCGGAATTGCGCGCCCAAAACGGAAAATCGCGGAATTGCCAATCTCTAGATATAGCGTTCCAAATCTACCTTGTCTTCTGGCTATACAGAAAATGCTTCAAGATGCAGCAATCGTTACCGCACGGTATGTCTTGGAAAACAAGAATGCTTTCCTAGGCGCAATTATCTTATCGTTGGCTTTGTTCAAGCTTGTCATCTATCCGTTCTACTTATCTCCACTCAAAGATATTCCAGGACCCTACTGGCACCGTGTTTCCCACCTTCCAGCTTTGGAGGGCCAAAGAAGACACGTATGGATCAAAAAAGTGCATGACTTGCATGCCCAGTACGGGAAAGTGGTCCTTCTCTCACCCACAGCTGTGTCCTTCAACGAGGACCCAAAGTATGTCCACGATATATATGTGAAGAACATGCCCAAGGCTCAGTTCTATGCCAACTTCACTAATCATGGGCCCAGACCAAACATGTTTGCCAGTTTGGACAACAAGGCACATCTCCGGTTCCGGCGTATGATCCAGAACCTCTATTCCAAATCAGCCATCTTTAATCCCAAGAATTCAACCAGAAACAGTGTGGTGGAGAAAGTGGGCCAGTTGGTTCTGCAAGTAACACGGTCTTCTGTTCTGGGAAAAGAACCTGACTACATCAACGCTCGTCTGGCTCTGAATCATAATGGAAAGGGCTATGCATTGGGCAGTTTGGACTGGTTCAACAAAAAGGGCAAATCTTCGAACTTGGGAATCGACGTTCACTCACTTTTCGGTGCTTTTGCTATGGACAATATCAGTGCTTTTGAGTTGGGTCCCGAAAACGGAACGAAAATGTTGTTGAACCCGGAAGACCGCTACTATCTCATACCATTCCGTTTGATTGTCGATATGACATTCTGGACCACTTTAATGCCACGCTTCTGGGATATAGCTGCTGGTCCAGTTATTCGCAAAGCATCTCGGCTCATCGAAAAATGGCAATTGGACTTGTATGCTAAAGCAGAGGAGAATGTGCCCCAACGGGCTCCAGGACAAAACTTGTCTACGTTGGAAACTTTGAAAAAGCACGGTCTCCAAGGAAAAAATGCCTACTCTTCGCTCACAGATAACATTTTTGCCGGCCACGAAACTACAGCAATACAGTTAACATACACGTGTTACGAGCTCTCAAGGCCGGCCAATAAGCATAGACAAGAGCAGCTTCAGAAAGAACTTCGTGAGCATTTCGGTTCCCCCAACGGAGATTCTGAAGTCATTGACGACTTGGAAGCGGTGGACCGGCTTCCTTACATGGAAGCTTTGATGCAAGAGACTTCTCGCTTGCATGCGGCAATTCCAGGGGCAGAACCTCGAGTGACAGACAAAAATTATGAGGTTGTTGTCGGAGAAAAGAAGGTTTCATTGCCGGTGGGAACGGAAGTTTCCATGCAGCCATATCTGATGCACCGGGTGACTTCTGTCTTCCCCGATCCGGAACTTTATCTTCCAGAAAGATGGTTACAGGAGCCAGGCGAATCTGAAGACGATTATGCTGCGAGAATGACAAACATGCAGCGTTACATGATGGGCTTTGGCAAAGGTGTACGCATGTGTTTGGGGATGAACTTGGCTCGAATTGAAATGAAAATGGCCTTGGCAAACTTGTATTGGCGCTACAGCTCGGACATTTGCCGTGATTGGTGTACGGTGAACGAAGAATCAGAGAAAGCCACGGCTTTGAATGGTGCAAAGGCTGGGCTTCCTGTGGGATTGCATCTGGCAGTTTCGCCAGCCGACAGTGACGAAAAAATGATGCTGATGTTTGATGCTTACACAACGCGGCCTTTGCACGATGAGTGTTGGTTGGAGTGGCTGGTTTATTAGGAGAATTTGTATTTGTATTGCAATACATTCGCCATTTCATGCAGTGAGAATATACACGGTTCATTTTTGACCACCATGCAATCACACACAAGAGAGTACTATAAAGACTATCAACAAGAATGTCTTCGTGTCGAGAATACTTCTCATGGTGTTTGGATGGTAGGAAAGCTTACAAGTGGAGATATGTGGCAATATTGTCGCAACTTTAGCATTGGGCTTTCATCTTTAAGTAGATCAAAACTAAACTCTTTCAGTTGAAAGTCCTGTTGTCTAGAAGCAGGCCTGTCCGTCTCAAAGGGTAGATATACCCCCTCTTCCTTTTTCAATTTACTTTTTCTGGCGTTCACGATTGAAGTAAATAATATATTCACCACATTATGGTAAGTAACAGACACACAAAAATGGAAAAACAAATTACAAGAATCCTCTTGAAGCAAGATCATCAAAAGATTTTTGACTGTTGAGACCACTTAGCCACAACTTGAGTTTATATAGTTATAATGTGCGTTCTGGGACTTCAAGGTCAGAAAAAGGCGAATTCTATCATTGGGCAATTACTGGCGATTGAAGACGGTTAGTCAACTCAAGGATGGATTTGGACTTTTGAGGGATAAATCTCTAGTCTGATGTCTTCAAAAAGACTACTCCATTCAAAAGGGAAAGAATGAACGACTAAATTCCCAAATTGTTGACGCAAGAAAGTGAACGACCATTTACGAAACGAGTAAAAGTGTTGGATTTACCTAACACACGTAGCTCCATTATAAGGTGCTCAAAGGATGTTGGATATTACCGTAAACATCATCAGTTGTTCGATTTACATCTAAAGACCCTACTTGAGATATTCAATATTTCCCGAGGACAATAGAAAGGAGCTATACTGTGAACTAACTATGATCTGTATCCTCTTGAAAACTGGCTGGGGCTTGAACAGCTGAAACTAGTCGAATACACATACGGCATTTTTGGTTCATAATGAGCTTTATGAGTGTTCAGTCGTCCAATAGGTGCACAAGTCCGAAACAGAGTATACGTATCATGTGCTAAGTGTGGCAGATATTTTCTCATTCGGAACAAGTGTCATTCGATGCATCAAAAGCCGATTCATGCTACGTCGGATAATTTCCCACTCAAACTACGTCGTTGCCATCTCCTACTAGAGAAAGATCTCCAGACTCTTAGTGTTTGTCTTCTCTGCACATGTACAATCCTTCTCCTCTCCTGTCATTCCAGTTGTGGCCCATTGCATACACACTTCACATGATAATGCGCATGCTATAATGAACGGAGGCATTATTCAATTCGGGCCATCTAGTCCGGCCTCGCTCTATATATATCGCCTTCCATCATTGGTGTTTTGTATGCTTTTTCTTTTGTACCTTTTCACTTGTACCTTCTTTCTTTATCGCCGTTCCAAAAATGGCCCTGGTGTGCATCGGAATGAGTGACTTATACGAAGGCCCAAAATCCGGGGTCACCTGTCCGTATAGACACACATTCTTAAACTTGAGCACATTGGTCTGAGCTCAAATAGCCCGAATCTTTTTTGAAGACGCCGGCCCTGCTAGTGTCTCGACACTCCCATTCAGCCCAAAAAAGACCTTACGCCAATGATCCAGAATGAGCCGCTCTAGCCGAAAATCGGGCGGCACGTGCAGGATACGGTTGCTTCTACATATGGGTGCGTAGGCCCATATATGTATCGGTTGCCTTCAGGCAAAAAGTGTAGAAACGTGCAGAGATTTTTTTTTCTTGCTAGCTTTTTTGCTTCTTCCCCGACTTCTTTTGTTTTTTCTTTCATGCTTCCCTTTGCCATTCCTTATCCGCCTGAACAGGCCAATGGGTTTTGGGGCGTCCCCACTTCAACTATCGACTGGTGCGAAGAAAACTATGTGGTTTCCCCATACATTGCTGAGCTGTTAAACACCGTCACCAATGCGGGATTTATAGCATTGGCGTCTTTTGCCATCTACAACGCCCACAAAAACAAGGTGGAGTTCCGCTTTGTGCTTCTGGCGTTTGGCTTTTTGCTTGTGGGAATCGGCTCCTGGTGGTTCCACATGACTCTCCGGTACGAGTACCAGCTTTTGGACGAGCTCCCGATGATTTACGCCACGTGTATTCCCTTCTGGAGCGTCTTCTCTGAGTTCAGGTCTACTCGGAGCTCCTGGGCTGTTGGTGTGGGCATTTTCACCGCAGCCAATATTCTCACGGCCGTGTATTTGCACTTTAAAGACCCAACTATCCACCAGGCAGGATATGCTTTGCTCAATGTGGGGATCATCATTGAAAGCATCCGGTTGACTCAGAAACACATCCACGATGCGGCTGAGGCCCGCAAGATGAACCGCACCATGATTTTTGGCGTGTCTATCTTCTTGCTTGGTTACTTTTTGTGGAACTTGGATATCCACCTTTGCGAACTGGCCAGATCCAAGCGCAGAGAGTGGGGAATGCCTTATGGCTTTGTTTTGGAGGGTCACGGCTGGTGGCATTTGTTCACCGGTATCGGTGTCTACTTCTACTTGGTGTATGTAGAGTACTTGCACTGCTGGTTGGCTGGCACTAACAGCTTCTATCTGTTAGACTACAAATTCGGCTTGCCCTTGATATCTTTGCAAGATCCCGAAGGCTTGGCTGCGCACAGAAAGGCTCTTTCCACGAAAAAGCTCGAATAAGCGTTCCAAGTGTATTTGCATTCTGCCACCTGTCCATAGAATTTTAACAGCATTGCCAATAACTATTGTATTTCTTTATTTATCGTTACCTTGGCCTTCTAATTGCCAATTTCCAAAGCCTTTCTCTGTTCTTTCTCGATCGCTTCCTCAAAGCATCTCGAGCACTTCTTGAACGAACTTGTCGTTCTTTTCCTCTCCCGAGTTGACAATCTTTTGAAGCGAAGCAATTGCTTCGGCTGATGTCACTTTGCATCCTTGGGTTTCTGGATCGATACATTCTTTCCTCCACGCTACCAAGAGATCCTTCAATTTCTCCACACCAACACTAATTTCTTCATTAGTACACTTGGTCCGTTTGCTATTGACATACGGATCAGTATCTCCGCCAACATTAATGTGTTGAAGCTCAGAAGCTTTCCTCTTGGCCATATTGACAATCTTGGTTGGAAATTTTACCAATTCTGCAACGTGGATTCCAAATGACTTATCCGAGATACCAGGCTCCACACGATACATCAAAGTGATATCGTCTTCCTTTTCTGCTTCGCTATCATTCTTCTCTATGTGGGCCACAACATGTAGATTTTGCACTTTGCCCTCGTGCTTTTCTGACAATTTGGTGAGTTCATGGAAGTGGGTAGCAAAGAGAGTAAAACACTGCTTCTGTGTAATTAAATGCTCACTAATGGCCCACGCCAAACCAAAACCATCGTATGTACTTGTTCCTCTACCCAATTCATCAATGATAATCAACGAGTTGATAGTTGCGGTGGCCAAGATTGAAGATGTTTCCAACATTTCGATCATGAATGTGGAAAGCCCTTTCAACTGAGAATCACCAGCTCCAACACGGGACAAAATAGCATCAAATATAGGCAACTCGGGAACATTTTCGTCCAGCGCTGGAATGTAGGAACCGACCTGGCTCATCAACGCAATAACACCCACCTGTCTAATGTAAGTAGACTTACCACCCATATTTGGACCCGTGATGATTGCAAAGGAACTTCCGCCTGTGTTAGCAAGTTCAACATCATTTGCAATGAAATTGACGTCGTCTTGTACTTCGAGAACTGGATGTCTGGCGTCAGAAAGTTTAACACGTCTTTGAGCGAATTCTGGAGAGTCTACACTCGAAGCAAGCCCATGCAATTTCGGCTTAACAAATGATGTAGGCGCAAAAATAGCCACGTTTGCAAAAGCAGAAAGCACATCAATGTTACTCAAGACCAAAGATAAACGTAAAAACACTGTTTGATACGTCAAAGTAATGGACAAGATTTCCTTGATCAATTCTCTCTGCTTGGCGTTGTATTCAGCAAAGTAGTCAAGATATTGTTGCGACAAGGTTCGCAATCTCTTTGTGGTGAAGAAAACTCCGGCTTTGACTGTTTGTAACTCGATGTATTTATCACCAGTGTTTCTCAAGATAGCCGAATCAATTCTGGTGACACGGAAGCACCAACCGTGTTGTTGGTGTTTTTCCAACTTCAACTTCTTTTCTGTGTCAATGTTCAAATCCTCGCCTACTTCTTCATGTGTTTGCTTGATTTTCTTCGATGTAGCTTGCAAATTATCGTTAATTGCGATAAGAGACTCGTCGAATTCGGGTTTGATATTGAACTCAGCATTGAGAAGATCGTGCGCCGACAGTGAATCCAAAGGAGACAAATCTATGGTTGTTTCCACCAATTCCTGAAACTTGAGTAAAGCCTGGTGGTTTTTGGAGATAGGCTCTAACCACAGTTCTTTGCACAACTTTTTAACAGATTCGTCAGTACAGTCATCAATTGACATTTGAAGCATATTGAGTAGGTTGGGCAAAGATGTAATAAGCTGGTATAATCTGACAACTTCTTCCAACTTTTTGTTTTCGGACGCTGCTGGTTTCTTTAATCCCGTTGCCATTTTCTTGAGCAATCTTTTGACATCGGGAACTTGTGGAAGCCATTCTTGAGAAACGAAAACGCGCAAGTTTGTGTCGTTGATCATGTGGCCCACTAACGAATGCCTGTTTTCGATAGCCTCGGCATCTGTTAAAGGTTGTTTGAGCCACTGGGAGAGCAAACGTGTGCCTGCTGCAGTCTTGCACTTATTCAATAGATCGAAAATTGAAGAAACTGCGCTGGAATTACTGAGACCGCCTGCTTGTTGCTGAGGGAAAATGTTGAGCGCTCTCAATGTCAGTGAGTCTAATTTCATGAAAGAGGCAAGATTGTACTTGTCGATAGAAAATGAAGGAGAATCGTCGTCGCTCAAAAGGCCAAGGTACTGGACGAGAGCATTGCAACAGGCAAACGACAAGGAGTGTTCTGCCGAATCGATTCCCTTGGACGCCAAGATAAGCTCAATATTGTTGGCAGCCTCTGTATCGATATTTTGGGCCGTAATAATCTTGCCAAGATCTTGGTCGAGGTTGGCAGCAGAAAACAAGGACAGTTTCACTGAGCCAACAACTATGGAGCCGATTTTGTTGAGAACCTGGAAAAGTTTAATCACGTCGCCAGAAGAGGCGTCGGTTGGGTCTGGGTTATACGTAGAAGGCAAAACGACCTCCTTGACATTGACCTGCAATAGCAACAGCTCCAAGTTGGAAAACAAGTCGTTGTCGTCAAACTCGCTCACATACAACGCCTTGTTCAGCAAATCCACAAGACACACGCCGACTTTTTTCGCCAGGCCCGACGCAGAAAACTTCACGGCAGCCACCATTGGCGTCAGCCCGTCTCTGAGCATCGCCTCCAAGTCCACGCCGTACTCCTCGGCCAAGCCCTCCAAATTTCCTGGCGTTGCCGTCACCAAGAGTTGTAATGGCTTATTGTACACCTCCACTTTGTAACTATTCTCCACCAAGCAGTGGCGCACCACTGATGCGAAAACCTGGGGCGATATGGTCACGTAGACCGTTCCAGATGCTTTTTTGAGCACCAGTTGGGTCTTGTAGATGGATTCAGCAATCATTTCGGCGTCTTCGCCAAACGCGGAGAAATACTCCTTATGGTCCACGAGACGGACCACCTGGGCCAGTTCTTTCGCGGGTAATTGTGTAAATTTGCGGTAGAACAGCCGTTCGTCCACGGCATCGGAAAATTTTAGGTCTGGTCTTGTGCTAGACATAAGTAGGACGCGTCTATAGATAATGATTCTTGTGATGGAACTTAGCGTGTCACGGGATGTGCAGGAACAGTACTTGTACAGTTTTGCACAACTTGATCTGTTTAGTTAGGCAGTAAAAATCGTCTTCATGTTATCATCTGATTTTATAGTGAGGGGCTGGATGAGATGCTTTGGAATTACGAGGACGGCGGGAGACTAAACTTGTCCAGTCTGTAAATCAAAGACTGGTTCGAAGTATGGCTTTTGTGCAATTGACGCTTTGATGCAAGAAGCGCTGTATTGAACTGGGCTGTTTATTCGTAATGTAGAAACGGATGTTGATTTGACTGTAACATCTGTTTTGTCTATGTGTTCTATCGGGAAAAATCAACCATTACTCAAAGTGCGGAATATATTTCATAATTCCAAACTCTGGTTTACTATTTGCTTCACCACAAACGGCATGATGGTTTGTATTTGTTTTATTTCGAAATGGTTGGTTTCTTTAATACTTTTAAAGAGGAAAAGCCATGGCAGTTCTACATTTCAAGTACATTTAAAGTTTCCGCATGTTGTTGAGAATATTCACATGGAGATATATTTCTACTTACTAATGTAATGAGCAACAAACATCGTTAGGTTTTAGCATACCGGTGATTAGTGGCTTTCTACAAAAAATAGGCAATTCCAATATTCAGTCAATTCCGTTATTTAGTTATATCTTCTGTAGTCGAAAGGAGGCTCGGTGTCAGGGTGCCATTGGTCTTCGTTACCGTAGTGTTGGTCGTAGCCGTCAAAAGCCATCTGCTCTGCTTGTCTTTTAGCCTTTTCCTTGTCCATGTAGTCCAAGCCCTTTGTCTCGAACATCTTGTCAACTTCACCTCCAACGAATCCGGCAATAAGCTCTTTGGCAAACGCATGGCTCACGGGCTTGCCTTCACGTCTTTGTCTGTCTTCGAAAAGCTTCACTGCGCCAAAAGAAGCAGCACCAGCCACGAGCTCGTGGGAAAACTTTCCCTCGTGTTCTTCGCCATAAACAGCGTTGTAAGATTCTTCGTGTTCACCAAAGCCAAACATGGAAACTTAACGATGGGGAAGTTGGGGAAAACCACCCATTATATAGTTTCCGCAGCATCATGCATGTTTGCATTTCGCCACATCAATACAAAATTTCTAGACCCGGCGTTTCATCAGCCGAAATTATAGCCGCGTGCATTTGCAGAGGAAACATGCCCGAATTGGCATTACCTGCCTGCTCTCATAGGAGTGCCTTCATGTGCTTTAATTACGAGCTTGTGCAGGGACATGCATCGTTGCACTTCAATCTGTCCCATTCCAATCTGTCCCATTTTCCATTCTTCGGCAGTATCAATTAGGGCATTGAATCACCGCTGGAAATCAATTGAATCTCCCTTTAAAACATTCGCACATAAACCTACGAGAAAACTCTGGAAAACACCCAAACTCAATATATCCTGAATAGAGAATCCAATCCACGACTTCTCAACATTCCGGTTATGTGCGCTGTCCCGTGTCAAACCTGTCACCATTCCATGTGGCTGAGTTGCATCTTTTTGTGATCGATCACAAGAGTTGATCAAAAATAGATAATCTTAAACTTCTATTTTTGGAATGCTTTTCAGAGTATTGCACTGTGCTACACATATGATGGAAACCGGTTTCTGTTTTGATGCAAGGCTTCCAGAACATTACTAGTATTTCAACGTCGTCGCCTCTAGCCAGTGGGATGTAAACAAATGCTGAAAGCCGTTCAGATCCAAGTGTAAACAATCGCAGGAGCATGAGAGTCCTGCTACGTTTCCTCATCTTCCATGTACAACTATACAAATTAAACATTTAAAACTCTCACAGACTCCTGGTCCATTTGCAAGGATAAGAGATCACTAGTCTCCCTGCCTAAAGGCAGATGTGAGGTCTGCCAGAAAGATTCTCTCTGCTTGGTACTTTCTGCATACAAATTCTATTGTCATACGCCGTCGGGCGAGCCTTATCTGCATTGGTAGCAATTTGTAAGCAAGCTCGGATTTTCTGTAAGCGTTGAAAGCTTGCTTAAGACTGTACAAACTTTTTCTTAAGTGATGGTGTTAGACCTTGTATAAGACTGTGTGCTAGACCTTGTATAAGACTTTGTATAAGACTTGTGCAAGTGCTCATATAAGCATCTTGATATTCTGACTTTGAGAAAAAATGCGCTATTCGAAAAACGCTTATATCCATTTCTGAATTTGGCCTTCTCTACGTCGAACTCTAGGAATTTCTATAGTATTGACGGATTTTTGAATCTTTGTATTTAATCAAAACGAACCAATTTAGTGTCGTCTACTGCACAGGGGCGCACCACCATCAGAAAAAAAAAATCGAGACTTTGGTTAAACTGAACGCCATGTACTACGAACTATTTGCTATTGCCCGTATTTCGGACCCGGTTTTGGCCAGCAAAGAAGCAAGCAAAATCGCTTCCACTGTTGGGAAATTAATCTTGAACAACAGAGGTGTCATCAGAGAAATCACCAGTTTGGGCCCAAAGCCACTTCCAAAAATCATGTCCAAAGAACAAGAAAGACATTTCCAGGGCTACCATTTTATGATGGGTTTTGACTCTTCTTCTGCTGTGCAGCAAGAGTTGTTGAGAACGTTAAGAAGAGACCCCAGAATCTTGAGATCCAGCATCATCAAGAACGAAATGAAGGGCAACTTGAATGTGGGCACTACTTACCAAAGAGTGTTCGAGAAGGTGTCAAACTAAGGCGAAGGATCGATTAGGAATGTGAAGGAAGCTACAAACGAAAACGAAAGAGGATATATCATATACCGAGCTAGGACTCACAATGTACATAGCATCACGATAGACGTCGCATTTATGTAGTATACACGGCCAATATTAAAGTGCTCCTGGCCAAAGAGCGGTGCGACAATGTAAAAGGCTACGTGCTTCTTTTAGGCTTTGAGCTGCTCGAGCTCAGGGGAAGAAGCAAGTCGTTCAACGAGGTGCTGGACGTACGCAGGCTAGGATGCGTTTCTTCGTCAAAACGCTCAGCATCAAAAACCGAATTGGACGCGCTGCTGTCGGTTTCCTCAGCCACATCCTCAGCTATGGTCGGAAACGGCGCGGCCACGCTTTCCCGTGAACGGTTTATAGTAGACATTTCGAAATTCTCGAGCGCTGGCGCGTGGTAAAAGGGATGCAGCATACCTTCTTCCATGTCTCCGTGTAATGGCACGAAACTCTGCAATGGGTCGTTGGCGTTGATGTCAAGAAGCTCCACGGTGGTGTACAGCCAGCGACAGAACTTGGTGGGGTCCACCACTGGCAACTGCGTGTACTTGACATAGTTGAAAACGAGCACAGATAAAGCGGCACCGAAGATCAAGTCGATAAAATAATGGTGCGTCAAATACATGGTGCTCCACCACAAAAGACAGGCGTAGCCCCACCAAACATAGGTGAAACGAGGGAAGAGCCAGCACAAAAAGAGCACATCCATGACTGCGCAGCCCGAATGGAGCGAGGGGAACGCGCCGAAAACCAATGGTGAGTTCATGAAAGTAGTGGTGTACATGTCGACACCGAAAAGCTCGTCAATGCGGCCCAAGCCACCAGGAGACCCGTTCATGGAATAGTTTGCAGGTTCTAGGCCGTGCAAGTTCTTGTACCACGGAGCAGCTGAGGGGAAACAAAGCTGGATCAACACACCAACCACATTCATGTAGCCAAAGGCGAAGCCAAACGAGCGCAAAGAAGTGGGCGGAGCAAAAAGGAAAATGAAGAGCGCAACTACAAATGGCGACAGAAAGTGGATGATACCGTAGGGCAACCACGCCAAGATATCTAGCACCCAGTTGTTGGTGGCTGCCAAAACATTCGACAAGTTGTCTCCGTACAAGATAGTTTCCATGGCAGGAAGAAACTTGACGCTAATGACAGGCTTCCAGTCCACAGGGATTTTGCTGGCAGAGAAGAAAAGCGCCAACCATGTGAAAATGGGCAACGCTGACACGAAAAACTGGGACGTCAAGGGCAATAAGAAACAAAAGCCGAAAGCCGCCAAGATGGGCGTTTTGAGCAAAAAAGACGCGGGGAAAATGATATAAACAAACAAGATCAACAGCGTGAGGAAAGTGTAGTGCACTATTTCGCCCGGCGTAAACTCATGGGAACGTAGTTTCTGGATGGACTTGCGGATATCAGTATCGAAATCAAGATCCGCCAAAGTGCATCCTGCTTCTTTCTCCAGCAAAAAATAATTGTGGAATTGCTTGTAAGCAACGCGGAAAGGCTTGAACCTTAGGACCGTTGACATTGGAATGAGGGAAATATAGCAGAGTAATGGATTCTGCTGGAAAAGACGGCCTTTCAGCGTTGGGGCTGAAGCAACATAAAATAAAAGGATAGAAAAAGGAATGGGCCGTGACGATGCAGCGCACGTGACCTCAAATGCGCGCAAATGGGCCGGAACAGAAACGCATCCTTTCCATGCTAAGAAATAGGGGCGCAAGTGAATGATCTTGCAACGACCAAGTTTTCATGGTTTGGGGAAGAAGGGGCTGTGTTCAACTTTCAGGCTTGCCTCTTTTTGTTTTTTTGAAACGTTTGTGACGTTTGTGACTTTTGTTATCGGTATGCGGTATTAATATTCTATGCATTATGTTCCGAATGTCATGTATGGTCAGCGCATTTTACATTTTTTCCCGTATGCGTCACTAAAGATGCAAAGTGAGACAGAGGCAGAAAAGTCCAAATCGACAATGATTGGCAAGAAAAGCGCTTTGGCATTTTTCTTATACTACAAAGCTCCATATATGAGTCTTTCAAGCCAACATCATTGTGCTTTGGCACCTTGGGATTGAAATCACACATTTGCGGGGTACAGGAATAGGAGAGAAAAAGAAATCACCATCGAAGATGCACCGTGGCATATTCTCTATTTAAGACACAGAGGAACCAGGTCCTAAGGCCGACGGATGAGCACTTTTGTTTGCTATTACAAAGAAACGGAGTAAGTTCATGTGCTTGAGGGGTTGCATTTACCCCAAGAATGAAGTGCACATAACCACACTTCATTAGCGTGGAGAAAGTGGACTCGGTTGTCCGTTTTGATTACAGTAATAACATAGCGCTTCTTGTATATTGGTATGACTTCTTGAAGACTTATGTTTAAATGAGTTTTTGTCCCTATTCAGTATTTGAGTGGAAATACAACCAACCATGCATGATTGTGAATAAGTCTTTAGCACAGCACTAATCTCGAAATGCAGTACTACAGTGTACCCATCACCACTATACTTGTTTCCACTGTGATTAGATCAGTTACAAGGGACATGAGTGTGAGACAAACAAATTTTCATATAGCGATGCCTGTGGCCAGAAACATTATTCGCACATTATTAGCAGAACCAAGAGTATCAATACGATTTCTCTCATAGAAAACTAGACTAAAGACTGCATTGGTAATCATGTAAAAGACCTCTGGGGATCTCACTAGACACAACTTCAAACTAAGTTCAACAAGGATACTACGCAACGTAAACCACACGTTCTAATTTTCTAAACAGAATAAATGTTAGTTTGAACATTGATTTCGCCGGATGGTGTCATCTTCTGCTCGCCTGCCCACTTCTTTCCCTTGGCAAGCTTGACAAATGAGCTCACATGGCCAGGCTCAATACACAACATGTTCAAGTATCCTTTCTTTGGCTGGAAGTCGGCCATGCCTTCCGATTTTTTGATCCATGGGTTCCACACAACGGCATCAGGCAAGTTGTCTCTTTCCAAGGTCAATAAGACTTTTCCCTTGTCCACAATCTGGATGACCTTGTGCAGATCCACCTGCTTGTATATTCTATCGAATTCCTCGTGGAACTGAAGCATTGGTGCCTTTTCAGTATAAGTTTCGCCAAGCAACTGGTCGTAGCAAGTAGAATCCATCAAGTTGGTCACCAAGGAGTCTGTCACATCTTGGACTCTGTAGTAAGTGTGGAACAACCAATTGAACTCGAAGTCGTTTTTTCCAGTGTTTTCCACCTCAATCTTGGTGCTGAGATTGTCCTCCGACAAAGTCACAGTCAAAATAAGTGTGAAGTCATTTTTGCCGTCAGCCCAAAGCTTGTACAATTCCGGGTCCACATTCTCTGGCCCCAAGCCAAATTGAACTGCAACGGGGCTTTCGCTGACTTGACCCAAAAATTCCCAAGTGGAGTTTCTTGCAAAGCCGTGCTGGGGCAATTTCGCGGTAGGGTGGCTAGGATCGGTTTGCTTGCCGAAAATAGGGAAGACGAGAGGAATACCACCTCTGACTGGCTTGGAACCGTCCAATTTGGCGCCTTCCGAAAGCCAAAGTTGCTCTACTCCATTCTCCTTCCATGAGATGACCGTGGCACCGTACTTGAGGATTTTCACGGTTGTTTTGTCATTGTTGGGATGTGTCAAGATCACTTGGGTGTCAGTTTCTTCAACAGCCATTTTTGTTGCTATCAGTGGATGATAAATGGGGGTTCAATGCAAAACGGTATTAGAGAGGCACGGGTGCCACTTCAACAAATTCGGAGTCCGTGTCCGCGTTTCTATTATTGTCCAGACTGTACGTATTACTAACTTAAAGCTGGCGTTAACAAAATGTGAAGATCATTTTTTAGAAAGGGTATTGGACAATTGTGTTTTCCTAGCCGTTTTAATCGAGAGATCAATGCTGTTTTGAGTCAATGCTTTTGCTTTTTTAACCCACAGGCGAGTACATTGGAGGCAAAGGTACCCTATGTCTCATTAGTAGGGCTTCTGGGTCGGCAAAAATAAATAAAACATTAAGAAAGAAAAGACCAAAGCTGACTGAATTAAAAGCCCAACAAATATAGCTTACAAACTAATGTAGATTTTTAGAAAAGTTCTCATTCATTATGGAACCTCACGAAATTAAATCAAGATATTAGCAATACGAGATTGAGAAGACTACATTGAGCCATTAATTAGTATTATTATTCCTAGATTCTTTCACATCATTATTTAAGCCCACACTTGCATCTGGTCGAAAAAGTCGACCCGTTTTTCTGTCTTGCCAATTTGGCGTACCACCTCTTTTCTCATGTCGTCTGACAAAGAAGCGGGGCCGCTGACAACAAATGCGATAGAGCCCTGGGCTTCTTCAGTTTCTTCTTCAACCATTTTTTGTAAGTTTGGTCTTGTTTCTTTGAAGTCGACACTAGGGAATTTGCCTTGCATCATGGACGAGTTGCTTTCTCTCGTGCTCTCAAAGGCACTCTTCTTTTCTTCGCTCTCTTCTACTTCAGAATGCTCCACTTGAGTTGCCTTAGTCACGTAGACTGTGCTTTGAATTGGCATAGCTTCAAGCGCTTGAAGTTCCTCTTCAAAGCCGGTCAACGATTCGTAACTTGGAACCACCCACATCAACTTGATAGAACGGGAGCTGTCGGAAGAAAATTTGGCCAATGACATAGCCTTAGAGTATGCACCGGCAATAGCAGAGCCTCCAGCAACCAAAACTGTAGAGTTGTGGTGGATCGCAGAAGCGAAACCGTAAGGACCGCACGAATGGACAACTTCTGGTCTGGGGCAGCTTCAACACGTTTGGCAAGAGATCTAGTAATGCCCCCATGAACCTTGCATTTCATGACAATGGTCAGTTCCTTAGCGACAGATTCGTAGATCATAAAAGGGTGGTTCTGCCAGAAGCTCATACCTTCTAAGAAGTGGATGTAGGCATGGCCACCTGCAAAGACAGGCCAGGATTTTGGCCTTGCAACCTCTATCTTCAACGTGTTGTCAGGAAGGTAGGACACCTCAGCAGTAGGGAAACCGAACCATGCGATTCTGCAAGCTCTGACAAAGTAGTCAAAGGCCCACACAGCAAAGTTTGGATAGATAATTTGCTTAATGCCGTATTGCTTGGTATGGTACCACATACCAACAATCCAGAAGACACCACACAAGATCTTGACAATTTTGTAGGTCTCGTAGTGGTTTCTTCTGAAGAACAAAAGGCTGTCAAAGCACATCAAAAAGCCACAGATGACAGCGACAATGCCCCAAGCCATGAAAGATTTCTTGATTTGCTCAGAGTAAATGTTGTTTTTCTTGTAAATCCAAGTGTAGCAAAGCATATGCACAAAGGCCAAGAGGGTGATTACCCTAACGAGCCAGCGGTGGAATGTAAGGAAGGTAGAGTATTTCCATCTGGTGACCCAGAGCAAGACATTGTTCCTGATAGCCATCAAAAGAGCCAAAGGAGTAAGCAACATGGCAAGGAGGATTGTTCTGTCTCCAACCAAAGTGGCCACAGCAATGCCTTTCGAATTGTACACTGGATCGTGGTCAACTGTCCTGATTCCAATGATGGTCAGAATGAAGAGAAGCCAGAAGAAAACGAAAAGGACCACAGATTCGAGTCTAGAAGGCAACAAGAAGTTAAGCACAAAGAGGAAACGCTGGGCCACATTTTTCTTCTGTCCAGCCAAGGCAGGAACAGTCAAGTAACGGCGTACCAGCTTGCTCACAGGTCCGTTGAACATCATTCTCGTTTGAGGGAACAAGTAGACGCCCCAGTTGACGACAGCAGAAGCAATAACCATCAAAGCCCAGTAGGCAAGACACCCAATACCAAAGTACCAAGAGTAATCGAAGTTGCCCAAAGTCTTCTTGAAAGAGTCCTTCAACAAGAACAATTCAGGAAGAAGAATTGGAGGAATGATCAACGGGGTGGAAACGACGTCTAACAAAGTAGCAGCAGTGGCATTTTGGGCAGCAACTTGGTAGTACTTGTATGCCTGGGCAACCTCTTTAGAAGTGAAGTTGGTTTTGAAGTGGTTGTGGCAGAAGTACGAATAGTACTTGTAAGCGTCAGTGGTCAATTCACCTTCGGCCTCAAAGCAGCCTGTCATGGTTGCCATAGCATTTTTGTTGGTGCAAACACAGAAATAAGGAACATCTGCGTATGGACCTTCACAAAATGTAGCCTGGGCTTGCAAGGCTGTAGCACAGGAAAAGAAGGCAACACCACCATCACGGAAAAAGATTCTGGTGGCGCTAGCAAAAGGCGCAATCAACCAGAAAAGAAAAAGCGGAAAGAAAAGCATCACTAGTATCGTCGGAAAAAATAAAGAGATGCCCGCTGCCTCTTATACTCTGCTACAAATGCAACTTTTTGCAATATTTCTTTGACGCACGGCGTTATGAACGCGCATGACGTCTCGTTAAAACTGCATGCATAAATACCGTTGGTTCGCCGAACAACGAAATGCGCTCTTCTTAATTCATTTCACCACAAAAGATGTCTGCTCTTTTCCCTAAAGATCCTTCTATTACGGAGCTTTCAGTCTACTGCAAAATGTTGAACTGTTTCGCTTGCCCAAGCTTTGAATTTCACAGCATATAGTCTTCTTTCGTGCAATTACCAGAATCGCCCGTAAAATAAAGCCGCCATGCCTCTATACGCGCCCAAAAAGTTTTGACTACAAATTTCATGTTCGCTCCGAAAGAAGTCTTTCAAGACTATTTGCAAATGCCAGATGAGCATGCATACTGCACCTTAGTGCATATGCTTTTCTATGTTTTTTGCTTTTATGAACGGAAAAATTCCTCATACATCCCAAGCGACATATGATCCACTTTAACGATGTCAAAACCTCCAATTCGACTACCGTCTCTTTAAAAAAATCAAGTCACAATGCGAAAAAATATACAACTTTGCCAAGTTATTGATGTTGCACCTTACAGGCAAAACAATGCGGCTACGGGTGCGATGGTGCGGCGCTAAAGTGGGACCAACCCAACATTTCATGAATGAAAAAGCCAGGCACGAACACCTGACAGGATAAAAGTCATGCAATCATCGCATCTGAGTTTCTGCTTTCAGCCAGACAAGTTCAGGGGTGAATCTTTGTCGCTCCTGACGTATGAGTGAGTGCTGTTTTATGATTCGGAGTTATGCTCCGACCATAACATCATTAGACAAGAAAAAAATATTCTAGTAAAAGAAGTTTTGCACAACAACCAAACAAAATAAATCAAAGACAAGAGGAAAAACAAGCTGAAATAATAACACGGAACACATTCCCAACTAAGACTCTACGACTCTACAATAAACTTACCATGCTCGATTATACATTGAAATGACAGAAAAAGCAATGACTATTCGGCTAAGAAAACCTGTTCTTGAACCGCTGGAATCTGTTGAGCGACCTCTGACTTGCAGACCGCGCGTCTTCTAGGGTCCTATTGCTCACCAGAGAATTAAGACTCTTTTGTGACGACGATACTGTTGGCTTATCATAAAGCGAAAATGGTTTGGGAATTGTAACGTTCGACCGAAGACTGGTGCTTGAAGGTTGTTTCTGAAGTGTGTGAGAAGCAAAATGTGAACGTAGGCCGCCCAGAGGGGAAGGGGGTATCAGCATATCTTTTGTTCTGGATGCAGATTCACAAAGGGGCTTAGGAGATGACACCGTCCGTAAAGATTGCGAGGAAATGTTTTTTGCCATCAAACGTGGCTTTTGGAGAGATGCAACAGAAGTCAGCTTCTTTGGAGAAGCCACCGATGACTTTTTCAGAAGAGATGGAACAGAGGGTTTCTTCTGAAGTGTAGGGATAGAAGTTTTCTTTTGTAGCGAGGGAATAGAAGGCTTCTTTTGGAGGGTGGGGATCGATGGTTTTTTCTGAAGACTTGGGATGGAGGTTTTCTTTTGAAGAGAAGGAATAGAAGATTTTTTATGGAGCGATCCGTGCAGCATTTTGTGGAGATCAGAATTAGATTGGCCGCTTTGAAGAGGAGAGAAAGATGTGTTTCTGTAATATCCCGGCGAAACACCTGCCATTTGCAAAGAGCTCTGGCGTGATTTTGGAACTGCCGGTTTGACAAAGGCAGAATCGTCATTTAAAAGTCCATTCAAGTTCATAGAGCCCTTGGAAGGCGAAATACGGTTATTTCTTGACGGCGAAAGGCTCGACCGTGTCAGAAAGGGGGACAGCCTTCCAAACGGAACCAGGGGTGCTGGAATCTGAGAAACAGGCTCCAAATGAGGTTTCTCCGTCGTGAGAAGGCCCTGTCGGAGCAAACTTGGATCTGAAGAGTCAATGTCCATGTTCGTAGTCAGGTCTGCGTCGCGTCGGCGCACGGGCGACTCGTCATCGGCGGCCAAGTCGCCAAAGATCTCCTCCGGACCATTTAGCGTGCGCCGTTTCTTAGTTGCACTTCCTGAATATTCTTTTTGGGGCAGCGGTTCTTTCTGTGCACGTGTGGCAGCGTAGTGAGCCAGAATGGACTCCATCTTTGCAAAAAGTGGGCGGTGAACCCCCGAATAACGCTTTTTCTTTGTCGGTAGCGGTTTTGAGGCAATTCGCGTCGTGATTTCGTTTGCACGGTTGTCAAGCTCGACTAAGACTTTATTGCTTATTGTCTGTGAGTAGCCCTTTTCGACCATACTGCTGAAAATCGGATCACTGGCGGGTAGATCACTCATACTGGGGTATCTGACGGCATTTTGGGATCGAGGGCTCGTTTTTGCGAAGTTCAGAAGCGGGCTCGAAGGGCTGTTAAGCGTGAGGTTGCGGATCTTTTTAATCGGCGTGCTAAGCACCGATGGAGGCGCCTCAAGTTCCATGGTGGAAAAGAAAGGTGTAGCAGAAGAAAACGAGGGTGTTTATGTTTTCCCAAAGCGGTAAGTGTGCGTGCAGTCCGCGTGCTATCTCCATCTCAGCCTGCATGTCGACAGGAACAGGTAATTTATGTAAGAGGAGTAGACACAAGGAAAAAGGCGGAGAAAGAAGGCGAAAGGGGTCCAACAGTGAAATAATAGGAGAAAAAGGAAAGAAAATCGAATACGAGAGCATATGATCTTTTACTGGCTCACTTAGGCTGTTACAGGCTTGGGGGCAGAGACGGGTTATGTCTCAGAATCAAATTTAGGTGATGTAGAAAAAACCAAACATTTACTAGGCAGTTTCGGCAGAGGGGCCCTTTATTACAACTGAAAGAGGATCTGCTGTCATTTCTTTGCAAAGGTATCAGAGACGGACTGAGGAGTAGAAAGTGAAATGATGCGAAGGACAGATATGACCAGAAACGGACACTCAGCAAACCCACAAGATATTCAACTTTGAATCAGCTGACAACTTTTCCTAACAAACCACATAGTGATGCCAAAAAGAGCCAAGATGGTGCATGTTCCATCTTTTGCCAAACCACATACTCAGTAGTATGCAATACACCACTTGTACCTAACTACGACCAAAATTACTCAAAACGAAAGCGGATTTTGAAAGGCCTGACGGGAAAAAATCGTTTTTTTAAGTTGGACATCCCTGTGTTAATACCCGTAAAGGTTACCAAGGATCAAACAAGACGTCTGTCTCTAAGTTTGCAGTAGTTTTAGCGTTATTTGGTCGAACAATGTTTTCTCATTGAAAACTGTTTTTTTGGCGTGTTTTTATGATATTAATTCAAGCTGAGTTGAATTGCTTGACCTTTTTCGTGTGTTTGAATTCTCTCAGACTTGTTTAAAAGTCTAGCCATACGATTTGTGCAGGTTCTGCTTACTCATGGTAGAAGAAATTCAAGACTGGATGTCAGGTCCAGGAACGAAGATTTACTGATCCAATGATCCGACAATCAAATCGGATGACATGGGGCTCGGAGTTTCGAACAAAAGTGACCAAGATTTGTAAATGCATCAAAACGATCTTTATCAGATGACACTTGCACTTACGGGGAACAACCGTACATCTCTGCCAACCTTTAGATTACGACGTTTTGCTAAATCTAGAATCCCACGATACGCCGCTCGGGTTGTCATAATTCCGGACTTAAAACATACTAACCAAAAGAAAAAAAGAAAAAACGGTCATCTGACAGATGTGGTCATAGCCTCAGCCTCTCCTTCAATATACATGTTCACGTGATCGGCTTCGCCAACGCTTACCGTTCCGACTTTAAGTAGCAGACATTACTAACCCACGGACATAATTACAACTCAGTACTAAAAAACAATAGCCTACGCCGATAGTACAATCCAGTCTAACTTTGCATGTCGGCCACCTAACTCCAGAGCCTAAGACCGAGCTATCTGCTTAAGACCGGACGTGACAATATTCTTTTTAAAAGTGACCCATCACACCACGCGCAGAATTGCCTACTTGAGCGGCCGGCACAGGGCCGCTGGAAGTGTAAGTCCGGGCGTGCGCCAAACTCCGTGCTGTCGGACTTTTCTGCACACGACCCCGGTGGAGAGACATTTACGGATTGCCAGGGGGCGACTATTCCGTAGCCCGAGTCTTTGTTTTCTTGCGCGAGACAGTTTTGGAATGCCAGTTTGTTCTTCTTACCCAACTTGTTATAACACAAAAGGCTTTGCCAACAAAAAATGCCGGGTGTCCAGTGTGGCGATGACCTGACTCAAATTTCGGAGCATTTTCGGACTTGAGTCATTTGCCTACACACAACGTAGCACCCGATCCCAACCGATGCAGGGCCTCTCGGTCGAAGGGAAAATACTGCACAGTGCCCGCAACCGCGACTTGCAATGCCCATCTTACCCCTCTTGTACAATGACTCCGCTTTCGGTACCGAGGCGCAATATAGACCCATTAGCATAATATTCGGGAAACAGTCCATTTCTTGCTGGAGCAAAATCGTCAAGCTAAAATACTGCGACAAACTATCGGACCGGAGCTTGCTGTTTCTTCCCGGAAGTGGGCTAACACCCTTAAGGCCGCGAAAGCTAAAGTTTCCGGTTCCACCCGAAGTACACCGTTGTCGGATTAATCACATTGCGCTCTGCGCAGGCGTGACACCTCTGTTATCCGGATAAGCACCCGATGTTTTCCATGTCCGAGGTGGGGAGATTTGCGCGTGCCACAGCGAAGAAGGCGCCAAATGCGCGGGGCCGGGGCAGTGGCATGCGGGCAATTGGCTGCACCAGACGCCGAGCCGCATTGAAAACCTGTGCTATCCGGATACCCCAGACGCATTCTTTGCTGCAAACGACTCTTGTAAGTATATATATATATACACATGCCTCGCCCCAGGAATGTCTCACCATCACCTTTTTGGTTCTTTTATCTTGTGTTTAATCCTGTCTTCAACGTTTCAGCTCAAGCCTTCGCTGCACATATTCATTCCTGGCTACTATAAGCTATAACCTACTACATTTATTCTTCTGGCTTGACGGACTTTTTTTTCTTTTCCTCAAGAACGTTCAAATGACTCTCGCCAACGATCTTGTGTCGTACTCGATCATGATGAACGGCGATAAGGCCGTTTCCCATGTGTCTCCACACTATGCGCCTTTGAAGCCTTGGAAGCCTGCTTCCATCGTCACACTTCCACCCATTTCTGCGCATGTACTGCTCACGGAAAATAACCTCAAGCTGCTTGAGTATGCGTATCGCACGCCATCCACATTGTCGAACCCACTGGCTTCTCTGCTGGCTTCGCTGCCGCTTGCGTCGCCCCGAGCATCATCGCCGCAGATTGCGCTGCAGCACCTGACAGTACAGACAGTGCAGACAGTGCAGACAGTGCAGCTAGCGCATGTGCATAGCGCAAGCGCTTCTAAACTACAGCCAGAAAACAACGAGCGCAAGCGCCGGCAACGTCTAGGTCCATCATGCGATAACTGCCGCGCCCGCAAGGTCAAATGCGATGCCGATGTGGTGTTGCTTAGTCGCTTTTTCACAGGTGCAGAGCCAGAGTACATGCAGTTGACTGAAGAGCAACAAAATGCAGTACTGGAGGGCCGCGTTGCGCGCGGACTTGATGGCTACATGATTGTTACATCTAATAACAAGCTCGTAAAATACCGGTGCTGCCTGTCATGCGCGGGGAAAGGCCTTGAGTGCTCTTTTTCCAAGGGTTTCACCAAGGAAGACATTGGCCACAAGCGGCCAGAGACCCCGCGTACAGCAGCGCGTGCGTCCAAGCGGCGTGCAGCGGGCACGGGGCAGTTTGCAGTGGCGCAGGCGCTGCGCAAGAGCTCATGTGTGGCATGCCGCAAGCGCAAAGTCAAGTGCGTTATGACGCGCCTCAACCGTTGCGTCGGTTGCGTAAAGAAAGACACAGTGTGCTCGCTTGAGTGCTAATTTTAATGGGTAATGGGAAAGGTAATAGACGCTTATTGCGATTTTTGTGTAAAGTAGACATCGTATTATCGTAGACATGCATCGAGTTTGATGAAATGATGGCTGCTCGAAATGCTGCTTGAGCCAACTGGACGTCCCTAGGTCGACCTGAACTTACCAATATACAAAATATTTGTATTTCAGTAATGCCTTCGGAACTTCCATTGGTTCTGCACTGGCCCAGACGCAAGTATTGACACAGTTCATTCGAACACTGAAGCATGTTTTGGCTATCATGTATTTGCAAAATTCCTTCATTGAAGGTTACAGTGGCCGAGTGGTTAAGGCGACACCCTGCTATTAGCAGCTCAGGTGTTGGGCATTGCCTGCGCAGGTTCGAATCCTGTCTGTGACGTTATTTTTCCCATTCCCATTTTTTGTCATTTTCTGCATTGGAAAATGGTACATTGCCAAAGACGGCACCCATCCTTTTATTCCACGACATCTTGATGGAAAGAAAGGAAGCAAAAGTACGAGTGGTTTTGGGTGTGTCCGAGCTTCGGCCTTAGGAGCCATTTTTCGTCGCCGATCTAAGGCCGCGAACTGCATCTTGCTTCGGACTTGTGCAAGAGGGGAATACATGGAGTGGGGACAAACAAGATGGCCGATGGCCGAAAAGTCAACTGGAAACAGAAAACAGCCCCAGAAGATATTAGTTTACATAGTGTGGGTGGATGTCGCAATGTCAGAGCGACATAATAGGACAGGACGTATTTATTCTCCGAGTGAGTGGTGTGAGACACGCAAGAGTGCGACATAGGCCCTTTGTCGAAAAAGAAAAGACCACACCAGGAGTTTAGGCGGATCGACATAAACGACCGAACCGATCACAGGGAAAATGCCGCCTGCCTACAATTGTAAACAGCACAAGATAAGCCGCTCCGCTCCCAGTCGGGGCAACTGTAAGCCCCAGTATGGAATGGATCCGCACGTGACTTTTGCTCCCCATGTTTTTTTCCCACTTATAACCGCTGACTCCGCTTCAGTTTCTTCCTGTTTCACTACCTCTTTTCCATGGATCCCACAAGCGACCCTAACTTTCTTCCGCCTTCGCGGAACCACGATTTCGAGCCCCCTGCGCCGCTGTCGCAGATCCCGACCAATATGCCAATTCAGCCGCTTGTGTTGGCCGATTTGGGCTCCGAGGTAGATGCCCCGGCGCCACACCCGCTGACACGGCTCCACAAGGAAAAAGAGCCGCTGGCGTACCACCTGAAGATCCCTCGCCGCTACAATGAATTGATGAACTCGCTGAGCGACGAGGACCAGAACGGGAAACACGAAGAGGATCACAAAAACCATCAAGACGGCGAGCACAAAGAGCAGCCATTGGGAGAACAAGCAGACGGCCACAAGACGCTGCAACTGCAGCCAATGAAAGCACATGTCGCTCAGGCTGCGCAGACGCACAAGCCTATCCTTCCCCCTACCATCAAGGTGCGCTCCACGCAGATCGCAGACTTGGAGGAAGTTCCGCATGGCATCCAGAGGCAAGCCAAGTCCATGTCTGCGTACTCGTTCCCGACCCACCGATTGGCCACGTCCCTTCGAGACGACTCCAAGTATCCCTTGGTGGTGGTGGCTTGTGGCCTGTTCTCTCCCATCACATACTTGCACTTGCGCATGTTTGAGATGGCATTGGACGCCATTAGCGAACAAACCCGTTTTGAGGTTATAGGAGGATACTACTCTCCCGTGTCGGACAATTACAAGAAGCAGGGTCTTGCGCCCGCACACCACCGTGTCCGTATGTGCGAGTTGGCGTGCGAACGTACGTCGTCGTGGCTTATGGTGGACGCCTGGGAGCTGTTACAGCCGCGTTACACACGCACCGCACTCGTGTTGGACCACTTCAACGAGGAGGTTAACATTAAGCGCGGTGGAATCCGTACACAGCTGGGCGAGCAGCGCGGCGTCAAGATCATGCTTTTGGCTGGTGGGGACTTGATAGAATCCATGGGCGAGCCGGACGTTTGGGCCGACCAGGACTTGCACCATATCTTGGGCAAGTACGGCTGTCTCATTGTGGAACGGACAGGCTCCGATGTGAGGAGCTTTCTTTTGAGTCATGATATCATGTACGAACATCGCCGCAACGTTTTGGTGATCAAACAACTCATTTACAATGATATCTCTTCGACTAAAATCCGTCTTTTTATACGCCGTGGAATGCTGGTGCAGTATTTGTTGCCCAACTCGGTCATCCGTTACATCCAGGAGCACAGACTTTACATCAATGACACGGAACCAGTCAAGCAGGTGATGAATGATAAGGGTGATTGATTTTTATGTTGCCGATAGAGCAAAGCTGGATTGACAACATCATTCTCCATAGTTGTGGATCGATTTTTGGACTGTAATATTACGGAGCGATCTCTTGATATTTTTTAATCTGCAGCTTCAAACGCAGAGAAGGGTCATTGATGTGTTAATGTGACTTGCTAGATGCCGGTCTACTCTTCAACTCATCACTATTTATTTCTACATGCCCCACATTGGAACCAAGGTACGTGAAATCTATTACAAATCGCCTGCGCTGCGCTGAATGCCCGAGATCGCTCCTGTATCCTTAATTAGTATAGAGTTTTGTAGAATCTTCTAATATATTCCAATCGTTGTGGACTAACGAGATGTAAACTGATTTTCTATATCTTTGAAAACTTGCAGAAAATTCACTTACCATCAATCCTTTCATCTTGGTCCTCCTGCGGTAAGTCAAGATATCGAGCCTTCATAGCTGTAGTGCGCTGCACCTGCAAAGCGCGGCCTTCGGCCAAGCTGCGCGCTAAATGCACGAGACGCCCTTCCTGATGGAACACTCGCACAAAGTCGCGCATCACTGCATCAAGCGCGACAGGGCGATTCTGCATCTCTAACCACGTTGACGTGCCGCATGCGCCGCGTCGAACAAAGCAGACCCCACCCGGGAGCCTCCGCGAGTTTTTAAGTCGCAAGAGCACAACGAATATAGGATACAACGTAAACAGCACTGCAACCTTGTCGCCCATCTTGCATGCGGTGAGAACTGCAATGCGCATGCCTGCAAACAATACGTAAAACGCCACTGTCGTCGGCAACAAATACACAAGCATGGTGAATAGTACTGTACCAGCTAGAAGACGCTCGATGCTCCATGAATCATCCAATGCGTCCACGCGCTTCCGGAGCACGTTAATCTTGCGTCCACGGAACAATTGCCAAAGAGACCGCACTGCTTGTAATTGACGCAGGTAAACATGCGTCGTTACTACATTCATAAAGTGGACATGAACCAGCACAAGACGTGTTGCGTCTGCAGCACCTGCAGCAAGAAAGGATACACCTAGCGGGCCCAGGAGACGTACCGCCCGGTGGAAAATGCATAAAGCTGCCGGTGCAAAAGCGTTGGCAGTACTGCGCCATGCACGCAACGTCCATATACACATGCTTTGCATGAAGCCTCCCAAGGCGGGGTTTAACTTGAAGCCAGCTGGATTGTGAGATCCAATCCATGCAATGAGTACTTCTAAATGTTCAAAAAGTAGTGCGTCGAGTGTACGAAGAGCCATCGCATCAATAGGACCCAGGAACCGCAGATATAGGCGCACAAGCGTAATACCGCACAAGATGTCATTTGCCATCAACCATAGTGTATTATGCATGCGGATATAATGTGCGTTTGCAGGACGTGGCTGCGTGGAAGAAGGTGCAGCCAAACGACGTTGCGTAGGTAGGTGCGCAAGCTGGCGGAGACGCATGTCAAGTTGACGGCACCATGCAGACACATCCACTGCACTAGTACCACGTATAGGCGTATTAAGCGCGCGGCGCGCACTGGCACACGCACGGCTGAACATGCGTTCGAACAGACCCACATTTGACGTGCTGATTGAAGAATCTGAGACGAATAGCAGGCTAAACGAAGACTTAGACGTTAATTTTGGCCTTGAACGCCGATTGGAGGAATCTCTATCTATCGTTTCATTCAGGCTTCGATATTCCACGCCGGACTTGCGGCGCAGTCGGGCCAAGAGAGATCGGAAATGCTGGCACTGGTTTATTCTTTCCAATACGATGTCGTTTGAGAGCACCAGTACCGGCTCTGGTCCGTAAAACGCCTTGCCAAGAGACAAAGCACTCTTCTCGCTGGATATGCGGAGAAGCACAGGTTGAACACTGAAAAACTCCAAATTGGCAGGGTTTGGCGGTGCAAACTCCACGAATATGTAGGTATTAGCAGACGAATTTTCCCGCAAACGCTTGTGATGTGGACAAAAACGTAACGATAGAAGCATAGAATTAGATTCTGACGAAGCTTCCCTTCCAGGTTTGTGGTTTTCACCGATCTCGCTTTTTGCACTCCCATCCAGTATTGTGCCCAAAATTTGCATTCCATCAGGCAAAAGAGGTGGGTTTACCTCGGCCAGAATGATCACTATAGCATTTTCCACAAGAAAACCCACCAAGATTCCCGCCTTCAGTCGGCGTGCCACGTCGGCCGGAACAAAAACGTACTTTTGCATTAATGGGTAATACTATCCCGCCTCAAGTATTGAGAGCTGTTGTTCAAGTTTTGGTAGAACAGGCGTCGATTGAAATAAAAGTCGTCGCTTTCGGGACTGAGCGACGGACTATGCAAACGGCCGGATTTGATGAAACGCGGGCTGCCAGTAGGACTTGGTTGAGGCAGTGGCGTAGAAGGAAGGGAATAAGGATGCAACGGAGGCAGTTCCAAATGGTTCTTGGCCGTGTAACTATTGATTATGAGACCGATACCTTTAAGAATACTTGTGAAAACGAGGAAGGCAGCAATGAAGACAAACACAGCTCGGAGCACCGTTGCAGCTATAGGCGAGAAACAAAAAGACGGAACTAAAGCGCCGTATGGCATTAGAAAAACCAACCAGACTTGAAGGAGATGGTGAGAGATCAGGTTAAATGTGTTCTTGATGCGCGCGTATGTGCGACATACAGTGAACATGCATTACTCGGAAGCATAAACGTTTGGACCAGAAAGTAGTTAGTGAACACGTCGCCAAGTTGTAGAATAGTTGAAACAGCTGTCACAGGATCAAACATAATGTTGTGAAATACAGGGACAAAACTGCGTCTTTTCTGGAATTAAATGTTAGCAAGACTAACGTATCTCAGTATAAGCTTCCAAGCATAGGCCAAGAGTATTCTCAATAAAATAGAACTGTAGATATCGATTACGAGAGAAAATGGTATACAGTAGAACAGAAAAATATTACAGATAATAATAGAGATGATCTGAGTGCATGTCGCATCATACCCAGAACAAATTAAGGATGAGACTGAAAAAAGAGATATCTACGCTCCAGCAGAAAAGCTAGAGTTGCGATGGTGCACCTGGCGCCGCAACTCCTCTTCCATTTGTGCTTCTGCCTCAGCCACACGAGCAACACGCGCATCCTCCTTGTCCAAGATGTAAATCACCCATGTCAAAACCAACAAGCCGATGAAAACTATAATTGCCACAATGAAAAACAATAATTGCGGGATTCCGTGCGTGACTGTCTTCTTGTATATGCCCAAAACCAAGTAGGGCACAACGATTTGAAGAGTGTTCTTGAGCAACGCCATGGCGCTGAAAAGTTCACCGACTTTTTGTTCTGGATAAAACTTAACCAATGCCGAGTTGACGGCAGGCGTGGCAATCAGACCAATGGAGCTAATTGCCATGACGCTGATAAACATTCTCAGGGAGGGCGATAAGCCAAGCAAGAGCATGCCCATGGAATCTGCTAAAAGGCCAGTAGTCACTACGGCCCATTCAACATGGTCATATCTCTTTTTAAGTGTCCTGAGGCCAAAATAGCCCAGGAAAAGCTTGTGGCTGAGGATAGGCGAGAGAACAAGCAACGTGATGGCACGGAACAGGCATGTAACCACCAACATCAGTCCGATATCTTGCGCTGTCCAATCAAAGCGGTAAACTCCATACATGACGAAAACCTCGCCCATGGGAGTCATGATACTGATAAATAAGCAATCGAAAAGCACCAAGAGAATGACCGCAACACGTGTAGTGCGGATGGAGGCATAGCGCAGCGGCGCCACCTGGTCTTTAGGATATGCGAGGAGGCGAAGCGGACGAAGGAAATTGACCATAGAAAGAAGTCCAGGCCGTGCAGATGGCGCTTCGGGTGCATCAGGCCGCGTCAAAGACGCTTGCAGCAGCAGGCGAGAGAGCGAACGCGACATGCGCCTTGCAGATTGCGTGCGTGATTCGGGAAGCACCGTACAGATGAAGAGAAGCACTAGGAAAAGCAAGCCGATCTCCACTTTGAGAGGCACAAGCTCTTCTCGTGGAATTTTGCCTGAGACTGCTGTCATGGCCGAGGTCGAAACCTTGGAAATGTCGCGTGCAAACACACCCATGCGGTTTGTAAGGGAGATGAGCACATTTCCCACTGCAGGACCCAACGACAATCCCACAAACAACAGCGCCATGATGATACCTAGGAAATAAGTTCTCTGGTGCGGCTCAGAAATGTCAGAAACGTAGCAGTTGGCAAGCATCACCAACGTCATCACGCCGCCGCACAAACTGGCCAAAATCTCAGTCAAAACCATAAGCAGGAAGCGGAGCTCCGGACCGGAGGTTATCACAAAGTACTTGACTAGTTTCCCCACCGCCTGAAACAACACAATGAGCCCAATGAACAAGCGTCTTCCATACTGGTCAGAGAGTGGACCCAACTTGCCCAGAGAAAATATAGTCGTGCATCCGACAGCAATAATGTACGCTTGCTGAAGACTCAGCACAAGGATCTGTGTTTGCGCCGGGTCGCAGACATCCCCAGTGCCCATTTCCGCCGCCACACTGTTGCACGCCAACTTGAAAGTGATCAATTGGCGAGTTGATTCGGCACTGGACGCAGCAAACGCCACCAAGAAAAGACAAATGCCGATCATGATCACCGTTGGCCGTTTGAGCCAGTGGAGCGATTGGTGTGACAAACGTTGCTCCTTGAGCCAAGCTGAGTCTTCCTCAAGGGCCAGAGAAGCTAGAGGGTCTGATTCATTATGCATTGCGCCGTATGTTGCTTCAACAGCTTCTTCGAAAACAGCGGCCTCATCTGTGTTCACCGCCGAGTATTTGGGGCCCAGTGGCCTTTGAGACATGGCAAGAAAGTAAGTTGTGGGGTGAAGCTAGGACGAATGGTTGTTGATGGGTAAGCAACTTGCGGTCTTGACATGGGTCCTGCAGACTGACACTTGCAGGTGCCACTATTGGCCATATGCATGATTAATGCGGAAAGAAGCCCTATCTCATACGGCTCCAGCTGATAGGGAGGTGCAGCCACATGAAACGCTGCATATGTAGTGAGATAATGTCGTGCGTGCGCTTTCGGGCCGAGTATCGAAGTGCCCGCCAACAGATTAGATATAGCTCGTACATATGGTCATATTATGAGAGAATTAGTGACAATTCCATGCATGCCGCATAGGACGCATGAGCAGGGGAACCGCATACTCAATTATAAGTGGCTGTGCTCTACCATAATAAACATTACTACTTTCAGTCTCGGAGGCTTTGATTTGTATACATGGCGACGACAATACAACAGCTAAAGGTTGTGGTGGCGCTTTGTTTATACTTTGCACTTTCCGCATCAGGAGATCTCACCCTAAGCCCTGCGCGTTTATCAGTACCAACATGCAGCCAAACTTCCCGATCTGTGATCTCCATTGATTACTATACGAGGTGGTTCAATGGTTCCAACTGAAAAACGTATTCTGGAGTAATTTTCTAGTTTACATTGAGATTGGTTTTCTAGTGCTCGTGCTTGAATCTTATCCTTGCTATGTGTTCCTAATTAGTCTCCGTATCAAAGGGTTCGAAGTTTTCGTAAATCTCCGCAAATCAAATTTCACGCTTACTAGTCTTCCCCCAACAGCTTGTTTCCCTACTTGGAACAGTACATGCAATCAATAATGCTATTCCATCTTTTATTCAAATCTCTAGCCTGAAATTGTCTTGCTTTGAAAAATATAAACTTTTGCCCAAAGATGTTTTTTTCGATCTCATGCGGGGTATGTCAAGTAACAGTGAGGCAAAATTAATTGGATGCAAAATACAATAGTGGTTTGGTGGTAGCTTCTTGGGAGAGGAGATGATTTGAATTCACTATCAGTTATAAAAGACTTACTTAGCTTTAGTAGAATTAGATCACCTTCGCCTGCTGCGTTCTGAAAAGGACATCTTACCAGCCATATGACAATGGATTTCTCAAAAAGGGATTTAGCATAGGACTACCAGTATAATGACACCGAGCAGACCAAAAGAACTGCCGAGTTGATCAAAGCGTTGACTGAACTTCACAGTCAATGTATATATCTTCCCAATTCGAAAACTATTAGTTTCCGTAAACAGAGCTAGGCACTTACCGAATGATTATCCATAAGAAGGAAATATAATAAAATACCACCACCCATTACTTACGGGTTACGCTAAAACTGGATCCTGTTTGTCTCTAAGATCTCACAAATACAGTTTTTTTTGCACCACGTCGCTTTCCATCACGTAACGCAATTGGTATCTGAGAGTAGAGTTGCGAATTGAGAAGCAGCTAACTTCTCGTTTATTGGCAAGGGATTCCTTTCTCTACTGGAGACGATTCCATCGATCTGAGGTCTCATCCAAACGATGATCTTTATCAATGTGTTTGCCGTCAGAATAGGAAATACAACAGCTTGGTACAGATTGGTCACTATTGTGGTCACTATGAGGCTTGGTGAGTACGATGACCCACTACAACATTATTTTGAGTAATGCACAAGATAGATGATATGCTTAAATTACCGAGCAAAGGCAAATCAGCAGCGGCGAATATGTATCATGATCATGCCAATTCAGAGACATGAACCATTCTTCCTAGGCATGTCCGCATAGGAGGGGATCTACTTTGGAGAGGTGGCGCGCCATCGCCAGGGCTCGAGGGCTTGTGCCCTAACAGTGTACGTGCTCATGTGACACCCGGACATCCCGCGTCATCGCCAAAGTACGCGGCCGCCAATGGCCGCACACACACCCAGACGTTAGTGAGAAGAAATTCTCACATCCGTGCCTCCAGCCTCGGCTCCTGCGCACGCCTGAGAAATTTTCATCTTCTTTTTCTAGTGCTTTTTCATCAGTTTCTCCAGACACCCACAAACATGTCCTTGCCAGAATCCTTTGCTTTGACTGCCGAAGACGCCAAGTTGTTGTTGGCTGCCAACGTCCACTTGGGCTCGAAAAACGTCCAGGTCCACAACGAGCCTTACGTTTACAAGACCAGACCCGACGGTGTCAATGTCATCAACATCGCCAAGACCTGGGAAAAGATTGTTTTGGCTGCCAGAATCATTGCCGCCATTCCAAACGCCTCCGACGTTGTTGTGTGCTCGTCCAGAACCTTTGGCCAAAGAGCCGTGTTGAAGTTTGCCTCGCACACTGGAGCCACTCCAATTGCCGGCAGATTCACCCCAGGTAACTTCACCAACTACATCACCCGTTCGTTCAAGGAGCCAAGATTGGTCATTGTCACCGACCCAAGAACCGACGCCCAGGCCATCAAGGAATCGTCGTACGTCAACATTCCTGTCATTGCTTTGTCCGACGTGGACTCTCCATCTGAGTACGTCGACGTTGCCATCCCATGTAACAACAAAGGTAAGCACTCCATCGGTTTGATCTGGTGGTTGTTGGCCAGAGAGGTTTTGAGATTGAGAGGCATCATCCCAGACAGAGAGGCCGAATGGTCTGTCATGCCTGACTTGTACTTCTACAGAGACCCTGAAGAAATTGAGCAAAACGCTGCTGAGGAGGCTAGAGCCGGTGCCACCGAAGAGACCGAGGAGGTTGTTGCTGAGGCTGAAACCGAATGGAACACCGAGACCAATGTCGAGGACTGGGCCGACTCTGGTGTCACTGCTGCTGGTGAGGAGGCTGCTGCTTCCCAATGGTAGATACTGCCGATACTGTGACGGGCGGAAGTTACTCTGTGTATATTGTACCCTTAACCACGTTAATCTGAATTTGGATCCATCAGGCGCCGTCTGATGCAGTAGGCCTGGTTGGAGTAGCTTGCTTTGGTTAGTGTGGCTTGCGTTGAGATGTATAATATGACTTGATCAAATATTGACTAATTTTACTTATCACGTAAACGATAGCCAAAGATGCAATGACGACAATTTGCAGACAGAATCGGAATTAATGTCAACCGGAATTCTAGAGTAAGACCAGCTTCAAAACCGATGTGTGTTTGCCTGGCTGATTCACTGAGTTCACTACTTCAATATATGCTGTCTACTTTGTGATATTGCCTTTCAGGCGTCATTCAGCTGATACACATCGAGATTAGGCTAATAAGGTTACAAATGTCCAGACACTACACCTAGAAGAGATTGTTGCTTCTTCCTGGATATCAAAAGATCACATGAAAATGAACACATGCCTATTAATGAGGCAGTAGTAACCATACAAAAACCATACAAAAACACGCAGCACACATATAATTGGTAAGGAAATCGGTTATAGACAGTATTTACGAAGAAGGTGATACTGCCGTTCTTGGTTTGCCATTGCTCTGGTTCCTGTTGATAGCACTTTACATTTTCCAAAAAAAGAGGCACGTTTATCAGGAAAAAGAGTAGTAAAGCATATTTTTACTGAATCGAATGATTATATTCCGACAAAGTTCAAATTGAGCCTGAATGTTGGACGCAATAAACAAATAGGTAGCAAACAGATGTATCAATATAGCTGAGTAGTCTTTTTTGGCGTGCATGCTAATCTTTCTAGACTAGTCAGGCAAAGGTGAACAATTTGCAATGGTCCCAATTCGCAAAGATGCTTGATCACTTCCATCATGAATACACAATCGAACATCCGTGAAAACAACTTCTCGCTGTTATGGTAATGGGAATTGCTCTACTGTCAAACGTCAAAACGCTAATAATTGCTCTGCAAATTTTCTTTTGCAGTAGTTGTCGCTGATGACACTAATTAACAAAAACCACGGTGCGACTCGAATATACTGTCACAGCATACTAGTTGAAAAATAATTTAAGACACTACATTAGGAACAGAAGCAATTAACACACTTTCTCCCACCGCAGCAATTATGCTACTCGTAAAACGGAGAAAGTCGTAATCGCTTCTATATTCTCGTATGGAAACCTCTAGGGACAAGAGGCCAAAACTCTTTTCATCTAAGAAGGGCCAAATTATTATAACATTATTGCAACCAAATTATTAAAAGCCATATTGCCGATTTTTCAAATTGAGTAGCCACCAGTTCATCGAAGGCTCTTTGTTAGTAGGACAATAGTCTTCTCCCCACATGACAGAGCCTCACTATCACCATCCACCTTTATTGCGCCCCGCACGTCCTTATACTTTTGATCGCGCCATGGCGAACAATCTCACCACATGAACTACGACCCTATCCACGATACATACTCGGAAAACAGCGATTCAGCGGCCAATCGGGAAACCAATCCGAGCATGAACGTTCCACACCCCGCCAACAGCACCGGCGCGGACACTTTGAGGGAAAATCACACCACAGTAGAACACCACCTAGCCAATCCGACCCAAAATCTCCAAAACATGCAAGGCGACCAGCTTTTAAAGAGGGAGCCGGTTTTGCCCAGCGAGCACAATGTGCAACCCGAGCCGGCAGTGAAAGTTGAAAATGCCCAGTCTGTGCAAGGCTACGCGGAGACGCACCAAAAGAGCCCGCACCAGGTGGCCACGGCACAAGGCGCTCCAGAGCAGAGCCAAAGCACGGAAAGCGACGAAGATAAAGAGCCTTTGCCGCCAGGCACACTTCCGTCGACGTTCCGGAGTGTGTCACGTGGCTTCAAGCACTTGAAGAAGGCCGACGGCGAGCCGTTCTGGCGGAAGGACATCCAGTACAGCTTCCTCGAGGCGCTCTTCAACGACACAAACGCGGTTTTCACCAACAACTTCCCTTTTTGCGAAGTGCCGCATGCGGCCAACGGACCCAAGCTCACGTTTGCCGAGCTCTATGTGCGCACGTTGGCCGAGTCGCTGAAACTGTCCAAGGTTCTCCGCGAACGCTTGATCAAAGACCGCGAGATGGGTGTAGCCGTGAGCAAAGTGTGCTTGCTCGTGAATGCAGGGCGCATGAACACTACCGTCAACTTTGTGCCCGACATGCGGCTGGCGCTCCGCACATACCATCTGATTCCGTCGTTGCAGGCCGATCCCAACGGGCCGCTGAAGCCGCTCCAGGACACGCCGCGGTTGAAGACCATTCTTAAGGCAGTGTGTGACGGCCACGACCATTTGCAGACATTGCTTGACTTGTTGCGGACTCCTCCGACGACCAAGCCCAACACCAGCGTGATCAAGTTGATTTTCCTCATGAGCACGTTCTTCCAAAACATCCCGTTCCACTATGACGACCTGTACGACCACGATCTGTTTCTGGAAAAATTGCGCTTCATCAAGGCGCTGCCCGGCCCGCAGAACAAGTTCATGGAGTTCTTCCTCAACGATGAGATCCGCCCAGAGAACAGAGCGCGCCGTTTCTTGTGGCTCATGTACACCTACTTGGAAACCTCCTTCACTCCTGCGGAATTGGCTGCAAATCCTTTCAACCCGCGCGTGATCCCACCACTCGAATACCTTTCGGATGCCGAACTCGCTGCTTGCGACGTGGATCCTCCGTACGAGGTTGAGTACGCGGTGCAAATGTACCATGCGCGCATGCTGCACTTGCACGGCGACGACCGGGGCAGCGCGCCTCGAAAGAGAAAAGAGGAGGAAATCGAAGAGCCGGTCGCCGAAGAGCCAGAGGAAGTGCCTGTTCCAGAAGAGCCGCGGCTTCTCAAGCCCATTCTCAAGCGGAAGAAACCCACTCCGCTGGTGGGCTCATTGGTGGACGACAGCAAAAAGCCGCTTGGTGCGGCCGCGCGCTGGCGCGACGTGCCGTTCCCGCTTGTGCGCGAGCGCCTTGCGCGCTTCGCCCGCTCCACCTCGGGCGTGGCGGTGCGCCCGCTTTCGCGCGACAGCCCGCACTGTGTGGCCCGGCGCCGCGCAACTATGGCGCGCGCGCGCGCTCTCGTGGCCCAAGTGGCCCGTGCCCTGCCTGTTTTCGAGGCCCGCCGCACGGCTCTCCCGATATGGCTCCGGCGCTACTTCCAGTATAAAAAACAGCGGGACGGGCTATTGGCCCTCGAGTGGGAGGCGCTTCGCAACGACGTGGCCGGTGGCATCGAGTCCTATTTATACCAACAAATGGGCAAAGCTCAATTGACGCGGCGCTACGAGGAGCAGGCCGACGACGAGCCGGATGCGAGACACGAAAGTTTCGTAGGCGGCGGCCAGCTTCCAGGCGATGCCGCACCGGTAGACTTGGCCAGCATGGACAAGGTCGGTGCCGGGTTTGTGGCCACGCATGACTTTGATCGTGCAAATGAGCGTAGTGCTTATGAGTTACTGTTGGTGACAATGGCGGGAGAGGTGCAACAGGAAGAGCGGCCACTACCACGGGTATCGTTTGATTTGGAATCAGAAACGGTAGAGTTTGCGTGATGAGTTTTGAAAGTCTGTGCAAAAAATCCGCAGCCTGCCTTTAATTTAGATAGAGATCACAGAATTCGTTGTCCGATTTCTTCGGTGGCACGGCAGAGGTGATTGTACGATGGAAAATGATGTGAATGTATGGTAATGGATTGGCGTGGCTGCCGCATCGACCAGCGGGCTTCAATCAGAAAATAAAAGGACTCATAGAATTCATTGATTCGAGGTATATACAGTTGCGAATAAATTACAGAAGATCATGTAATAGATCCGTTAGTTCGATTTAGTGTAGATGATCTTGCACTCCAGATGCCAATTGCGTTTTAAAGTGATTTTATAGGATGCTTGTCGTTCACACACCAAACATATTGAGCATCATCACTTTGAATGCCTCAACAACACCATATGTTTCAACAAGACGTTGGAAGACCGCGTCTGCATCGAGAACAGATCCATCTGGATGCACAATGACCAAACATAGCTCCAGCAGCACGGCACCCGTGATAGCACTGGCTAACACCATGCGCCACAGCAAACGTACGCGGGAGCCCCCGAATGTCCACTCTACGTAAGGCGCATTGGACAATTCGAGCAAAGACACGATAGGAGGCTCTATTTCTTGTTTAGAGGTGGGTGAAGCCTGCAGAGGCTGTGATGGTGTGTCCTTTAACTGGACTGTCTGGTCATTGGGGCTATGGGAATTACCCGCAGTTTGAGCTGCGGGAGGTTCTTGAGTTGTCTTAGGTGTGTCATTTGTCGTAAGTGTGCCAGTTGTCGTAAGTGTGCCAGTTGTCGTACGTTTGTCAGTTGACGTCGGAACTGTGCTCGTCGCCGGGCGCGACATCTGGTCGGGATATGCCGCTGCTAGCTGCGCGAGCGCTTCCAGTCGCAGCAAATGGGCGCGCACTAACGCTGCATAGCTCGCCACGAGAAGGTCAAGCTTACGTTGAGGTAACACATTGCGGCGCCAAAACAGCGCCATTGACGAGCAGACGGTCGATAGAGCAGCCTCGATTTGCAGCCAATTTGCCACCCAGAGCTGCAAAACAGCGCTGTCGGCCACGTGCATGCATACATCCACAGAAGGAAGCCCACGCGCACTGAGCGTAAAACAGCGCTCGCTCACAAGGCGCCCCTCGCCGTCGTGGACCGCGCGCGCCACGCACCGCGAGAGCGTTACGCCTGGGCAAAAGCGCGCCGCCTGTTCAAGCCGCCGGCCCCAGTTCTTGCTCGGTAGCACGCCGGCATTTTCCAACACAAACTCAGCCGCGGCGTCAGGTTGGGCGAGTTGCGCATGTTCGGCGTCGTTCTGTCGGAGATAGTAATCCAAACGCAGCCGCGTATCCCGTTGGTGCTGCTGCTGTTCGTAGTGGTGCAACGTTTCGCGAAGACGCGCGGCGCCCGAAATGAGATCGCGCTTTTTGGCAGCCAAGGCGTCGCGCTGGGCCACCAAGTCCGCTTTAGCAGATTGGAGCCGCACAAGGCGATCCATGTCATCCGAGTCCAGGGCACTGTGCGGCGAATCCGCGATTTCTTCAAGTAGACTAAAATCGATATTCATGGCATGCTGCGGGGGTTTGAATTGCGCGAGGGGGATCCAGGCGGGTAAAGTCTGTTATTGGTAGCAAATGCAATTGGCAATATTTGGATCTGCCGTGAGCCAGCTCAAATATGGGACGATCCAAGTCGAACAAGTCAAGTGGAAGCAGGGCAGATGGAATGCTAGAATTCAGAAGGTGGAGCAGATAGATGTTCCTGCAAGAATGAGCGAAAGTTTCTGAACGAATGAGCGGAAGTTCTTGAACGGATGAAAGGAAGTTTCTGAACGAGCGAGGGGAAGTTTCTGAAAAATGAGTGAATAAGCTTCTCCTCTCTAACAGAAGGATTAGGTTGTCGATATAAAGAACCGATGTTCTCGTGAAGGATCGCGTATTGTTTTGATCTGAGATTGAGATTCATGTACAGAAAGTTCATCGCGCAGCCATTCCATCAATTTGGAGAGATGGAAATACCCACTTATCTAATATGAAGAGATTGCCTATTTCTGCTCTTCTCGCATCTTTGTGTTTTGATGTCTCATCTGAATCCGTTGACACTACCTAAAAACAAAATGGCCTTCTGAAGTCTCTAATCTCCAGACGACAGAGTTTACTTACGTACATGTGGAAAGCATAGGTCATTTTCATGTGAAGTCTATAGATTTGAAGTAAATTGAAACGTATAAATTGGCTGAATTTTAGAAGCATCTTCTCTCGGTCACGGCCTGGCAAAAAGAGATGGTGATAATTCTTCCGGTAGTTTAGGTTCAATTTCCAGCATCAAATCCCTTTTCAAACTTCATCTTAGCAATTAGGAAAGGATCAGCCCTAAAAGTATGGTAGAATAGTAGATTTACATAATGTCATTGATCCGTTCCAACGAAAGGACAAGAAACAAAAGAAAAGCAAAAAGACGATTAAGTAATGGCCTTTATTCATTTTTCGACTGTCCGGAATTAGGTCGTTTCCTTTTGATCCTCTGTTTTGGACGATTCTGTTGGCTGGTCCTTGGTGTGCATTTTTGTATAAGAAGAAAAAGTTACTTGGAAGAGCTTACTTTAGACATTTTCTGTCACCATCTATTTTTTTGATAGACCACTACTATGAATATCCATGAAATGGTTCGTGATATCTTTTACAAAGGCAGCTTAAGGACTCCTTAGCTGCCGATGAGTCAGTCCATTCATACAGCATTTTGTGAACACAGTTATCTCATAAAGAAAGCGAAACAGAAGAGATTAATCTGAAAACCTTAAGTAAGGTGTTTGGGATAGCATGTCAGGCCTAATGTAATATTTAGTTAGTAATGGCATCTTTGCGTATGGGTCTCAGATTATGGTTCAGGCTTAGTGTGTCACATCATATTGAGATTCTTGTGCTTTTGAGGTAGGTGACCTAAATCAAAATATTTTAACAGTCGGAAAATTATCCAAACAATTTATTTGGCATACAAATCGAAAATATACACTCGAGCTTCTATCGGTTCTCAAAATGGGTCAGAAAATACTTCAACATGACCTGCAGCGATATGATGATGTATTCAAGGTTTCAAAATCTGAGCTTAGTTTTACCAGAGAAGGAAATAAAACACGAAGATGTAGGAAATGGTAAGTACATATACTTAGATTTCTCACTTCTTGGTGGCTGATGTTGTATGTTTTGTATACTTTTCATACTCAGTTCTAGTCGTCAACGTTGATTCACCTTTAGTGTGGATTTGCGTGCGGGATGTTCTCATAGTTGAGCTTTCAGAATGAGTATTGGAAACATTTTTGTGTTTTTCAGCCACCATTTTTTGCAGTGAAACAGTATTTCTTGTTGTAGTTTGGTTTGTATTGGGCCCAGGCTTGGATTTGATTACTGTCGTGTGATAGATTGTACGCACAGGAGGGTTCGCCCCTGAAAGATTAGTTTTTGTGTTAGTTGTTACTTGCCTTTGATCTCCCATTTTGTTGCTGAACATAGCTCAATTGCTGCCTTTTATACTACAAGAACAAGTTCCTTTATTCCCGATTGAGATTGACCATTGTTCAAACCGGTTATGAAATTATCTGGAATGTGTGGCCCCGTATTTGTATGTGTACTTTCGGCTGTTGGAGGAAGGAAACATTGCGTCCAAATTCTAGACATAATTGGTGTATTAATGCATATGGTTTTCAAGCCTGGTGTGCAAATTAGGACAGGATATTTAATGTTTCCATGTTAATGCCTATATGGAACCCAAAGCTGAGCCGCCCATTGCCCTTTCAAAAGTCTTTTCTGGCAACAACGTATGTGGTGGAAAATTCATCAGGAGAAGTTGAGACAAAACGGTCTTCTTTTGGACTTTTTCAGACCTATCTACGTCTTGATTGCCTAGACCAATCCCATATAGATCACTATGCAAACCTTACGGTATGAAATCTAGTACTTTTGAATCAAAGACTATGTTTGGTGCCACATGACCCTAAATTCTGAATTAAAATTTGAAATAGTCTTGTCAGGGTATTTTTTTTCTAGACAAATGCTGTTTCTGGAATTGGTGATGTCGCACATACTTCTGCGCATCTGGTTGTGCATGGATAACGATATCCAAGTCAACATGGTTTCTGCTCCTGAGTTGAAAAACGTACGTACATGTTTTGAAGTGGAGAATCCGGGTGTTTCTTTTTTCTTTTTTTGGTGTTAGAAGCATTCAACTGCAGACTTTCAATCAAAGCCAAGTCCACACAAAGATGATAAAAGCTTCTTATTCCCAGCAAGTCTACCTAGTATGAACACAAAGGGAATCACCTTTCGATGCCAGTTTGAAATCCTTATTTGAAGAAGAAGATCAGCGACCTCCACAATCATAAATCCAGAAATCTTATCACGGCAAATCATCACCATATTTTCAATGCCCAAACCCAAGATTCTTCTCAATCAACGTCCGACTATGTTGTGACCATAGATACTAACTACAGTACTTGGACAAAAAAGTGTCTGTCCAGCTAAATGGCTCGAGAACCGTCGTGGGAACACTTCGTGGCTATGATGTTTTCATGAATATTACAATGGCCGATGCCTTGGAGCAAGATCCTTCAGGCGAGAAACTTGCCATTGGCACCGTTGTTATCCGGGGGAATTCTATCGTTTCGATTGAAGTACGTACTATCAGCAATATTTTACCGAACTCTACTAACCTCCAGGCACTTGAAAAGATTTAACATGGATGTATATAGAAATGAACACTACACTAGACGAATTTTTAGCTGAATGTTCTAGCCTACCGTTGGTTGGGTACTCAGATCCAATTCAATAGTCTCCTCCTTGGCGACCATGTCCAACTTGTGGCACACCTTCTGAGTCAGCGAAGACTCTCTAATCGCCTAGTCGTAACGAATCGACATGGCACTGCCATAACGTTTGTAATCACACTTCTCGTAGAATCCCACATTGTGCTCAGAGCAATCCAAAATCACCTTGTAACAGCCTAGACCATGGCCAATTTTACTTAATTCCTGAATCATGTGTTGGCCAAGTTTTTTCCCCTGCTGGTCTTTGGCCACAGCAATGTCTTCAATGTGGCCGACTTTTCCGCAACCGTGAACAAGTTTCCGCTCCACCACAATCATCCCTGTAGCCACAACTTTGTTGTTTTGGTCTGCAATAACTCGAGGATAGTAGATGGATTCGTTTTGTGCCCAGTGGTCAAGCAATTCAGAAAACTGGGCCGCAGAAATCTCTCCAACATGCGTGAGAACACTTAAAGTGGCAACATAGTCTGCGTGATCTGACTTTTCCACAGGTCTGAATGTGTATCCTTCGGGCAACATCTGGGAAGGTTGAGAGTTCTTGAAGATTGTGCAGGAAACACTTGGAATATACGTATTCAAAACCTTTGGTGTTTTCGCATTAAATACAGAACGATCAACCTTTCTTGTATTACTAGATCGAATTGGCACAACAAATTGCTTTATAAAAAACTATGTAGAGAGTTTCGAGGTCTTCGCTCGATTGTGATATCCTTAGTATTTTAGTCTACTTTTGTCTTGGAGTTGCAAAAAGTTGAAACTAATCCACCACATACGCAGAGAGATGTAGCTTTTATTTTGATTCTGCCATGGACCACAGAACCTAGCTTCTCTACGATTCAGCATGAGTTGATGTAAGGGCACGTCTAGAATGTGATTTGTGAATTTAAGTACCATGTTAATGATAAAATAATATCAAAATCGATGGGTCGTATTACTTCCAATAGAGACCGTCTCTATATTTTCAGCAAGGGGAGTACAAAGTTGCCAATAGGATTGCCAGAAATACGCAAGATACGTTCCAAAGATAAGTAGGAATCTCATTTCTATTTAACTGCCAAAGTCAATGATCATACTACTTACTGAGATTTGTTCCACTCAACTACCTTGTAGCTAGATCACCAACTTGAACTGATTCTCATAGCAATTGGAAGAGGAGTTAGCAATTACACGATTGTCTTCCACAGATTATTGATGTTTTGTCAACTCGCGTCTTTTGCAGCTACATGTGGTTAGGGCTTTCATGAGTTTTGGCCTTGAACACACAGACATAATGAGCGAAACAAATGTGCTTCCTTTTCCTAAACCTTAATTTCACTTAGTTTGTGTACCTGTTTTCAGAAATTATTTATTACTTGTCTCCACAGCCCTCTTTTCCTCGATACAATCTCTCTGTTACTGAGCTCACTGGCTTCTCTTTTACGTCTTTTTATTTTCTCTCTTCTTTCTTTTCTTGTTGATGCTTCTCTAGTCTTCGAGAATATGCGCGACGGCTAAAGGCTCCACTACGTCCTCATAATCTTGTTGATAAATACATGAAAAGGCAACTGTTTGGAATTTGTATACGTTTCTCCTTCACGTCTTTATGCTCTGCCATAAGGACTTTTCATTTCTGTAGTTCTTGCCTTTTTTTTCCTTGATCTGCAATCATCTTCGCTTGCGTCGATACATCTCCGCCTCCTGTATGGCCGTGCGATAAGTGGCAAAGCATCTTGTTTGCTCCTTCAATTTATACGTATTGTAACACCTTCTTTTCCTTCAATCTTCCATCAATATGCCTTTTGAATGCAAGGCTGTCACATACACTACCAATGCTCTGCCATTGACGCTTAAAACCGTGAGCCTTCCTGTCGAACAGAAAGACGGCCAGTTTGTCGTGGGTGAAAATGACATTCTTGTCAAAGTTCATTATGCCGCCCTTAACCCAGTGGACTCCATCTTGAAAAACTCTGCCTATGGCTGGTTGTCCAAGTCTGAGAAGGGTTTTGGTAAGGATTTCTCCGGCGATGTGGCCGCAATTGGCGCTAAGGCTGCTGCGCAAACATCTCTCTCTGTGGGCGACAGAGTTGCCGGTCTTAATCAGAAAATTTTCAAGAACGGAACCTTGTCTGAGTATACGCTCGTCAACGCTTTTGACATGAGCGGAAAAGCCACCACAAAAATCCCAGACGAAATGCCCTACGACAAGGCTGCTGCTTTCCCATTGGTGCTTGGAACAGCTCATCAGATGTTTGAGAGTGCGCTTAAAGGAAACTCGTACAAGAAGGTTTTAATTCTTGGCGGCGGCACATCGGTGGGCAGATTTGCCGTTCAGTTGGCCAAGAACGTGTACGGCTCGGAAGAGATCGTGGTGACGTGCTCTGAACGTTCTGCAGAAACTCTCAAGGGCTTTGGTGCAACCTCGTACATTGACTACTCCAAGCACAAGTCCTTGTTGGAACCTGTGTTGGAGCATGTGAAGACAGCGGGCCCATTCGACCTTATTTTGGACACTTGCGGCAACTCGGACTTGTTTGGCCACATGACTTCGATTCTCCGCAACAGATCGGAAGGTGGGTCCTACATTTCCGTCTCGGGCGACTCCAAGTACGACTACTCGAAAATGACTGTTTCTGCGTACATTTTGAACGGCCTCCACTTGGTTGTGCGTTCGCTCAGACTGGCACTCGGATACTTGCCCTACCATTACAAGCTTGCCATGCTTGACTTGGACCACGACCGTACTGAGCTTTTGATCCGCTACATCATGGACGGCAAGGTGCTGATCTGCATTGACAGCGAGTATCCTTTGGAGGATTTCCAGGAGGCCGTCGACAGACAGGTTTCCAACAAAGCGCAGGGTAAGGTGTTGGTGAAGATCTCTGACTGATTGTATATTCGTAACATGAACTGTATGAGATGGCCTGTAGTAATTTCGTTCCCAATATAGTACTCGTTTTCCACAACATGAAATCATATAAAATGAACTAGTTCTCTTTCGTTCTCAATGCATCGTTACTATAGACTATTGAATATGCTAGAGCGGCGCTGCGTCGAGGGCAGCAGCCACCATATCGAGATCCCACCGGCGTGTGATGTCGCGCTCCAAACAGCCTTCCACCATGCGCACAAACCACTCGTTGTTGCAGTCCTGGGCGCCATTTTGCGGGTGCGGCACCTGCGCGGACTCTTTGCCCGCGCCATCTTCGCCCGGTTTTTCTTTGTCCATGCTTTCGTCGCCCTCTTTGATTTCCGTGTCCATGAGACATGCGCGCTCCACTGCACCGCGATCGTAGCGGCCGGCAGTGATGATTGCCCGCAACCGTGGCTCATACAGATGCTCGAAAGGCAAACGTCCTACCACCATGGTGTAGAGCAACACTCCGAGTGCCCAGATATCTGCCGACGGACCCAAAGGTGGAGGCAGCGGACTGAGAAGCTCGGGCGAAGCATACGGCAACAGACCAATGTGCAGGTGGGGAAGGTCGGTGTCGGCGTCTGTGGGCAAGGTGGTGTCCTTGGAAGCAAACTCATGGAATGCCACAAGCCGCGAGTCACGAAGGCGGGCATCATTTTTGTCATTTCTGTCATTATTGTCTGGTTCGGGCGTTCGTGGCGCCAAATGCAGAATGCCTATTTTGCTGTCGTCGGCGAAAAGTAGGCGGGTCGACGGGGAGTCGGGCCCAGTGTAAGGGCGGCGCGCGGGCGTCACCGAACTGCGCGACCGAGCCATGGCTGTGTCTCTTTCCGAGCGCATCAACCGCGGCGCATACACGCGAGACATACCAAAGTCACAGAGCACCATGCGCACATGCTCCGGGTCCAGATTATCCACCAACACATTCTCCAACCTTGATGTCGCCGTGCACCACGCCCAACTCGCGGTGAAGATACACTAGTGCCGCAGTGATTTGGCGCGCGCACCGCGCTGTGGTGGCGAGGCGGGCCTGTTGCGCCTCGCGCGAAAACGTTTCGTAGGTGCCCCATTGCGCCGCGACATCGAAAAGCGTGCCGCCGCCGATGCGCTCGGTCAAACAGAAAATAGTGTCGCTCGTCTCCACGTGGTCAAGAAGCGGGAGAATGTTGTGGTGGTGCAATTGCGCCCACACTGAGATTTCTTTGCGAAACACCTGCAACACTCGCTGGCGGGAGCTGTGGACGATTTTGACCGCCCGCACGGTTCCGTCGTGGGCCGTACACTCGCGGATGGTGCCCCACGCGCCGAATCCGATCACACGCCCGAGCCGGTGGTGCATGACGAAGGCGCCCTTCTCGTCAACATTGGTTCGCGGCGGCGCGGGCGCCTGCGCGCGCGCAAGAAGTCGGGTCACGGTGGACAGCCGCAGAATGGAGGCCGGGTTGCTGCGGCTTTTGGTGTAGGCGGAGAAATGGGCAAAGTCCACGGTGGGCGAAATCAGATGCACGAGGCGCTTGCGCTGCGAATACGGGAGGTCGAGAAAGTCCGGCGGGAGCGCCGCGGAAAGCGCATCGAATTGCTGCCGGAGGCTGAAACTGGGGGCCACCGACGCCGAGCCAAACGTTTCGCGCGAGCGCCGCGACACAAGGTCGGGCGCAGAGAAGTCGCGCCGCACGCTGAGATCAGGCACAGAAAACTCGCGCCGCCCGAAGCGCCGCCCGCCGCTCATGTCGTCGCCCTCCGATTCCTTCAGAGAAAAGGTCATGTCGCTGCGACCTAGGTCTCGCCGTTTGGCGTCTCGGATCGGCTGCGGTGCCACTTGCACATGGACGCCCTCTTGCCATCGCAGAAGCTCTGCTGCAAAGTCAAGCCCTGGCACGTACTCGTCCTCTAGGCCGTATTCAGGCATGGGCCGCTGGCTGCTGTGGGAGCGAGAGTAGAGCCGCGGGCCTTGGGCCGCTGGTGCCTTTGGTGATGCTGTGCGGGACTGCTTGGGCCGAATGCGCCCGTCGTCGAAAAGACGGTGTCCTGTTTCGGCGTCAAAGTTGTTTGTCTCAGTTTCCGAATACCGTCTTCGGCTCAGACGAGCATGCCGGAGGTCCGGCTGGTTATTGAAGCCGCCCGGCCCGGGAAAGTCGGTTTGCATTGGATAGAACGGTCTGAGGTTCTGCGCCAGACAATGCTGAGTATAAGAAGTTTGCAAGAGAAGTTGAAAGGAAGAGGATGTAATGGAGGGCGCGCGTGCAGGACCTAGTCCCGATTTCGGTCGGCCCGGGCGACTTTCATGTCTGGCGGCCCGCATGGTTTTCGTCAAGATGTTTTGAATTCGGTATACTGTACACTTGTGCTGGGTTTTCTTTGGCCTCGTCCAAATTGTTTTCTGGTTTCTGGTAGGGATGACTTTTCTGGTCTGGCTGATGACTCTGGTTTACACAGGTTTCCCCGCGCTTCGCTGCATAGTAATCTGGGCACGTTTCGATGTCTTACTTTTGGGCAAGAAACCGCTTCATGGGAAAGTGAAAGATTGGGAACACGAGGGTAATTCTACTGGAATATATACGTTTTTTTCTCTTTTTTTTTTTATATATATATATTTGTTCTTTTTCCTCGGGGTTGAATCCTCAAATGTAGTTAATGCGCGCATTATGAGCAAGAGCATGCATAAGAATGATTGACTTCGCTGGCATCACAAGGGGAATCTACTGTGATACTTCTAATGTATAAATGAGACAGAGAAGTATAGTGTTTGCCTGGAGATTAATCGGTTTCACTGGATTCGGTACTTTTTTCGTAGCACTAACTTGTTACTTCTACCAGACATTAACACCTTCTAACCTTCTAACCATTTGCATCCCCAAAGGCCCATACTAGCAGCATCACCGGGCCCATACAATCATCGCTAGTCCTTATCTGTTCACAGCAAAAACTCTTCGTTAGTGACAACCAAAGGCGTGACAAAAGGCTCAGCCAAAAGTTCTGCCGCACATGGCCGCCGCTCATGGTCCACCTCGAACGTCTGGGTCAAAAAGTCCTTGCCCTCTGCCGTGCACCACTCAGGGATTTCTGGGCTTGTATGGGTTCCAATCTTAAAAATCGCTTGCATTTGGCTGAACTTTGGGAACGGATGGTTTCCCGTAAACATTTCCACCACCAAGCAACCCACAGACCAAATATCGGCCTTTTTCGTGTATACTGTCTGTTTTACAACCTCGGGGGCCATCCAGTAGACAGAGCCTTGAAGAGAAGCACGACGAGCAGATTTCGTGGCCTCCTCGTCGCCATCCACCTTTTTCGAAATGCCAAAGTCCGAGATCTTAGCCGCACCTTTGATGTCAATCAAGATGTTGGCGCCTTTTATGTCTCGATGGATGATATCCATGCCGTGTAAGTAGCTTAAGCCCACAAGCACTTGGCGAATGAAGCTCCGGATCAATGGCTCCTCAAACGGTCCGTACAGTTGGAGCATCAGCTGCACCAGGCCGCCCGGGATGTACTCTAGAAAAATGTTAAGAAAGTCACCTTCACAAGACAGTCCGTAGTAGCGCACAATGTTCTCGTGGCTCAATTCCTTCAACAACAGCATTTCGCGATGAAGCGCATCTATCATGCCGCGATGCTGCTCGTTTTGCCGCGAGGCCCCCCTCGGAATGGGCACCTGCTTGACTGCCATCAACTCGCCTGTCGCTGGGTCCATGCCCAAATACACCGTTCCAAACAGGCCCGCGCCGATTCGCGCGCCCTGAACCCACTTGCGGCCCGCACCAAAGTCGCGCGCTCGCTCGTCCTCGTCGTCTTCGTCATCCGAGTCAACACTCATAAGCTCAATCCTCAGGTAGCGATTAGATGCTGGCGAGGCAAACAGCGTGGCGACTTTCCGCAGGGCGCCCGAGGCCACGTCGTCTGTGCTTCCTGCGTCGTGCTTGGCCTCATCCACAAGATTCAGGTTGTGCACGAAAAAATCGCCCACGGTGCGGCGGTCGAACGCTGGAGGCGCGCCCGCGCCAAAGCTAGGGGCGGCAAACCCAGACACGCCCGAAGCCGCCGCGGTCCACGCCAGCGCGCCCAGCGCGCCCAGAGGAACTGGCGCCAACAGCAGAGCCAGCGACACAAACCGCCGCAGCAAGCGCATGCTGTGCCGTACCAGGTTTCGAATGGTGGCCTCGAGGTCGTGTGGCGGCGCCGTGGGGAAATACTGGCCCAAGTTCAGCGAGATCAACTCGCTGGGTGGCCGCTGGCCGAAAAAGTCCCGCAAGCCTTGGGGCGCAGGTTTGCGTCCGGCCATGCGCTGGACAATCCGAAGCAGCTGCTCGGCGGCCGCGGCGCTCACTTGCTCGTTTTTCGCCGTGAGCATGATGCGGTGTTTCTCCTGTCGCTTGGGCGCAAAACAAATGGTGACAAACTCGACATCATTGAGGCGGCGCACTTGCATGTCACCGTGCACCGCAGTATGGACGTGTGTATCGTACTCATTGTCCCTGCCTCGGACCCCCAATTTTTTCAACACCTTGCGCTTGACCAGCTGGGCGTTGAAACACCCGTCCACATTCACTTTCTTCAACAGTCCGTCGGGCAAAATGAACGTCACCACGCGCATGGGCTCGCGCGGCACTATTGTCAGCTCGCCTGACTCGCCGCCCGACTCATTGTCGTGGCTAGTTGCATCAGGCTGCGTATCCTGGCTCAGTCTGGCCTCCCATGCGCGCCGAATGTCTTCGAGTGGAACTTTCTGCTTGAGAAGCTCCAGTCGGAGGTCGCCCACAGCCAATTCGAGCCGAAGGCGGTCTCCTAGTTTGGTCACGCCGAGCTCGCGGAGCGCCTCCAGGTCAAGCTCGGGGAGAAGATCGAATGTGATGTCTGCAGCAAGAAACTGCGGAAGATACTGTTCGCATGACGACTTGGCGAGCCACGCTTGAAGCTGGCTTTCGGTCATAAGAAGGTAGATTAAAGAAAGATGGATAAATACCGAGACTGTCGTGTGGACCTTTCTGCTGTGAATATGCGCTGTCCGTGTGTGTTCTTGAGATGACTTGATCCAGGTGATATATCACGGAATACACTGCTAAATAACCAATGTGTGAGGGCTGTCCTTGTATTCCAGACCACTTTTAGTTATCTCGCAACGTTCCTTCCAGGCAACCTGATTATCCGCTTCCGATCTCTTTTGATCTTAAAATTACCGTCTCGCGCTTTCTCTCAACCGGTTGCTTGTATCCTAACGTATTTCCTGTCAGGTGTGATTGTTCAGACGCTCTTGGAATAGTTCTGTCTCTGTAATGCTCCGTCGTTCTTTCCTAGCGTGGCCGCTAAAGGTTGCTTGTCCTCTCGTCAAGACAAAGAAAGACGCTTCGAGGTAACTTTATGCGGCATGCACTGAGGCGGCCTATGTATCAGGCGCAGAATGTTTCTGTGTAGGATCGAACAATTGAGATTGGCTGCCCGGCATTGTGCAGATGTAAAGTTTCAGTGTCTTGTCAGAATAAGTTTCGGGAGACAACACTGCCTCTGAACTGTGGTTTCAGAAAAATAGGAATATACGGATGGCCATTTGCAGCGGTGTCGAAAGCTTTGCTGGAATAATCCGTCGGATGCACGGGTGTTTTACAAGAAAATGCAGCTCCGTAAGCAGGTCTGGGACGGCGTATATTGCTGCCGCATCAGTGTTGTGCTACTCTATGCGGTTCTCCTTTACTAGCATACTCCTTCGTGATTTCCTTCTTTGTCTCTGGGTATGTGGAATCGAATCTTGTCCACTCTATAAATAGACGCGGCATCATCATTTTCAGCGTTAGTCTTGCATTTAAGACGAAAAGTACGACACTACTGCAGACCCTACTCCCGTGCTCATCAACCTTCATACTATAAACTGAATAGACCGTTGTAGGGCAAGATAAATGATTTTGACTAGCAGTAACGTTGCATTGTACTGCTGATTCCATTCGATAGTAAACTTTTGATGGTGCTTTGCACTTGAGGACGCATTAGCTCATGCTAATCCAGAAGCTTTGCTCTTCTTTCCCATCAGCGACGATGCAAATTGAAACGCAATCACTGCACTCTCCATTTCCTATATCCTATCTGATGGTTTGTACAGCATTCCTCAACCAACTCTAAAACTCGTTAACACTGCCCAAGGTCTCGCCATCTTTCACAATCACTTGCCTGTCAAACATCTCTCCTGGATTATTCTCCGCGCGTTTCCATGTTCTCACCTCTTTGGCCTCTTGGTTAAGTTCATACACACGTACACGGCGAATGTATCCATCGTATCCACCATAACCTCCTTCACCTGCTCCGCCGCCGTAACAAAGCCACATTTTGTGGTGGTACTCTGTCTCGCGGTCCTGTTCGTTGAGCAAACAGTAGTCATTAGCATGATCATGTCCTACAGATGCCACATGAATACCTGCAATACCAAATGCTGCTCTGATATCGACATGGTACTTGGGGCCCGCTACGCCCTCACGCATCTGGCCTATGAATGGCCGGTCCGCAGTTTCGCGGAACTCGGGGATGGGAATGTGGAAAAAGGCCATGCTGAGAAGCAGCCCTTTCGGCGCACCAGCTTCTTCCTGAAGACCTGCTGACTCTAATTCGAGCCACGTTATTTGGCTATCTTTGAACCAGTCATAACCGGGGTTTGTTTTAGGTTGTTTGGAATAGCTGTGACTGTCCAAAAAGTACAACGCAGCGCCAGCCTTCTTCAGTTTACTACTTTCCACTGCGAGAGCGTAATTTCCAAATCCATCCACTTCCTGTGGGCCAACAGAAGCGTGGGAATATGGCAAGGACGAAGCTAGTTTCATCATTTGTTCGCGTGATAAAACGCTTTCGTCGTCATGGTTACCTAAAGTAATGGCAAAAGGGATTTTCCGCTGCACGAAAGGCGAGACAGCTTTGAATAACGCAGTTTCGGGATCAGGTGCAGCCTGACCAAACACCTGGTCGCCAGTCATCACCACGAAATCAGGCTTTTCAATGTCCAACACCTCATTAATGAAGCGTAAAGTCCTAGGATCCGCCTCGCACCCTTTAGCACTAGAAGCTGGGACAGGGTCTCTACATTTTCCTACTCCAGTAGAAAAATGCAAATCAGCTACCTGAAGAATCTTGAATGTACCTTCAGACGAAAACTTAAGTGGCGGTTGGTACTCTTTGCTCTTGTAGTTCAATCTCCGTCCATAACGGATGGTCAAACGTGGCTCCATACCAGCTGGACCGCCTATGTCTTTTAGTGGGTGTGGCAAGAGATCCCAGTTGGGACGAGGGTCAACGGCATCGGGACCGAAGAGAACATCAATTCCTGTGACGGCATTTTCTGTGGCCGGGCCGTACTTGACCCAAACTCCGTGCGAGAGCTTTTTCCATCCTGATTCGTCCAATTTCTTTTGCGAGGGAATCAACAAATAGCCTTCAAGGTCATGACGAGAAGATTCTTTGTCGCGTTTTGACTTTTCTTCTTTATTTTCTTCGTCTTTGCTATGTTTCTCTTTCTCCTTTCCCTCCTTTTCCTTTTCTTTTTTCTCTTCTTTCTCTTCCTCCTCTTTCTCTTTTTCCTCTTCTTTCTCTTTTTCCTCTTCTTTCTCTTTCGTCTTCTCTTCGTCTTCCTCATCAGACTCACTGGTACCCTCGTTTCCACCCTTGGGTTCGTACATTTTCTCAAGTTCTTCAGGGGCTGGTTTCCCCTCGCCATTTTCAACCTGGCCCTTTATATCTTTCGTTTGCTCCTGTAATTGTGCAAGATCTTCGTCATCAAAAACCCGCGTCTTGTGGATCTCTTCCAAGATCTTCTTGGGAATGCATTTCTTATTACCCTTCACACGACAATCTTCCTCTGGATTTGCAACCCACACATCCACAATCACCGTGTCGCCATGCTTTTCATGATACTCTGGTTGTATCTCTTTCACCAGCAAGTACGACGCCCAAACCCACGAAGAGCCCAAAAGCAAGTTTTTGTTGACACGGATCCAGCCACCACTCGAGCCCAAGTCGCCATGTTTTCCTTCCTTATCGGACGGAAGCCCACAGTGGGGCTTCTTCAATAATTTATTGTAGTTCGCGCAAGAACCAATGGCCAAGTCCACGATATACGCATCAGAAGGCGGCTGAAAGTATTGGGGCATGTAATCCACATCGATGTAGTCCTGCAAGCGAATGAACCTCTTCTTGTTGGCGACAAGAAGAAGGAACGACGCAAACACAAGGAGAACTCCCGCATACGAAAGCTGCCGGAGCCATCTCCGGGGTAGTGCTAGCATGGTAAATCACAGATCAAAAGAACAGAAAGGATTGATATGCTGGAAATGTACCGCAAGCAGAAGAAATGTCGAGAGAAAAGGTTGGCGCGGAGTTTAGGTAGGTTAAGGCGAAGTCGCGCAGTTAGGTCTGGCGTTGATAAGGTCAGCAACAAAGATAATAGGCGCCGGGATATTTTTTTACGTTTCCTTAATCTGAAGTATGTGCATGGCCAGATGCATTGATACAAGGTGGAAAAGCTTAATTGGTGTCATTGACAAAGTTAATTATCGTGTTTGCGCCATCACACCAACTCGCCACTACATAACCCCACACTTGGTCACACATGTCAAAGAAATCATGGTATCGTATTCAAACTATTTCACTAGACTAAAAGCAGAACTGGCACGGTTTGCCTGAGCTAGTTGGACTTTTTTGCTCTCTCCTCGGCCAAACGAGCCTCTCTTTCGCGCGCCTCAGGCTCGACCTCCGGAAAGTCCTCAGCCTTAGGAATGGGCTTATCAAGACCGCCCACAACCACATTGTGGGGCTTGTTGATTTTGTTGAGCGGCACAGACTTGCCGCCGATGTTAACGGTCACGTTGTTACTGTCAGACATTACGCACAAAAAAATGTAGAGGGCGCAGACGAATAAAAGTAGCTTGTAGCAATCTTTCATACTGAGAAGCTGGGGCAGAGGGGGCAAGCGCGCACTTTTAAGCGTCGCTCCAAACCGTCTTCCGAGCGCCACGCAGGAGTGTTTCTGCCAGTGGCCCGTTGGCCCATTGGCCCAATTCTTGCCTGGGTGCCTAGAACAGAGCAAGCAGAGATTTGCGTGGCGGCTCTTTACGCTACTTCGCATTTGTCTTTTTCGCTTACTTTATTTTCTGTCTTCGAAGCGATATTTTCTGCCATTGTTCTCAATAAGCGATTCATGCCGGTTTACTTTCTTGATTGTAATGCCTGATTGCTAGAGTGGTTGGACTTGACAGGTCTCAGTCTTGAGCCTACTCGATTACGTGGCAAAGCGCGAAGGTGTGCCTTAATGATCACGACAGAGCAAAAGCAAGCCCTGTCCTTGAAAGATCTCCAATACAAGAATCAAGTAGCGCAACTGTCAAAAGCTAGATGTTAGAGTAGCCACGTTATCGTGCAGGTTCCGTAACGATAAGGCCAAACCTGTACGGCAATTGTAGCCCGAAACCCGAGATTTACGGTCTGCCTCAGAAGTAAGTTTTGGAAGGCGAAAGAAAGCAAATGATGAACTGGCCTGAAAGTATTCGATTTGCTAAAAACGATACAGTAATGTTTGGAATATTCGTGTAGACTCAAACGGAATATGGCGCAGCATTTTAGTGTGCACAGTATCACATTGCACAGTCAAACCTGGGTGACCAGATACCGTCTACTCCATTACAGCATTCGAGTCGAGATACCAGTGATTGTTCGAAACTCTGCTAGAGTAGCGACACCACCTTGATTAGACTTGAGAATATACTGAGCCCTGTTGGAAGCCCATCTGTCTCACAACCAAAATTAAACCCATTGAAAGACGGGTTCCCCATAGTACACGCTACCCCAAACAATCCTGTTGCCCACCGGCATTCTCAGGCAACTTCTCCGGTAGCAAGACTTACTGTGCCCTTGCAATTCATTCCTACGGTGTGACATTAACAAGACACGGTCTGCTGTTGTCTTTCGCTCCGTCTCGCTTTCTACTGTTTGGCTCCTTTACATTCGCTTAGTTTCGCTTTCACGCTGTCTTTCTAGCCATGGGCGACTCTTTTCTTACGTGGGACGCGGCGCAGGTCGGCGCATTTGTTGCCGCACACTCGGACGCCGACGTTGCTGCTTCTTTCATCGACAATGCCATTGACGGTGCGCTCTTGCCCTTTCTCACGACGGCGCATCTCCGCGAGCTTGGCGTGCCCACTCTTGGGGCGCGGCTTCGGGTCAAGCGGGCGCTCAACGACCTCATGGCGGCGCATTTTGCGTCGGCGCCGCCGCCCGAGGATTTCCGCCTCGCAGGCATCAACATCAACCTGAACTACGTTTCCATGGAGGCGCTTGCCCTCTGCCTGGTTCTTTTGCGCGACATGCCGCGCGCCCAAAACTCCGAAGTGGCGCGCCTTGCCGACAGCTTTTCCCGCCTCAAGGCCGACTTGCATCCGCTCGCGCGCCTTGCCAAGGACGCAAAACCGCTTCCGACCCCCACCTTGGACCCCGGTGTCCTGTCGCCCACCGCGCTGGTGGCTCTGGTTGGTCTGGGCGAGGATACGCTTCCAGCACGTGCCAACACCAACACAATAACAAGCTCTAGTTTGGGTCTGAACCCGAACCTTGCCCTCTCTGCTGCGACTGGTAACGTTCTGCTGTTGCTGCCTAGCCCCACAAACCGTTTTTCTTCCGCCTCGGTTCTTTCGATGGGCGTGGGTAAAGTGGCCGACATGCGCGGCGGCGCGGCGCGGTACTCGGCGCGCCCGCGCCTTTTGGACGCCGACCTGCCGCCCGCCCAGCCCGCTCTGGCGGGCGCACCTGTTCCTCTGGCCCACACTCCGCATTCTGCCCACTCCACTCATACGGCCCCACATTCATCCCACCCTTCCCATTCTTCTCATTCTCATTCTTCACATAGTTCCCATGCTCCTACACATGCCGCTGCGCTCGCCGGCCAGCCGCTAAAACAGCTCAAGGCGTCGTCCGACGACACATGTCTCAAGGTGCTCCAGCACGCAATGCGGCGCCACCACATCCCGCGCGAGAAGTGGTCCAAGTATGTTCTAGTCATTTGCTACGGTGACAAGGAGCGGATCCTCAAGCTTACAGAGCGGCCCGTGGGTGTATTCAAGGAGCTCACGGAGCACGGGAAAAACCCGGCCATTATGTTGCGTGAACTTGCTCTGACTCCGACGCAAGAGTACGAGGACTCAAGAATTGGAGACGATATTCCGGGTGGCACGCTTTAATCGGGCTCTCATCAATGAAGTGTCGTCGTCCTGTTGTAGCACCAGACTTCAAGATAGGATAACTGCTTCAAGTGATGAGGCTGGCCCTTGAATCTTCATTGGCGATAATGCTTGTATGGGAACGCACAATCCAGTATGGGCATCCGAAATTAGATCACACTCGTGACACGCTCGATAAAACCATTCTTCTAGATACCACAAAGATGACGTCGGCGATTTTACCTAATATCTGCTCAGATGCAGCAAACACGTTCTTTTTGCTGTGCTAAACATTCGAACCTTTGGCGTCACCAGTAACATTTACAAGAGCAAAATTATTAGATCAAAATCAGTATGAACGTTCGCTCGGTCCTTTTTTTTTTGACCAAACCCGATCCGATAACATCCAACAGAAGATCTACAGAAGTGATTCAAAGCTTTCACGGCTTGTTGGGAATAAAAGATGTAAAGAGACTTCATGCACACGACACACATTGCTTTAAACTGAGGCAAGTGGAACTACTGTCTATGTACTTTAATATTCAAATAATAAACCTTAGTCTTGAATGAATATGCAATGTTTGCTTGTCGTTTTCATCTTTACGTCCTGCTTCACCCACATTTCGATGTCTTAATTTATCCCTCGTCCTCAAATATATTAATACTGTGACGTGACGAGTTATCCTTGAACTTCAAGTCCCTCTGATTATTGCCGCACGTACATCAAAGAAGTAAGTTTCCTCTTATTTGTGAAATGAGCCAGATTAAGCACATATCTTACAATTCCTGACATGCAAAATAAGTCCCGAAAATAGATTTAGTTCAGTAAGTACGATAGCTTCCACATAGTTCTAGTATTTACCACAATTAAAATAAAGACTATCAATACATTGATCCACTTGATATACAGTAATGCCTCAGTTATGTTCAATACGTAGTTTCCATCCCTGGCCAGTACTATCATTTCATGACACTTCATACTCACCACTACGAAACGTCATAACCTGCAAATTCAAGAACCATCAACTCTTATTCATGTTTCCACCTGCTTGAATTGCCTGTTTTTTAGGGCTGGAGCCCTAATATCATCAGTCCACAGCGTGCACACTGGCTCGCCACCTATCACAATATTGGAGTTTCCTGCAGTACCAGGTTCTGGGAGAACGATGCGAAGCGGCTTGTGCACGTGACGTGAAAAAGTTGCCAGTGCGACCGCTCGTGATAAAAATTTTCCTCGCTAGTTCTTTGGTACTCTTCTCTACACCCAAAGATAATTAATCATGCCTCCAAAGTTTGATCCTAGTGAAGTGAAGTTCCTTTACTTGAGAGCCGTCGGTGGTGAAGTCGGTGCCTCTTCCGCCTTGGCCCCAAAGATCGGTCCTTTGGGTTTGTCTCCAAAGAAGGTTGGTGAAGACATTGCTAAGGCCACCAAGGACTTCAAGGGTATTAAGGTCACTGTCCAATTGAGAATTCAAAACAGACAAGCCACTGCCTCCGTTGTTCCATCTGCCTCTTCTCTTGTCATCACTGCTTTGAAGGAACCACCAAGAGACAGAAAGAAGGAAAAGAACGTTAAGCACAGCGGTAACATTCCTTTGGACCAAATCTTTGAAATTGCCAGACAAATGAGAGAGAAGTCTTTCGGTAAGACTTTGGCTTCTGTCACCAAGGAAATCTTGGGTACTGCTCAATCTGTCGGCTGTCGTGTTGACTACAAGAACCCACATGACATCATTGAGGCCATCAACAACGGTGAAATCGATGTTCCAGAAAACTAGATTTTATCATGTACACATAGGGTTTAATACAATAACGTCTGAATGCATAGTGTAGTATGGCTTTTTCTGGGTTCCCTGAATCAGCTCTTCTGGTTTGAAGCACTCGATTAGGTTTATTAGATTTGATATTTGGTCAAGCTTTTCAATTATATCCCGTCTGAATTTATGGAAAGGAATCAAGAACATCGATGGCCCGAAACAGGTAAACGTAGAACATACAGTATGCACAATTCGTTCACCAAACTCTTGCATAATTTATTCCCATAAATAACTACTGAATGTTCACGACACATCGGTCCGGGCAATGGTGGAGAAGGTTGGTGGTCTGGGTTCATCGTACATATTTTTTATTCGTCGCTTTGCCGTATCTATACTGAAACCGGTTCAAGTACTCCAAATCGTACTGAATAATTTTACAATCGTTCCTGTTTCTTTTCTCATGTTAGCGTTGTCGTACCCTATGGAAAAGCATATGGGCGTAAGAGCTTTCATTGTAAGTTTACACAATATTCTGCAACGACTTTGGAGGTCCGACTTTGGAGGTCCGACTTTGGAGGTCCGACTTTGGAGGTCCGACTTTGGAGGTCCGACTTTGGAGGTCCGACTTTGGAGGTCCGACTTTGGAGGTCCAGTTCCTTAAAATACCTACATTGTTTGTATGTATAGCTTTGGAAATAAGTTGGCTGGTCATGGTATACATTTAGCACGATGATGGTTACTTTCGCATTAACTTCGTTGGCAGACCTCATCTGTTGCGTCTAAAGTGGGAGTAGAAATGTCAAATCTGCAAAGCTTTTAGTACGCTGTGCTTTCATCCTGCCACATTTCTGATCTAGTATGGTTTTTCAGCGCATATAAGTTGTACATTACATTTGACCAACTCTTTTCAAAAAAATATTTAGTCGATTGCATGTTGCTGGTCTTACACGCTTGACTACTATTTTCTCGATGACATTGGCGATACTCGGTAACTTCCACGGTATTCATATCATTAGGTGCGAGCAGTAGGCAAAATGCAACTAGCACTGTCAAGATAGTTGCGCATATATAAGTTTTTCGATTACCTTTCTCGCTGTTTTTTTACGTAATATTTCATTTGGGATAATTCGGAGTTTTACAGAAAGAGTGTTGACTTCATTTGCTGAAAAGTTTAATCAGTGAGAGAAGCATTCTGTGTTGGTGTTGAGATTGAATGATTTTGTAATTGTAAAGTAGCCAATGAGCCTCTCTGAGATTGTCTAATCGTGTAATTTAAGGAACTTATCACATACTCAGGACAAATCTGTTTTAGACCTTTCTCGTAGTTATCTCGCGTGCAATTTCTTTTGGTGCGGAATCGCATTAAAGATGTTTACTCCACATTCTGCGCACTGATAATAGATAAAACAGAGTCCTGAAGCGAAAATCATTTTATGCCACTTTCAGCTGAGCCTTCAATACTGATTCATCTTGTACTTTGGCTATATCGCAATTTCTTGATTCTCCAAAGCCAAATTTCCCAAGTAGCTTAGAATGTTTTCCTATCGTCGCCTGCACACAGGTCTCAGCAACTTCTCCCTCCTCTATCAATATTGTCTAGTCTTCCATTTGTCTTCTTCATCCTTCATACTTGGTTTTTATCTGCTGACTCAAAATTCACCGCCATCAATTCCGCTCAGACCATCCTTTTCTTGCTCCTTTACCCTCTCTTTCCCTCTTTTTCCTCATCTGTCTTTTCTATGTCTGACTCCATAGGTATGTTTTCTGCTTCTCCTCCGCCAGCACCACTAACCCCAGATCGTGTTTTCCGCAAGGCCATCACTACGATCCGTGCACTTTCGGCACGTTCAGCCCATGGTCTGTTGCCACGCCCGCCCGCTGAAAACCGCATCCGCCTTTACGGCCTCTATAAACAAGCCACAGAGGGCGACGTTGTCCGGATCATGCCGCGGCCTGAAGGGTATACGCTTGATGATGACGGCGCCCGCCGCAAGTGGGACGCGTGGAAACAGGAAGAAGGTCTTTCCCGGACCGAAGCAAAACGCCGCTACATACTGTGTCTCATTGAGACGATGCGGGTGCATGCTAGCGGCACGCCAGAGGCACGCGAGTTGCTAGCCGAGTTGGAGTACTTGTGGGACCAGATCAAAAATGCAGAATACTCCGACGAGGAGCCTCGCTATGCCTACAACCTGGCGTTGGACCAAAGCGACCGGCTTCTGACCGGCACGATGCCGTGGCCCGGAAGTAGCTATGCGGCGCTGGTGGCGCCTGCCGCCGCACGCAGCGTGGAACAGATGTATCTGCACTCGCGCCGAGCTCGGGCGCCCGAAGATTGGCGCACCTGGCAGGGCGAGATCAACAGCATTGTGAGCAAGCTCAGCCGCGCGTATGTGCCGCCTGGTCCTGGGCCGGCTGTGCTGGACTCTTTGCCGCTAGCCGGAGGGCTGTTTTCTGGGGGCCCGCTTACGTCAGGCGCCTTTTCCGGCCCGGGGACAGGCCCTGAAGAAGATCCTCAGTCGGGTGACAATGGTCGCTGGGTGACAGCGCGCCGTGTTCTGGCATGCGTGGCGGTGGTATTCCTTGCATGGTGCTTGAAACGGAATGTGCGTGTGGCGCTTCGGCGGGACAAGCCGGACGAGCTAGTTTTGCGGGTTGGCCTTCGCAACAACCGCTGGCTTGCGCGTGTGCTTTCTCGTGTAAACGGTGCAGCAAGGCTTGCGTAAACGAAGGCAAATTCAAGATAGTTCTTTGGTTCATGCCGGTCATGTTTCCTCGCCATCCTGTTCAGGATACTGCAACTTGCAATGTGGGATATAGGAACTAGGACTTCTTGTGGTACATTTCTGGATGTGGCCTGCTTCTCTGTGATAGCATATCCATCAGAAGACCAATCCGAATGTGATCATTTCCAGTAGCAGGCTGTGCCACGCCATCGCACAATTAGCAAAATGGTGAGTATATAGTACTAATCAGCATATGGTCATTATCCTTCCGTATGTGTAATCAGCAGAAGATTCAGTCAGCTGCATCAAGCTCGTACCTCGGACGACGGGATTGAATGGGAATTTACAGCTGAACTGCAAGTAACATATAGTGAAGAAATAAAAGCAGACTTTATTGGACTTGTTTACCAGTGTGGGTGAACGGCGTTGGCTTTTAAGTTTAGAACGAGAAAAATGAAGTACCAGGTACATCGCCAGTCAGATATCTCAGTCAGATATCTCAGTCAGATATCTCAGTCAGATATCTTTGAATATACTACACAGCGAGCTTTTTTGTTTGCATGACTAATGTATTGCAAAAATGCTTGCCTCATAAACGAAGGGCCTTTCATCTCGGCTCTATGCTATATATACAACCTTCTCTTGTGAGATGTGGACTGCATCACTAATAAGCTTGGAGTCGCGAAGTCATTACCAGCACAAACCGAAGCATGTGGATATGACTCTTTTGAATTGTAAAGCCGTCTCTCGTCCCGTTGCTAGGCCGGGCTCGTTCTGCAGTAGGATAGAAAATTTTGCTGTGAATTCTCTCTTTTTGTTTCTCCCTCCTCTTCTCTCACACAGACATTTCCTCACGTGCGCATCAGTGAAAAAACTCACTCATCTCACATCTCACATCTCACTCAATCTCATCTCATCTCCATATTCCACACATTTTCCATGGATATTCATAGGTGCAGATTTGTGGACTACACTCCACACACAATCACTGCATTAGCATTTTCGCATGTCAGCGACGCTGCAGCGCCGCCGCCGCCCGCCTTGCGCCTTGCGGTGGGAAGAGCCAACGGTGACATTGAAATCTGGAACCCGCGCCACAACTGGACACACGAGTTGACGCTTCCTGGCGCCCGTGGCCGTGCTGTTGAAGGCTTGGTGTGGGCCCACGGCCTGCAGCCGCGGCTCTTTTCCATTGGAGGATCCACCACCGTGACCGAGTGGGATCTTCACACGCGGCGCCCGCGGGCCAACTACGACTGCAATGCGGGCGTGGTGTGGTGCGTGGACGCCTCGCCCAAGGGCGACCGCTTGGCGGTGGGCTGCGATGACGGCAGCGTGGTGGTCGTTGACATATCGGGCGGACCTGGTGTGCTTGAGCACGAGTTTGTGTGCCAGCGCCAGCCGCTGCGGGTGTTGGGGCTCCGTTGGTACGACAACGAGACGTTGGTTGGCGGGTGTGCCGACGGCAAAGTGCGGGTGTGGTCAGCGGCCGGCGAAACACGCGGGCGGCTTGTGGCCTCGGTGGGCGTGGACAAGGCAAAGACAGAGGCCACGTTGGTGTGGGCGGTGGTGGCGTTGCCTGCTCAGCAGCAGTACGTGACGGGCGACTCGACGGGCGCGGTGAAGTTCTGGGACGCCAAAACGCACACAATGGTGCAAGGCTTCAGCGTGCACGAGGCGGATGTGTTGGCGTTGGCGCGCGACGCCACGGGCACCAACGTGTTTTCGGCGGGCATCGACCGCAAAATCCACCACTACAGCGCGGGCGGCAAGCGCAAGCGCACCTGGCAGCACACGGCGTCGCGGCTCTTGCACGCCAACGACGTGCGCGCGCTCGCGGCCCACGACAGCAGCGCCCACCACTTGCTCGTGTCAGGCGGCGCCGAGCGCGCGCTTGTGGTGCAGGCGATGGACACGTTTGTTGCCGGGCCTTACAAGAAGATGCTCATGGCCCAGCAGGTGTCGAACGTGGCTGTGTGCGGGGCGGGCCGCCTTGTGGCGTTGTTCCATGACCAGACGGTGAAGGTGTGGCGTGCGGCTGACGGCAAACACAAGTTGGTGGCGCGGCTTGCGTTGGCTGCCGACGACAACATTGTCTCTGTCGGCCTCGGCGCGCCTGTCGACGGCGTGTGTGTGTTGGCGGTGGCCACGGTGCATTCGGTGCGGGTGTTCCGCCTCGTGGAGGCCGCGCACAAGCTTGCGGTGCGCAAGGTGCGCGACGCCAACTTCGATGTGGGCGGCGCCAAGGGCGTGTGGGTGCGCGGCACAACGCTCGTGGTGCTCACGCCCGAAGACGAGCTCTACACGTTTTCCGTGGGCGAGAACAGCGTGGAGTTGGACGACCAGCTCGAGCTTGAAGACACGCCGGGCAACACCCACGACCACACCAATTCGGTGCGCGACGTTGTGTTTGGCGACAATGTGTTGGCGGTGCTGCGCTTCAACCGCTCCATCGAGCTTGTGCCCTTGGACGGCAGCCGCGGGCGCGTTCTTGCGCGCCTCTCGAGCGCCGTGCACTTGATGGCCTTCACGCACGCGGGCACGCTCGCGGTGTTGACCGACGAAAACAGGCTCTACGAGTTTGGCATGGGCGACAGCCTCTTGACGCCGTGGTCGCAGCGCAACTCCGAGGTCATGCCACTCACCTTCTTGCGCCTCGACGACAAGCCCCAGGGCATGTTTGCCCACGCCGGCAAGGTGTGGGTCTACGGGTCGCGGTGGTTCGCCTTCTTCGACTTGGCGCGCAACCTCGAGGTGCTGAAGCTGTACGCCGCCAAGGCGCGCAAGCGTACGCGCGACGGCTTGAGCATCCGCGACGACCCGCCCACGGACGCGCTTTTGGCCCGCAGCCACATCTCGCGCCTCGAAGACGACGACGACGATTCCGACGACGACGCGGAAAACGCCAAAATGCCCTTCTGGATCACCCAGAAGTACCGCCCCATTTTGAAGGTGGCGCCTTGGGGCGAAGACATTTGCGTCGTTGAGCGCGAAGCGTTTGCTTTGCCCACGACGTCCGCATTCCAGACCCCAGTCATGAGGATTTAGTGTATAATAGCATCGCAAGCATTGAAGTGCGCAGTAGACGACGACATAGAAGGTTCACAAGTACATGTTACTTTCAACTGCTCAGTGTAGATACAGCATAAGCTTTTCCTATCATTTGGTGGAAGCAAAGCCAAAGGCTTGTGAATCTCCATGCGATTCAATTTAGTGGCTGAATTTCTGACCTTTCCCAAATTTATTGAGGTGTAGCTGGAAAAAAGTGTATTTTCGGCCATGTAATTGTTTTACTTTTTCCATGTCTGTTCTGTAAACATTTACAAAGGACCATGAGAAGCAAAACGATCACATAATGATTTCGATTCTTCTATTTCGGACTCAACTTGCGTTAAACAATTGACTTGGTTATTAAGTATTTAAATTCTCGTACACTCTTACATCGACCCTGTCATTTTCTGGATTACATTCTGTTTATTCGTCTTACAAGTTCTCATGTTACAATTAATGCTGCTCAGTCAAGCGATGGACACACACGGGCTAACTGGAAGAGCACACGTGCCCCCGCTCCAAGACCCATCAAACACTTCTGTGGCTTGTCTGTATCTTTCTCCTTATCGTCAGCTCTAAGACCAGGGTCTTTCTTCCCTCCAAATTCCTCTTTGTAATACCGCTCATACGTTTCCTTGAAAGTTCTGTGCGGCTCGAAGCTCTGGATGTACAATCCGTCCTCTGGGTCCTTGGAGTACTTGATGAACATACGCAAATGACGCTCGGCCTCCTCGTGGATTCTTTTGACTAGCTCTTCCGAGGCATCTGGTCCCATGTACAACAAGTAGTCCGCCACTCCTTCGGCTAACAACAGCGTCCAGAATGATGGGTTGTTCCAATAACGTTTCTCGTTGGGGTAATCACGGTCAAAGAAAGGCGAATCGTGCGATACCGCAGCTCCTGCCAACCCATCGGCAATCTCTTTCCATTTCTTGTCTTTGGTGACATGGTACAAATGTGCAGCGCAAGACAAGGTTGTTCCTGTGTTGTAGGAAAGCTGGCCATTCTCGATTTCCATAGTATCTGGCTGAATGCCGTCCTTGATACACTTGTTGCCCTCGTCCTGCAATGTCTTGATTTGCCAGTCAATACACTTGGCGGCGAAATCAATGTAGACGTTTGCTTCAGAAGGAATGAACTGTGCAATTTGTAAACATGCCTTGGCAACCTCGGCTGTTGTACAAGCATTGACGTATGTCTTGGACACGTGCCACTTGACACCGCCAATGCCATTGTGCCAGCCACCCATCAAGAAGCGCACCAATTCCCGGCCAAGGTCCAAAAACTTCTTGTTGCCAGTCACTTCGTATGCGGTGATCATAGCACTGGCCACTTGAGCATCATCATCGTAGTAGATATCCATATCGGTGCCTCCGTTTTCGGCCGCAGAATACCCATTGACATGTTTGTTCTTGTATTTGGCAAAAGCGTCCACGGCAGGCTCAACGAGCGGCAATAGCTCTGGATAAATACGAGCGCCATCGACAACTGCCTGGACCGCTACAGCAACAGCCCAAACCACAAATCGGTCGTCATTGTAACAGCCCGAGCACTTCTTGGGTGCTACAAATGTACCTTTCAGGGCATTGTAGAATTGGAGCCACATGGCTCTAGTGACATAGTAGCCTTCAAGATTAGGATTGGTCACTGGCATAGGGTGAAAGTGTCTAGAATTGGTTTCAAAGCAAAGAACAATGAGATGGTGTCGAGTAGTTTAGGATCTAGGAGTTAAGCAAGCAAAGACAAGCCCCATGCATGATGATAGCAATGGTACATGAACCTTGCAACCGACCGCGTTCTAGTGTGCAGGTGTCAATAACTCGAACATGTGGGGCCAAAACATGTGTTGACGGGGAAAAGGACTTTTGATCTCTCTGGAATAAATTTGTGATATAGAATATCAAATTTCTGGGTTTGCTGAGAAAAAAATATTGTTTTTTTCTGTCATTTATCTACCTCGTTCTTTTGTTCAACATACTACAAGGTTAGTCTTTAGTCAAATGACGAGGCGAAGTCTGTAACTTTCTGAAAAATAGCGAGCTTGGCGCAAAAATGGCTAAAAATAATTATTGAAAATAAAAAATAGCCTGAACGAAATTTTGCTTTTCAAGCTGAACAACAACCGGTACTAGCTCATTTGGTATCTCTGTCCTTGTACTTTCTTCACTACTAACAAACAGCTTATGATTCGAGTAAAATATTACATGACTTAGGAAGCAGTCATTTTTAACAGATATAAAATGGCTCTGTGGCCGAGCGGTCTAAGGCGGCAGACTCAAGTTCTGTTATCGTAAGATGCGCGTGTTCGAATCACGCCGGAGTCATTATTTTTTACCCTCTAGGCTAAGCAGAGAATAACTTGAAATACTAACTGGCCTCACCTTTTTAGTATTTTGATTCTATAGAATTTAATAATTGTTCTTCTCGTTAAAAGCCGTGGTCTTCCGTTGTAGTTTTAGCTTACATTAAAGCAATTTCGTGTTTGCTCGCCTTTCTGGCCCATGCAATCCGGAGAAAATTTCGAACTTTAGTTACGTCTTCATACTACATTCAACTTCTGCTTCATGTCCAGTCTCGAATAAATTACAGCATCTATTTACTTTGCGTCCAAAGGCTTTCTTGCGATGTACAACATCATTGGCGTAAACAATTTTTGCTCACCTCCAGCAACCAAGTTGACTGCGGCATCCTCCAAGGCACCAGTAACCTGCTTAGAGCCCTTTGGAGCCAAACCGATTTTCTCCATCAAACCCACGACATTGGTGGTGACAGTTCTACCAATCTTGGATGTTCTAAAGATTGTGAAACAGTCAGACAAGGTCTGCACGTATTTCCATTCACCGGCCAATGGGTAGTACCAAGGAATCTCGTCGTTAACATCGGCCAAATCCTTTTCGTACTCAATGTCAAAACCAACATTCTTCAACGCCTGCTCAGCAACCTCTCTCTTGTACATCTTTGGAATACCATCACCGACTTCAATACCATAAGCGATCTTGCGGTGCTCTTCGTTGTTTTCATCGTACTTGTCGGTCATGACCCACTCGTAAACACCGAAAACTCCTCCAGGCTTCAAAACCTTGTAAATCTCAGAGTAGACACCTTCCAATACAGGCGCATGCACGGTAGCCTCAATCGCATACACAGCGTCGAAGGACTCAGGCTCAAAGTCCATTTGCATAAAGTCACCCTTAACGTAAGACAACTTGTCATCCAACTTGTACTTCTTTGCGTAGTACTGGGCTCTTTCGACCTGATAGTCGTTGTTGTTCAAACCAACAATGGTGCAGTCGGTGAATCTGCAAATCTCTCTTCCTGGGCCACCAACACCGCATCCAACATCCAAAACTCTCATGTTTTCGTTGATGTTCATCTTGTGTGCCAAAAAGTGCTCGTGTCTGGCAGTGGCCTGTCTGAAAGCTTCGCCCTTGTAGTAACGAGAGAAGTGGAAAGAAGAACCCCAGCCGTATTCGTAAAAGTCGGTGACCAAGTTATAGTAGTTCTTGGTCAAGCTCGAGTAGTCGTCCAATCTTTTCTTCTCATCGTCTTCTGAAACACCTCCGTCCCAGTGTTTGAAGTAGCCATTGGTAGCAACGTCAGATGCTTCTTTGGCCTTGGCCATGAGCGCAGAAATGCCTCTCTTCTTGTAAGAGTCGCCATGCATGGCTTTGGCAAACTCCTTGTCCTGCTCGAAATTTTTCTCGGCCAATTTAACGGAAGTCATCGTTGAAAATGCTTGATGTGAGAGTGTTGAACTGAGAAATTCTCGGGCGGGTCCATTTGCAGGCGCACTGTGTTTTATACTCTGACGCGCCTTTTTTTTTTCCGTCTGTTGTCGCGCCGATCGTATGCTCGTTTAAACTACTCGTATACACATCGCACAAATGCAGAGCCTCAATCTTTCCTACATACTGCCTGTCCCATGTTTCCATAATCTCTGACACAGGACACTGCCCCCTTTATAAAGGGGAGAAACAGGCCCAAATTAGAAAGAAGGGAAAAAGGAGAAAGGCATCCAGTAGGGCCGTATTCCCGTTCATTAGTTACTTCACCAATCGTGCTTCACCGCTATTCCATATCCACATCGTACTCAACCTGTTCTTCGGTTGCGAGAAGCTTGTCAATTTCTTCGAGATCATTATCGATGCTGCCGCGCTGCGGCTCTGCACCTTGTTCCGCATTTGCACCCTGTGCATGCTCTGTGTCAACCAGAACTTCTGGGGCCTGCACTTCTCGTTCTTGGGGACCGTCGTCGTTTTCGTCTTTGAATGAGGTTTCAGCCATTTCCGTAACCGAGTTGGCCCGTGACCTTTCCGAAGGCGTGGGCGTGGCACGTGGTGTCTCTTTTTCTTTCTGCGTGGCTTTAGTAACCAATTCATTCACCGCTGCCTGGAACTTGTCAAAGCTCTTTTCTGTAGGTGCGTCCAACACATAGTCTGCATTATCTTTACGATCAGAAATCAATTGCCTCGTGTCATCAATAGCACTTTTCAAGCCGTTGAGCAAATCGCACCCCAAGTCTTCATAAAGTGACATCTTACTTAAACTCTGGATGATACATTTCTTCACGTGCTTTGGAGAGTCTTGCTCCAAAACCTGCAATAAATTCATCACAAGCCAGAAATGAGATGGATTAGCCCTGGCGTCCTTTTCTGATACATTAACCAAGTTCGCAGGATCACACCAGTAAATGAGTTGTTGCAACATTGTGGCTGGAGGCGCCAAGTTCTCGTACCGACTAAACTCACTATCATTGCGGTAAACACGATAGAAACAGTCTCCGCTCACGGCACATATCTTCTTCTGATGACTCTCACGACTGAAAGCATACACAGGAAGACAGAAAGCAAGCGTCTGTTTGAGCTCTTGATTTTCTGCATTCAAAGGATGGAAATAAGATAAGAGCAAGACCTCAAGCAACTGCGTTTCCTGTTGAGCTTCTTCCTCGACCTCTTTTCCAATTTCTCCCTTACCAAAATCAACTAATAAGTCTGCCAAAAAAAGTTTGCAAAGCCCCTCCGCAACTACAGCTTGCAAGCGAGGCATTTCGTAAGTTTTGAGCAAGCTATAGAAAAGCCTGGCCAAAGAAAGGGAATCAACCGAGTTTCCCTCACCACTATCCAATATACCGACGCCATGGGTCGACAAAACATCAAAAATAATCTTAGTAGACAATATCTTGAGCTCCTCATCGTGTGCCTTCGATGCACTCATTCCAAAGAATTTCAAGTTTGATGTGCCCAAACCCTTATCTATGAGAGCAAACAAACCCAAAGTTCTATAACCCAATAAACGAATCTTCGGATTCACATTGTTGGAAATTGCAGGCCTAATTAACGTATCAATCAATGATTCAAGCTGGTAAATGTTTGACAGCGTGTCCTCAACCACTTCTAGATAATGTTGGAGAATAAGCAAACACTGTTCGAGTAAATCATCTGGCGGAAGTACTGGAGCAAGCTTTCTGCGCTTGTTTCCAGGATCTTGATTTCCTTCCGAATCGACCTCATCACGTTCGGGATCTTCCTCCGCATCCTGAAAATTATCACCTTCCCCATCTTCCTCATGACCTTCATGCTCATCGAAAAGGGACATGGCCGAAACAAAGGTTTCGTCATTTTCATCTGCATTAGAGTCTCTAATATCAGTAATGATTTCGGTGCAAAGACTTGAGAAGTAGTTCTCGTCGATGGAAATTCTGCGCAAAATATTCACGGCTATTCCTATGAGTTTTTCTGAAAGCATATCATTTGTCAAAGATGCGGTGATAATCGGCATCAATCTTCTTGTTCCCGCTACATCTGCAAAGTCACTTCCTTGAATAATCAAAAGCAACTGCTCAATAATGAATTCCAATTCCTTGAGTTGCTCTCCGAAAGGTTGATACTCATCTTCTAAATCAAGAGTAGAGTCGATATACTTGTCTCTTTCATTCGATTGATGATTAATGCTGTTGGATACAGCCTCAAGTCTTTCTTGATATCCAGTCACTGACGTGGAAAGATTTTCCATTGCCGTTTCGGACTCTTCCAACTCGGACTCTAAGTCTTTGATTTCGATTTTGAGATCGGAAATTTCCTGCAAATTCATATCATTCGATGATTCCTTTTGGTTTGCTAACTTCGATAGAGCCTTTTTCTTCAGAGCAATGTTCGTTTTCAAATCGGCTATTGATGATTCCAAGTGGGAAATATGAGAGGTCTCTTTATTTATCTTCTTGTTTAGCTCGAAAATCTCAGCATTGCTATCCCTTAGTAACTGGGAGAACTTAGCGACTTTGCCTTTGTGAACCGCATAACGCTCTACTAAACTTGCGTTCAGATCCAATATCTTGCTTCTCAACTTCAAATACTCTTGAAGGATAAATGCCATCTTGATAAGTTCAGGATAATTCTGCTCCACTAAATCATACAACTTGTTCTGAGTACAATAATCAAAGAATGTGCGAATGAAGAACGCTTTTTCAACCGTCAATTCCTTCCAGTCATCTGACTTGACCTCTATAGCAGTTAACTTGTCATGCTTCAGGGTAAAGAATGCAGACATAGCGGTTTCAGCCGCAGTGCTACCCATTATTTGGATGTTTTCGAGCAATTGCAAAATGTCATCATTGGCAAGAGAAAGCCACGTTTTCGTGAAGGCCGCTTCAGCTGCCAGCTTTACACCTGCATCTCTGTCATTCAACCCCCAATGAAGAAGCTTTTCACGGGATGCCAGGTCCATGCTTTGGAAACTAGTAAATTCTTTTAAGATTCGCGAGTATACCAAACGGCGATTAATGAAATTGACGTCTCGAGCACGGCCCAAAATGTCCGGGATGGTCGACGAATTCTTCACCAAATTCAAAAGAGCCGCACGCCTGACTTCAGGAGAATCATCATGGTTTAATGCCTTGAGCAAAGCTTTTGTAGCTGAGTTTTGCCCGTCTGGCTTATCTTCCAGAAAATACTGGAAACGTGAAATTGCTACTACAGCCTGGATCCGGACCGTGGGCTCCCTATCACGCAAACGACGGTTTAAAGAATAATGTAAAGCCTTGAAGAGCTGTTCATCAATCTCAGTGATGTAGTTGACCAAATAGGCTAGCAATTGCACCACTCTGTATCTGACCTCCTTGTATTTGGATTCGATACCTCGGAGAAAATGGCGGATGAGAGCGTCCACAAACTCAGACGAGACACTTTCCAATTCTTCACCATCCTCTGAGTAAGCGCCATTGACACGCGGCGTTGGATTTTCAGCTTCTTCTTTGGAAATCGTCGCCACAAACACGGAGCAAAGCTTGGCGATCCGGTCAGCGACAGGAACACCTTTTTTCAACCGCAAGATCTTCGAAATGAGCTTGGTGAAATGGAAGTTGAACGCCTCCTCGTAACCCAAAGAGATGGCGCGGATCTGGAGGTGTCTTAGGAGGACCACGAGTTTCCTATGGCCCGACAAGGACATCTGAGCGTCCTGAAAAATATGGGCCATCGCCTGGGCGATTTCTGGAAGAGAATCGATTTTTTTAATCGACACTAGTGTTGGTTTGGCCGCAGAAATCATGGTATCGGAAAAGACCAAGGTCAGTATCTAACAAAAACAAAAGACACCCTAGGTGCAGGCCACACACGTAAGTGTTGATGGAGTGAGAAATATGCGACGCATGTCCAACAAGGACCCAAACTACGATATTAGGAAGCTTCTACAATTCGAAGAAAGAAAAAAACAACTAAATGTAGCTGGACAATAATTGGGGTTGCAACCAGTTATAAGTTCCGGCTTGGTCTTTTCTCGTCATCAGTACATCCTTTGGTATTTCCTTCAGTATTTCAGCTGGAAGGATGAATTAAAGAACTGTTGGACTAAAACGTTGTTTCCTTACGTCAAGTAGGATACTTTCGACGCAGTGGAAAAAAAATTGAGTGGTACGGGAATCGAACCCATGTCTCCTGCTTGGAAGGCAGAAATGCTAACCATTACACCAACCACCCATCCTGTATGGGCTATATTTTTTGAAACGTACTTATGAATCGACAGTGACAGAAGGCACAGCGATGTTTACTAGTTTGGGTTGCAATATGGGCTTGCACATTATTCTTACATCCTATCATCATGAAGAAGCTTATACGGTCACCATGCGATGATAAGCAGAGATTTTACTCCTGTAAATTTTCTGTAGCGAGCAATCAGACTCTATAATGTGGTAAGCGACCTACTTCAAGCGTGATATTCTTTGTCACAGCTGTAAATGAACCATAAGGCTGATGTCTAGGAAGAGTAAAGTATTCCGAATCGACATAAGTGGGTTCCTATAAGCTGAACGTTGTCACGGGAAGAATTCCATAGACCAACCTATTGAAAAGCGCAAATCATCACCCTAGTCGATGAGATCCCATCATCATTCTACCAACAAAGTTTGGCATGACCACTAGGAACAGCCACTTATGTTCACGTAATTGTTCACTTCTTCAAAGGGGAACTTCTCGATATATCCGCTAACAATGACTTTGCTCTTACTCTCTTGGTGTTTCCACGTTTCCCAGTGTAGTCACGAATGCACATGTCGAGGCGAATAGCGCGAAAAATACTTCAACACGCCTGCACTCGCCTATGCTCGCCTGCACTGACCTACTTCTCACCTTCATCTTCCTCCAGCTCCCCACTTTAACATGGCACTCTTGGCGTCCAGCGTGCCACACACGCACACGGACACACACACCGACATCACGCGAACGTTCTTTGCTGCCGTTGACGCCATGCCGCGCGGGCGCATAGCCGTGTCGCCCCATTTCAACATGCTCGACGGTGCGCGGGCCTTGGAGGTGGGAAACCCGCGGCTAGACACGGGCCTCATGCCTGTGCGGGCGGTCGACGTGGAGTTTGACGTGAAGAAGGAGCTCGATTTGGCGCAGGTGGCGGCTGTCATGAACAGGCTCGTGGTGCTGTACACGGATTGGTTGGGCGGCCTGCCGCTTCTGGTGACTGTGCTCAGCTGCCGGTATGTGGTGGACTATCTCGAGAAGATGGACACGGAGGTTATCGCTGGGTGCAGCAATGGCAGCAGCACGGAGCCGAACACATGCGATGGCGCCAATGACAACAGCACGTCCAATGGACAAACGGATGGCGCCGGAGGGCCGGTCGCCAACGTGCTCCGCCCCTTTGTTGCCGCGCTCTGTTTCGTGGTAGGGTTCACGCGCGACGTGGCGCTCAGCGTGCTCTACGACGAGGAAGACGTCACCACGCGCGCCATGGATTTTACCTTTTCGCGCGAGCGCCCGGCGGCAGTGGCTGAACAACTCGACGCGGCCGCAGCGTGGCTCGATGTTCCCGACCGCAGCAAGCATGCGCTGGCGGCGGCCGCGCGCGACTTGGTGCGCCTTGCACGCCGCCTCGTGGCGCTCCTGGCGGTGCTCGAAGTGCGCGGCGGCATCTTCGCTGCGCCGGGCGCGGCCATTGAATCCATCTGTAGCGTCATGGCAGACGCGGAGAAAATCGCTGTGCGTTTGCAGCCTCTTGAGCACGCGCCCGTCCCCGACGGCTCCTTTTCCCATTTCGTCCAGCTCTACTGCAATAACAGACACATTCCGGGCAAAGTGGTGGAGGGCAACCAAGACGGCGCCTATGGCGAGGTGGCGCGCACAGTGGCCAGTGTGCGCCTGTTTGTCGAGGCGCTTCTGCGGGTGCGCACTTCGCGCCATCTCCACACATATCTCGAGTACACGGCGCCGCAAATGGCGCTGCGCTTTGGCGTGGTGGCCCGCGGCTTGTTCCAGCTCTACCTTGTGCGTGACGACCGGTCTCTTGCTGCTCTGGCGGAAACGGTGCTGTCTTTCGCTGAGGCGCTTGCCGACGGTCTCTGCGCGCGCGACGCCGTGCCGCTTTTCCGCCCGGACCTATGGCCCGACGCTGCGCGCGACGCCGCGCAAGACCGCGCGCTTCTGTTGTGCGCCGACCTTGAAACCACCGTGTTCCACCAGCTCGGCGCGTGGGCGGCAAATCCTTGTCGCCGTCGCCAGCTCGATAGCCGCGCCATAGTCATGTGGGACCTGCTCCAGGCCGCTGCAGAACAACTCGAGGTGGAACTTTTCTCCCACGGCGTCGGCGACCGTCTTCCATCGGAAGAGCCTGCCCTCGCGGTGCTGTCGTTTGTGTACTACCAGAAACTCGTGGTGATGGCTGATGTGGCGTCGGCTGGTTTTGCCCACGAACTTTACATGCCTGGAGAGGCCGCCCAAATGATGTGGCTACTGGGTTACCTTCACCAACACGCGCATGAACATTTGACGCGGCGTGTGCAAGTGGTGAATGACGCAAAGGCAATGGGACCAGCGCAGTGGTCCAAGAAAATCAAGCGCACCAAGGCGGGGCCCAAGAAAGACGCTTACCGTGCCGCGCTCCGGCGCGCAGAGGCAGCGGTGCCCCAGGCTGAGGAGAATTTGCGCGTGCTCACCAACTTCAGGGCGCCCGCCCACTTTGCACAGCTGCTTGTGGCCAACGCTGTCTCGCACGCTATCAATTTGTTCTGCGCCTGCCTGTCCACGCCGATTCACGCTCTATCGCGCGATCAGTACGGCCTCCGCATGAAACCATGGGCGTCGGTGGGCGTCCCGGAAATGCCTACCTTTGAACACTGGCAGAAGCTTGCTGAGCCTTACAGAGCATTAGCAGCAATTGTGGGCCAGCTGCCGGAGAATTTTCTGGACGCGGCTCGTTCACAGGTGGCTGCTTTGGCTCAAGCAATAAATGAAAAGTTGGCGCGGGCAGCAGCGGCGTGCACCGAACTCTTGACTGGGCTTACAAAACTCGAGGGCGTGATTGCTTACGAGGGCGGCGACGCTGATGTGCGCGCGCACTTTGACCTGCTCGCGCGGACTTGCGTGGCGTACAAAATAGAAGTGGGGCGCGCGCAAAAGACGTTGGCTTCGGGCCGTGCGCTTACGCTCGCCTCGCGCCCAGGTTATCTCGAATGCATCCCCATTTACCATCTCCACTAAGTCATTGGCTCAGCGCTGCATTTGCATTCGGAGATTCCTGTCATATCCCAATACTAAGACACGTGCGACGAGAGAAAAAAAGAAATGACTGACTGCCGTCCGACTCAAGCAGACACTGTATGTGTTTTTGTGGTGAGTCATCAGGCCGAGCGTAACAGGAGCATTTCACTGTCAGATGACATTGCATAATCTAGCTTATAGACAATAGAGTCAGAAAGAACACAACTAAGCGTTATCTGTAGCATTATGCCTAGATTTTTCTCTAGTATTTATCGTAGGATATTACAATTTCTGTGGATCCGAAGCCTATTATTATCAACAGAAGTAGTGCCTGTATTTTTCTTTTTTTGCCTATAGTTCCACCGTGTCGAGGACTAAAGAGCCGTAGAAAACGAATCTTGTTGTTTCAATACACTCATGCTTGGTTCTCATGTTGAAATTTTTTTATTTCAAACTGGTTCTCTCCGAAAATCTCTGCCGCATATGAAGTCAGCAAGAGTCATAGCCATTGAACTTTTTACAATAAGAATTCTGCATCGCTTCTTTACGCATTGTAACCTATGGATAATCTCTTGGAGTATTGTCCCACGCGTTTCATATAAGCACACAGTTGATTCTTCATCTGGCTAGCAGAATGGAAGACTCCCGGAATACTTTGGAAAGATTTTAGATAAGCGGCTACAGAGATAATAAATTGCAATCTCGAACTCAGCTTCCACTGTTTTCTGCGCATCCGACTTCGGAACACCAAGATTTGTCAGCAAGTCCGTAATCCGAGGGCTGCGGGGTCGGTTTTTAACGGTTTTATATCAGAAAACTCGACGGAACCGGACATATTCCACTCAGAAGTCCAGACAAGTGTGACTGGATCACCAAAGTAATAAGTGCCCACACAACCAACAACTTTTTTTTCTCTTGGGGGCCTTTTGGTTTTGCCAAATTAGCACCATCGTGTCACAATTCCGAGGGTCTCCGCCCGTTTGCCCTCGGATGTCGTATGCATCCATGCGCAATATAAGACGCTACGTTTTCTCATCCCCGCTCCAGCCTTTCGATAAATTTTTTGTTTATAAACTCACGTCTCGAGTCTTTATTATATTATATTATATTACTGTCTGTTTGTTTGCCTTGCCAAGGATATTTGCGCCCATATAACTTACGTTTCCTATTATTTTCCCGATACCCATACTACCAAGAAATAGCATCCGCTAGAGTCCCATACTATTTTTGCCACCCATCGACTAACTCCTTGCCGTTAAAGCCTGTCGCCCACAACTATACGTAAAACCTAAAGGGCCCCTTTCCTGAAATGTCGGACACAAAGAGAAGTTACAGCGAGGACCCAGAGTCGGTCGCAGCCCATGAAGACAAGAAACCACACACAAAACCAGGGCGGAAACCTATTGACGCCGAGCCCAAGTCGAAAAGAACAGCCCAGAACAGAGCTGCACAGCGAGCTTACCGTGAGCGGAAAGAGCGCAAAATGAAGGACTTGGAAGAGCGTGTGGCGCACTTGGAAGACGACAAGATCAAAGCTGCGTCCGAAAAGGATTTCTTGCGGGCACAAATTGAGTTATTGAAGGGGGAGTTGAGTCGTTACAAAGGAAGCAGCGACATTTCCGAGCTCCTAAACTTGACCGCGAAGCAGTTTTCATGGAACCAGAAGGACAGCGCCCAGAAACAAGTCAAGGAGGAACCTCGGGATAAACCTTCCACAAGCCCAGAAGGGCAACTACCGGATTTGGTTAGCGGTTCCTCCTCCTCCACATCTCCGCTTGACGATACCTTGCACATATCAACCAACTCGAGCGAAACCTCTGCGTCTTTGCACCAGGGTATCAGCCCCGAGAACCAATTTAGTGCCGGTTTTGAGGAGCAACTAGATCCTTTCTGTGTCAACTTGAATGAGGCATGTGGCAATAAACTGCGACCTGAACCCAAGTACTACAGGTCCAGCGATCCTGTGCCACCACTTAGCCCAGAAGAGTTGAACGAACAACAAGCCAATAAATGGAAGTACGAATCTCCATTCCATACGCTTTTTTCTCCGAATGAGAGCGTGAACGATCCATTTTTCAACTCCACAGGAACAGCTTTCCACCTCCCTGTGACCGACGTGAACGATGACCCCTTGTCTTTCTTGAACGACAATAATTTCGACGTTTCTTTGGCCTTGGGTCCAGGAAACGATGTCTTGCCTGGCAAGAATGCGGACGCTGATCCGCTTGCAGGCTTGACTACAGAGGAGTCTATGTACGATCCTTTGAATCTGGTGAATACTGACTTCAACTTCAACGAATTTGTCAAGAGTAGTCTCCCGTCGGATGTTAGCTCACATGCTAACTCAGTATTGGATGCCAGCAAACCTGGCTCCTCGGCCACCAGCGTCAACACCTTCACCAGTCCTGTGGAAAAGGACGACTTAGAAGTTGTTCCAGCACCAGGAAAACAAGTCAAGTGCTCTGAAATATGGGACAGAATCACCTCGCACCCAAGATACACAGACATTGATATTGATAGCTTGTGTAGTGAATTGAAGAGCAAAGCCAAGTGCTCGGAGAAGGGTGTTGTGTTGGATGACAAGGATGTGGATTCGCTTATTGCGCGCTCTGCTGTCAAGCAGCGCTGATTTTTTATTTAGTCTGATTTAGGTTAACAATTACGGGATAAAATTGTGAAACGGACAGCGTAGTTAGTTAAATGATTTTGAGAACCAAGCGTTGAGATTAAGTGACGTTAGTCTACTATCAAAAGTAGAAGACTCGCGCGACTAATTTAATCAATCTGTTTAATTGACTCAGTTAGTACTACGTTTACACCATAATAACCAAAGATGACTTGTGGAGAAAAACAACAACCAGAAGCAAAAGAAATAAGCGGAAGTACCCTGTTCTGACACCTTCCATAAATGCACTAAACAGAAACTTATTTCTACATCTTTCTTCATTCAAATTTTTTTTCTTACGGTGATGCTGAAAGCTTGGTGATATTCAGACATCGTATCAAAGCGAATAATTTCAACACCTTCGCTGTTTGCTTAGTAGTATTATTGTAGAAGTATTTTTGTTCCACCAGAGGTTGAGGCTACAAAGCACTACCTGCAGTACGCTTCATATCCAATCATGCGCAAGTTTTTTCTCATGCAATTCTGCTACACCACCACGGATCGCCATGTCTACTTCCATTATCCGTACCATCAAAAATATCTATTCGTCCGGACTTAAAAGGGCCGCGTGGCAAATCCAAGTCCACAATGATACCAAAAGAGGATGGCTTGTGGGCGAGGACGACTACGGTAACAAGTACTACGAAACCGACGTTCCAGAAGAAATCCACTTGAGAACAAGATGGGTCGAATACGCTGACTGGGGCGTGGACATGTCCAAAGTGGAGCCAGGTTGGCATTACTGGTTGGGTTACGGAACGAACACCCCACCCAACAAATTGCCCGAAAGCCAAAAGGCAGTGAGACCATATCCATTGCAGAAGCACAAGATGTCATTGACGGGGACCAGGGGCGCCTATGTGCCATACAACACCGCTAAGCCAAAAACTGCTTCGTGGGTTCCAGAGGTGAGGGAAAGAGTCTAAGCATTTATTCTAATAAACGATACACGGAGAAGCTGTAAGATGGCAGGCCTGAGATACTTTGCGGCTGTGGCATCAGTGATACGATACGAAGTTTATACTACTTTTAAGGATTTAGAGTATTATGGGATGAATTCACAGAAAGAACTAAAGTTCCAAAGGCGTTAAGGTTCGAAAAATCTTTATAATCAACTCACACAACATGGGTCATTCATTTAGACTCACGTATTCTGTTCGGTTCAGTAGTCCAATCAGCTCAGATGCATCATTGTTGGGTTTCTATTGACAAACAAAGAAAGGGCAGCGAGACTGAGACATGTAGTATGAGATTGACATTCCGAACATTTATCGTAGCGAACGACGAGGAAGAAACAGAAACCTGTAAAGGTTCCATACTGAGGAAAAATATAAATGAGCAATTCATTAATTTCTTTCAAACAATATAATATACTCTTAATTCACTAGACCAATCGATGCGCAAGTATGGATGGCTCATAAAGTGAGCGAAGAATCTAATTCAAGCGACGCATTATCTGAAACGGATCAAGGATAACGGTCTATACCACTCTAAATTGAAGTACTATCCGATGCTTGATAATTTTAATTCTACGAAGCCAATATTGCATTAGCGATTGGTTCAGTGAGGAATTCCAGGATGTGATCTCAACTTCCAGCTACCTTCTTCTATGAGAAAGGGAGGCACCATAAAAGCTTAACCCATGTACGAGGTTCTCTTAAAGTAAGTATAGTTCAATATGTTGTTGATCCCCCAACATTTTCTGCACTATCTTCTGGTACTTAAGTAGACAAAGGTTAAATCAGTGTGAGAAACCAAAGTCACTGATAACCCTACAAACGCACTATAGTGATAGGAAAAGACTAAATTCGAAAGAAATCTCTATCACCACTATCCTTTTCGAACATCGAATCAATCCATTACCAGACAAACCTGTTTATGTGCATACAAACCTGTGCAGATGTGCATCACCATAATCAGCGCAGATTTGCAATCTCGCACAAGAAATAATTTTTCAATCAATGGGTGAATCGAAACTTCCGCCACTAGCTGCCGATGCAGTTCTCAAGCAATCTGTAGCTGTCCCAGACTCTTTTGTGAAAGTTTCTGGTGTTGACTATTCTGCTGACTCGGCCTACAATGCTCGGGCCACCGACTTGATTGATTCGATGAGAAACATGGGTTTTCAAGCCAGTTCGGTAGCCACTGCCTGTGACATCATCAACGAAATGGATCTGTGGCGTGGAGAGCACCGTGACCTGTTGGAGGAACACAAACGTACTGGTGAGTTTGACTCGCAGGGTTTCCAAAAGGCCACGGTTTTCATGGGTTTCACTTCCAACTTGATCAGTTCCGGCTTGCGGGACACGTTGCGCTACTTGGTGCAGCACAAGAAAGTCAGTGCTATAGTGGCAAGTGCAGGTGGTATCGAGGAGGATTTAATCAAGGTGTTGGCTCCTACTTATATGGGTGACTTTGCCTTGCCAGGAAAAGGCTTGAGAGACCAGGGCTTGAACCGGATTGGTAACTTGTTGGTTCCTAACGACAACTACTGCAAGTTTGAAGAATGGATCGTACCTATTTTGGACCGTGTCCTTGAGGAGCAACAGAAGGCGCTCGAGGAGCTTGGCGCTGAAGCTTTGAATGCTGACCTGCCTGCTGTGTGGACTCCGCTGCGGTTGATCGACCGTTTGGGCCAGGAAATCAACGACGAGCTGCTGGTTCTTTACTGGGCGCACAAGAACAAAATTCCAATTTTCTGTCCTGCTCTCACCGACGGATCCATCGGAGACATGCTTTTCTTCCACACCTTCAAAGCGTCTCCGCAACGTCTTCGCTTGGATATTGTGGCCGACATTCGCCGCATCAACTCCATGTCCATGGAAGCATCTCGTGCGGGCATGCTTATTTTGGGTGGTGGTTTGATCAAGCACCACATTTGTAACGCCTGTCTCATGCGGAACGGTGCAGACTGGGCTGTTTACATCAATACTGGACAGGAGTTCGATGGCTCAGACGCTGGCGCTCGCCCAGATGAGGCTGTCAGTTGGGGAAAAATCAAGGCCGAAGCCCGGTCGATCAAGGTTTATGCGGATGTGACTGTTGTTTGGCCTTTGATTGTGGCTGCAACATTTGCGGCTAAAAGACCTGAACAGGCTGCTTGATAGATGAAGTTAGATAATGAAAATAAAACGAGTGCCCGGCATTGTGAGTAGAGCTCTAGAAGCTCAATGACTAATGAAATAGAATGAGAGAACGGAAGATAAGTAGAGACATGCAGTTGCATGAACAGAAAATGAGACAACTGCAATTTAAAGAATATTGTGATGGCAGGATTATGTGATAGGTGACACAATTTACTAACCTCAAATGCGCTGGAGCTAACAGGAAAAGAGATTGAAATTGCTTATGAGAGTACAAGAACGCTCTATTGAAGTCAAACCATGCAAGAAGTAGACTCAATACTAAAGTCTGCAACTTTGAAGCAAAACAGGTTTCTTCAACCAATTGCATTATGAGCAAAGAATGTACGTCTCTTGTTCTGAAGGATGTCTTGCTCTAATCGAAATTCTCTCTATCCATGATCTTAGACCCACATTGCTTCATACCCTAACAAATGATCATTTCCATGGCTTTCCATTTGTCCCAAAACAAAGGCCTTACTACAAATGATTTCCACTAAAAAAAATTATGCTCCATCGACATTACCCTACTAATACTCAGTCCTGGAACATCAGGTACTAAAGCTACTAGCACTATCAAGTAAGAAGTGGAAGAGCAAAAAACGAAGCCACACAAAAATTGCCTATACCTTTCTACTTTCGATTCGGCCATTTTTATCTTTTCCTTGCATCTTAGCCAGAATAGCTCATACCCAGCCGTTGGCCCTGTATATGCACCATGCTAAAGTGTGGTGAGAGATTGGCGCCGTTTGCGTAATCGGCGCGACATTCCGCACCGGCTTTCCGCTTTCTGCTCCACACTTTTGTCTACACACAACTTCCCACCGGTTTCATTCGTGGCAAAACAACACCACTTTCTTTTCTTACTCTCGTTTGTCAATGTCGCTCCCACAGATTGAGCAGCAGCTCCGCGAGCTTCTCAAAGACCGCAATGTCGCAGAGTTGGAGGCGCTTTTGAAAACGTCTGCTCTGCAAAACCAAACCCACCACTATGACCAGGGATATTTTGACGCCCATGCTCTGGCCTATATTGACTTCACATACGAAAACCCCACCATCTACCACGTGGTGCAGCACTTTGCTGCGCAATTGCGTGATGCCGGCTTCGTCTATCTTGCCGAGAAGGACTCCTGGAGCAGCATCAAGCCAGGGAAATACTACACCATCCGCAATGGCGCTGCGTTGGTGGCGTTTGTTGTCGGTTCGGAATGGACCCCGCTGAAGGGTGTTGGTGCCATTGGTGCACACATTGATGCTTTGACCGTGCTGTTGAAGCCCAATTCCACCAAGCCACCAGTTGAGGGCTACGAGCTTCTTGGCGTGGCTCCGTACGCTGGCACCTTGGGCGCGCCATGGTGGGACCGTGACTTGGGCGTGGGCGGCCGTGTGTGGGTCCGCAAGGACTCAAAGGTTTCCCTGCGTCTTGTGGACTCGACGCCGCATCCGGTGGCAAAGATCCCCACTTTGGCGCCCCACTTTGGCGCTCCAGCGGTCGGTCCTTTCAACCTTGAGACACAGGCTGTACCTGTCGTAGGCTATGTGGGCGACGAGCCGGAACCAGAACCTACGTCTGCAGAAAAGGCTTCTCCTTTGTACGGCAAACATCCGTTGCGTTTATTGCGCTATGTGGCCAAGCTTGCTGGCGTCGAGGTTGCTGATATTGTGCAATGGGACCTCCAGTTGTATGACGTTCAAAAAGGTGTGCGTGGTGGTTTGCAGAGCGAGTTTGTGTTTGCTCCCCGTGTGGACGACCGTGTGTGTTCTTACGCGGCCATCAACGCGCTCCTTGAGGCAGACGCAAGGGGAAAGCTTGCCGATGACTCTTTTGCCGCCGTCGCTTTGTTTGACAGCGAGGAGATTGGCCTGGGCACACGCACTGGTGTCCGTGGCCAGTTGCTAGAAGCCGTGGTGGCCCGTGTGGTGGCTTCGGATTTGTATGGTGGAGGAGCTGAACAGACTCGCCAGACTTGGGCCAACTCGGTGGTGTTGTCTGCAGACGTGAACCATTTGGTCAACCCAAACTTTGCCGAAGTTTATTTGGAAAAACACAAGCCTGTGCCCAACACTGGGTTAGCTCTCGCGCTCGATCCAAACGGCCACATGGCCACCGACTCCGTCGGTGTGGCGCTCATGGAGGACTTGGCCCGCCAAAACGACGACAAGTTGCAGTATTTCCAGATCAGGAACGACTCTAGATCTGGTGGAACCATTGGTCCGTACTCGGCCACACAAACAGGCGCACGTACCATTGACGTTGGTATCCCACAATTATCAATGCACTCGATCCGTGCCACTTTGGGTGCCAAGGACATTGGTTTGGGTACCAAGTTTTTCGCCGGCTTTTTCGCCAACTGGCGCAGTACCTACGACAAATTTACTGAGTTATAAGCGCATGTTGAATGGAACAGGCGTCAAGCTGCCTCAAAATTTTACATTTTGTAGTCGTATAGCACTTCAATGAATTGCACATCGTGGAACTATGCTGTATGTACAAACGTAGCTTAGGAAAGAATACTCTATAGGATAACTTCGCTGTGCAAACTTTTCGGAATTATATCCTGAAGTGCGAGAAGGTGTTTATGGATACTTTCTTGAACATTGTGACTGTATAACGAACTGTTTGTACAACGAAGGATTTCATTGCAATGAAATTTGTTTTGAAATCGGCTAATAGTAACCCTAGACAATACTTCAGTTTCCAGTTAACAACTACTAATAGCGTTCAGTTTGGACATAAAGAAAGAAAAGAAGAAGAAAAAAAAAGAGTTGACAGAAAAGGAATTGACAGAAAAATAATTGAGTCAGCACAATCGATTCTTGTAGTCATTTGTTGTGTTTGCGAACTCAAATAAACAATAGTGCAGTTGATAGTAAGATGAGAAAATCAAACTTGTTGAAACCCCGAAACCATTGAAACAAACCATAAACGTAAAAAAGTTTATTTTCTTACTTAGGACATTTGCAATCGACCCAACTGAATCATGTAGCTTCTCTTAGAAAAGTACTCGCATCACTCAACCTTTTAATGCGCGAATATCAGTCTCATGATGAACATTCTTGGTGCCCATCAGATACGCCTGAACCGGTTCCTAGGTCACTCAAGAGACTCAAATGTTCTTTCGATCTTTTGGCTTTCTTTTCTCTTTTTTTCATTCTCTTATTGTCCCATATTTGTACAAGATGTCAATAGTAGAGCCCTGGCCAAACTTCAGTCCTGCACATACACCGGGTCAGACCCATTTCCAATTCTCGCTAAACACTTCCAAGGCTTTAATTCTCAGTTGTACAATTCCCGTAAGCGTTAAATATGGGTATGTTTGATTCTCAATCTGTGATTTACTTGCGTGTTCTTGATCCATTTACGCATCTCTCAAGGCAAAGAATGCAGCGTATTGCCTTCTACCAAAAGCCCCAGAAAACACTTTTGAATCTAGAAGCGCATTGATGGATTAAGATGTTTGTTCTATAACTTTGTACTAACACCTAGCTCCTCCTAAAAAGATGTCATTGCAGGAATTTATCTCCGATGAGTGTACGTATAATCCTAACGCGTTACAGAAGATTGTAACCGAAGAACCAATGATCTGATCCAGTTTGGATACTAACAAAAACAGCATACGGTGGCTCTTGGGCAGATGACGAAATTGATATCGCGTCGATTTCGGTTCCGATCGAGAAACATCGCCACTACGGTGATTCTGGCGCCAATGGCTTTGGCTCCAGATCTAGCAGTGCGTTTCTTGACAGTGGACCTCCGTACATTGTTAAGCTTTCCAACATTCCAGTGTCCAGCGACGATGCTTTTATTGAAGACTTGTTTCGAAGCAGGTTTACGCCCTTCAAAAAGTTCAAGATCGTGGTGGACCCGTCCTCAAATCCATTAGAAACAGGCGTAGTGAAGAAAATCGCTTTTGTTGAGTTGTGTTCCTTTTCCGATCAGAACAGAGTTCTCAAATGGCAAGACTTGTTCTACAAAGGAAGTCGCCGTGTGATCATTGAGTTGGCTGACTTTAACGATTTCAAGTATTGCATGTCCTACAATGAAGAGAACGCACAGCGTCTCCACGATGTCGAGCATGAATTCTCTCCAATAGAGCAGGCCGCTTATGAATGAAAGAAGAAATAGCAGAGAGCCCATGGATAGACACCCAATGGAAAGACACGATGGCTTCCGGAGAGACATGGAGAGACACGAATTTCACAGAGGTCCATCTTTGCTTCACCATGGGAACGTGGCAACGTCATCCTCTGGAAATGGACACGATACGCCCATTCTAGGTGCGTCCAAGCTTGCACCCAAACTTGCACCTAAACCCAAGCCAAATCCTTTTGGAAATGCTAAACCCGTTGACGTCATCGCTAGACAGCAGGAGATTGAGAAAAAGTTAATAACAATTAACCACACAACTATCAAAACTGCAGGGTCTCTTGAGGAACCAGAGGAAAATACTAGAAAACTGCGTTCCAGTAAAAGTACAGAGAAGAGTTTAAAGAAAAATGCAGAACAAAAGTCCAGCTCAAGCACAGAAGAGCGTCATGCCACACACACAGAAAACAGCACAGGAAATGATGACCAGAAACGACAGACAGAGCTTAAGGAAGAAAGCACTCCAGGCTTGAAACCAGCACAAGCTCCGCCTTCAGTCTATGATCAAAAGCAAAGTTTGGCGGACATTCTCAGCAGCAAAAGTGACCAGGACGGAAGTTTACTGCCCCACAGAAGTAATGCTGGAACGCCCAAATTAAAGGCAGCAAAACCGGTCATATTGAAGAAGAAGCCTTCGGTGGTTTCCTCTCCAGCACACCAGCTAGAACTAGAAAAGATGAGCAGCCAAGAAATTGTTCACGAAGAGGAGGAGAAAACAATCGACGAAAGCAAAGAGCAGCAAAGTGGCCAAGATATCCCCAAAGATACCGAAGAGACACCCGAGAAGAAGCTCAACCAGCTGGTTGTTGGTGAGAAGAATGAAGAAAAGGAGAAGGAAAGGCTTGCAAAGACACGTCGGCGCCGGGAGCTGAAGTCTAAGGAGTTCTCAAAGAATAATGAGACGGCTCTGCGTTCTGATCTAGGTCAAAGTGAATCTAGTGATAAAGATAAATTGACACGGCGTGGTTTATCCGAGAGAAATACGTCATTTGCCTCCGAGGATCGTCCAAATTTCAAAGAACATTTCACGGAAATGACGCAAGCCGCAGAGAGTGACTCAAGGAATTCGGCTCGCTCATCTAAGTCAAGAAGATCGAGAGGCCCTCGTGATAGAAAGAGATCAACTAAAAGAATTTCGGACGCCCTGAATGTTCAGAATGCGGGGGACGAGCAAGCTGGCAGTGGCCCATCTGTGGAACTGAAAGATGTCTCTCCAAAAGGAGGAAACATTGACACAAAGCTGGAAACAAAACGTAATCCTAGGAGACCAAGAAACAAACAGCCAAAGAATGCAGAAGATGCACCTGGTAAAGATATTAGCATAATTAGAGGCGCCGAAGACAAGACGGCAAAGGTGGAAAGAACAAGAGAAGAATCAGGGGAGAAAACTGAAACAAAGTCTGGAGACGAAAGACGTAAAAGAGGCGGGCGTAATCGCCGGGGAAGAAGAAGGAAAGATATTCCTGGAGAAGCCGGGACAGAAAATCCAGCCACGGTTTCCAACTAGGATAAATGCATTCAGAAAAATATAAAAAACCATAATAAGATAAATAGCATACAGCGCCCGTAAAAATTCTGACCGGAATACCAAACTGAGTAAGATGCTACAAACTCCATAGACAAAAGGTTGATATTAGTTATACATTGACGCTACAAGATCCCGCTGTCACGTAAAGAATTTTCCAAAATTGTCTCTTTGACCGCAGCAAACACCAACTGAATATTGGAGGTGTCCGTGGCTTGAGTCACATGAGGGTAGATGTTAAGACCCGAACGGTTTACTTGTGTAAATCTCCAAAGGATGTACTTGACAGCCTTGTTGATATTATCACCACCGTTATAGTCTGGGAAATGTTTTTCTAGAGGAGAGTAAGGCAATTTATTGGCGAAGACGTCAATCTTGTTCAAGAACAAAACCACCGAAGTTCTAGAAAACCATCGCGAGTTGACCACAGAATCGAACAATGTTAAAGACTCCTCCAATCTGTTTTGGGTATTTTCCTCCAACAACACCTGGTCGTATTCAGAAAGTGCCACACAAAAGATGATCAACGTGACATTGTCAAAACAATGGATCCATTTCTTACGCTCGGATCGTTGTCCACCAACGTCAAACAAATGGATGTTTAACCCTCCCATTTCGAACCGGAAATCAAATATACCCGATGTTTTCTTTCTTGTTCTTAAAATGTCCTCCTGGGTTGGAATATAGTCTGGAGTTGCGATCCGGCTAATGTTGCTCAAAAAGTAGTTTGTGGAATCAATGAGGTAAAAGTTGCCTTGCTGCACCTTCATGAACTCTTGCACTTCAGGATGTTCGTAGAACTTTTGGATTTTCAATGCAATGTCACTGCTAAAGATTTCTTCTGTGTTCACGGCAAAATCATAATCCAAAATGTCATTCATGTCCAGATAGGCAAGTATATGCGTGCTTCCCTCATCTTCCGACACGGGTTGATCCTGTGGAGCAATCATGTCGGGTTGTAGGTCGATAATGGCATTAATGACGTTCTTAACGCACTCCAACACATTTTTGTATACAAAGGGCTTGTACTCATAGGCCTCAGCATTGGAAAAGCCATTCTTGTGCAAGATCTTCATTTGCTTGACGATGGTCGATTTGCCACTCTCTCCCGATCCAAGCAAAAGAACCTTCAGTTCCTTGTCTGAGGTCTGAACCAATTCACCTGATTTTGTCTCTGCGACAAGCGCACCATTCCCATTTTTCTCTTGCCCAGACTCTGAGGCTGGCTTGGCTTCGGTGTTGGACGCTTTCACCGCAGAGCTTCCTGTCGCTGCAGAGGAACCCAACTGTTTTTGTTGTTCTGTTCGTTTTGTTTGTGTGGTGACAGCTGGTTTTGCGGGCTCCCCAGCTTCTTTAGAACCACAAGATCCCATTGTTTATGCGCGAGGTGAATGGCTAGTGTTGACTGGTCAAGGAAGGCACAATTGATTGGAAGTTTTGAGCGCGAAGGAAGAAAAACGAAGACGAAAGGCGGGAAAGGCGACTAAAAATTTTTCCTCGTCGATGTGGCCAAGCCAAGTTTCCTGTGCTTTTTTCTCAGTGGGGAGTGGCTAGTGGCCAGAGCGGAAAAAAAGACCGTATGTGGATCCAGAGGCACGGGTGCAAGCACTGCGGTAAAGATTCGTGAGATCCATACAGATGTTAGTGCAACGGCTCAATAATATTGCGATACAACACGTTAGTCCGACCCCGAAAGAGGATATTTTTAGCCTTTGATTTGTATTGTCAAACTTATAGACTTGGTCTTTTCGCGACACAGACAATGATTTTTTGACGTGCGCAATTGCTCAGCGAATGTAATGCCAACACTTCTCATTATCTACTGTACATTCAACCTATTTACTCTGTAGTACTGGAACCTTGTACTTCCGCGGTTGGTGCTGGCTCACTTTCGTGTTCATTCAGCTCATTTGCCGTCTCTGCTTCTCGTACTTGTCTGGAGACATCTGCTTCTTGTGATTGCAAGACACTGGAGGAATTTGTGATCTCTTGTGCCTTCGGTTCGCTGGAAACATCTTTGGTTGTGGAAGGACCTGGCGGTACCGTTGGCTCCGCTGCTGTATGTTTCACTGTGGTGATCTCTGCTGCTTCACCAGATTTCTTCTCCTGAGCATTCTCTACTCCTATAGGCTTGTCTTCTTTGACTTGACCAGGTGCCTCTTTATCCTCAGTGCCGGCAGCTTCTGAAATCGATGGACTTACATCATCAGCTTTGTCACTTCTTCCAGTTTCAGGTCTCACCGTGTCTGCAGGCCCGTCCTCTCCGTTCTCATTTCCGTATGTTACACTCTTACTGCCATCAAAAGGCGTTGCCGCCATTGACCGTGGCGCAGTGTCCGGCAAGTCCGAAGGGTTAGGCGCCTTGGGCTGAGTAGGAGGAACAGAAGCTTCTTTCCCCTTTGCATTTTTGAGTCCCTGTAATCGCTTCCTTTCTTCTCTTCTTCTCTTCTTAGTTTCGAATTCATGCCATTCACCTTCAAGGGTCTCCATAAAAGTCAACGCTTCTGGCTTGGGATCGTTGTGAAAGTAATGATGTTCAAGGGCCTGCTCAGCTGTCAATCTTCTAGATGGAACTAGCTCTAATAGCTTTTGCGCGAGATCAAAACTGTCAGGGGTCATGAGTGGCTTGTACTCAACCTCGAAAGTGGGTTTTTTATTAATTCGAGGTTTCAACATCTCAAACCACGGCAAGTTCTCAATATTGGGCCAGCTTTCCAACGTCGGGGTTCCCATAATTTCAAATATTTTGAATAGTTGCGATACTTCTTCCGTTCCTTGAAAAGTAGCTGTCTTTGTGTAAAGCTCCATTAAGAGACAACCAACTCCCCATATATCAACCTCACGTCCGTAGTCCGTAGAGCCCAACAATAATTCTGGTGGCCTATACCAGATGGTGATGACTCGATTAGTATAGTCCGGGCTTTCACCTTGTGCCAATACCTTCATATTCCGAGCCAAACCAAAGTCCGCAATCTTGAGAATACCTTGAGCATTCAAAAGAATATTAGAGCCTTTAATATCACGATGAATCACTCTCCTCTTATGAAGATAGTTCAAGCCTTCCATTAATTGTTTGAATATCATTTTTCTGTGCCCTTCCGTGAGCTTCAAATCAGGATGCGTTAAGAGACCAGTAAGGTCATGGTCCAAGTAATCGAATACCATGAAGATTTGGTTATGTTCCACCATCATCTCTAGTAATCCGACAATATTTGGATGATCGAAACTCTGTAATAACTTGATTTCACGCATTGCCGTGATTGGGAAACCTTCTCTTTCACTTTCCAATCTAAGCTTCTTTAGAGCAACAAATTCCCCTGTGATATCATTCTTCGCTTTATAAACCTTTCCATAGGTTCCTTCTCCCACTTGCTGAACTCGTTGGTACAACTCGGCATTTCGTCTGGTGTATAACAGATACATCTGCGAAGGCCGAAGCTTTGTAACAGGCTTAGGTGCTGGAGGAGGCGGGTTTCTTTTACGATCCTTTTGTTTTCCATCAGGAAGCCCGCTCGACCTTGGACCTTTAGGAGCTTTATCGAGAACAGCATCTCTCCGCGTCGAAGGTGGACGTGGTTCGTTTCTAGCACGAGAGTCCCGAAAGTCTCTAGGATCTTTTCTGAAGTCACGGTCACGAGCTCCTCGGTATTCGCGTGTTTCTCGCAAGTCTGTGGAGCTTCTAGAGTCTTTGTCCCGAGCAGTACCTTGAGGTCTATCTCTTGGACCGCGAGAATCCCACTCTCTCTGATCATCCTTTCTATAGTCTCGTTTCTTATTAGGCCCTTCTCCGCTGTATCTATCGTCAGGGTGAGGTCTTTTCAGCCCCGGACCTTCTCGGTACGACGGGCCAGATGGTCTCTCCGGAGTATTAGAGCCATACGGCCCCAGTTTTGGCTTGTCGATTAGATTGGGTCTGTAGTTGTCTCTTTCTTTGTAACGTTTGGGGAGAGGTCCGTTGAAATACTGGTTTGAGTTCTGATTCTTCCAGTTCCCTTTGGGACCAGAGGGGGTTCCTTTTGATCCCTTAGGACCGGTTGGAGGCCTGTATCTATCGGACATATATGAGGGAATGCAACTAGTGCGAGCGCTTCAGATAGTATAGATGAATATGACGATCACGAATTAGGGCGCACACAAAAGTTTGGGTGGCGGCCGCTATGCTCTTCGTTTTAGGGCCTTTGATTTTTCCCATACAAGTTGGCACCTCTGCACCATGTGCAGGACCGCACAAAGACCAGTGACAGTTAAAGCGCACTTCAGATAGCAAAGGTTGAAGGGTTACCCGGAGCACTATCTGGAGGCCTTGGACAGGGGAACGAAAAGCCAAGGAGACGGTATTCATAGCGAACGTGTGGCGATGGCTGTAAAAAATGAAATGAAAGGGAACAAAATAGAACAGAAGAAGTAAAGAAAGAAACCAAGAAAGTGAAAGAGCTACTATGTCATAGGCGACAAACCCTGAATGTTACGGGAGACAATGCCAGCGTCCACGAACCCATGAAAAAACCGTCAACGAGGACCTCTGAGAAAACAAATCTTGCCATGCTGGCAAACACACTAAAAACTGGACATAAGACGTGTGACCACGAACGAACTGTTCTTTTGTAATGAAACGATGTCAACGCTCAAATAGTAATTAGCGAAACGAGCAGAAAAGCCCCAGATGATTGCACCAGGTATAGATCATCATATGGGGGCGAACGAAATAGCCTCTTATTCCATCTTTCAAGGAGGTCAGCACACCTAAGTTGATTCTAAAGCCCGAAGGCCGAACAGTTGCCGCAACGGAAATGAGCACATTCTTTATATAATCCCATGAACGAAACAAGACAAAACACAAGAACAAGGCACAAGAAAGAACAGGTGTGAATTTAGAAAGAAAACCAGCGTGGTGCGGAAGTCAAGGAGAAAAGAGACCCTGTGTGTGTCTGCAGGACAGAGGCGAGACCCCAGGATCCCATTCTGCTTTGTCGAATACTTTAAAACACCAAAGAGATACCCAGTCTACATTGGAGCTGAATTCGAAATGGTATGTTTTCTTTATTTTCCAGCGCAAGCGGCGCCGTGTGACTAATACGGTTTCTTTTTTCTTTCTATGTACTGACCAATAGGGTGCCTTTGGAAAAGCTATTCACTACGGTTTTGATTTGGTGATTGTGTCGGCGTTTTTGGCTGGCGTTCGCAGGAACACAGGGTTAACGTATGTATAAACAACACGCGAGGGCGTTTTACCTATAAGGCGCGCTATGAGGTGTCGAACAGCCTTCTAGCTTTTCCCTATTTGAATATGGAGTCACGAAGTCACTTCTGACTTTGAGCCTAAAGAAGAGTATACTAACATTCCAGCCCCGATCTCGATATGCTCCCAAACGAAAGCGCAAACTACTATGCACAAAAGTACTTGGACATTGGCGAAAGCATTTTCGACTACAGTTCGGCGTACCTCCGGTCATCGGACTACTTCAAACGCTCTAAATAGGATGTATGTATTAAACAAGTGAAATCTCCACTATACCTTCTCTTCAAAACCTCTCTTCACCGCCTACTCGACAGTAACCGACTTCGCCAAGTTACGAGGGAAGTCAACATCAATGCCTCTGTTGACCGCCAACCAGTAACTCATCAACTGCAAGGGAATCACATTCAACAAGCCTTGCAAACAGTCGACAGTTAATGGAACATGCAAAGTGGCGTACGCCTTGTCACTCATCACATCATCACCCTCATTACAAATGACAATTGGTCTACCTCCACGCGCAGTAACTTGCTCGATGGCAGACATCACCTTGGGGAACAAAGAGTCTCTAGTAGCAAATGCAATAATGGGCAATTCTCCGTCAACCAAGGCCAAAACACCGTGTTTCAATTCACCAGCCAAAACACCTTCCGAGTGCATGTACGAAATTTCCTTAATCTTCAACGCACCTTCCAAGGCTGTGGCAAACTGGAATCCACGGCCCAATAACAACAAGGACTTTTGCTTGTCCAAGAATTCAGCACACAACTCCTTGATCTTGTCCTCCAAGTCCAACACCTTTTTGATCTGCTCAGGAACCTTCTTCAAGCCCTGGATGATCTCCACATGGCGTTGTCTCTTGGAGATGGAATCGTTAGATAACGAAAGAGCAATCATCACCAATGCAATGTACTGAGAGGTGTACGCCTTAGTCGAAGCAACACCAATCTCTGGTCCAGCATTGATGTGCACACCACAGTGTGTTTGTCTCGACATGCTCGATCCCACAGAGTTCACGACACCCACAGTTAAAGCTCCTCTGTCCAAACAGTATTGCAAGGCCATCATCGAGTCAGCCGTTTCTCCCGACTGAGAAACAAAAATACATGTGTCGTCACGGAAAACTGGGGACTTTCTGTCCAAAAAGTCCGAAGCCAACTCAACGGACACAGGGATGTCGGTCAATTCTTCAAAAGAAGATCTCGTGGCCAAACACGAGTGGTACGAAGTTCCACATGCAATCATGATGATTCTTCTGCATCTTCTAATGGTGGGCAACCATTGTTTCAAGCCACCCAAGTTAACAGTATTGTTTTCAAAATCAAGACGGCCTCTCATGGTGTTGAAAGTGGAATCTGGCTGCTCGAAAATCTCCTTCTGCATAAAATGCTTGTATGGGCCCTTCATGATCTCATTTAATTCCATCTCCAAAGTTTGGATAGGTCTCACGGTCGACTCGCCGGCAATAGACTTCTTGGCACGGTGGATGTGCAATTCGCCATCGTAAATGTGTGCAATGTCATCGTCCTCCAAGAACAAAACCTTCTTGGTGTGCTGGATCACCGATGCTGGGTCCGAGGACAAGAAAAACTCGACTGGCGAAGGAAGACCGTCTTCGGCGAAAAAGGCTCTCGATTGAGAGGTTCTCAAGTTAGACTCAGGGCCTGCTACAGACTGGTTGTTGGCAAAACCATCCTGGTTTTCTGGGAACTCAATGTCCACAAAATCAACCTTCAACTTCTTTTCGGTCTTGACACCAACTAACAATGGCGAACCCTTTCTGGTTCCACACACCTCGCCTGGGAAATGGGTGGATTTGACCAACAAACCGTAAGAACCTTCCAACTCGTACAACACTTGCTTAGTCAACTCATTAAAGTCCAAGTAGATGCCCAGCTTGGCGTTGGTGTCGTAAATGTGCTTGAACAACTTGGCAATGCACTCGGTGTCTGTTTCCGATTCAAACACAAAGCCTTTAGACAATAACAATGTCTTCAACTCTCTGTAGTTGGTGATGATACCATTGTGAACAATGATAAACTCGCCTGTAGGGTCAGATCTGTGAGGATGGCAGTTTTGAATCTGTGGCTGACCGTGGGTGGCCCATCTGGTGTGGGCAATTCCAACGTGGTTATCGAAAACCTGGTCTCTGTCGATGTTTTGCTTCACAATGACTTCTTTCAAAACCTTGACTTTACCTGGGGTTTTGATAATGTAGTTTTCACCCTTTTCTTTACCGTCAACGGCAATACCGGTCGAGTCGTAGCCTCTGTACTCCAATCTCAGAAGACCCTCAATAAGGTTGTCCATGATTTCTCCTCTGGTCCTGTCGACCAAGAAGTTCACGTAACCAAAAATACCGCTAGAATAGTTAGAATCATAGACACATAAAGTCACAAAGGTGGATATACATACCACATATTATTTGAAAAGAGTGTGCAAAGAAAAGGATTTGGTGGAGGAAGGAAAATATTTATATGGCACGGGAAAAAAGATCAAAAATTCAGCGAGAACAAGAATGTAGTCGGAGCAAAATAGATCTGCTATACTGGAATGGGACACGTATTAGCGGGATAAAAACGTCTAATTTCGGGGCTTGATTTGCTTGAAATCAAGTTGCAAATGCCTTCCAGATGTTTCCTTCAGAAGCTGGTGTATTTACGTTTTATTTTATACAAATTCAGTCAAGAACAGAAGCCGCAATACCCTATATTCCTATATTGCAACACCTCTGAAATCAGGATGTCGCACTCTGTTACATCCATCGTAGATGCGCCAGCCGTACACAGTTTTCCGAAAGGACATCCCAACGAGTGAATATGGTACCTGGAGAATGAAAGCACTAACCTGCCACTCTTTATTTATTTCCATATTCAAGATATACTCGAAATCACTGGGGTTCTTGCGACATTGTCGTCGATGGCAAGGGCCTCTCTTAACCGGATGGCCCAGACTTTGGCGCGCCATTACCTTTCCCAACTTGGGAAAATTGTAAATAGAACGTGTCAGACAACGAGGCGATGTTACTTCTAAAAAAAGGATTCCCTTCTTTAGAAGGAAAAGGAACCATAAGAAATGCTAGCAAAAAAAATCGTATTGTTCCGCATAGGACCACCCCACTCTTGCTAGTTTCGTATTTGATCCACGAAACACCAATCTCTTTTTTCTAATTTCTTGTCTGGCGTACTACATTCGGTTTTGTAACTCTTGACCTTCGCAAGAACAGCACACGCGAAAAAAAAAAAAAAAAAAAAAAAATTCAATTACGACAAAAATAAGTAGGGTTGAGGCGAGAGAAAACGTTTTTCATGTCCGAAAGAATATTGCAGAAATTCGGCGAAGAACGCTTGAAATAAAGTGTTAGAAATTTAGAGAAGAGGAAAAAAGCAATTCAGAGAAAATGTAAAGAGAAAGCAAACCCATTGGGTAGAAGTGTAGCATCTTAAAAGGAATACAAATTCGGAAAGCATCCGATTCTCTTTAAAACGGTATGCTTTTGGGAAGGCACGCATATGTATGGAAATAATGCGAAATGGCTAATTCAACAGGATAAGCACCAGCCACACTGGTAAGTCTGGGAAAAACAACGACGAAGGATGTACACGTAAGAACCATAGAATTACAGATATGTGTGCTTCTTGTGAAGTTAAGCTTGATATAGCTTTCAATTCAGCTATAGCGGAGCCTTGTAGTAAATTATCGAATGCGAATATCTTCAGGTAAATCGCATTTTTCCTAGGTACCTTAAACAGGGTGTGACAGTTCGTCTGGTAACACAAATTGAATATTCCCATCTTCGATTTGCAGTGCCAACCCCACCTTTTCTGAGAACAGTATGAGCAAGCAAGTTTGATTTGATTTGCAAGTCGTAAAGAAGAGCTTTTCTTCACTTCTTATTCTGGTGTTTCTATGGCCTATTGTGGAGTCGAAACTACACAAATTCTAAGCAAAAGGACATGGTTAAAGGATACGTAGTGTTCGTAAAATGATACGAACCAGTAAAGAAACTCAGTAGACTTACAAATCCTCTACTGATTTAATACTATATGGATATAATATATTATACGAATCTCTATTGAATTCGATTCAGGCTCAGGTCATTCCATGCGAGAAAAAGAGTCATAGCTTCCCCAACACCGACCTAAAGATTCGAAGTTGCCATTCCAGACGCCATATATTTCGAATTGACCGACTTGGATCCACTCACTAATTGGTCAGAGAATTATGCCATCTGACGGAATCTACTAATTAGGCTATAGCACGATTGGTTGTTAGGTGTTTGGTCCTGCAGGAAGCCCAGATCTACATCTATCTTCTCACTGGCAACTCCACACTTGTATTTCGTATTTTCCACTCTCCCTACTATGAAACTTTGGCGGCTCTCTCGGGCCCAACCTATAGTCTGGGCACGCATGAACTCGGTCCTTGCCCGCCCGCCTAAAAAACCTCTCAAGCCAAATCTCCATACTCTTCGGCGGCTGAACCCGAACGACGCAGATTCTGCCATTCTTTCGTTGCTAGAGAAACATAGCCAGTCGCCTGTTGGTCCCGCAGAATTGCAGCAGCATGTGCGGCCTGTGACCTCCATCACCGTAGGTGGCTCTATCAACTTGGGTAAAGTGGCATCCATCCTCACATCTCACGGTCTAAATCATCGTGTTGTTGTGGAAGACGAGGTACTTTCGTGGGGAGGCCGGCACGAGTCTGATGTGATGGTATTAGCCAACGGAACATTGGTTGGCTGGGGTATGACTGAGGCGCAGATGATGAAGGCACATGTGCCCACGATTATGGATGCAGTGCAAGAACGATGCGAGCCCGAAAGCGAAGAGATGGACTTTGTGGACCTCGACACAAACGCTTCGTTCATGCAAGGCGATATATTGGTGTTGCAAAGTCAGCAAGAGGAGCAACAGCGGCTTTTGGAAATGGCGGCGTTTGCACTTGGTCTCTCTCGTGCTACGCGGTTGCTGGTGTTGGAAGAAAGTTTAGAAAGGCACATTCGGCTCACGCGTGAAAACTCCGAAGCGCTTCTGAAAGGATTGAGGCTCGATTCGAAAGAGGAGGACATTTTGCGAATGACAGGGCGTCTCTTTCTCATTAGAGGGAAACTCAATCTTTACTCGGAGCTTATCGAGACTCCTGATCTCTACTGGTCGGAACCAACGTTGGAAAAAATATACGAGGCTGTGAGTCGGCGCCTCGATGTCCTGCTGCGTATATCCATTATGAACCGCAAATTGGACTACATGACAGAAGAGCAGCGGGCTCTCCTTGGTGTTTTAAATGAAAAGAAAAGCACAAGGCTTGAGTGGATCATTATCGTTCTTATCATGGTGGAGGTTTGCTTTGAGACTTTTCATTTTGTGGAGAAGTGGCCAAGAAATGAAGAGGAGAGGGTCTAGACGAGTAAAAAGCGTCAGCGTTGCTGGGGAGACGCTTCAATTTCAAAATGAGACTCGCCAGGATGAAAATAACCTAATGATACGATTAAAGACAGATCGGAACAATAGAGCGTTTACGGAATGCAATTAGTTTAAGAAACCCAATGTTCCGAAGTGAGATATAAGCTGACTTAGCCTCAACTTAAATGACAGTGCGATGTTTATGGGCCCAAAACCAGAAGCTAAAGTTAGAACCAATAAAGCGAAGGACAATGTTTCAGATGACCGTGAAAAAAAAAAAAAGAATGAGGTGTGATACCAGCCAAGACTCCGGTCGCCTTTCAAGACAAGATTTATTCATGGAAATCAGAGTCAGCAACCTTCAGATAAGCCATCATTATCTACCAAGACAGGCCATTGCGCACAGCGCATGAGATGGCTCGCAGGATTCTTGGCATTTGTGCTCTGCAAAGAAGTTCGCCCTGCCCAATCACACCGTGCATACTGTTATCAGTGGGGTGTGCAGGACTGAGTCGGAATAGCGCGCGGCCTGAGTCACTGTCAGGGTCTACTTTCCGCATGCAATTTTTGGGTGGGGGAGTGGAAGGAGATGTGGATCGTGGTCTAAGGCCTCTGAAATGATGTTTGCAAAGGAAAAATATCAGAGTTTGGCCAAGTGTGCACATAGCTACACTATCTCCATCGAATTAGAGTTGTTTTCCTGCATACGGTGCCTGCTTTTCGCTTGTCGCATTACCCAAGCCGTTGGTACAAATATATGCAAGTACATGTTAGAGGCATCTGAGAATTTTTTCCCCGTGCTTTTGTCTCTTTAGCAACTATAGCGATGCTTCCGTCCAAAAGGAAACTCTTCACTGAAAATGAAGAGTACAATGAGAGCTATGTGCTTCTTTTCACAATCGCTTCTTCCATGATTTGGATTATGGTGCCCGGTTTGGCTTTTCTATACTCGGGTTTGGCCCGCCGGAAGTCGGCCCTTTCGATGATATGGATTTGTATCATGTCGTCATTCATTGGTATCTTCCAATGGTACTTCTGGGGATACTCATTGGCTTTTGCCAGCTCTAGCAACAACTTCATTGGTAATCTAGATGCCTTTGGCTTGAAACATATTGTGGGTAAGAGCGGCCCTGATTCTGAATACCCCGAAATCGCTTTCACCATTTTTCAGATGCAATTTTTGCTCGTGACGTTAGCCATTCTTGCTGGTGCGTGTGTGGCGGAGAGAGGCCGTTTCTTACCTTCGTGCGTCTTTTTATTTTGCTGGGCAACCATCGTCTACTGTCCTGTAGTGTACTGGATCTGGGGTGGAGGATGGGCCTCGTCTTGGAGAGGAGGAGTATTGGACTATGCCGGTGGTGGGCCCGTGGAAATCTTATCCGGTGTCTCCGCGTTCGTCTACTCTGCCTTTTTGGGCCGGCGTCACGAGAATTTGATGATCAACTACAGACCACACAATATCTCGACTATATTTTTGGGCACCTGTTTATTGTATGTCGGTTGGTTGTTTTTCAACGGATTTTCGTGTGCTAATGCATCCGTTAAAGTGCCATATTCGATGCTCAACACACATTTGGCTGGTGCTTTTGGTGCCATTTCGTGGTGTCTTTTAGATTTCCGCTTGGAAAACAAGTGGTCAATGGTGGCTGTGTGTTCGGGCTGTATTTCTGGGCTTGTCGCAGCAACACCATCTTCGGGTATGATCCCACTCTGGGCCTCTGTCATTTTAGGTATCGTGGCTGGCGTGGTATGTAACTTCCTGACTAAGTTAAAGTACTTGTGTCGCGTGGATGACTCCCTTGATGTTTTGGCAGAGCACGGAATCGCCGGCATGGTGGGATTGCTTTTCAACGGAATTTTTGGCTCGTCTACGGTTATCGGCTATGACAATGTCACGGACCACGCTGGAGGTTGGATCGACCACAACTGGAAACAGCTTTACATTCAATTCGTGTACATCCTTGCAACCACGGCCTATTCTGCCGGTGTGACAGCAGTATTATGTTTCGTGATCAACTACATTCCGGGATTGCAGTTGCGTGTGGATTACAACGGTGAAGAGAAGGGTGTTGACGAAGACCAGATTGGCGAGTTTGCCTACGACTATGTAGAGGTGCGGCGTGACTTTTTGGACTGGGGAGTTCCGGCAGCTACGCCTACAGCTCCAGAAAGCACCAACGGAGAGATTTTTCATGCTGTGTCAACAAGCAACGACACAGCAGCACACAGCATTGCAGAGAAGCAAGATTAGGGCATAGGTTTATGAATAGGATACAGTCAACAGAGCGCATGTAGTGTATGCAAGTCGCCGGTTTCGGAGCGAAACAGGTTGTCGGGCTATACACAGTAGCCATTTGATGAATTGCATACAGTAAGCTCTTGGATAAGTTAAGTCGTAAAATACACAATGAAAAAAGAAATATAGGATCGAAGGACCTATAAGAAAGTTTTCAAGTACTAATGGATAGTAAACAGTCTGAGAAACTAATAACGAATGGTTATGTCTGATTGATGTCTGACTCATAAGAGTCGCATTATGCAGGAGACAAATTTATTAATAGGGAAGAAGGGCAGAATGTACTCGTGGAAGGAGAAGAACCTAGTCGACTACAAATTGATTGAACAGTGGTGTTTTTAAAGCTGCTCCTAAGATCTGACTGTATAAGGTGAAAGGCTTTCCCCGACTCCTAGGAGACCAAGCAAGAAACAAGGAACAAGTCAAGTCGTGCGCTGACAGGATTATTTTGACACAGAGTAATACGGCGTTTCATACATATGAATACAAAGTGAATTGACTTGACGTCCTTACTTAAAAGACGCCAATTTGTTTATCAGCAAACACTATGCAAGTCCATATGTAGGTCGACTTCTGACACAGGCGCGACATCACGTTGTGATCACGCACAGGCGATAACCAGATACATTAGACAATCAGCAAACAAGGGTCTAATAGCAGAACCACTGTGCAACATGTGCAATTCGTAACTGGTAAAAAAGGAGGGGAACTTCACGCATCAAAAAACCCCAGTACCTCTTTTCTGCAGCTCTTTCTTCTTTTCTACTTCTGTGTCGGTTCCGTTCTAGTTTCTTCCTGTATCTTTGTTGTCGACCTTTGCAGTTCGCACTAGCGGAGAACCTGCACATGGGTGAAAATATTTCTTGAGTCATAGCCAGTATAACTAGGCGCAAAAGTAACTTTAAAATTTTCACCAACTTTCACACAAGAAAAAAAACTTCGAGCCACATTCCCCATGATAACGTCTATGAGGAACCCAGCTGCACGCACAGCGGCCCGTCTTGGCTGCCGCTTCAGCCGTTGTGCCACACAAGCCAGATTTCTTACGAAAACGAATCTCCAAAGCGCCACTATGATCCCAACCAGTGAAAGCAGAAGACCACAGCCTGCGCCTGCGTTCGACCAAGAACCTGAACCTACGCCGGTTAAAAAGTCTGCTCCAATGGACGACTCTTTCATCGGGCTTACTGGAGGAGAGATTTTCCACGAAATGATGTTGCGTCATAAAGTGGACACGGTGTTTGGCTACGCCGGCGGTGCCATTTTGCCCGTGTTTGACGCCATCTACAACAGCGACAAGTTCCGTTTCGTTTTGCCACGCCACGAGCAAGGCGCAGGCCACATGGCCGAGGGTTACGCTCGAGCCACCGGCAAACCAGGTGTTGTGCTTGTTACATCGGGCCCAGGAGCCACCAATGTGGTCACGCCGATGCAAGACGCCTTGATGGATGGTGTTCCATTGATTGTCTTCACGGGGCAAGTTCCCACGACGTCTATCGGTACAGATGCTTTCCAAGAGGCTGATGTCGTTGGAATCTCTAGACCATGCACGAAATGGAACGTCATGGTGAAAAATGTGGCTGAGTTGCCTCGCCGTATCAATGAGGCATTTGAAATTGCCACGACCGGCCGTCCAGGACCTGTCCTTGTGGACTTGCCAAAGGATGTGACCGCATCTATCTTGCGTGAGACTATTCCTGTCAACACCACTTTGCCCTCCAACGCATTGCTGCAAATCACAAAGCGCTTCACCACGAAATTCACTGACGAGGCGATCGCGCGGGCCGCGGACTTGTTGAACAAAGCACAGCGGCCAATCATTTATGCTGGTGCTGGTATTCTCAACAGCCCAGACGGACCAGCACTTCTCAAACGCTTGGCAGACAAGGCTGTCGTACCTGTGACCACGACCATTCAAGGTTTGGGTGCCTTTGACCAACGTGACGAGAAGTCCTTGGACTTTTTGGGCATGCACGGCTCTGCTGCGGCCAACACAGCCATCCAGAGGGCAGATTTAATTCTCGCATTGGGCGCTAGATTCGATGACCGTGTCACCGGTAACGTCAGCCTTTTCGCTCCAGCAGCCAAATTGGCTGCCGCCGAAGGCCGTGGTGGTATTGTCCACTTTGAAATCAGCCCTAAGAACATTAACAAGGTTGTGGAAGCAACAGAGGCCATTGAGGGCGATGTCGCACGCAACTTGGCATCTTTCATTCCTCTCGTGGAGGAAGTCGAAGCCCGTCCAGAGTGGATGGCCAAGATTAAAGAATGGAAAGAGCAGTACCCATATGCGTACATGAAGGAAACACCAGGCCTGAAAATCAAGCCACAGACATTGATCCGCGAGATTGCCGAACAATCCCAGAAGTACGGTAAAGAGGTGATTGTTACTACTGGTGTGGGCCAGCACCAAATGTGGGCTGCCCAGCATTTCACATGGACCCGTCCTCGCACATTCATCACTTCTGGAGGCTTGGGAACCATGGGCTACGGTTTGCCTGCTGCCATTGGTGCCCAGGTGGGTCGTCCAGATGCCATGGTCATTGACATTGACGGCGATGCGCTGTTCAACATGACTCTTATGGAGTTGTCATCTGCCGTACAGGCTGGAGCGCCCGTCAAGATCTGCGTGTTGAACAATGAGGAACAAGGTATGGTGACTCAGTGGCAGTCGCTTTTCTACGAGCACAGATATGCCCACACACACCAGGCCAACCCAGACTTCATCAAGTTGGCTGAGGCTATGGGTGTTCAAGGTGTGCGTGTAACGAAACAGGAGGAGATGGCTGACGGCATCAAGGCTTTCTTGGACGCCAAAGGTCCAGTGTTGATGGAGGTGTTTGTGGAGAAGAAGGTGCCAGTGTTGCCTATGGTGCCTGGTGGAAAAGCTTTGGATGACTTTATCATTTTTGACGAGGAGGTCGAGCGCCAGGAAAAGGTTTTGCGTAACCAGCGCACGGGCGGAAAGCACTGAGTCCAGTGTTTGCTTCTAATTCTTATGTACACTGTACGTTACTAAAAATATATGTCCGGTTTAGAGAACTTAACAAATGGTTGAATGTGCATGTAGAATTGACAGTGTTAGAATGGTGTCTCGTCCGAAGTTAGAAATTTCCACAGATGATTTTCAGAGGACTGCCTCTCTTGGCATTTGAACTGGGTCTTATGGTTCGATGTGCTTGGATGTCAAAAAAAAAAAAAAGAAGAAAATTAACTCGTGAAAAAGAAAAAAATTGTCGCCCACTTGCTTCTCTCTTGATCTTGTGTGCATTGTTCCCCAGATTTTCTGCCGAATACATGTCGGTTGTGGCCACATACAACCATTATTCCATTATTGGCCACCACTATTGCTCTCTTCGTATGTGAATGGATTGCTATCTTTCCGCAACTAACCGACCTTGACTAAAACCTTTTTGTAAGATTTTTTTTCTACTTTGTTTGATGTATGTGTCTCGTCGCTGTATGTGGTGGTTACGTATATTTGTAGAACCCATCGTGTGCACATACTAAATTAAGTTCTTGGCATGTTCTGAATTAATGCAAGCTTCTACCCAAACCTTCCTGTGACGGGCGAGCAAAGGGACTGTAGTCTTGAAAATGCTTGTGGTTGAAGATATTACGCTACACTTGAACTGGTTTGAAGCCACGGCCACCATCTCCCTTCATGACCGAGGCACGCAAGGTCTCGGACTTTAGAATATCGCTCAAACAGTTCCAATAAGTTACAGACGAGAGATAAACAAAAGCGGAAACACGGAATCTACACCCATATCAATGGACCGTTCTAGCTATCTCCATTGATGTACTTGGCTCTTCTCTAGTAACATCGACATTTGATGTGTTGAAGAAAACCAGGCTTGTGAGCCTGCCATTTTGGAATGCGTGATCCCGGCGATCCGGTTTAGCGCGCTGTTTTCTGGGGTACATTCTATATAGTTTTCCTTTCCTCCGAAGTGACTCGCACTCCCCCACTTTTTTTCGCATTTGAGTCTCCAGCGACTCTTGTCTCACTTAGCTTGTTTTGATTTTGCCCACCACCCAACTTTGCCCGCCGGCCAATCTTCTGCTGAGTTTCAAATTGAATAAATATTTTCCCGTGTCTCTTTTGTGGCGCAATCCTCCTCATTTACCCCAGCCTATCTCACCATACCACCCACAGACCCTGTTTTTCCTCTAGTGTTTCTTTATAATGTCGGATGCAGAATCCTCTAGTCACAAGATCATCAATACTGTCACAGGCTGGCGAGTTTCGCAAGCATGCGACCGCTGTCGAATGAAGAAAATCAAGTGTGATGGTGGTACACCTTGCAACAAATGTCTATCCATTGGGTTTGACTGTACCACGTCAGATAAACTCTCTCGCAGAGCTTTTCCCAAAGGGTACACGGTGAACTTGGAGAAACGAGTCACAGAGTTGGAGGAAGAAAATGCTCGATTGAAGTCACAAGTCTCTTCTCTACTGGGCTCAGGTCCCACGTCATTTCAGGGCTCGATTGGTCTTCCCAGTCGAGACCAGGCCTCACCTCCTCTAGCCATCAATGCCGGTTTGGCAACACAAGAGCATGGCAAGCCGGAACCCAGTAACAAAGTCACAACGCTCACCACTAATCTGAAAAATATTCAGATCAACAATCCTATTGATCAGATTTTCAATTTGGACAAAAAAGGTGTCATTATCGGGAACGATAATTTGAACTTTGAGTCTCAATTTAATCATCTACTCATCAACTTGAACCTACCCTTTCTCAAAATCACAAATTCCCACAATTACTTGTTGAATGATCCCAATACATACTTGTACCATCCTTCCTACTCTAGCTACAATAGCATGCACAACAAGGATCTCGACCTCATATACAACCCATTGACTGTCGATAGTCGGTCACTGAACCTTGGCCCGCTTTTCAATGCTGACTTGCCAAGAGACGTTTACGAATTATTTATTAAGCTTATCAACAACTTCAAGAAAATCTTCAGCAATAAAAAAGAGTTGGATAACCTGATCATCCAGTATTTTTTGAATTACAACACCTTCATTCCCATTTTGGACTACAATGAGTTTATGCGAAGCTACGAGGCCTTCCACACAATGTATCCATTCATGTTCACGTATGACGATGCCACCATCAACGGCTTTAACTTGACTAATGATTATAATGTGGTGTAACGAATACTTGATTGTGGTGATCCAAATGTACGCTATGATTCTGATGAATGACCCTACCCTCAACCTAAATTTGCTCTTGAATCACGCCTATCCCAATTACTCCTTTCTGTTTCGTATGGATCGCCGAAAGGACGAATCCATAGTCAAGTCCTTATACGACTTTCTTCCCTACCTCAATGTCTTCCATTGCTCCATCAGTCAGTTGCAGACCTATTTGCTCCTTTTCCATTACTCTCTTTTAACGAACAATAAGGAGAAGTCCTTGGCATTATCTGCTATGATCAATGCATATATTGGCATTTTGGGCATTAATTTGAATTCGAAAAGCTTATTTTTCAATGATCTAAGCTTGTCCTTGCAACAGAGAAGAGATCGAGTCAAGATCTTCTGGGGTTTCAAGGTTTTGCTCAAGTGTTTCAATTTGAAGTTCGGATTCAAACCTTCCATAAACACGACTGTCATTAATCCAGTGACCATTGATCAATACTTTAAATTAACTCCAGAGAAATTGAGCTCGCTTCTTGATGATAATTCGGGAAGTGAGGTTGACCTACTATTCCAAACACTATTGAAGCCCAGCGTGGAATTCCTCAATCTTATGAACATTATTATTCCTTCTTCATTTTCGCCCAATTACTACCAATATTTGAAGCAAGGAAGGAATACAGGCAGTGATCACTCGACCCCTCAAAACCCTAGACGCCAACACTCCAATAATCTAGATTGGATCTTGAATGATGATGATGGTGATGGAAATGATGGAAATCTCAATTACAATTATACTCAGTTTTTGATCATTGATACTAATCTATCCAATTGGAGATACTCATTGAAAGACAAAACGCTTGATTTGAGTCCGCTTCATACAATAATGGGTCTTCCATCTTCGTCTTCTATGAAAAACGAGACCCTTTACCATCGGATCACGTTTGATGGTGACCGCAAGTCAAATCAAGGAATTTCAGAGGAAGGGTTTCAGCTCTTTTACCAAACTGGTCTTCCTAATACTGATACTGCGGCACAGCTTATCCGCATGCAACTAAACATGCACTATCTTTTGATTCGATCGCTGAATTACTTGAATTTTGTCATCGAGCGTGAACTCACACCAGGATATTATGTAAAGATTGCCAACATAGCCCGGGAAACTTTGGCCTATTTTGTCCTCATGTTCGAGCACATAGGAAATGCAGTTGAACAGCTGGCAGTCACTCAAGGGATTGGCTTTGACAACAGTTTGTTCTCTGATTCCAAAAAAATGATTTCCTCGTCGTTCCCCATGCAAGTTGAAGATGATGGCTTGATTATTAACGATTTCTCTGCAAAGAGGAGGAAATTGCATCTGCTGGATATGCCTGCCGAAGTTCCTTCCTCAAAAGAGATTCCTGTGTCGCCATTTAACGGTATGCTTAATGCTTTATCTTTGACGATGATAAACTTCAAAAAGTCCATTGTGCTCCAAATGTTGTACTTGCTCATTTGCACCTTAAAGATTGCTAAAAAAGGGGGAGTTATGAGTGCTGACACTGTGACAGTACTCAATAAAAGCATTACATTGTTCATACGAATTTTCATCAACTATAGACCACACTCCAACCGAAGCGTGAAGACTAAGAAGGTTAAAGAGGATGATTTATTCAAAAGAATTATCAACGATGAACTTCGTGATGAGTTTTTAACTAACAAAAATGTTGAATCAGATGACGATGAAGATGACAACGATATCGATTGGGATGATGAGGATATGGATGAAGACTTAAAGTATTTGAAAACACTCAAATATGTGAAGTACAAAACGAGTATTCTCCATGAAAAGTATATGGCCAACCGAGGAAGCACTTCTGACCAACTGAATTTCAATGCTCAGAATCTCTCGACAAAAGTGAAGAATGAGTTGACAACTACACAGTCTAATGGGAATCAGCAGAACCTCCCACCTCTTGAACAGCAATTTGGTCCTCAAAATAACCTTTCTGGTTTTCCTCAAATGGGTGTGTACTTGCGAGGCTCCTTAGGCAAGATGGGCTCGTATACATCACTTGATTTCATGCCGAACGAGAATAAAAGTGAAACAGGCCAGAAGGAGGCGATCGCAAGTGCTAGTGAACTAATGAGCATAAAGCATGGGAGCCGTGGATACACTAATAATGGCTCGTGGCGATATGGAGTGTCTGACGGTGCTGCTACAAACGGAGAAGAAAACCATTAGCTTTATTTGGATGATGTTTTAGAGAGTTATTTACTCAGGACCGTCAATAATACACTTGACCGCACCAACACCAGAACGGACGAGATCGTAGGCCTTAATGGCATCTTTGAAGGAGTAGCGGTGGGTGATCAAAGCCTCAAAGTCAATGCGAGCTTTGTCTTTGCCGTTCTTGTAGTTCTCGTCCAAAATGTCCACCGAGGTCTTGTAGTCGCTATAGCCGTAACGGAAGGAGCCAAACAAGGTCAATTCCTTAGTTGCAAATTCGGTAAGCGGGAAGCTGATGTTGCTTGCGCAGTTTCCTACCTGGACAAAGCGACCTCCTGCCTTCAAGGCAAAAACACCTTGTTGGACACAAGGTTCTGCACCAGTGCACTCCAAAACCACAGTGGGCTTGAATCCCGCGGGCAACGCTTCCGCGAATGGAACCTGGGATTTCGAGTTGTATGTGTGAGTGGCAGCTCCAATGTCCTTAGCCATTTGTAACTTGTTGTCGAAGATATCCACAACGGTAACGGAGGCAGCGCCGAACATTCTAGCCACAGAGGCGGCAAGCAACCCCACAGGGCCCGCGCCGAACACAGCAACGTGGTCGCCAAAGGTGACTTTGCCCAAGCGACAAGCATGCACGCCGACAGACAAAGGTTCTACCATGGCACCCAATTCCAAGGACACGTGGTCTGGCAACTTAACCAAAAAGTCCTCTGGCGACTTGTAGTACTTGCACAAGGTGCCCGGAGGGTTTGGTTCGCCTTCTTTGGATGTGGGGGTGGCAGCGAAAACCATGTGGGGGCACAAGTTGTAGTGGCCGCTCTTGTACTCTTCACTCAATCTGGAAGGCACACCAGGCTCAATGGCGACCTTGTCTCCGACCTTGACCGAGGTAACTGAAGGCCCCACAGCAGAAACAATACCGGCAGACTCGTGGCCCAAGACCATTGGCTTGGTCAAGACGAAATTGCCAATCTTTCCGTGGGCATAGTAGTGAATGTCCGAGCCGCAAATGCCGGTTTTCTTCACCTCCACAAGCACTTCGTATGGCAGAGTGATCTCTGGCACGGGAAAGGACTCGAAGGAGATATCGTCGATTTTGTTCAAAACCAAAGATGGGTTGGACATGGTGGAAGAAAAATGGGATAGGTTGTGTCTGGCAATGCGCCCCACCTGGAGATGCGCCGTCTTTATAACGTGGCGAGGGGTCCCGAGGGCGCCTAAAAAGCCCCAGCCGCACGCCTGTTTCCCCGGAAAATACGCCGGCCCAAAAGTCTGGAGATCCGCATTAGGAACACCACCCGCACCGCCCAAAGTATTTTCTTACGAGCTCATAGGCTCATACCTTGAGGTGGACTGGAGACATGTGGTAAGCCAGGTGGGGAATTGACAGACGGTTGACACTTTTTTTCCAGTGTTCATAATTTTTGGGCGGGTGTCACCCCACAGGGTTTGTTTCCCGCAACCAGGACCAGACCACTCCGATTATTCGCTGCGGGTCTAATTTCTTGCGGTGCGAAAAATCAAGCCACCCCACGCTTACTCTCTACTCTCTTGGGTGATGTTTTTCCTGCCATTGTTTGTTTAATTTTATTTTTGTCACTGTGCTTTCTTTGCTGCTAGGCTCTTTTCTTTTTTTGAGTGGATGCATTAGGTCCCGATGACCCTCCGATGTTGAAGCTTCGGACAAGATTCATGCTATGATCGTCGATACTGAAGCATCAAAATCTTTCATTCAGTCCACTGGCTTTTTTCGCTGGCATTCTTCGCCGTCATGCCCATCATTCATTTTTCAGTCGCCAGGACCCCTGAAGGCTTCTCTTGACATTGAAACTATCCCTCATAATAGATCGAACTTCTTCGTTAACAATCTGGCCTCTCCCACACCACACAATTCATACCAAACCTCTTTGTTCAGTCCACCTCGTCAATGATGAGTGGGCTTATGTTTCTTCTCTTTGCCACATTCTCTGTCTCGTCATCTGAGAGCTCTAGATCCGTAGTGCTGGGGGTTGTAAGCTCGCTGTACCCATCGCCACGAGCAAAGGAAGAAATCTCTTCTTCAAACTCCTCATCCGAGATATCAACCGGTATGCTTTGAGCCGCCACTCTTCGTCTCCTTTGCTCCACTTTCTCATTCAATATATTAGCCCCCTTTTGGAGCACCTGGGCTGTCACCTCTAGAATCCGGTCTTTGTTTGCAATAACGGCAACTGCTCCGCCAATTACGGCGCCAGTGGTGATGGCTGCTTTGGAAGATATTGCTAGGAAAAGAGGCATGTCTGGATTTACTAGCAATAGTGGCGTTTGGCCAAGACTGCAGTCAGGTGCGATAAAGGTACATTAGACGGTTAAATCCAAGTTGCCTTACTGACAAATTTTCTCTTCTCACTAACTTTTACTCATGCTCAGGATTCATTTTCTGTGTGATGTGAATGAGTTTGAGATCACTAATACTAATTTCGTAAGTATGGCTGAATTCACAATTCCCCGCAAAAATGACACAATGGGGGAAAATTGAAAAGAATGACAAAGCCAGATATCTCGGCTGAAATCGTCTATAGGAAAGGCAATTATGAAAGAAATTGAAAAATAACTTTTACACTTTGATGTTTATTTATATTTGCAAAGCATATATATTCAGCGCAAATAATCCTTCACAGTTGGTTTCGTGGTCTAGTTGGTCATGGCATCTGCTTAACACGCAGAACGTCCCCAGTTCGATCCTGGGCGAAATCAATTTTTTTTTGAAACTTTTTTGCGGTTTAATCAACCCCGCATTTCAGTCGCACCGCCCCTTTCCATTACGAGAATCATACTTACAGCACGTCAGATCAGACGGTTTTTGCCTTTCTCATTACTTTGAGTTTCTCTTCTATTTACCATTTAATTTTTTTTGGTCATCAGAAAGGGGGCATAAGGACGGCAGCAACTTTCGATTGATTTTAGCGTTTTGCACATAAGAACAAAGATAAGAACTGTATATAGTGCTGTGTCCCCACATGCTTTTTGCACCACAGCCAGAAACTAGAAGCCGATGGCATTGTAATTATAAAAAGGATCTTCGCCCCTTCTCTCAAAAATTCTTTCTTTTTGCCACAGTTCGACTTCCATATATTCTTCTTATTTACACATTTCGTCCCATTTACATATATTCTTTCCCTTATCTGCTTTCTCGCACCTTCTAACTCGCGCGAACAATGCCTTTTTCCAAATTTCTTGACCAATTGAAAAACCAGAGCGACAAAAATTTCACAAGAGATGCTGCACAGCCAACTGTCCCGGTTTCTTTTGATGATTCCGTTATTGTAGAGTCTGGACCGAAAGATTCTGGGCAAACAAAACGACGCTGGAGTTATGTCACTTATCTCAACAAGGGTACTTTACATGCAGAAGGTGACAATTTAATGCTCGGTTTATAGAGGCGGGTATATTCTTGGTATTATTCTTTTTCTTGATATAGTGTCATCAATACATTTATTACCTTATATACACCTTAAGCCAAGTATGGTACTTTCCACTTGTAGTCTCGAAGCTTCTTCTTGATCCCGCCAGTCACAAGTATCAATTTTGGACATTAATGGGCACGTTGGGTCAAGCTCATTTAAAATCTCAAACAATGACTTGCTAGCCATAACCCGAACAGTTGCACTCTTATGCTGAGACGCCAACCACCATATCCTTTTGCGGCATTTTTGCTGAATGTCACTAGCCACCGATAAAGACGTGCTCAAGTGCTGAAAGATTTTCAACGCAAGTCCCATGCGTTTCACGTTAGCACCTTTGATGTGTAGGTTATAAGTTCGAACATATAGAACCTCGTAGTTTGTGTCTTTTGGGAGCTCGACTTCTGCCTCAAGTAGCTTCCCAACTAACATGAGAGCGCAGTTTGTAGTCTTTTGGTGACGAATGGTTGCACATCCGGGTGGTGTACTTGTAGGAGTTTTCAACATCCGAAATAGGATGGCCAACATCTCCTCAACATCGCTTTCGCTTGAGTAATAGCACAAAGACAATACACAGCGGAAGGACACATTAATGAGGTCACTGCTTCCAGTTAGAGCCCCGGCAGAATGTACCATCCCTTCCCAAAATTGGTCCTTCTCATCACAATATTTCAGGTAGTAGTCATAGAAATCCTGGAAATACAATTCATAATTGCTCATATAAGTTTCATAATGAGCTTTGTAGTCTGGAATATCATCCACTTTGCATAGCAACTTGAACGCTTCAATTCTCAATTTATCCATTGATTCTCCACTAAGCCTGATAAGTCTCCTTTTTAAACCACGGTCGAGTTGTAAAGCAAATTGGTCATTTTCAGCAAGAAGCGACAAAGTGGCCAATCGAACTTTCAGACCAACATCTCCTTGATCAGTATTTGTATAATCGTCAAGACTCTCAAGTATAGATTTTTCGATTTTGGCCGAGAAGCCGCATTGTAGAAAGGCATGAATTCCTTTAATCAATATCGATCGAATGTCCGGATCAATACTGAAGTCCTCAATCAAGAATAAGACAAGATCAAGCTGCTGATTATTCACAGGAAACGCAGTTACGCCTTCCGCAAGAAGTTGATTTCCCCGTGCAATCCGGTGACAAATGCTTTCAAAATCATGGAAAGTGATGGACTCTCGGCGACACTCACCAATGATTTTCAAATACTTTTTCACCTCACTGCTTAAACTCTTTGTCGGTTGAGCACGGGAAAGGGATAAAACTTCCGAAAGATACGTTTCATTTTTGGGTGCAATCTCCGCCTCGATTAATGCAATTAGAAAGTGCAAGATACTCTCTGCCCTCTCAGGGGCTTTCGGATGATGGCCGAGCGCAAAAAATTTATCTTCAAGAAGATCCATAGAAGGACGTATCACAAGTTTTCGATTCACCATTTCTGCAAGAGCATAGAAACATTCATAGTTACCATTTTTGATGGCTTTAGAAATATTGCTAACCACATTTTCAGTAGATGGAAACTCTATGGGCAAATTCAAACATGCAATGGATGAATCTCCTCCTAAAAGCTCAGCCAAAAAAATTCCACCAAGTTTGCGTGTTTCAAATACGTTGCTTTCGAAAATAATCTCTTCCAATAAGGGTTCAACAAAAATGCCTTTGTCAAAACCCAAAGAATAAAGTTTCATAATGAGTTTATGAGAATCCAGAAGTCTACTAACAGAAGCTGCCGTAAACATTTCAATAAAGCGAATAAGAAACTCACCAACCTCATTAGCAGTTCGGCCTGGTAAGAGGTGCTGAAAAAGCATATTTCCGAATCGGCCGACGAATTCTTGAAGTACAGCTATTCCACATCGACGTATAGTGAAATCTGCATCAAAAACAATGACCTTGATGATGTCAAGAAGAAGGCATTCCATCATTTCTGGATTATATTGACACAAGGATTCATAATCATTCTGTTTCAACTTTCTGCAAAGTGCCCAGATGCAAAAACAAGATGCGTCCCGAATTTGGGATCCTTTGACATGAGAGAACGTGATATCAGAAATAAATATCGTTTTATGAACAATGGAAAACGCAATAGGTATGACTTCGAGGGGGACGCTCTTCTCCATTCCCAAAAATGCCACAAATAATAGTATAGTATGGTATTTATCCACTTGGAAATCAAGCGGGTTGATTTCCACATCTTTCTGGAATTTATGGTTCAGTTTCAAATTGCGAATTTTTAGCTGATCTATCATGAACCAGATCAACTGTGAGGCATAGTTCACTGCTTTAAGTGAAAGGGAAGTGACAATCTTTGTAATACTTTTTGCTGTACACTCTCTTAGTTTAGCATCGAAACCAGAACTCATGCTGTTCATAATATCAAGAAGAATAAAGTTGACTATTCCAGATACCCGTTCAAAGTCGTTTGTTCGAATGTAGAAATTAGCTAGCTTGGTTGAGACCTTTATGATATATAAGACATTCACAGTATTTAGAGAATGCCTTCTATTATGCCTTATTTGTATAACTTCGTAGTCTATAATGCTTGATTGGAGAACTGGGATAAGATGCGCAATTTCCACATTTGACTTATTCTTCAATATCTGATTGAGCGCTAATAAGTGTCCCAATTTAATGTTGTTAGACATGTAGGACCAGTCGTCAGCTATCGTAAGCACATATCTCTTAAGTAGTGACGCACAATCCAGTCTAATGATCAAGTTTGATAAAAGATACAGGGACGCAATCTGGGTTCTTGAAGCACTAGAATGGACAACAAGAAACCTGTTTGAGAGTTGGAAAAGCTTTTCAGCCAATGATTCTTCGATATTCAGAAGCTGGAAAGGCACCATGGCCAATCTCGATAGCCAAAGAAGAAGCAAAAAGCATTGACAGTCGTCATTTTCCATGTCTGTGCCACTAATGATGCTTAATAGCTCCGGAATCAAGTATACATCGTTAGAGCAGAAGTTCACCACAAACTTATAGCCACGTACTTTTGTAAGTTGATAGAAGCATTCTGCAAGATCATTCAGTAGATTGCCATTTGTTCTCTTCGTCTGAAGGTAAAGCAGAGTGATCATCTTTACTAACCATTCCAATTTGCTATCCAAAAGCTTTGGAGTCGCTTCAAACCTGTTTATAGTTGTCGTGACATTCTTGATCTTCTTCTGAACTAAACCACGTCCGTTCTCTGAATGAATACCGGATTCAATTTCCTTTAGAAGTATTTCGATGTCATGAAGAATACTTTCAGCATTAACTATAGCCGTTGAATCACCATTCATGAACAAGCAATAATAGCGGAATTGATTTCAGAGTCAAAAAGGCTGGCAGTAGTGGCCTTCCGATATTATTTGCCGGGATTGTACTTGGGAAACGGATGAAATGCGATATTACTCTGCTTTGCAATTAAACTGAGATACTGTGAGGTTTATGTCAGATCTTGGTGCGAAGCTTAACAGTGCATAAATCTAACCGGTACGCCTAGAGCTGGAGAAGAAGGAGATTTAAAAAGAAAAAAATACGATGAATTCCTCACTTCCATACAAAAATAATAAAGCAAAATATTGACAACAAGCTTTGCAATATTGATGGACCCTAACAGGTACCCAGTCAAGGAGGTACGGATGTATGTGTGCCTACACACATCGTACTTCGCTCGAAAAATTTAAACATAGTAATCGAGCTCAGCCAGACCATGTCATCCAAGCAAATGTTTTACAGAATACAACAACTAAGATCCACAATCGGCATGCCTCCTCAGGTCCGCAAGAACATTGCCGCTTTGGGATTGAAGAAGAGAAATCATATCGTTTACCAACAGGTTTCACCAGCAGCTGCCCACAGACTTAGGTTGGTCAAAGAACTAGTCTCCATAGATTTGTTGGATGCCGATGCAGTGGAGCAACAGAAACTACTTGACAAGCAGAAATTCCCCAAAGGTTTCGAGAAGGTTGGCGAACTTTGATGGTCAAAGTCCCTAATGCTCAAGATGGACTAATTTCTTGTATATATAATGAATGATGGCCGCGTGACGGCTCCAGGGACCGTTAAATGGGACTTTATACACATTTTAAGTCGCTTTACAATACAAAGAGAAGGATACGATTGTTGTAGCTTGAAGACGCTAGACACAAGTATACTGTCACCTCTAAAGAAACACGTGAAATAAAGTCTCTGATTGCGGTAACGAATGTTTCGCACAGTAGACATTTATTCACTCTTTTTTAATGAAATTTTGGGGGGCTTGTTCCAGAGATACATCAAAGATCGGCCTCCAATGGGACCATGTGTCCTGCATACATCGAGATAGTCTTCGGATATAGACACACCCGATATTCATCAAATACTTGTGTAGTATCGTTCGTGGTCAGATATATTGTCTTTTAAGGATGACTACAGCGCATTTTATCTATTTGTCTTGGAAACAAGCGAAAAGCATGTTTTGAATTGTCCCAGCTCTGATTGGAATATGAGCCCACATGACTGCATATAAACGAGAATATACCATCAGATTTATTTCTTTTCACTCGCCTTGAAAGTATCCGTTCTCCGTCATTTACTTCTGAAGATACTAGAGTCCAAAGATCATCCCTCGAGGAATTTTCTGAAGCATACTCCATTAATATTTACATTGAGCTTTCAGTTCGTGTTGAATCGCCAATATATTCATCCTCCACCTTGGAAAAGCACAACCTGGAGCTAGCGTATTTCGTTCCATTGTTTTCCTTTCAAGCCAGAAGTATTATAACCTAAACACGAACTCTCATCCGGGCAATGTTTATTAGAGCGACACAAAGAAATAGAGTCACCTCTTCCATTTTCACATCCACCTTTGCGATTTGTTTCCTTTTAGTTGGAGCCAACTCTGTTCTTCCATGTCCGGTGGACAGTGTTCATGGGAATGATGCTGTCGTTGATGAAAGATTGAAAGCGGCCAGAAAAGAGGAATCGGCCAAACATTGAGTGGTTTCACCGGCTTCTCGCATGAAAACCCAAATTGCATCTAATGCCTCCACGGCACCCTGAGACCCGACCTCAAAAGTCGTATCCGTGTACCATAGCGCCCCAGGCATATTCAAACATATCATTTACGTACAGAAACATGATTTTTCACGACTTCAGTCATCTTCACAGATTGAACCAATCACGTTGTAGCATTTGTTCAGTAGTCACGGGATCAATCACGTGCCCCATTTTCATATCTGTATACATATCATATCTTTTTTACATGAGCTGTGAATTAATTATTTGGATGAAAGTAACCGTGAGGGGTGAAATGTAAAAAAGATGAAACAGATCAATGCTTTATATGTAAGAAAGTATTTACAAACTGCGATCTCTTTTTGCAGAGATTGAGCAAATTCGCTGTCTGCTATCGCTTACTTCTCCACATTCTCTCTTTCCATATCGGGAAGATAGTAAACATAAACAATCACTTTTCTTCTTCAGGCTCTTCCGTCTCTCTCGTCAACTAATCTATCAGCCCTATCGTCACGTAAAATCATGAATATTTCTTACACATACCCAAGGCCCTCTACAATTTCGACAGACATGAGACTTTCTCGCGATGAACTACTCAATAAAAATCTCGAAATGAGCAGAAGTCCAGTATTAGCCTCGCCCAAGGAAACTTCCCTGCCATATAAGAAGACTTTCAACAGTAACAACAGCACACCTGAATCCTTGACAATCCCATTGAGTGATCCTATAGACGATATTTTTCATGAAAGCAAGCATATAATCGATGCTTATGTTATTTCATTACCCTACATGGACGATGAACTGAAAGCCGATGTCATTGATCCAAATGCCCAAGTGAAAGTAGCACCTAAGCTTTTACCATTTGAAAAGCATGCTTTACAGCCTCTCGCTGAAAGACAATTTAACAACTTACAAAATGCATTTAATCCTCACAATGGGCTCAAAACACCTCGGAAGGAAACAGAAACACTCTTGCCACAATCATCTGTCAAAAAGCCTAGATCAGACATTCAACAATCAACACCAGTGCCAAATGAAAGGCAAGAGTTTTTGAATAAGGACATTACCACTCTCAAAAAGCTTGAAACGGAAGAGGCCGACTCATCTTTTGATCCTTTAGCCTGTCACGCGGGCAACATCATGCGTATGGCTATGGATTCTACCATGTTGGGGTCGTTTTGTAACCATAGTTTTTCCTCTACATTCTCGAATCTAGCAGATGATTCGGCACTTGAAAGGAATGCATTAGATGATGAGTACGATCCAGACCGGAGTATTCTAGAACGGCTAAGAGCATGGCCGAAGTCTACGCTCAACAAAAAGCGGGCCACAAAAATTGACATCAGTGCAGAAGAACTCCGGAGTGCGATCAACGAACCCATTCGCTAATCATGTTAATATCATGAATGCATGGATATAATGATCTGTGATCAGTCTTTCATGTCTAGAATAAAGGCAAGTTGTCGTGAATCTCGCACATCTATTTGATGGTAATGCTCATTGGTATCATCTGTTAGGTGCAAATTATTTTGAGGGAATGCGGAGTTGAAACCGTAAGCTTCCCAGTTCTCTCGCACAAACTCGACAGTGTGATCTTTCAAAAATTCAAGAAGACGTTTTCCGTTGTCATTGAGAGAGGAAAAGTTCTGGATCCGTTGTGTGACATGAACGCTAGGCTTTTGGTTGAAGGTTGATAAGTATTCGTGAATATAAAATTCAAGAAGAGGATTGAACTGTGGGCCACGCAAGCTTGAAAATATCAAATTTTCAACGTTTGATTTCGATACGGGTCTAGCTGTTTGCTTCATGAATGAAAGTAAAGTATACCCTGTAAGTCTTGCAGCAGCAGAGTTGGAAATTGATTTGAAGAGAATGTCAAAAACGGATGGGGTAAACCAACAATAACAGGTGCAATTGAATTTTTTCATAGCCAGCATGGCATTGATCACTCCTGAAGCATTTTGATATTTGTTGATATGGTTGAGAATGCACTCAGTATAAAGGCGGATACACTTTTCGCTCATATGTCTGTCTTTCATGTAGGTAAGGTGAGATATGATCACTTGCTGCATTATTTTTTGATTCATGAACACATTCCCCTGTGGAGATTCATAGATATTTTCGTTTTTCAGTTTTCGAGCCTCTTGTTCGGGTTCTTCTAATTGGTTTATGAACTCCACAGTGGCAGTTTCATGACGGGCGGCCTCAAAGACATTCTGATCAAAAACATTCAATGTGTTGATCTTGTGAGAAAAGGCATCCGATATGTCAGTGTAATGAAAGTCTTCTTTCAGCCTGGAAAGAAAACTTTCCAAAACGTCTAAAACCTTCTCCACACTGGAGTCATGTTCTCCTTCTATTGGAGTTGCCGAGAAGTCATTATTAAAACAATAAGAGCGGATTATATCGATGCAAAGGTCTTTCGTCAAGGCCCTTTCTCCTCGCATTTCTTTGTGAATGTAATGCCATTCTATCAAACTCAAAGTCAGCTCGACATCCCCGTGTGATGCTAACGTATGCAAAATAGCTTGAAGGGTGTGGTCGGACAATGTTGCCAACATTGTACTTTGCGCTTCAATGTTTGATATAACATTGTTTGTTATCACATCTTCAATAGCAAGGTCCTTGTCGTGGCCAGCCATAATCACGTGTGTGTAAATGAGTTTCACCAAGCCATAGTGATTTTGAGAGGTTGCCAAACTTAGAAACTGAGACCACCAGGCATACGGAATGGAAGAAGTATTCTTGTCAAGTACTAGCGATAGCCAATATTCTAGAGAATTGCAATCTTTGAAGTTGCACATGGTGTCAAATAACTTCAATAATGGTAACTTTTGTAGTAGTATTAGCTGGTCTTCGTGATCAGGGAATGACTCAAAGCTTTGATGCATGAGGGCTAGAGCTTGATTATACTGACCAGTATTGAGAAAAACGTGAAGATGTGCTCCTAAAAATAAAGCTTCATACTCAAAATAAGGCAAGACGGTCACAATAGTATTCTCGTAGAGGATACGCAATGGTATGAGCTGGGTGAAATCCTGACAACTCTCGAAGCATTTGAACAATTGTAGTGTAGCCACTTTAACGGTATCTTCCAGTAACAGACTTTGTGACAAAAGTTCCAGGTACAAATTGAGCGCCAATGTGACTTGAGATCGATCACCTCTAGCGGATATCAGTTCCAATAGCAACAAGTATAGCGAGGGGGAACGGAATCTCAGGTTCATTGGATCTTGCTGCACCTTCTGTGCAATAGTCCACACCTGGTTATAATTTCGAGCACAAAGGCTAACGAAAACATCATCCTCGACTTCCTGTGGAGTCATCTGAACTAGCGATGAGTCTGAATTTTCGCTTAGTTTGTGTGATATTCGTTTGCTGAGGATTTTGGCTTGATCAATTTGACTCTGCGATAACTTACTCGAGCACAATGCCAACGCCAGATTGCCACATGACTTCGGGACATTTAACGACTCCTTGACCTGGTCTATAAATCTTTTCCGCATGTAACCAAGAGAGGTCGTTGCAGCGGTTTTTCCCGACATTTGTCGGGTGGGTCCAATCTAGTCTAATCTACACAGAAAGATTCAGACATATAAGTGCGATGCGATCCAGACTCACAAAGTCCAACCATCTTTTGGAGAAAAGGCCGTTACCATGAAAGCTATCCACAGACGACTTGCTACTTCCGCATCGAAGGGTCAATTCAATGTTTTCGACCGCAGTGCAAAACTTGTTCAAAGATCCCGTACACCAGCCATTTCTCCCGAACGTCTGAGGAAAGTGGACTATCTTCGAGATGAAGTGGCCATTCGAACCATCGAACGTCTTGGTTTCATTACCAGAGATTTCACCAATACGCTAGATTTTGGTGCCAACCTGGGCAATTTCCTCAAGAACTTGTGTACTGTTTCCCATGTGCCAAAGGATGGGAATGACGTTGACCAGAAGATCATAGAGCAATTGAATGAGGACAAGGAGAAAATCCGCAACAAAATCCAGAACTTGGTGATCGTTGACTCGTGCAAAGAAATGCTTTTTCGGGATGAGGGCCTTCCACTCGACGTTCCTTTTCCTGGAAAAGTGACTCGTTGTGTCGCAGACGAAGAGACATTCGACAACGAACTACTACAGGAAAACACCTATGATGCTGTTATATCTAACTTGTCCTTGCATTGGATCAACGACTTGCCCCAAGCACTTAAAAACATTAACCGTGTGTTGAAACCAGATGGCCTCTTCATGGGTACTATTTTCGGAGGTGATACATTGTACGAGCTTAGAACTTCACTTCAGCTTGCAGAGTTGGAGCGCCGGGGCGGTATGTCCCCCCGTGTTTCTCCTTTGGTGCACTTGAACGACATTGGAGGCTTGTTGAACAAAGCTGGCTTTAGCATGCTTACGATTGACACCGAAGACATTGTTGTTGGTGGATACCCCGATATTGTTTCGCTTTGCGCAGATCTCCAGGCTATGGGCGAACAGAATAGTCTTTTGTCGCGATCCTCAGTGTTGCCCAAGGATGTTCTACTTGCAGCAAATGAAATTTGTAAGTCTTTACATGGCGAGACGGGCGTTGATGGAACTGTAACAATTCCTGCGACTTTTAATGTCATATTTATGATTGGATGGAAAAAGAGCGAAAGCCAACCTCAACCTTTGGCTAGAGGAAGCGGTCAAATCAATCTCAAGGATGTTTTGGGATGGTTTAGAAGAAGTTCTGATTTTGTGAAGCAATAATTCGATGAATGATGTGCCGTTGGGCACTCTGACGAGGAATATTTATTAATGAATGTCACGATCGCCAGAGAGCTGACTGTAAGTTATTAGAGTGTTATTTCAACACGTTCCAGTACATTTGAAAATTGGAAAGGCGATACTCTATTTGCACTTCCCTCTGAGCTTTCCATGGTCACAACTGTTCTCCCTCTTGTAACTCAAGAACAGTATCTTACAGTCATGGCTCTTCCATTTTACTTGGACACTTCGCTTACTTACTCGGCAGAAGTTTTTTACCATCTAACGTTTCATTTTCGCCCCCTTTTGGGTAATGTCAGGTTCAAAAGATGTATTGAGTCATTTTGTCAAGTGCAACCTAATTGCTTGTGCATGAAAGCGCATATCGCGCACTTATATAATCGCTCTCCGACCACTTTATCAAACCAATAAACAACGTCGATTTTTTTCTTTCTATCTTCTGGTCGACTCTTCAACTTCCCAACTTAGGAAGCCCATTGGAAAATAACTTTATTTCATAAAGAAAAAAAAAAAAAAAAAGAAAGCTAATTACTTCGGATCCTATTACCATCCTCGGTATAATCCTGCGTGCGACTAATCGATTTGTGGAGACACTATCACAAGAGTCATTCTACTACTCCACCCTTTTATTTTATATTCCTTTGTTGCCCCCAAACCCTCTCAAATTACGGAACTGCTCTACTTTCAGCTTTTTGTCCTTTTCGAATAAGTATGCCAAAATTTCAAAGTTCCACCGTTATCAAAGATGACTCGGTGACGCAACAAGTGGTTTTGCCCATGTACACTTTAGATTCTCCGTTGGTGTTGTTACCGGGCTTAGTTTACAGTGTGACGTTTTCTCGCTTCAAAGCAGCAGCTCTCCTTTCTCGCTTTCGCAGACAAGTGGAAACCATCCCAGTGGCAAAAGCATTGTTAGCCGAATTCGATTTTGATAGTGCGGTGGGAGACGCCACCGGGGTTTCCGAGGAAGCTTTAGATGGAATCAAACAGTTCCGTGGCGTGGAAAACAAAGTAAAATCTGGGCTGCCCAGCTTATCTCAAAAGCTGGAGTCACTTTCTGGTTTCGACAGCTTGGTCGTATGTATTTCGCCAAACTTGGACAAGATCTCCAACCCTCAAAAGAGCCTCGATGCTTTGCAGCTGGGTATTTTTACTGTCTCCAGAGTTATTGGAATCGTGGATGACACTACAACGGTCAAAGTTACCTTTCAAGCGTTGCGTAGAGCATCAAAAGTTACTGGCGCCGAAACTGTTAGAGCTAACGAGGTTGCTGTATCTGTTGTCTGGAACGAAGCGCTTGTCGAGGCATCCAAGCACTATGAAGAAATTTGGTCGGTGTCAAAATCATTATTCTCTCTGATTGATCGCTTCGTTGATGAATACAGACAAGTACTCAATTCTCAGGATAAGAAGCAAGATTTATTGACTTTGAATCCTTTGGCCAATGCACTCTTTTTGCAATTGGCGGGCTCAAAGGATTTTGCTAAAGCTTACTCCAGTTTGAAGAAAATAGTTCGTTCTATGACCCTTGCTGACGTACGTGACCCGCAAACGTTCCTGAGGGTAGTCGATCTTCTTGTGGCTATTGTTCCATTCCCCAACCATGAAAAACTCAAAGTTCTCTCGGCATTAGGACTCGAAAAAAGAGTTGAAATTGTGAAAAGTATGCTTCGGAAAATGAATGAAGTCTTCCAAACTATAAGAGAGAACAATAGCATGGTCAACCATTGGTTCTACGAGGAGGCATCTAACATTCAGAGAGCCAATGTTGTCGCAAACCAGCTTAAGTCCATTCGTGTCGTTTTGGAAGGTCTCTCTAAGAATTCGTATGAAAAACAAGCCCTCGTGAAGCCTAAGAATGGTTTAACTGGCTCTAGAAGAAGAGGAAACGATGGCAAGGGTGTGAATGGAGAGGATGATGAAGATGATGATGACATGCGTGCAATCTCAGAGTTTATCAAACAGAGGTTGCCGGAAATCACTTCTATATCAGACGATTCGAAACGTTTGATTGTGAAAGACTACAAGCGGATTAAGTCTTCGACACCAGGTAATGCAGACTTTCATGTAATCAGAAACTATTTGGAAATCGTCTCTGATTTGCCCTGGGACAAGTTTGTGTCTAAGTTCCAAAGCAACAAAGAAATTGATGTCAGTGTTGCGAAGCAGCAACTTGATGAGGACCATTACGGCTTGGAAAATGTGAAAACGCGGTTGCTCCAATACCTTGTCGTTTTGAAGCTTTTGGCATCCAATGCCGAAGATGAGTACAAGCAACTGAAAATCGAAGAAGCAGAAAAGGAAAAGAAAATGCAAGAGGAGAAGGAACGTTTAAAGTTTACAAGGGAGTCATCAAGTGGAGAAACCTTTATTATCCCTAACGATGAAGCACGCAATTCGAAAGAGGCTAATTCCACCAAAGAAGCGTCCGCTTCTCAAACAAAGTCACTTCTTGCTTCAAAGAATAACAAGTCTCCCATCATTATGTTGGCTGGACCACCAGGTGTCGGTAAGACTTCGTTGGCAAAATCCGTGGCCAGGGTCCTTGGAAGAAAGTTCCAGCGTATATCTTTAGGCGGGGTGAAAGATGAGTCTGAAATCCGAGGTCATCGAAGGACTTATGTTGGTGCAATGCCTGGCACCATCGTACAAGCCTTGAGAAAAGCTCTGTGTATGAACCCTGTGATTTTGTTGGATGAGATTGATAAAGTGGTTGGTGGTGGATCGAACATGACCAAATTCAATGGTGACCCTGCTGCTGCTTTATTGGAAGTATTAGATCCTGAACAAAACACTCAGTTCATTGACCATTATTTAGGATTTCCGATTGACTTGTCGCAGGTGATTTTTATTTGCACGGCAAACGAACCTTACAACTTGTCCCGGCCCTTACTTGACAGGTTGGAAATGATTGAAATCGGCGCTTACGATTACGGCGAAAAACTTATTATTGGCAGCAAGTATTTGTTACCGAGACAAATAAAAAGAAACGGCTTCCCTGACGGTGCCACTGTTTCTATTGATGAAAATGTGATGAAGCAAGTCATTATTGATTATACCCGCGAAGCTGGTGTTCGTAATTTTGAAAGAAAGTTGGGGACCATTTGCCGGTTTAAAGCCGTTGAATACTCTGAAAGTTTGGCAAATTCTGATGTTCACTATGATCCTAAAGTGGAGATCTACGATTTAGCGAAGTACTTGGGAGTGCCACATTCAAATTCAAATTCTGCAATAATCGACGTTCCTATTTTGTCCAGCAAATATGGTGTTGTCAATGGCTTGTCATACAATGCAGATGGGTCAGGGTCTGTGTTGATATTTGAGTGTGTTGGCATTGCCGGCGAGAAAAACGGTCCAACTTTAAAAATGACTGGACGGCTTGGTGATGTTTTGATGGAGAGTGCTAAGATCGGGTTGACATTTATCAAGAGTCTTTTGTACAGACGCTTGTTTAACACGGCTGACGTGGAATCGCTCATTGATAGACTTGGGCATTTGGAAATACATTTACATGTGCCAAGTGGAGCCATTCAGAAGGACGGCCCTTCTGCGGGTATTACTATGGCTCTTGCATTTCTTTCTCTTCTTATGGAGAAAGCTGTTCCGCTGGATATTGCAATGACTGGTGAGATTACTTTGAGAGGTCTGGTTCTCCCTATTGGAGGCCTTAAGGAGAAGTTTCTCGGTGCTCATTTAACAGGACATGTCAACAGGATCATTGTTCCAAGGGACAATCGTCGTGATGTGCTTGAGGAGTATGTGCAAAAGATTAACGATACGCTGAAACTCAATGCTCTCTTGAAGGACGACTCACAAGCCAACTTCAAAAACACTGCTCCAGAAGATTACTTTGCGGAGAAATATGGCGTACAGATTCTCTATGCCAAGGAATTTTGGGACGTAGTCAAGCATGTTTGGGGCGAAGATCTATTGATGAAAACCGAAGAGACCCGTTTGTCTGAGTACCACTTGTGAGCAGAGCCTTACGTCATAGTAAAGAAGGTTATGGAGCCCACATGTGGTTGACTAATGGTACAGCCTGCACCGAAGTCGGCGATTTGATGTCGATCGCGAGAACAATGCGCGTACATGTTATTGAAACGCGAGAATACGACTCATCACAATAAACAAGATGCAAATACGTGCGTCTTTGGTTTACGAACGATCTTTGAAAGGTTTGCGCCCATGCCAAAGCTTATACTTTGTAGTGCTAGTGTTTTAATTTCTCCGTCATGAAACAATTGTAGTGTGAAATGCCCGCCACTAAAAATAATTTGCCCATAACGCGGCATTAATACAGTAGAAAAGACTAGTCTTCCATGCACTCTCTTCTGTTTGCATGTTTGCATCTATCATTGTCCGCGACTGAGCTATTAAAAACATCAGAGGCTGTGTCTACTCATAACCAGGTGGAATGTCACTGGAATGGACATAGCAAGCTAACGTCCTGTCAAGTGCCCGTGCCAAAGCCAACATGTCAAACTAGATGGTGCTTTTTTTTTTTGCTTGTCTTTGCTATTGCATAGCACTTATCGGTTTTCAGAAGTGCGCACTCGAATAAAAGGGAAGTGCAGAAATGCGTGGCCGCAGATGTATTAATACATCCTAAGGCTGAGATTACATCGAACTTTGCGCAACGGTCCATGATGAACTGTAACGTAGACTTGTTGGAGCGTAGATTTTTGTCATCTCTTGTTCTCTTTTGTCACATCTATGGTTCACTTTTGCGAGCAGCTTTTTTAGGCTTTCTTGTGCATTCGGTGGTGCTATCGGATCCCCTGTTACTGAAGGCACTGCATACACGTGCGAGTTTCTTTTTTCGCGGCTTGATCCACCTAACGCTACCACTACAAGGTTTTTTTTTTCCTCTCCATCACAAGAACCCAAAACATCCGTCTCCCGATCTGAGGAACGCACATCTTTCGCTCCAGGCCTTTTTCATTTCTTCCCATCTTCATTCGGAGCACACCAAAGTTTGTCTGTTTTCCCTTTTTCCTTCTCCGATTGTTCCCCTGATTCCGGCGCTGCCCCTAAGATCATACGGGCTTCTGCTAACAGTCAACCGTTCTCGAATCCTTACCTGCTTCTACTCAGGCCAAAAAGCTGCAGAATGAACTTTTTGTTTGTCTTTTTGTTGGCGCTTGTTTGTCCCGTGTGGGCCAAGAGATCTCTCCTGGCCACTTCTTTGGTGACATGCATGGAAAACTCCCAGATTTCGCCCTCTTATTTTAACGTCACATTTAACCCCGATGACAGATCCTTGAAATACAATATCGACTTGGTCACGGATATCTCGGCCAAAGTCGAGGCCCATGTGCGTGTCTACGCTTATGGCTTTTTGATCATCGACAAGAACATCGACATGTGTACTTTGGACTGGAAGCAGTTCTGTCCTATTTACCCTGGCTCGATGCAGATCGAATCGATCGAGTACGTCTCAGAACACTACGTCAAGGAAATCCCTGGAATCGCCTACACGGTTCCAGATATTGATGCTGTGGTGAAACTCGATGTCTACAACAAGCAAACAGGAGAACGTTTGTCTTGTCTTCAAAGTACTTTCACCAACGGAAAGACCGTCTCTCAAGTCGGAATCAAATGGGCCACTGCGTGTATTGCAGGTTTAGGTTTGTTGATTGCAGCCGTCTTATCCACATTCGGAAACTCGAATGCTGCGTCCCACATTTCGACAAACGCCGTCTCCTTATTCTTGTACTTCCAGTCTGTGGTGATTGTTTCGATGCAAAATGTCGACAGAGTGCCTCCTATTGCTAGTGCGTGGGCAGAAAACTTGGCTTGGTCCATGGGATTGATCCGGGTTCACTTCATGCAAAAGATTTTCAGGTGGTACATTCAGAGTACCGGCGGTACCCCTACTACTTACTTTTCTGGTACGACGAGGCAAATTTTAGTGCAGCGGTCACAGCTGTATTTGCGCAACCTTCATGATTATGCCATGAATGATTTCAAAGTTCCATCTGGTATCAAGCGCTCGTTGAACTTTTCATTGAAGTCCAATATTAACTTAATCGTCTTGAGAGGTATTGAAAGAGTCGGTTATAGAACGCACATTGAACCTACCTCGATTGTTGCGACAGGTTTCACCTTTTTCGTCCTCTGTGGCTTCCTTCTGGTCGTCATCATTTACTTTGTTAAGCTGATCACGGTGCTTTTGATTAGAATGAAAAAAATGAACCCAAACAGATTGTCTCATTTCAGAAAGTCCTTCAGCACCATCGCTAAAGGTACTTTGTTAAGATACATCTACATTGGCTCTACCCAAATCATCATTCTTTCATTGTGGGAATTTACGCGAAATGATTCACCAGCACTTCTTGTTATCGCAGTGATTGCGCTCATAGCAACTTTGGGTGTTCTTGCTCTCTCTTTTTGGAAAACTTATACCATTGGTGAGCATTCGAGAAAAGAATACTCGAATCCTGCGGCTCTCTTATATGGAGAGACCAAGATATTGCAAAAGTTTGGCTTTTGTTATACCATGTTCCGTGCTGAGAAGTACTGGTTTGGTATAGTGATTGTCGCATATGCCTTGGTTAAGGGTATCTTCATTGGTTTGTGCCAAAAATCTGGCAAAGTATCCACCATTGTTATTTTTGTGTTAGACTTCGCTTTCATGGTTTACTTGTTCATTGAAAAACCTTACTTGAACAAACCAACTAATGTGGTGAACTACTGCATGGCGATTGTTAACACAGTCAACTCGTTTTTATTCATTTTCTTTTCCGACGTTTTTGGCCAGCCCGCCCAAGTGGGTTCTATCATGGGCTGGGTCTTTTTCATTTTAAATGCCGCCTTTTCGTTTATTCTTTTGTTATCAATTATTGCTTTGTCCTTGATGGCAGTCTTCTCCAAGAACCCCGACGCACGTTTTGCTCCAGCTAAAGATGATAGAACATCTTTCCAAAGACAATCCTCTCTCAAGAGAAGAGATCCTAGCGCAAACAAGGGCTTAAACGCTCAGAATGAATTGAGCGCCTTGGGTGCAGCAGCTCAAGACCATCAAGCAGATTGGGAAACTGAAATGTACCGCTTGAATGATTTGAGTAATGTCACAGGATCATCGGATGCCTTGATGGATCTGACACGTGAATCGGAGAAAGTGGAGTCCCTTGCATTTGAGGAGAAGACCGAGCCGCAACTAGATGATGAAATGGCCACTCCCACATTTGGGGAAAAGCTTAAAAGCAAAATCGGAAGAACATTTTCCACCAAATCTAAAAGTACTCCTGAAGACAGCAGGCGCATAACGCGTGTGAGTGAAACACTTGAGGATGACTCGGTGAGTAATCTTCCTCCTTCACCAGAGAAGAAAAATCATCGTCGTCAAGAATCGGAGTCGGCATACTCTGATGTCTCGAATGTTAAGCCTACAGGGTTCACTGGCATTGTATAAATAGTGGAAAACTTGCCAGTTGCTAGTCTTTGAAAGGAGCAAGTTCCTCATCGCTTTGTATATTAGTTTAATGCATGGTCATTGTTGAAATACGCTATCCCATATATTCTGGAGATTACCAATGTGGAAGTATCTTGCTTTGGAATCTAGGGTCGATAGGAAAAAGGAAAGGTGGCTGCTCAAACTAGACGAGTCGTTGGACCGAGTGAAGAGCCCTCGGGGAAAAGCTGGTAAGCGTGTTAGCTTGTGAACATAATTGGCGGTGTTTGCAATTGCCATCGAAACCAGCCTGAGCTCCAGTTTATCGTAGTTGTATTTTTCATTCACATTGACGGCCGACTCCCACGCAATCAGTTTCGGGAACCTGGGATCCCATCGTGAGGCGGTTCGAAGATATGGGACATTGTGTACTACGCCTACTGGCCTCATCAGGAGTGACATCCAGTGTTTGCTAGAGTCATCAGCCACCAACGGACTTACAGGTGTAGCATGTTCTGGATCACACAGTTCTCTGTGTTTTGAAGAAGAAGAATCTTCGCAGCGGAAAAGTCCGCCAACAAATGTGTAAGGTAGAAAGTAGACTAAGTTCAGCTTGGCGTAGAGTCGTCTTCTTGCAATCTTATATTTTTGTGACACTTGCAGTTGAACTGTGGTTCCGGAGTAGTTGAGAAGACGAGGATTATCAAACTTGAACCCAAATACTGTATCGAAATCAATGTCTCGGTCAGATTGGATTTCCACTGTGCGAGAGGAAATAGCCTTGCCTTTTTTACACTGGGTGATCAATAGGGCTCTCTGGCTAGTTAAAGGATATACAGAAACACGGTAGGTTCGAGTAAATTTAAAACCAGTAAACGGCACAATGCCTTCTGAAGAGCACACTTTAGCCAAAGAAACATTTACGAAGAGAACAAAGAGAAAAATGTGTCGCCAATAGAACATTGTGCAAAGAGAAGGTGTTTGTGTTAGAATGGAGGCGTCACATGTACAGGTTTGTAAACCTCAGATCGAGTAGATGCACTTACACAACAAGAATTGGTGAGAGAAAAAAAAAAAAAAAAAAGAAAAGAAAAATACAGCTTTCAGCCTTTAATAATTGGCCATTTACTCGTTGAATCCACTTGTTTTCATGTAATCAGCAATGTTCTTTCTTCAGATCGTCTGAAGTGGCACCAATGCATGGGGAGGTACGGGTGTATCTGTCCACAAAAAAATGCGATGAGATGCCTCATAGAAACCTCACTATACTTCTTCAAGTCTATGGATTCCACACAGCAGCTGAACAAGCCGCATCGTGGCAATGACGGCAAGAAAAACACAGCAAAGAAGAAGCTCCATCAGAACGGCCATAACGCCAAGGCCTTTGCTGTGGCTGCCCCCAAGAAGCTTGAGAAGCAAGCCAGAAGAGCCCACGATGTTAACGAAAAGAGACTACATGTCCCCATGGTGGACAGGACACCTGATGACGATCCTCCACCAGTTATTGTGGCTGTGGTGGGGCCTCCAGGAACAGGAAAGACCACTTTGATCAAGTCGCTTGTGAAAAAATTGACAAAGTCCACCTTGACAGAAGTCAAAGGTCCAATCACCGTGGTGAGCGGGAAAAGACGGAGACTTACATTTATGGAGGTAAACAATGACTTGAACTCTATGGTTGATGCAGCCAAGATCGCGGACTTGGTTTTGTTGCTTGTTGATGGTAACTTTGGATTGGAGATGGAAACAATGGAGTTCTTGAATATTGCGCAACACCATGGTATGCCCAGAGTGTTGGGAGTGGCAACACACTTGGACTTATTCAAAAGTCAAAGCACTTTAAGAACGTCCAAAAAGAGATTGAAGCATCGTTTCTGGACAGAAGTGTATCAAGGTGCCAAGTTGTTTTACCTTTCCGGTGTCATCAATGGAAGATATCCTGATCGAGAAATCTTAAACTTGTGCCGCTTCATGTCAGTGATGAAGTTCCGACCATTGAAATGGCGGAATGAGCATCCATATTTGTTGGCCGATCGTGTAACGGACTTGACCCACCCCCAACTCATATCCGAAAACCCTAAGTGCGACAGAAAAGTGGCCATCTACGGTTACTTGCATGGAACTCCTTTACCTGCCACCGGTGCTAATATCCATATTGCTGGTGTTGGAGACCACGTTGTCCATGCTGTTGAGAAGTTACCAGACCCTTGTCCAACACCGTACTTTGAGCAGAAATTGGACGAGCTCGAAAGAGAAAAGGCTAAAGCTGCAGCCGAGGCAGGAGAGGAAATTGTTCCTACGAGGAGAAGAAGAAGAAAGCGTCTTGAAGATAAACAGAAGATAATCTACGCACCAATGTCTGATGTTGGAGGTGTCTTGGTTGATAAGGATGCAGTCTACATTGATGTTGGAGACAAGCAATCTTTTGTTCCGGGTCAGGAGCAAGGTGAAGGTGAAAAACTTGTGACAGGTTTGCAAGATGTCCAAAAGACTATGCACGAGCGGTTTGCCGAGGGTCCTGGATTGAAATTGTTCTCTAATTCTGCTGAGATCGAGAGAGATGACTCCTTACAACTGGATGATGAAAACATGCAAGGATTACTTTCAGAAGACGAAGAAACGGAGTCTCGTAATACGGGCAGAACTTCTGTAAGAAAACCTCGGATTTATGGCAAATCGTTAGCTGAAGACACAGAGTTCGATGATATGCCTGATGATGATGAAGAAAGAGAACTGGACTCGGACTTGGACGAGAAGGAACCCAAGAAGGTGGAAATTGATTTTGGTGATCGTGCCAAGGACAATTTAGAATTTGTTGAAGACTCGTCTTTATCTTCAGACGAGGACGATTACGTTGCCATGGCCTCCAAACTAAAGGGAACTGTGCAACGCAGATGGAATATTAATAAGTTACTTTACTTGGACAACATTGAGCCTGCAGAAGTAATCAGAAGATGGAAGCAACAAACTGTCGAGGATGAAGAGGAAGAATCCGACATTGAAGAAGATGATGATTTTTTCAAGAAGAAGGATACTTCTCTGGTTTCAGAAGATTTGGACACTTTCATTCCATCATTCCCTCCCATCGATGAACTTCGGGCTAAGTTCGACGCCTCTACTATGGAAGATAGTGATGAAGAGTATGAAAACGGTTACAAAATCTTGAAGGAACGCTTGTTGGTTGCACCTAAATTAAATGAAGAAAGCAAGGACGCTAATAAAGAGGCTGGCGATGATGATGATGATGATGAAGTTTATGGCGATTTCGAAGATTTGGAGGATGGAGAAAACAATGAAGCGAATGATGAACATGCAGCATCTGCGGATGAAGATGCTAATGATGAAGATGATTTTGCTGACTTTGAAGCTGAAGAGGATAAGGATGAAGCTCCCGAGGAAGACGAGAATATGACTGTGGAGCAGAAAAGAGAACTTAATGCTGCCAAAAAGGCTAAACTCAAAATGCAATTTGAGGAAGAGGAGGACAGAGAATTTGGTGCAGATGACCCAGAGGGTGACACTGAGGCAGATACTTGGTACGAGTTCCAAAAGAATAAGATGGCAAAACAATTGGAAATTAACAAGGCTGAGCTCGAAGAAATGGACCCTGAAACCAGAATCAAGATTGAGGGTTATCGTGCCGGTTCCTACGTCAAGATTGTCTTTGAAAACTTGCCATGTGAATTCATTGAAAATTTGCAACCAGAATATCCAATCGTTTTGGGAGGATTGTTGGCCACGGAATCTAGATTTGGAATCATGAATGTCAGAATCAGAAGACACCGTTGGCACAAGAAAATCTTGAAATCACAAGATCCTTTGATTTTGTCGTTGGGTTGGAGAAGGTTTCAGACAATTCCTATTTACACCACTACCGACTCTCGTACTCGTAACAGAATGTTGAAGTACACTCCAGAGCACGCATATTGTTTTGCGTCTTTCTATGGACCTTTGGTTGCACCCAATACTACTTTTGTGGGTTTCAACATTGTGGACCAATCGTCGACGACCGGATCTTTCAGAGTTGCTGCAACAGGCATTGTTGAGGACTTAAATCTGTCGGTGGAAATTGTCAAGAAATTAAAATTGGTGGGTCATCCTTACAAGATCTTTAGAAACACTGCATTCATCAAAGACATGTTTACTAATTCTTTGGAAGTTGCCAAGTTTGAAGGTGCATCCATCAGAACTGTGTCTGGTATACGAGGAGAGATCAAACGGGCATTATCGAAACCAGATGGTTACTTTAGAGCGACGTTTGAGGACAAGATTCTCATGTCTGACACAGTTTTCTTGAAGACTTGGTACCCCGTCAAGGTCAAGAAGTTCTACAATCCGGTGACTTCGTTGTTACTTGGACAGCATCAAGAATGGAAGGGTATGAGGTTGACAGGACAAGTCAGAGCAGCACAGAATATCCCTACTCCATTAGAAAAGGACTCTGCGTACAAGAAGATTGAAAGAGAAGAGAGAAAGTTCAATCCTTTGAGAGTGCCAAAGTCTATCCAGAAGGAGTTGCCATTCAAATCGAAAGTGGCTGAGATGAAGCCACAGAAGAAGAAAACGTATTTGGCGAAGCGGGCTGTTGTTGTTGATGGAGATGAAAAGAAAATGAGAGATTTGATAAACAAGATCAACACGCTCAAGAGAGAAAAGGATACCAAGAGAAAGACCAAGAAGCAAGAGAAGTTCCAGGACCGGTTGAAAGAAATTGCCAAGAAGGAAGAGTTGAGAAAGGAGAAGGAGAAGGAAAGAAAGAAAGAGTACTTTATGAGAGAGGGGAAAAAGAGAGGCTTGGACAAAGACGACGGCAATGCCGCTGCTTTTGGCTCCAAGAAAAGACGTTAGCATATAGCATCATTACATATTATTGTGCACATTGGACAAGTTGTATGTCTTCCCCATCACAAGTATAATGTTCCATCCCTGCATCCCGGAGTCGCCCCACTATGCGACCTGTACTATAGAGTGTAAGCGAAGAGCAAAAGAAAAGGTTAAAGATCTCGCGTAGACAGTTTGTAGTCATAAGCTTTGCTTTTCCAAAGGGGAAAAAGTACGCAAGCATGGAAGAGAATTTTCTGTAAAGTTTTTCGTTTCGCCCCGCTTGCTTACCCCGGTTGTCCCGTTTTTGCTCCCTTGGTCATTTCTCGCATTTCGCTTCCGCGACACGCATACAAAATCTAAATACATCAGTGCGACCTTAGGCTCAGGCTACTTTGCTTCGAATCTACCATGGCCTCAACCTATTCAAGCAAGTATGTGACGGACATACCGTTGAAAAGACCACGTGAAACTTTTGTTGATGATCCGCACTCGCTCGACGAGGTCTCTTTGAATGAGTTAGAGTTTGACTTGGCCAATGACATCAAAGACATCAATCGACTCCAGATATTCCATGCCATAGCCATCTTCCATGCCACGCTCCAGGACTTGATCAAGCTCAGCGCGCATGCGGATTTGTTGTGCAAATTTCGCCAGGAGCAACTCGACTCCTACAATATTGATGTCACCGACTTGTCCTTCTCTGCGACTTCAAACGTTGAAGAACCTCTGCTTCCCTCGGACGCTCTAGCAGTAGACTTTTCCGATGCAGGCGTGGCCCTTGCAGACCCAGACTCCTATGTTTCGCTCTCTGAAGCAGCTAAGATCGGCCTTGATGCCTCGGCTCTTTCCCCTCTACGACAAAGCAGCGATGCAGACATGTCCGATGCAGTAACTCCAAACGGCGACGAAGTCGATGTTGCGCATGAAGAGTTTATTTCGACGGAATCGCTCATTCAGTCCACGTCTTTGGACCAAGTCGCTGACCCTATTACTTGCCACAGCAACGAAAGGGTTAAAAGCGAAGCGTTATTCTACCTTCGCCCGAACATTCAGCAACAAAGTGAGCATCTTTTGAAGGTGTTCAGCTTGGCTAAGGAACCTAGTGTTTCTATCAAGGACTTTCTTCTTCGCATCAACAAGTATTCACCTTCTGTTTCCATCTCGGTGTACATTCACTGTGCTTATATGCTTTTCAAGCTTTGTGCTCTCTATGGCGCCATTCCCTTGACTCCTCTTAATGTTTATCGGCTCATTGCAGCTCTGATAAGATGTCTGACTAAGAAATTGGAAGACATTTATCAGAAGCAAAGGAGCTTTGCCCAAGTTGTGGGCGTAGACCTCAAGGACTTATGCAAGTTCGAAATCAGCTTCCTCTACTTGTGCAACTTTAAGCTTATTGTCAGCGAGTATATTCTCAACCACTTTCTTACCAAAAACTTTCTAGCATTGCGCAGTTTTTGCAAAAAACACTTCCCTGAAAGCTCTGCAGAGCATAACGAAAACGCTACGAATTGAAGATTCTTTAATAATTTTAATGAACGGCAGTCTCACAGATGACGTACATGTGAAGTTGTAGTGCTTGTCTCCGGGTGTACCACAAGCTTTGTGGTTTTATTTTTTCTATTATTTCACCTTATATTCTCCATGGCGGCCCGTCTTCGAACTTCAACGGTCTATGTTATCTTTTACAATAATCTTCTGTATCTCTAGGCATGCGACTAATAGCAACAGCTCTTGGATAGAGGCAAAGGTCAGAAACAGGCCCCTTGCAGTCTGATACCATCTCCTCTCGGGACTCATCGAGCTAGATATCTGTGCCGTGAAAAGAACCATTTCTGTTCCTTCTTGTGGCTCATCTCTCTAAGAATAGCTATCCGGACTGAAAATATTCGGATAAAATATTCAACTTAAACCCGAATCTTGCTTATGTTTGACCTTTAGTGGCCCCTACTTGCAGCCTATTGTGGTGGCGCTAACATTCCATCTGCCAGGAAATAACAAAGCCTCGTGGCTTATCAAACAAAAAGAAAAAAAATCACTACCCGGGTCTGATAACAATAAGAAAACAAAGATACGCGGTTTCGGGCTGGCGTTTTCTTGCATCACACTACGAGCATTCCACGTCCGGAACATCGGTGCTGCGTCGTTTGTTCCTGAAAGATCAGATTCAAAAGTACAACAAAAAAGTTCTGAATAATTGGACACCATCAAGAAGAGGTGAAGAGGTCCAAATACACGTTATCTGGTATAATGACTTTGAGTAGAAAAAGATGCTTAATGCTATAGTCGTTCCATCTATCTGAGAGTAGAAGATGTTGGCTTATAGTGTTCGGTGATGGACTTTCAGGCTTACAAATGAGCAAATCATGAGAACAATGCGGAGGTGCAAATCCCCCGGTCCTATAGACGAGAAAATTACGTTAGTAGCACTACATCCCCAACCAGATTTAGAAGTCGGACTAAGGGAATAGATGGTCCGGATAAACGACAAAGGAGAAGGACAAATCGAGACGAATGACCAATAAAGTTCTGGCTCGGAGCGGCAACCAGTGACAATTACTCAAACAGGATACAAGGAGGGGAGCACAGATTATGCGTATGCAAGAAGCCTCGGGTGCTCAATGGGCCCTCATGCATCTACCGGATTTATCTCCTTACTGTGCAGCCTCTTTTGCCTAACGCGGGGTGAGCCTGCATTCACGTATTCTACGAAGCCTCCCTTGCGTCATCGGCTTGAAGCTGCACTCACAGAATCCTCACCATTGGTGTCTGATTGCAGCTTTATAGTTACACCAGCCCTTTTGGATGCTTATGCTTGGCTGTTCACCTTTTCCCCCGCCTCTCAAACTCAATTTGGGCCCTATATTCAAACGGTTGTCTGGTCCGCGGACTCTGTTACGTGCAGTCTTTGGTGTTCGGTTGCGTTGAAATCAACCGTAACTTTCTCCGTTTTCTACAGTACCCATACTTTTTTTGGCTACTTACAAAGCGGCTGTTGCCCGTTTCTGGATCCGGTCTTGTCTTCCTTTGCCATTATATAAGCTTCGCCTTACCCTCCTTACACTCCCCACACTTGTTGATTTTTCTTCCCTTGCTTCCTAAAAATATTCTTCCAACGCCCCAATATTTCTTCTAACAATGTCTCACACGGCTACATCAGACGTGACTCCGCAGATGAATCTCGATGCCTTTGGCTATCCCCCATCTCGCCAGTTCATGAGCCACAGTGGACTTTCAACCCAATGCCGTGAGGTACCTCCACAGAAAAAGCGCAAAGTGGCCAAAACTCCCACAACCTCCACCGATGATGAGGACGTCTTCTCCCTTGATATGGTTACTATGGATATGGGTTTTGAACAGGCATACGGCATGTACACGCAGATGCAGCAAAAGAGTGCATTGCTTGGTGTTGAAGAGCTACAGAGAGCCCAGCAGATCAACATGAACAACACGCTCTCGCATAACCATATGCGTCCTGCTCAATCTTATCTACAAGTGCACGACAACCAGCATTTACAAGACCAGAACTCGTTTGGCAGCATGCCATTATTGTCGCCCCCTGGTGAAGCAGTTGAAAAGAGCTACCCCAGAGCTCCAGCACTGAGTGCACCTGGTTTCAATTCCAATGAACTCCACAAGCGCTTTGCCGATAACCACAGTGGATTCCCTAGTTACAAAAACTTCCAGGATCTCCAGAAGCGTGCCATGAAAATGTCACTTCCGGAACAGACCGTTTCTAAAGGACATACCAGTTTTCAAGAACAGGAGGAGTACGAAGACGATAGTCATGACGAGTTGGATCATTTTTTTTCTAGCACAGAGTCCAACGCGCTAGAAAAGTTCTTGGACAACTTGGCTTCGTCCAATCTGGCAAATCCTCTCGATTTGTACAACCAGGCACAGCCTTCGACGCCGCAGCTATTTGATTTGCATACCATGGGTACTGCAGAACAAAGACTGTCAGCATCTCGTTCTGATTACCCTGATCTGGTGAAGAACGAGAATGGCGGTGGATTTGGTAACCAGTCATCTCAATATTTACCAACGTTTAGCTCCCACAACGAACAAAACTTCCAACTTCCGACTCCTAACAGCTCAAGGCAAGTTTCCAATGCAGAGCAAGGAAAGAAAACGTCGTTAGATGATGGCACAATGTTGGAAACTGTGCAACTGAAGAAGAAGAAAAAGACTAGTAAACCACTACTTTCATTGGAACAGAAAAGATTGAACCACTCACACTCGGAACAGAGGCGCCGTCTCCTTTGTAAGCAGGCTTACGAGAGATGTTTAAGATTGATCACCAATGTTGATGACTACAAGAATGACTTGGTGTCTGCCTCTGCATTAACGTCGTCTGCGAAAAAATCGAAGCGCAAACAAATCAATAAGGATGGCTTGCCCAACTTATCCAAGCATACCGCGTTATTGAAGATCAGTCTTGAAATCATGAAAATTCGTGACAAGAATGAAAAGTTGCAAGAGTTAATCGCCGGCTATCGCTAGTGCGAAAGTGCGCCGCCGCTTGTGGTAGTTCGTGTAACCTAATATATTATGCATACACCAAGGCTAATCATTGTAGTATCCCAAGCCACTAACCCTAGTGTAAAGTGGTGTCGCTGTGGCGGTACCTCGGTGCCCCAGAGTGGGGGTCTGTCAGTTTATGCGTTTGTGCATTTGGTGTTGCAAGCAAACGCAATCCAGGTCTGGGTTCGGCATCCGCGTATTGTTCAGTGCGCAGCGCATAATTTTAAGAACGAAGGCTTCTGTTAGCCTTGATGTGCATAGAATTGCATTTCAACTTAGGCGGACCCCTTACGCCCGCCCCGCCGTATGTGTTGAAATTGCGCTTCTAGATAATGATGCCACGAAATTTGCGCGCTCTAGGTTGCTAGGTATTCGCATTATCACTACCAATATTCCCAGTAAATACCCGTTCATGTTTAGGTCTACGTACTTCTCTCATCCGAACAACAATCTAGTCACACATTTCTTTACTGTTGTTTCTGCGAATCGGGAAGATACCCAGTGGGAAATGCGCTTGTCAAGAGAGAATTGCAGTATTCATTAGTACACGTCTCGCATCCAAGTCGCGCTGTACATATCGCGCATTCTTTAGATCCAAGTCGGAAGACCAAAGTCTTTTTTCCAATGACGTCAAGCAAGTCCCAAACGCCCGTGGCGGTGGACTCATCGCATCCGGGCCACGCTCTCACCATTGGCAATGAAGAGGAAAAATCTGCATTGCTCAAATTGACTCCAGTGCTACTTCCCAACGACACCACTGTTGAGTCTCTTCAACATAACTACCCCAAGGATAAACGATGGAAAACGTTTCGCTCCGATTACCGCTATATTTACGTCGTGAACTGGATGTATCAATGCCGGGGCTACCTCAAGTTAGCATCTGATCACTTTGATGTAGATCTTTTCGAGATTGAACTTTTCGATTTGGTTCATCCGCCTCCTGTGGATGACATGGCTCTTATGGTGAACAAAATGAAAATAGGCTTACTAAGCAAAATCCATGGCAAGAAAATAGCATCTTTGGGCTCATTTGAGTCTTTGTTCCGCATTTACTTTGGCAGTGACACTCCATTGGGTGGACCAAACGAGGAAGGAGACCAATACGATGATGAGAAACACGATCCGACAGTGTATCCTAGATTTGATGATCTTTTTATTGATGAGAAGATAACTATATTGTATATGATGATGATCGAAGTGACACAATACCCTGATTTTAGAGATTTCATTGACAAAAATAAATTACCACCCGACGCCTTGAGACCATTGTGCATCAACTTTTCTCACGCCAAGAACCAAGATACCAGTGAAGATTATGTTCTTTTGTTTGACGATACAGCGTTGTACAAACGCGTGGTAACGTGTCCAGAATTGAGTGTACCTAAAAAGAGAAAGCTCGCTCCTAAGTACCCTGATGAGGAGTATGAAGAAGAATTGTTTGACGTTTCTTCGGTCAAGTTCGAATTGATATACAAGGACATTTACGGACTTAATGATTTCATCAAAACTTTAACGCCAAAAAAGGCGAAGAGAAATAAAATATTTCTCGATATTTTGACAAAGCCAGACTTTGTTTCCAATATATACTCTTATGAGATCAGAAAACGCAAAATCCTTGCTCACAGGCGGAGAGAATTTGAAATGGCACGCTTATTAGCAACAAGAAAACGTTCTTCTCGTATTGAGGCCAAGGAAAAGCAAAGACAGCAAGAAGAGCAAGAACGAAAACTTCGTGAACTTGAGGAATTACAACATGCAACTAGCCGGAGGTCACGTCGTAGTCGAAATCAACTTGAGCAAAAGTTCAAGATGGATTATACCGATGGCCTCTCGAGAGAAGAGAGATTAAAAATGCGCCTTGGCCTCCGTGAAAATACTGAGAGCCCCGAAGCTCCAAATGACACAATTATATCAGTGGAGTCAAGCCCTGGGGCAGTAGAAGTGCCAACATCTGAAACTTCTCCATTGAAGGAGGAGCTGGAGGCTCAAGAAGTGGTACCTGACTCAAAGTTGCCAACATCTTCTCCCTTGAAGGAAGAATTGGCGGATCAAGATGACGCAACCTCATTTAGAACTGAAAGACTCAATAGACCGGATCTCATTTCCAACAATGCGCCTTCAGGTGAAGTTTCTGAATCACACATTAACATTCCTGATGTCAATTCGAGTGCGCCTTCGCTGAATGGCGCAGAAACTTCATGAACTTCTCAAAGTATGTTAGGTTAGTTTAATAACCTGGGCCAGAATGAAATTACCTGTACATGCATCACGGATGCATTCCGTTCATTTTACGAAGATTTACCTAGTAGGGGTTTTGCTTTCGTTATGCATGAGTGTATGCAATAAAAAAACTTGACTCATCAACAGAATTCAGCATCACAGAATTCAGCACAAGAGACTAATCATCGCTAATTCCTCTTGCTTCACTATAATGCCTCCTTTCACTCCCTATTATGCTGTGGTATTTGTCAGCAAAATGAATGATCTAAGTGACGAAGATGCAAAGGAATATGAAGAGCTCGCTACTCGCATGAGCGATTTGGCCACGACGCAATCTGGTTACTTGGGCGTGGATTCCGTGAGAGATGAAAGTAAGAAGGGAATAACGGTTTCATATTGGGCTGATTTGGATAGTATCAGACATTGGAAGCTCAACTCGGATCATACAATGGCCAGAAATCAGCGTGCAAGGTTTTATCTGTACTGCTCGACTAAGATCACAAAGGTTGAGCGTGCATACGACTTCTCAAACTGACTACAAAATAGGCAGCGGAATATTAGATTAAAGACTAGAAGAGAACTGAACAACATATTTATTATAGAAGCTCTGAACGTAAGCCTGAGTTTATCACAAGTTCAACTCATTCAAAATCTGGCTGGCTAACGTCTTGTAGTTCCATGTATTACCAAGAGTTTTCTTGAATTGCACACCATATAATCCCACCAATGGTACTTTAACAATGTTGATCTCGAACTTCAAAGGCGTCTTTGAGGTAGCACGCATGTCTGTTCCCGCAGTTTCATGATCCAAAGATGTGCTTCTGGATCGTTGATGACGTGCGCCATGTTCAATTCTTGATGACACCAACATATCACTGCCTCCGCCAATCATTAACCCATTGAGCGAGTCAATGGAGTCCCCTCCAGAACTATGCTGCAATTGACCACGACTACTATCATCAAGGTCATCGCTGTCTGCTTCTGCAGCATTCATGAGCAGTTTGCTCACTCTTGCAGCAGCAGGGGTATTTGGAGGCATCAAAGTTTGCGAGCCATTCTTCTTCCTGTAAGAACTCAAGAATGATTGACCAATTGAGATCTTACGTCTATGGCCACTCATGGAATTTGACGACCTGTGTGTTTTGGGGGTAGTCAGTGGTGAAACAACGTTGCTATTAATCTTCAAAGACGGTTGCCTACTGACCTGTTTGGTCAGATTTCGTGGAGTCACAATTTGTGGGACATCATTCTGCTGAGGTTCTGGAGTAGTCGATCTCTCAGGTACTTCCTTTCCCTTCATAGATTCCGAGGAAGGGTTGAATGCGTCTCCATAGAGTTGTTTCTCCTCTTCATTTTCGTCCAGTTTGTATTCGTCAATGATAGTGATGGCGTCAGGCCCTTCTTCATCTTCAGACTCCTCCTTAGTGGTTAAAGATGGAGCATGGACACATATGAAGCCACCTTTCACTTCCTGGAACCTAACACCCAATTTGGTGAGCACATTAATAATGTTATAACGAATGACTGGCAATGGCTTAGTGGAAGTGGTTTGGACACTAAAGAATCCTTTCAAGAAAAGAGTCTTAGGGTACTCGATGGACGGCATGCTGTTGCGCCTAGCTTTGTTAAACTGCTCAATGATCTGTTCTTCCGTCAAGCGTGGAAGTCGATGATGATCAATCAGATCCAATGTCACATCATCAAATGCAGCGTCGCTCTTTTGATCAGAGTTAATGATTTCATCACTGTTTTGTGCCGCCATGGTGTTTGGAAGTTGGGGCATTGGATGATTACCTCCTCTGTAATACGAGGTGTCTTTCCTTGCGTGCCCTCCGACAGACTTTGCTCTCGCTGTAGGGTGAAACTTTTTGGCCACAGGTGTAACTTTCAAATTGTTATCATTTGGCTTTTCCGTTGAACTGCCTCCAGCCATCTGACTCGCAGTGATGTTGGGTAATGGTGGGAGATACTCCACAGGAATAAAACCATGAAATTTGTTCGCCGAAGATGATGAAGACCTTCCATGTGTTTTGTAGTCGGGCACATCCGCAAGTTTCGGAGATTGAGACTTTAGTATGTTGTCGCTGTTGACGTTCGATGATGACTTTTCCTTTGCCGTAACCTTCATACTCACTCCACGACGAACCAAAGGATCCGCTTTGCTTCCAACGGATTGCTGCGGCGACAAGTGTTGAGAACCAGGAAGTGCGGGAGATTGAGACTTTTTAGGACTTGGGCTATTTTCAAGTGCAGTAGCATTCTCTCTTGTGGATTGTGAGCCAACGCGGGTGGGTGATGCACTGGTATTCTTTGTTCTCTTCGAAGAGAGTCTTCTGAACAACGAATTGAATCCCAGTGGCATACCAGCATTGGGGTCCAAAGTCTCGGGAACCGGTGTGCTTGAATTTCTTGAACCTGGCGCAGGCTGTTGCATAATGTTTTCCGTTGTTTCTGAAGGTGATTCGGAATTTCTTTTGATGGATCCTGGGGTAGCCTGTGTGTGGGCTTCTTCTGGAAATTTGAGTTCTGGCAACTGCTGAGGCTTTGATGCTGGTGGCGAACTCTCCTTCGGAGTTGGAGTCAGGAACGGATTCTCTTTGTCTCTCAGAGTATCGGTTTGGCGAACTTCCGCATTATCGTTAGTGGCCGGCGTCTGAGCAATCGAGGGAAGGGGTGGTAATTGATTTTGATTTGACTTTTGGGCATTGGCATCTTCATTTGCATGCTGTTTGATCATCAGCTTAAGTGCCTCCTCCTTCGCCTTTCTTCGCTTTCTCATTTCATCCACTAAGTGGTAAATGGATACTAATGGGTGGAAACCGCATGTAGGGTCTAGCTGGCCTGGAAAGGAAGGATGAAAAGGTCTTCCTTGCTTAGCGCATTTATGCCATGTCTCGTAACTTTGTTGGTACTCTGCACTATTAAGAATGCTAGTCAACTCTTCGGCAATCGCTGAAACGGAACCGAGGTCAAAAGATGAAATGGCCTGGATAATCTCTGTATCTAGAGGAAGAGTCAAAGGCACACGCTTCGGCATGTAATTAGGAACAATAAAGTCAAATCCCTTGTTCATCCAGGGGTGCAGAATCACTTCCTGTAAAGATGCTCTTTTAGTAGGATCAACAACAAGCATCCTAGATAATAGAGAGACGCATTCTTTGGATATGAATGAAGGGTACTGGACATTTCCCTTTTTGATTTTCTCATGCAAAACAGAAACATGCGGGTCGTCAAAGGGAACCTTGCCACAAACCAAGACATACAACACAACACCCAATGACCAGATATCCACTTCTGGACCGATGTAAGGTTTTGCACTTAACAACTCGGGAGCGGCAAAGTATAAAGACCCACAGTACGTTTTAAGCAAGCCATGTGGAACATACAAATTGGACAATCCAAAATCAATGATCTTGATCTCTCCCTTCTGGTTAATCATAATGTTTTCAATCTTCAAGTCACGGTGTACCACGTTGTTTTTGTGACAATAATCCAAAGCCAGTGCAATACCACGAGCAAATTTTCGAGCGTACTTCTCGTTCAATGACCCATGTGACACGATATAATCAAGCAATTGGCCACCCTCGACGTATTCAAAGAGCATGTAGTAGTGATTTGTCATAGGTACCATCTCATATAGACGACAAATATGTGGGTGGAAAAGAAGTCGACCAAGAGCTCCCTCTCTTATCGTTCTTTTATCTCTGGCAACCTCCTTCTCGAATTCCTTTTGACGTTGAATTGCTTCTTCAGTCGATTTCAAAGGTGGGTCGTTGGCGTGAGCTCTTTGATACAACTTCGCTGCACGCGGGACAATCTTCACAGCACATTTTTCATTTGTGTAGTTGTGTCTTGCCAATTTCACTTTACCCATGGAACCTGCACCTATAGTGCTGATGAAATCCCAGTCACCAATACATTTACGATGGAACTGCTGTTGTTGCTGCTGTTGATGTGGCTGTTGTGGTTGTGGAGGATTCTTCTGACTGGGGGTCGGGTGCTTTCGGGTGTCTTGACCGGCAGGCGGTCTAGATGGATTGGAACGATGCTGATCAGAATTTAGAGATGCTGGTGGTAACAATTCCTTCTCCGCATGCCTGGCAGGAATTTGGTTTTCTCCCGGGGGAACACGATGAGAACTTGGTGTTCTTGTATGCGAGTTTGAAGTTTGCATTTCGTTGGCAAATTCAGGATTCAGGGTCTTTAATGATGTCGAAAGGCTCCTGAGCATCCGCGGAGTTGCAGGTTGGCCGGGAAACGGTTGATACTGTTGGCCAGGGACAGGATTCGGATTATTCGAACCTCCCATTAAACTGGCGTCCTTAAAAATAGAAAAAGGAAAGGCTCAATTTAGATCAAATCTTGTAACAGGTTATGAAATTAAGCTATCCAAACTGTTAATGACCCAGTACGTGGTGTTAGACTTCGGATTTTTTTCCTCGGCTGGTTAATGATGGCTAAAGGCACCACGGATCCTCGAAACAACAATAAATTGGGTGGTGATTAAGGGTTGACAAAAACCGTACTTCTCCTATTCAGGAATTATGTGTATTGAGCTTATCTTGAGGAAGCCTCGGGCTCTCCTTGTTTTTCGTGGGTCAATGGGGGCTGGTTAAAAAACACACTTTCTGCTTTATCGACAATGCTTGCCCTGTATTTTTTGTGTCGCGCACGTCGTACCAGGGGCAACGCATTCAAAGGTAAGGAGCAGGATAAAATTCAATAAATGGGAACCGTTCCAATCTATTATAGGCTCTTTGATATGTAGTGTGATACCCCTATTTGTGAGATAGATAGCGTAGAGTGGAAGTGGATAGTTTTGTTTTTTTATCGTACTTCGTTTATGAATATACGCCTTCTGTTGCAGATACGCACTAATATTACGAATTTAGTTTGAACATGAAGTTTAGAAGAATAAAGTTTGAAGCAAAAAAAAAAGGAAGAGCGACAATAATAGAAATCGACCCTCGCTAGTTGTGAACGAAAAGTCAATCATCAGCATTCTATCGATGATTACTAATCTATCACTTGAAGTAATGAGCTATGCTCAGCCCGATTTATACATGCGCACTTTGATCAGTTATCGTTAACCAAAACGGGATGATGTAGATTTTCGGATACACATTTCTCTTATCCGTACAATGTGATTTGTAAGAATCCCAAAGAGTCATGTAAGCGGAAGACATTACTGGAAAGTACCCCAACATCCGCAAGTACGTATGATCACTATGTGAATCCATCAACGTATTCCGCCGTTCTACGAATTTGAAACCTCTACACGATACTTTTTTTTTAATCTTTTCATAAATGGAATATACAGCCATCCTAAGAACGACCTCTTATTTTAATATCGTTTATGTAATCACACCAGTGACGCCCTTAGTGTTTGTGGTGCTTCAAGTGAGATTGGTATTCCCAAGTGTAACCAGCAAGGATGATGACAACAGCAAGGTGAATCAATGGCTTACCAGAGGCATTGTCGCCATCAAAGTAGGCAGCCTTGTACTTGCCCCATGGGGTAGTTGGCTTCTTAGCAGCTGGAGCTGGGCCAGTAGGCAACTTCTTGTAGAAAGAAACCACATCAGCCATTCTCTTGGCGTTAGGGTTAGAGCCAATGTTCTGGGTGTTAGTAATTCGTTTGAAGCAGGGACATTCGAACCGGAAGTTCACGAACAAAAGCTTAAAAGCACACGTAGCAAATGGCTGGATAGAGGGACGAAGATTGACATGGACATTTCATGAAAGAGTTCCAAGAAAAGCCCTTTTCTTCAAATAAGGGAAATCCAATCAAAGGTAATCTGTATTTAGAGGTGAATTTGCTCTATGCTTCGTGGCTCCTCAACTGCGTTAAAGTTCATGGAAAAGGGAACGATATTTCTAGCGAGACAAAAGGAACGCACATACCTTAGCAGAGGCAACCTTTGGTGGGATCAAAGTAGACAATTGTCTTCTGATGATGAACGACATGGTAGGTGAAGGTGCTTCAGAAGTAGTTAGCTTTGTTTTTCGGTCTCGGTTTTTTCCACTTGCAGTGCGCTTTCTCATTCGCTAGTAATATACAGTACATCTTATAGGGAGATTGTTAGGTGCTTGTAAAAGTTAAGGCTTTGGAATAAAAGAGAATAGTAAGAAGAGTGAACGAACAATAGATCAATACTATTCCTCACTCTTTCTTTTCTTTTTCTTATTTTTACTCTTGCTCTGTTTTAAGTTAGCGCAAAATTATGTTGCATACAAAAGCGGACCTGTCATTGGCAGAATAAGGCTTTTACCTTACGATCCATATGCGTCTATGGGAGATAAATACACATTGGACATGTTTAGAGTTGACATTGTCAAGAAACGACGAAGGTCATGCGATTGGGCACTTTCACTCGTGCTGAACATCCTCCATCTGGGCTATTCTAGTAGAGACCAAGGCAAACACATATCCACGTGTAGATTACTTTGAGTCGCCATATTCTACCATAACCGACGGCAACTGCCTTCTTGTGGTGAATTATCCGTATACCTTTATTATTATACAAGAGATCAGGCCTCGCTAATATACAACACTGGAAGTTAGTAAGTTGATGGGCAAAAATGACATCGAATGGGCACATACCGTTGTTTCCTCTAATGAAAACGTCTCCGTAGCTTTTGTTTTCAGTGGCATTGACAAATTCCTTCGCAGACTCTAAGACGACATTCATGTAGCCATCGATGCTCTGGAGATTTCCCTGGTACTCCACTCCGTTATGAAGCTTGACAGTAACCGTGCTCCCAATTATGGAACCGAGGAACTTTGTTGGATCTGTTTTCAGTTGTTCATTTGCCGACATTGTCTGATTTTAGTTATCGTCACTGAGCTTCTGTACTTGAAAGGCGAAAAAGAGTCGTGCCGCGAGCATAAAAATAAGGGAGATCAAGAATGGTTGCCACCAAGAGAGAAGAATGCAATAATTGTGGAACCAACAGACTACAAGCAAACAAAAATCTATATCATGCAAAGGCTATATGTTTTGTTAATTGGCTTTCAATTTTTAATGTAGAAAGGGATGCCACTCCTCTTACTTTGTATGGCAGAAGCTTTAAGCAGAAATCGTCTGTGCGTCCCCGTGCATCCGAGCAAAGGGAGTTATGCCAGTCGCTTCCCACATGAAACAAGAACCAGAAGGCAAAAAATTAGACATACAGCAAGCGGAATTGTAGCGCCACTATCTTTGCCTACATCTGATACTTTGTAGTGATTAAACCCCTTGCCCAAGGTTTTGGAGCAAAGCATAGCCCGAGGGTGGCATACACGTGACTTTTGTTTACGCGAGGTGGCCCGTCACCGAAAAAGTACATAAGGTGCTCGGCAAAATCCCTCTTTTCTTCCATCAAGAAGGTGATTAGTGACAATGGACAAGCTCAAGGATGTATGTATCGGCACAATGTCTCCCCGGCAGCCAACAGGGTCTCAAATCAGTAACAATCAATGAAAAGATGGCCCCTTGGATCGATCCACGTGTACCTAGACGAGGTTACTAACCTGATCTATAGAAAATCAACAGTTTGAAGTTGGACGCCGAGAAGTGGCAAGAAAAGGCTGACGAGTTGACTACTCGTATCAAGGAGTTGGAACAGGAGAACATGGAGAAGGACCACCAGATTCAATCTTTGACCAGAAAGAACCAGGTTTTGGAAGAAGAGGTGGAGAAGTTGGAGACAGACATGACTGAAATCAAAGAAACTGCCGAGCAATCGCATTCCTTGAAGACATCCAATGAGAACTACACCAAGAAGAACCAGGTCTTGGAAGAAGAGTTGGAAGAGGCCGACAAGAACTTGAAGGAAACCACAGCTAAGTTGAGAGAAACAGACATCAAGGCGGAGCAGTTGGAAAGAAAGGTTGCCTCTTTGGAATCTGAGAAGGACGACTGGGAGAAGAAGTACGAGGAGTTGTCCGAGAAGTACAGTGCTGCTAAGGCCGAGTTGGACGAGATCAGCCAACAGTTAGAGGCTATTTAAGGTCAGTAATTTAATTGATACCACTATTAACGCAAGTAAACCAGTAGAAGGGGAAATGTGCACGACTCCAACACATCAATTGATATCTCAGCAAACAGAGGCGTTGATACCGGGGGGCCTTTAGTATTTGGGCATGGTACAAGCAGCAAACATATATATACTGCAATACAAAATAATCAGCTAGTCACATCGAACTCTTTCCATTGATTTGCTACAGAAGTGAACATTATATGGTGGGCTTTTCAATTACAAGGTGAAGTAAAAATTTCCTGTAGAAGCAAGGTTGAGAAAAGTGGAGAAGCATTGGTGATGATCTATGCGCGCGTTATCACCAAGGTCAAGTGACGGCTATTCACAGACTCCAGAGTGGGTCGAGACAACGTCACAGAAGAGAAATCTCGAGGGCAAATATCCGCATTTCTCGAGAGGCACCAGAGACAATAACATCAGCTAGCCATAGTTAGGGCAAACACGCGCAGAGCAAAAGTACATCATCTCAGTCCGGCTCAATTTACCACCATAACAAGTGCGGTGAACAACAAGCAACTCGATGCAACCGCTAATGGAACCGCGTCCGGTTCCGGTTCCGCATTTAGAGCCTTCCCCAGAAGCCAGTCCGGACTCTGAGATTGACGAGGTGGGCACTCTTCGGCGAATGATGCCAGTTCAGCATGCGGCATTCGACCCAGGCGAGCGCATTCCATCTTACGAACTGTCCCAGGAACAACATAGGAGACGGCTTGCGCAACGAGTTCGCCCAGAGACAAGCCGCGTTGAACGCCCTGTGCGACGGGGCCGTTCGCTCAAGCTGTTGGGGCTTCAGTTTCTAAATGCTCGGCAGCATTTCCTTTTGGCTGTCAGTCGTGACATATCACTTGTGCCGTGTCTAGTAGGGCTTTTCCAGTCATGGTGGGTGCTTTTAAAAGGCCCATCTGTATCTGCTGGGTCCCTGGGCATAACGTCAGCACGCTTGTCTGAACACTTTCTCACTGGCGTATGGTGCATTGTGGCTGCGTACCTTCTGTATTCGGTACTTGACGGGCTCATGGTGCGGTGGATTGTCACATACTCCACCACCGGCGCCATCGTGCGGATGCTCTCCATGTCAGCGATCATGATAGTGGTGGAACAATACTTGGTGGCAGCGTTTTCCGCCGAAGGTTACACGTATGGCTTGCACACATGGATCATGATCAGCTGTGCGCTTACAATTCTCTATATTGCCCAGAACTTTGTCACTTCGAACATTGATTTGAAGGGCCAACGCCGCGCACGATTCTTCGACTTCTACAACATCGCAGTATTTGCTGTCGTGCCTGTCGGCTTGGCCAGCTTCATAACAATGGTAGGTCTACTACGGTCCCTTCTTATTCTTCGCTTGGACATTGATCTGCAACGACAGGCATGGATCTCTGCTTCGACATAGCCATAGTCTCATCCAGGCTGTAAATCAGCCAGCATTCAACACACCTTTTCAATCTGCCAGTCTGCCTTGCTTATCAACACTTACATTTCATCTGAAAGCAATTTGGCAGGCCCTGCCTTACACACTGTAGTGCGCTCTCACAGTGGTGGGCTACAGCCTTTTAGGATATGTAATAATAAAATCTTTTCAGAGTAAATTCAATACTATTTCAGAGAATCAAAAGTATTTTTACAGAAAGAATAACCGGTCTTTCATTTCATACTGGACATCACCCAAGTAAGGTGTCCAATCCTTTCACTTATCTCACTATGCCCATCTATCTTGTTCTGGTAGCGCGAACTTGAACTCTGATTTTCTGCACACCAAAAAATTCTCTCTTCAACTGCTCATGGGTGTCCACATCTTTGGAAAGTCTATCAAGCACAACGCCTTGGTCAGAATCGGCTTGGCGAAAAGAATCTTTGGTGTCGGATACACGACTGCCCAGCAGATTTGCGCAAAAGTGGGCATCTACCCAAGAATGAGAATGAACCAGTTGACCGAACCTCAAATCATGGCCATCAACAAGGAGTTGTCAGACTTGACCATCGAAGGCCACTTGAAACAGAGAATATTGGAAAACATCCAACAAAAGAAGGAAATCGGTTCTTACGCTGGTAACAGACATGCGGCCGGTTTGCCTGTCCGTGGCCAAAGAACTAGAAACAATGCTTCGACAGCCAAGAGATTGAACAGACTCGACAGAAAGTTGTAAGCAATGGTGTGCTACTAGCTGCTACAAAAACCACTCATGTAAATATATATATTGAATGCATCTTCCTACGATACTTAACCAAACAACTTGATGGAGTCGTCTGCGTACACCATATCCTCTTCCTCAGAAGCGTCGCTGCCTTCGTCCTGATCCTCGTCTTCTTCCTCGTCGTCTTCTTTCATGCTGATTTTCTGTCCCAAAAGCGAGGCGAAAAACTCATCGATTTGTCTGTCGTCCCACTTCAAACTGTTCCTAGGCGTCTCGAAGTTAGCAATAGGTTCCTGGACATGATATCTCAACTTTCTGCCTTTAGACGCCTTGTTGTCCACGTTCTTCTTTAATTTTGTTGATGCAGCTCCTCTCAACGCAAACTGTAGTCCCGAAGTAGGATCGCTAGATTGTATCTTTTTGTCCACCAAATCATTAAGCAATACACGATAGAAGTCTTCGTCGTCAAAGATCAGCTCCATTTCTTGCACGTTAAGACCTCTGCTCTGACTCGTTTTCGGAATATCTGCGTCCTCATCCTCATTCTCTTTTGGTTCAGTTTTGCTCTTTCTTGACGAAATTTACTTGGTAGTACTCGTAACCAAGAGGCTTCACTTGTCTTCTATTAAGCTTCGTGCGTTTCACAAGACGGTCCATGTCTGACAAATTATTCATCACTTGCTGCTCAGCAGACTGATTCAAAGCCTTGAATTTGCTTGCGTTCATGGCAGTTGAGCCAGAAGAGTTTTGAATCTTGGCCAGCCATTTTGTTAACACAGTAGACCTGTACTCGTTCAAATATATCGTCATATTTCTGTGTGGCTTGAAGGTATTGCGTCAAGGATCTTTTTTGCGGCTTACTTTCGAAATGCTCGGTCACAACTTTCTCCTTTGTGTAAAGCTTGGATCTCAAGTCAAGTATGGCATCGAGTAAGTCATAACATGCAGAAGTGGCCTTTTGTAAGTACTTAGGTGGCTGTGTTTAGTCAGTAAGTTTTCGGCAGCCACAGTTTGAGCATTAACAGGAAGTAAGTTAGTGTTGGTTAATGCCTTTTGCACTTTCAATCTCGAGTCTATAAGCGCATCTCCCATTTTGTGCTGGTTGACAATGGCATAACCCTTGAGAGCGTCCAGGGTAACGGCTTCGGAAAGACGACTCACAATATGTTTTCTTTCTTTCATGATCATATCTTTGATTTTGTTTCTTTTCGCCTCCGCATCCACTTCTTCCTCGCTTTCGCTCTCTTCACTTTCGCTCTGTTCGCTTTGTTCATCACTATCACTGAGTCCATCAATAGAGACTCCCGAATCGCTTTCATTTCCTTCTTGTTGTTCTTCCTGAGCTTCGCCTTCACTGATGCTCTGACTTTCATCTTCACTTTCATCTTGACTCTCGTCTTGGCTCTCATCTTGGCTCTCATCTTGACTCTCATCTTGACTCTCATCCCCACTTTCGTCCTGACTTGCATCACCCATGCTTTCAAATAACTCACTTCTAGAAGCAACTTTTCCCGAATACTTCTTGTCGGTCACAAGCTTGTCGTTTTGTTGTCTCAATTTTGATTTTGGCATGCTCACATAGTGTTGCGTACGCAACTCATCATCCTCCTTTTTTCTGAAGCCGCCGAGTCGTTGTCGCTGGCAAAAGGATCGGGCCAAAATCATTATCCTCTATATCAAAGTCGTTTTTTTGGCTTGTCAAGTTCAGCAATCTGCCTGCGCTAAAGTCTTTTTTGCCATTACTAGGTAAAGAGACCTCGTGATGCTTCTCATCTCAAAAGTAGAAAATATATTTTACCCGCAGGA